TGTCGGGTAAGTGGGTGGGTGGGAACAGGTATGGATCGGAGAGACCACGCCCATACGTCGTGGTTCCGTAATCAGCCTACATTTCACAAAAGCCTATCTTTTTCTTACCTATGCGGTCAAAAACATTCACTTTTGACAAGTGTTGTCCGGAATAATATGTACTTCAGTACTTGAGGATCTGTACTGTAGAGTGTTGATAAGACTGCTAAAACCACCTGTTGGTAAAAAATTCAAATGCTCAAAGATAAAGAGTAGTTCACGCGTGTGTCAGGGGACAGTCACGTGTGGACTGACACTTGGCATTTTCTGGTCTTCTAGATGACTTTTACAAGGTTTTCGTATGAAGTATATACTAAAACAATTACTAGGGATTATTAACATTTTTCAACTATATAATTGAACTATAAAAATGTTTCAATTATCTATGCTCATTTTATTAGTCATCTGATTGCTTACATAAGTTACAAATTTACAATGAGAGAGAATAAAATAAATAAATCAACTAATAGAGAGATCATGGTAAATCATAGCTCACAAGACACGGTCTGACTCTTCTTTATGTTTTCAATTTTAGTGTAAAATATGAGTTGATTAGTGTTGTTTGGGACCCATTCCAATTTCCCATGACCACGCACATGCTCGTCTTTCACAGTTTTCACGCCCCATTCCATTCCTAAAATCTGCCATCATGGTTCACGGTAAATGCATCGTTTGGTCTCTTTTCAATAAAACGCCTCTTCTTCTTCATTTCCTCTTTATTTTAAAGATTGCCTAAATACTTTATAACTCTTGATATTTGTCACTCTCATGCACTTAGAAGAAGAAGAAAATGGATGAGGTCTCTCGTTCTCTTCCACAGGCGCCATTTTTATCAAAAGATCTTCATGATCTCCATAATTTTCACCATCAACCCTCCAGTCACCATTTCGTCGGACTAAAACGCGACCGAGAAGAAGACGAAGTTTACCCAAACAACAACCACTCTAACTCCTCCGGTAAAGACCAACAAGAGCACACGACTCCCTCGGGAGAAGGCGAGAAGATCAACAAGAGAAGGCCGCGTGGCAGACCCGCTGGTTCCAAGAACAAGCCCAAAGCACCGATCATTGTCACGCGTGACTCCGGAAACGCTCTTAGATGCCACGTCTTGGAGATAACCAGCGGCTGCGACGTAATGGAAAGCGTAACCGACTTCTCTAGACGCCGTCAGCGTGGCGTTTGCATACTAACAGGAAACGGCGCCGTCACAAACGTCACCGTTAGACATCCTGGCGGATCAGGAGGAGGATCTAACGTCGTTAAGTTACACGGACGTTTCGATATTCTTTCTCTCTCTGGCTCTTTTCTTCCTCCACCAGCTCCACCAGCTGCGTCTGGTTTAACGGTGTACTTAGCCGGTGGTCGGGGTCAAGTGATCGGAGGCAGCGTTGTGGGACCCCTTATAGCTTCAGGTCCTGTCGTGATTATGGCAGCTTCGTTTGGAAACGCAGCTTACGAGAGGCTGCCATTAGAAGAGGAGGAGGCGGAGGAGGAAACTGAAAGAGATATAGATGGAAACGCGGCTGGTGCGTGTGGAACGCAAACGCAGAAACAGTCAATGCAAGATACGACATCGGTGAGTCAAGAGTTACCTTCGCATTTAATGAACTCTGTTTCATTGCCAGGTGAAGCTTATTGGGGAACGCAACGACCATCTTTCTAGATAATCCTTCATAAGTTAATATCATAAACTTTCTCGTTCTTCTTTATTTGTTTTCTTTTTACTATTTATTTCCTAAAGCCTTTTGGGATTTCTTCAGTCAGGCCGTAGCATTTTCTAATCGGATCAAGAATGCATGTTGTGAATCGAAACGAAGTTGTCATAGTATCGGATTGATCTAAATCTTTCTTATTTTCCGTTTGTTATATTGTTATTTAATCTTGCTTGTGATTAAAATGTAAATACTAAAGAGAATGAAATGAGTGTTCTGCGTATGTCACAAAATGGCGAGGCATATCATGACAATGGCAGAGTTAGCTTGGGAACAAAGTGATTCCATTGGCAGGCACTTTTCTTTTAACTTTTTTTCTCTATATACATACATATGCGCTCAAACATTTACAATGTGTTATGCTACACACAAATCATGATGTACGTTCTGTATAACACCAAAGAAACAGCTTATAAAACGACAATTTCAGTTGGGCCCGAATATCAACCACTTAAGCCCAGTTCGATGATTATGGCTTATTGAATAACCCACGAAGCTCGTAGTTACACTCGTTTTGCTAGCTTATAACAGAAATGGACTATTTTCCACGTGGCAAATAGTCTGGCGCAAGAGAAAATCAAAAACCCTAAAGTAGACTCCTTTTTTGCATTCACCTCTCTATTAATGGCTGCCGGCATCTGACGTCAGCATGCTCAGCCTCTACCGCCGGAGCTCAATCGATTTTGGCCTCGTTGCAACTTTCCCCGCTTCAATTATCGACACCGTGCCAACTATTATCATCACCCTCTCCAACTGATTTGTCATCTCCATCCCTCTCGTTTTTCGAAATTCGATTCTAGTAGGATTCCGATTGAATTCACGGTTCCGGTGGTTTCTGTGTTGAAAGATGGCAGCTTTGAAAGGTTACGGCTTGATCTCCATCGACTCTGCCCTCCATTTCCCTCGTCCACATCGATTCGATAGCCATAATAGGTTCCTCTCTCTCTCTCTCTCTCATCATTAATTTGTAGATCAATTAGCTGGATTCATGCTTTAGATGTTTAGAGCAATCGCTGTTTCTGAGAGATAGTCTTATGATCTCTGCTTTTATTTGTTCATCACACAGAAGGAACACTAAATGGGTTTCTCCAATAGCAGCTGTTGTTCCAAACTTCCATCTCCCAATGCGTAGTCTCGAGGATAAAAACAGGTCAATTCGACGTCCTTTCTCGCAGCTTCTCTTCCTTTTGATGTTTCACAATCGTTTTTGTTCATGCTAAAGCTTTCTTTCTCTTGTTTACTTGTGGTTACAGGACAAACACAGACGACATAAGGTCTCTTAGAGTGATCACAGCCATCAAAACACCGTATCTCCCAGACGGAAGATTCGACCTCGAAGCATACGATGACTTAGTCAACACGCAGATAGAAACCGGAGCTGAAGGAGTCATCGTCGGTGGAACAACCGGTGAAGGCCAGTTGATGAGCTGGGACGAGCACATCATGCTTATAGGCCATACGGTTAACTGCTTTGGAGGAAGAATCAAAGTCATTGGTAACACAGGAAGCAACTCCACTAGAGAAGCTATACACGCCACTGAGCAAGGGTTCGCTGTAGGAATGCACGGAGCTCTCCACATAAACCCTTACTATGGGAAAACGTCTATTGAAGGCATGACCGCGCATTTCGAAACCGTTCTTCATATGGGACCGACGATTATATACAATGTCCCGGGGAGAACGAGTCAAGACATACCTCCTGAGGTTATCTTTAAGCTCTCTAGGAACCCTAATATGGCTGGTGTTAAGGAATGTGTGGGGAATAAGAGAGTGGAAGAGTATACTGAGAATGGGATTGTTGTGTGGAGTGGGAACGATGATCAGTGCCATGATTCGAGGTGGGATCACGGTGCGACCGGGGTTATATCGGTTACTAGCAATTTAGTTCCCGGTTTGATGAGGAAGCTGATGTTTGAAGGTAGAGACTTGGAGTTGAACGCAAAGCTTCTGCCTTTGATGGATTGGCTGTTCCAAGAACCGAATCCGATTGGGGTTAACACTGCTTTGGCTCAGTTGGGAGTTGCGAGGCCGGTGTTTCGGCTGCCTTATGTGCCGTTGCCTGTGTCGAAAAGGATTGAGTTTGTTAAACTGGTGAAGGAGATCGGAAGGGAGCATTTTGTTGGGGAGAGAGATGTTCAGGTGCTTGATGATGACGACTTCATTTTGATTGGTCGATATTAGGAAATGTCTTCCTTCCTTGAAATATCGGTTTTGTTAATACGTCTCTTTGTTTTAGTTGCTTAGCTGATGAGAAACTTTCAGATGGATCATATAGACTTTGTTCTTCTACTGGTTGTGATACTTGTTCTGTGGCTTTCGTGATGTTTTTTGCTTACTCTCTTTTCCCTAAAAACGGCAAGCATGTTTGTATCTGTTATATGAAACGGCATGGTGGTTTTCTTTTATGGTTTGGTCGTCGGAAACATCGCTATCAGTCCATCACTGAGATTTTGTCTGATTTTCATTGTTCATTGCAGATTTTATTCCTTGGCTAAATAAGTGTATGTTAGTACACTTATTACATGAAGATGAAAGTATCAAAACATTCATTGAAAAGAAAATCAAACATAACTCATTACTTCGATTCCAAGAGCTCTTATTTTAGCACCCTAAAAAGGTGAGACAAGAAGAAAAAGACAAGAACAAACGTAAGAAACAAGATTCACGATGATCACTTAAGGAAGGAGGAAGAAGAAGAAGAAGTGGAAACAGGGGAGAGTTTTGGATGAAGCAAGGAAAACAGAGCAATGTTTTCTTGGTGAAGAAGAAGCGCTTTCTTCTTTAGAGCCTCGTTCTCTCGTATGATGCTTTGGTTCTCTACGAAAAGCTTCAAGTTTCTCATCTCCATCTCCTTCTCTGCCCTCTGCAACCTTCTCCTCCTGTGTCCAAAGAAAAAAAAAAATGTTTAAAGCTGTTGTTAATACAGAACGCTAAAATATAGTCGTTGTGTTTGAATATATGGAAAATGGAACTCAACCTGGTGAGATTACGGATACGAAGATGCAATTTTGTCTTAGATTTACATTTGTTATGGTACGAAGCTGATCTCATCGTTGGTGTGTGTGGGTCTGGCAATGGCTCTGAAGAATTCAAACACATCTTCTGGTTTTATTCCGCTGAAGAACTGAGTAAACACAATGGAAGAGTACTAAGCTTTATATAGATGATAGGTGGAGCTGTTGTGGTTTTTAGAGAATTAAGGAGAGTGATGAAGAGAGAGAAGGCTTTCGAAGGTAATGATGGTAAAAGGAAACTCATGATTACAGAGGGGCCAGAAATGCATGGCTTCAGGACGAATATGATGAAGAAGAAGACCAAACCAGACTCTCTCTCTCTCTCAGTTTCTGTTTCTTGTTCTTGATTGAGTAGTTACCGTGTACTAATACGGGAACTTAGTAGAAACAGTTAACAACATACCAAATAGACCATAACAAATCACAAATCATTCAATCTCATACTAATTGATTATTTGTATTGTAAACGACTTGAGAAAGGCCGCATGATGTTTGGAGAGACTAAGTATGTACTAGATTAAAAAATTCCACAGCAGCACCATTTAAAAATGAAAAGACTCAAATGAAAATTCATTAAGTTTCCTACCAACGGCCGAGATCTTGGATTATCGGTAGCACATTGGCATCTTTCCTCATAATTAAGGTCTAATTTGAAGTATAAAACGCCTTGGATCCAAAGTGACTAGTTATATAACTATTTCCTGTATAAAATATAATCATGTGATATAAATAGAGAACAAAAATAATTGATGAGGCTATGGACTATTCATGGACCACTAAAAACTCTTACTCATTTCTTGTGTTGATAATTTCGTTGAGATGCAACCAAATAGAAAGAAATGAAGAAGGATGAAGAAACTAAATGGCAAATGGGAGGAGCAAAGTCAACATCCAGAATTATTAGCATGCTTTCAAAATGATCAAAAGCTGTTATAATTCTATACCTACATCTCTACTACTTCTAGGTGTAAGCATTGTCTACCACAAAGAAAGAGATGATGAGTCTTCTTTAAACCATGCATCAAACATAAACTAAAGCCTTCTAAAAGCACATGCAAAAGAAGCATCATAAATGGCGAAATAGTTACCAGATATAGATTGGGGGTAAGTTCTTGAGTTAGTACTGCTTACAATGATGATGCCATATACAAGTGGTCCAACTCACAGTCACCACGCCTCCTTCATTATTTCAAGATGGTACCCATTTATGAATTCCCAACTAGCTTAGTACTCTCTTCCATTATGTGTGTTTAACTATAAAAACAACATTCAAAATCAATTTCACTAGCAAAGAATAGGTGGATGGACTTGAAACACTAAACGTAATAACGACAATGTTGATCAAAGCCCATTGATAATTGGGCTTTATAAACGAAGATGGGCTACCTTTGGAATCTTCTGAGATTATTTGACACATTTGCTATTTGAAGTCTTTGTAACGACTAAATGTTGTGATTTTTTTCTTTCTTTTACGTTAGTACTCTTGTGACATGTTGTTCAACTATAGAACGAATAAACAAATTTGATACGACGTGGACCCCACGGGACTTCCTCTCTCCACGTGGTTATTACTTATTGTCACACGTCCTACTTCCAATGGCCCGTTCATCTTTTGATGCTTTCAAAGAAAATCACGAGACCACGAATTTTATTGTATGACGTCGCGTGACCCGATGACAAAAAAGGGAAAAAAAACTTTAACTGGAAACAAGTTTAACAGAAGATCTCAAAGTTTCAACAGAACTACAAACTAACACACATAACTAAAAACAAAAACAATCATCAAAGTCTAAAAATTAACTAAAATGATTTAACTTAAACCTCACTCACTTCTCTAATCCCTTGTCTTAAGTCTTAACAAACACAAAATCACAAAAATAAAAAAACTCGTCGAAGATTAAATTAAAAGAAGGGAGTGGCAGTCTACGTAATTACTACAAGTCGTAAGGGGTATTTAGAACAAGAGTGATGTGGCGGCAAGAGTGACCAATGCGGTGAACAACGCAGGAGCGTTCACGTGAAACGCCGCGTTTTTCGCCTTACTGTCTTCTGAACTTGTCGGTGAGTCTGACGGAGCTCCTTCCGGCGAATCATCAACTGGAGGTGCAGGCGGAGAAGCTGCGACAGGTGACGGAGCTTCAGCTGGTGACGGTGACTTAGCCGGAGAAGGTGTCGGTGCGCTCACTGGCTCCGGTGCTGGAGCCGGAGATGGAGATTTTCCGAAGAGCTCGGTGGGGAGGAGAACTTTGTCCACCGTGAAAATCACGACAGGTGTCTCATCGACCACAGTATCGGCGAGTCTCGACGGACCGACGCCGGTATGGAGGATAACCTCGTCGCCGGAAGTCGACGTCGTTAAATCGTATTTCCCGGCTCCGTTAGTGGCTAACGTGGAGATTGAGTCTTTGTTAGTCTTGAGTGAGCCTTTGGGTTTGTATTCAGCGAGAGCGTGATACTCTAGGAGCGAGACCACCTCAGCTTGCGTGAGCTTCGTCAGATCTGGTACGCCTTCGGATTTGAAAGCTTCATCGGACGGTGCAAAAACCGTCAAGCCTTTTTCGACGGTGGATTCGTAAGTTTTGACGACACCGCTCGAGACGAGTAGCTTCGCGAAGGTTTTGCAACCGGCTTTTTCGAGAAGTCCGGTGATGTTGCTGATTCCTTCGGCGGACGGAGCAGGGGCGGTTAGGATTCCGGGAGCGATGATCGGAGCGTCGATTTCGAGGATTGAGATGTTGTAAGGGATTTGTTTGACGGATTTGGTGTAGGAGGAATCGAGCTTGGATCCAGAAACGGCGGAGCCGAATCCGACTTTGCCTCCTTTGAGATCGGTGACATTGACGAATCCGAGGTTCCCGGGAGCGTTTCCGGTGGTTTGGTATAGCGTGGTGGTGAGAGTGGTGCCTTTGGAGATTTTGTGGAGTTTTAAGGGATCGTAGTAGTCGAGGAGGACGAGGAGGCTGAGAGCACTTTTGATGACGGAGAGTGGGTGTTTTCCGGCGAGGGAGGACATGGCGCCATTGTTGAGAACGAGGACGGTGATGGTAGTGCGGCTGTTGATTTCGTCGGCGAGCTTGGTTTGGGAAAGGTAGCTGTTGAAGGAGGAATAGTCCGGCGATTCGGAGAGGATTTGGGTAATGTTATGGCCGGAGACGGTAGAAATGACGGCGAAGAGAGATATAGTTAACGTAAGGAGAGAGAACACTCGTGAGACCGCCATTGGAGAAGAGGAAGTGAGAAGACAGAGAGTGAGAGAGATGAAGTTAAAAGAAGAAAGAAGGATGGATATTAAAGAAGAGGTTAAATGTTAACCATAGTGATGTTAAAAACACTTAACCAGGGTTGGATTGAGAACACGTGCTCTTGCTAAAAAGAAAAAGCCTGAAATCACGATTCACGAACTGGGCTTTTGGGCTTTTTTCTCTTTGGTTCCGTCTTCCAAAAGCATCCGTTATATCGTTATCATACCTTTTTGACGTCATCATTAGCTTTTGTTAATGGTTTGTGACTTTATAATGGTAACGGCTATGAGCTAAAAGTTAACCATGATAATAAAATTCAGATACTTTAGCTAACTACTAGTGTTTCTATCCACAACCGTAAATTGAGACATTTACTGCTGAGTTTATTTATTAATGCTCATTAGATACTGAAATATCCAAAATTAGCAAAGGCACTTTGAGTCTAAGACCAAAAGGATTAGAATCTTATTTGCAATCTATAAATGTCTAACATGTTAATCTTTCGTAGATTACATCTTCTCGTTAGATAGACTTCAAATTTATGAATTAAAGCGACGATATCAATTTTAGAACTTGGCCACTTTTTAAGTGGAGAGTAGGTTCTCATTACCGACAAATCAATGATAAATAAATATTTGTCGGCAATGAGAAATTATAATATTTTTGACCGTATAAAATTAAAATCTACCAAAGTTAAGGGGATGATTGGTAGGGGCTGTGGTTGCTCTGCACAGCCCTAAATCTCTCTACAGCAATACAAAATTACCAATCAAGCTCTCATTTTATCTCTTTCCATTTTTGAAACACAGAGCAATTTTATTTATTTATGGAAGTTCAGTGGCTTTGGAAAGCAATTTTTCTAGAGCACCAAATTAAGTGCTCTTAGAATTCTCTCTCTTCTCTTTCCTTAATAATCTTTCAACATTTATTTTTTAATCTATTATTTCTATATCTTAACTTTTTTGTTTTAATGTTATATTTAATGACACAATCTATAATAAAAAATCTTACAGCACTAAAATCTAGAATCACAGCTAAAATTTCTACAGCATTAATTCTACAGCAAAAAAATTAAAGCTACAGCCACAACCAATCAGGCCCTAAATCTCCCCAAATCAATAATCTATTCATCAAATTTAATTAAAGCCCATTTTACAAGGAAGAAGGGACTGCACGTGTGAGCACACAGGTCACGTGTCACTCTTCACCTTCACATGATTATCTACTGGGCCTACATTAGGCCCAAACTGCGAAAAGCTGGTCAAAAACGCCGTCGAAGCAAAAAGCTCCGCCGCAGATTCTCCAGATTCTCAGATCGGATCTTTTGAGAGTGAGAGAGAGAGATGCAGAGGGACGTGTCGAGCTGCAACACATACAACTATGGAGACGCACTCTACTGGGACGCGCGTTACGTGCAAGACGCGCTCTCTTTCGACTGGTACCAACGCTACTCTTCTCTCCGCCCTTTCGTCCGCAGCTTCGTCCCTACTTGCTCACGAGTCCTCATGGTTGGCTGTGGCAATTCCCGTAAGTCTCTCTTCTTCTCTCCCTCTTTGCAATTGCCAATGCGATTTGAAATTTTCAGCTGAAGAATAACTCTACACATTGATTGCAAATTTGACTTCAGAGCATTCAATTTTGAATAACCGATTCGCTTTGGTACTGCAGTAATGTCAGAGGATATGGTCAAGGACGGTTACGAGGACATAATGAATGTTGATATCTCTTCGGTGGCTATTGAGATGATGCAAACCAAATATGCGTCTGTTCCTCAGCTCAAATGTACACTCTTTTTAAATCTCCAGTTTTTTCCAAGTTATTTGCTTTTAAAAAGATGTAAAGTAAGAAGCTTTTGGTACCCAACAGACATGCAAATGGATGTTAGAGATATGAGCTACTTTGCTGACGACTCCTTTGACACGGTCATTGATAAAGGTATGCTTTTGCCTAGTACTCTGTTTTTATCTTTTTGGTGGAAAAAGCTTGAAATTGATACTGTATTTTTTTTTTTTTTTTTTTTTCCTTCAGGAACTCTTGATTCATTAATGGTACGGAGTGAATCTTGAATCTTCTCATCCTCTTTTAATCTTTTTTTTTTCTGGCATTACATGTCTCCATGCGGGTTTTTAAGTTTTCTTATGTTTGTGGCGGTGTGGTTCCAGTGTGGCTGTGATGCTCCTCTAAGTGCTACGAGAATGTTGGGTGAAGTTAGCAGGTTATATAGATAGTTAGATACCTAATCATTCATGGCTGTTCCTTGGATCATCATATAGATGCCATTGCTAGATTCACTTTTTCTTTTTAACATTGATCATAGAATATTCACTCTTCTGAATCAACAAACACTTCTTCTTTCATATTTGAATGCAGGCTGATTAAACCTGGAGGGACCTATTTCTTGGTAAGTATACTTTCACATGCATTCCATTTTTCTTCTAGAGTTGTTATAGAGTCAACGTCACTGACTTGTGTGTGTTTTGTTATGGTGGTTGTAAAGATAACCTACGGTGATCCGAAAGTGAGAATGCCTTATTTGACTCGTTCTGCATACAACTGGAAGATCTCTTTATACATCATACGTAAGCTTCCACTTTCTTTTTGTAGAAATGAATTGCATTATTTGAGCTTTTTAACCCTTTTTTATTACTTTGAAACGTTGTTGCAGCAAGACCAGGGTTTAAAAGGCCAGGAGGAAGTTGCAGCTCGTCAGAGAAATCGTGTCTGGAAGCTATACCTGTGACAAGTGAAGGAATGTTGCCACACGATTATGTTCTGGAGGATCCTGATTCCCATTTTATTTACATATGCAATAAGATGGACGAAGATGTAGCTCAACTACCCTCATACCCATTGATGGAGGATGTTTTGTAGTCATGTGCTTGTGGATGGCGTGGAGGCTAAACACAATCAATATTGTGCATTGATAGTGATCTATTGTTGTATTGTATGTGTTCTTGTGATCTGTCCCAATTGATAGGTCTGAGCCAGAATTGCTCAATCAACACTATAGACTATAAAATCTCCATGTATACGAATAAACATCTTACTTTCATCTTCTTCAGAGTCTAAATTTCATTTCTTTCATTCATGGCCATTTGACCAATTAGCTCTTATTTATTTGATCACAGACGACAAACAGCATCTTGTGCAAAGTCTGCAAACTGTAATCATTAGATTACAAAACAAAAATCCAAAACGTGTGAAGACCATTTCTTTTATACATTCACATTAGCTAGGACGATATCTTCGCACACAACACAAGTGGAGCAACAGTGTCTTGCTCCAAAATGTTGGAAATATTTGAGAATATTGCTGTTGATTTTATCCAAACAGTCAAATCCATTTTCATTCAGAGCCAAGCTTCGGCGTCTGATCCACCACCTTCGAGCTTAACTGCAAGAAAATCGAAACAAAAGTTCTGTTTTCCTAACTGGAGTAGATGCTGAAGTAAAGGAGATCAAAATGCGAACAGGGTAGCAAAACTTACAGCTGAATTAGTGAAGATAATCAACTGTTTATCTTTTGTGGAAACTAAAAGGTTAGTGTTGTCTGTGTTCAGAGCCATAGCGGTTACATCCTGCCCTTCACCAAGCTTCAGCTTATGGAATACCTTACAGAAGAAGAATTTTTTTGTTTGTTAGGTCAAAATATCCTTCAACGAACATCAAGAGAAATGCTTAACAAGAATTATACCTTAAGAGTGTATAAGTTGAGGAAGCAAATTGAAGGAGATGAGATCTCCAATCTCTCAATTTCATTATCTCTACTTGATGATTCTTCTTCAAAGCTCATCGATCCATCAATGTCGGAGAACGAGCTCACGCCAATCACAACATTTTGGCCGTCCATAGATAGTTCCATGCAGCTTATGGTACAAGAGGAAGGAAGCTTCGCTTTAGAAACGAGAACTCCGTTGACGGTGAACGTGCTGATAGAATTCTCCGATCTACTCCAGACCACTATAACTCCATCGGAAGAAATGCAGATAGAATGTGCCTTAACGCCAACAAGCCGTCTTATGAGCCGACCTTTTCTTACGGAATGCAACAGAACATCTGAAGACTCAGAGGAAGAAACAACGAGTCCTTGATCTGAGCTAACACAGCAACAAACTATTTCTCTCCGGTGTCCATGGAGCACTTGTATGGGCCCTTCAATGCGACGGTTTAAGTTGTTGCTTGTGGAAGAAGGTGTCTGATCAGAGGGTTTTGTCTGCTCAGAGTCGCTTGTCTGAGAAGTTACTTCCTTTTGAAATCTCCACAGCAAAACAGTAGTGTCTCGTGAACCTGTCACAAGGAAATTGTTGTCTGGAGACAGAGCCACACATGTTACAGGAGCACAGTGACCATAAGCTGTTTCCAACGTCTTCGCTCCATCAGATGAGACTAGCTTGATGCTATTATCCACATGTCCACCTAACAAAACATTCATACTATTATCATCAATCAGACAATCACAAAACCTTTCACATAGCTCTTTAAACACTGTTCTTACCAGTGATAATTTCTCCATCGTTTGTAATAGCAGCGACAGAGGAACTTGTGATTCCTGATGAGCCAAAGGCCTGTGCTTGAGGATATTCCGAAACACCTTTGAACATTCGTACCAATGTGCCGCCAGTCGAAGCTCCCTTGCCGTGATGAAATGCGAAAGGAGCATTACTCTGACCATCAGGAGTGTTTGGTTGCCACTTGTGGTGTGCGATATGTGCTGCAGGCACGTTCATGTCAACAATCACAACACTATCCGAATATGCCTTGATGGCTGCAGCAGGTAAGTTGCAGTGCTCTGGATCTGGAACTGGATACGGTTTTATCTCTTTTGGATTCCGGAAGATGGTCTGAACAAGAATTTAAAAGTTGGTTTTGTCAAATTCTAGGACAGAAATATTGAAAGACTCTAGATTGACGTGACAAAGCATTTACCTGAACGTGAAGGACATCTTTCAGCTGCATTCTTTTGATGTGAGGCATAGTCAATAGCAGTGATGGCGTTTGACCTAAATTAGCTATCTGGTTTTGAGTAGTCCGTCGTTTTACCTTCATGAAAATATTCACAGCAAAGTCACGAAAACAGAGTAATACCAAAACAGAGCAACTTCGTAAACAGAGTATACTAAAACAGAGTAATACCAAGACAAAGATAACTTACAGGATCCGTGATCTTATCAATATCAACAGTTCCTTCGTATGTAGTGTAGAAGAAAACATTATTTGCAAGTGTAGCTTCGTCACCATGTTGCTTATACCTAAATGAATAAGTTGATGAGGACGTGGATTTGATTTGAAACGACCATGTCGACAAGATGTCAGGCCAAAATGAGGAAACCTACCCGAAGATGAGATCAATCCATTCATGCAAATGTGCAGAGACATGGTCGCTCTCCAGAGCCATTCGATGCTTGTGTACAAAATCCACCGGGCTTTTAGCCCAAGGAGGAAGTTTTACTGAGCCTGATGGATCAAGAACAATATCAGAAGAAGAAGAAAAAAAGATGGTTTACAGATTCAGGAGCCATATTTTTGCTTGGAACACAAGAAACCCATACCAAGCTTCTCTCCCATATTCTCGCTGGTCAACACCTCAGGAAGGTAAAACAACTCTGGAACCTAGAAAACAGGATGAGGTGGCATTAATACATGACTGCAATCTTCACTTGCAAAGAAGATGACTATGATTAAAACCAGTTCTTACCAATTCCTTCACATTACTCATATCTTGGAGAACTCCTTTCCAAGTGGCTGCAATGTCTGAAAACATCTGGTCTGGACGATCAAACTTTCCACCTTGCAGTTGAACTGAAAGGGTTGTGAAAGGTTCGACTCTAGCTAGATAATGCAACACCTACCAACAAGAGATTACAAACGATAAATCATCTTCTTGGACCATTTTTAAGTGCAAACTCTATCCATCATCTTCTTGCAAATCTTAAAACAAAGAGAAGATAACTTACTGCTCCAGGACTTGAGTAATGTGAATCATAGTGAAATTTGGGGATGACTGGATCTTCAAAGCTCGAATATTTCTCTTGAAACTTCTTCAGCCGCTCTGGATTCAATGCACCAATTGGCTGAAGATAATACAGATCCACGTTACATCTAGTTTATAAGTTTAATAGACTTGCAGGTATAGAGCCAAACTACAAGTAATACCACCTTGGAAAGATCTCTGTAGTTAGATGGATTTGAAAGGTCCAAAACTTGTGATGTATAGTCGGACAGAATCCATGGGAAAACAGGATACTGCAACGATATGAAAGAAAAAAAAAAGTAGATCAAGATAACCAAAAAGATGATGTTATGAAAATATTTCATATATGCAAGAAAAGCATTCTCACTAGCACAAGACTTACCTGAGTGATGTCATTGTAAGTACGGCCAGCCAATGTGTTAAGCTGCATTAAGTACTCAAAATTGCTCATCTGCATATTATTCAGCAAGGGTTACTTCTCTGCAAGATGATATTTTAGGGTGATTGAAATAGTATGATGAGAGTGAAAGGATATTCTTTTGATACCTCCCATCTAGCCCATCGTTCCGTTAACTGAGTTCTTCTCAAAAATTGTTCTGGCCTCTAAAACAGGAAACGATTTATCTAAGTTTTGTCAAGCCTGCACTAGAGAATGAACATATGGAAGAGGTAAAAACGCAAACCTGAGTTGCGAGGTATAAATTTTCCAAATGAGGAGGCCTCGCTTGAGCAATAGCACGACACGCATACGTTCGTCCCTCAATGCTCTATGGTGTTCATCAGAATTCATAAAAGTAATTTGGTTAGAGGGGGCAGGGACTTGAAATTTCCATGGAAAGACAGATAAATATGATACAACAGAGAAAGTTTTTCACATACCCCAAAATCAAAGAAGAAGTTTGAGCGATCGACCATAAATAGTTCCAGAGCACTCATTCTCAGTAGATATCTGCCAAAGAGAAGATATAGGTCTCAAATTAATCATAATAAAGCAGAGCAAATAGTGAGCTAGAGTAAATTTTGATGAAGAAACTATTACCGTCGGCTACAAATCTGATGAAGAGAAGACATGAGCCAACTACGATCTCTTTCTTGGTCTCCTGTTTCTGAACCATCTGACTTGCCATCCAAATCTTGGCCTTCTCTCATGTCTACAATAAAATTTATTCTCCGGGTTGTTATCTGAGGTATTCCAAAAGACAACCATTAGAAACTCTGTTTCGGACCATTTTCAGCTATGCATAGTTATCATCAAACTCTGTTTGGTTATGTAATGTTAGTCGAGCATATACCTGAAAGGTTCCTTTCACAACCCTTAGTGGCCTGACCATAGAAGACGAAACTTCAAGAACAATCCTTTCATCAAGATTCTTGCGAACTACTGTAGAATTTTGAACCACATCCTGGTCACTCAACGGTCGAGGATCGCTGATTACATGTGACAGTTGTATCGCATCATCAAGTGACCCAGACATCCTCTCTTCATTTCCCCCTTTGTATTCTCCAACATTACCCTCATCATCTCCATTCTCATCATCATCATCATACATTATTATATCCTTTGATATTGCAAGAATATGTGCATTTGATGGAGAAGCCAAGTTATCGTCTGCCTGATCATCACTGTTCCTCGCTGCCTCAAGATGATCAGTACCAGAGTAATTCCGCCTTAAACATTGTCTCATCCTCGAAGAACTTTCCATAGAATCCAGTTTCCAGAAAACCTGCATATGTCATGTGATGATGTTACATTCCATCACTTGGAAAACTTCTCAGCATGTTTCAGAGTTAAACAAGAACAGTGTGGCTTACGTGTTTAGGACTGCATAAATGGTCTCCAAAGGGTCCAAAGAGGCATCTCATCTCTACCAAGTAACGTACGAGTTTGCGCCAACCTCGGAGTCCAATAGACGAGCGGTTTCTCACTATATTATCATCTCGTATACGCCTGTCAATCTCGTACCTCTGCATGTTACGTGCTAAGGCAAAGCTTGCAACAAGCACAGCAATAAACTTGTATGACAAGGCATTGAAATCTTTCCCATAGACTGATTTTGTGTCCACTGGCTGGAGACATTCCATCCAAGCCACTCCCATGGCTTCAGAGATATTCCATCTCTGTAAACGTTCCATATCACTGATAGTCCTTCGCTGCGAAGACGTGGCCATTGCAACAGCGCTTAGACCTCTCCCAGAGCCAATCTTGGCGTTCCTTTCAAGATCCCGTGCAGCCGCCAGAGCAGCCGCTTTCGCAGCTGCCTTGTCTCTTGGTCGGCCAGGTGATTCGTCGTTTGGAGCCTCCAAGGGTTTCTGGAAGCTGGAAAAGGTCTGAAGTTTTGTAGACTTACGCTCAAGCAATGAAGAGTCTCGCCTAAGAGCTGGCGGAGGCGCTGGAGGGGCTGGAGGTGGCGGCGCTTCCCAACCAGCCGCTCCTGCAGCTATCATCGCCAGTGCCATTGCTGAAGGAGGCGACGCAAAAGCAGCTGCCCACTCCGGAGATATCATAGAGAGAGCCGCCTCAATAGGGAGTGCATCAGCAGCCAAAGCACAGTCATCAACGACAAGCGGATTTAAACCATCACCAGTGGCGAGTTCATGAATGCCTGCCAAAAGTGGTCGCCATCTCCGGAGGATTGCAGCAAATGGTGGTAAAATTGCCTCTAGATACTGTTTACGTAGTGGCCTTTTGTCTCTGCTCACTGCATGCCATACCTTAAAAAACAAGACTTGGAATCAGAAACTGAAAGATCACAAAAACAAAGTGACTTTTAAGGTCATAACAACAACAAAAATTTGAGAGACCTAACCTCAGAATATAGAACGCATGTAGTAACCAATACTCTCTGCCTCTTTGAGTCAGATATTGGCATGTTTAGAACAGGAGAGAGCACACTGGAGATTAAACAAAAAAAGTCACTTCAACTTCTCTAGATAAACTATAGAGTATGGGCAAGAAGGCAAGCAGAATCCAAAAATCAAGCTTTTAAGATGCCAAAATGTGATTTACCTCCACAATAAAGCTGATGGTGAAATCTGAGAACTGACATCAACTGAGACAGAATTCGCCAAGGGTCCCTGGATTCCACCAGTAGTAAGACCATCTTCAGAGCTTAGATTTTTCATCAGCAAGCTATCTTCACCATGGTCTTCTTCTCTCAAAGACAAGAGCACCATTCTAAGCATGCATAAGAAAGGCTGGTCACTATCCAGCAACTGGTAAAGAGCAGCCATGCCTCCCATCCCAGTGCCAGATGCTTTACCAATTCCTAAACCACCTCCAAGTCCAGACTCATCTAGAAGCAAGGCTTGAAGCATTGATACTGATTTTTTAACCAGAGGAAGTTCGATCCAGTTTCCATCAGCATCTTTTTGTAAAGTAGATTTCCAAGACTCCCAACCGCTTCCACCACCACCAAAACCGCTAGTTTTAGAAGCAGGAAGTCCAACACCATACCACAACCGGCTCCTGTACTTCCAACCCTCAGCTAAATCCATCGTACAGCTTCCGTATGATACAAAAGCGCACGAAACAGATTCATACGGCTCAGCTGCAGCAGCGGCCGCAAGACGCTCCATCACGGCTGTAGATATCTGACCAGTTGCATCGGCCATTGAAGCAAGTATCTGAAAAGAAAGTAAATTACTTGAGAGATGTACTATAGCAGAGTATCAAAGAAATATATTTCGACTTACATCTAGATGGACACCTCCTGAGTCACTGGACACTGAAGCGCGGCTACTAGAAACCTCTGATGATTCTCCAACAGTTGGCAATGTGCGTGAACGGTTGTTGTTAAGGGGATAAACAAGAGAGAGAGGAGATGGAGAGACAACAATTGCGTGTGCAGCACAGTTTTGTTTGCTCTGTAGTCTCAAATGATCTTCGACAAGCATCAAAATCACAATAGTGTTTTCAACAAGATTCACTGAAAGCTGAGCAGCAATATCTACTCCAGCCTTTGCATCTTTTGGTGCTAGACTCTCTGCCGCGAGACCAGCAGCTGCTGAAGCTATAACTTGAGTCTGTTGGGGAAAAGAACAATGTGTGGGTCAAAATCTAGCAATCACACAGTATAACAAGACAAGTAAAGAACAATGTGAGGCTTTAAAAGGCATCTCAAGTTGACAATATTTACCTGAACCTGTAGTTCACTGGCAGCAAAGTCTAGCAATCCACCTAGAAGCCTTCTTTTGAAAATTGGTAGTGATTCCTCACGCCTTCCAAAGTAGGAAAACAAAAAAGTGTAAACACAATTGAACAGAAACAAAGATCCCTCACAAAGAAACAACCATCACAAACACAAAAGAGATGATGACATGCAAAAGTTATTGTGCATGAGAATACCTAATTCGTTTCTCCCCGGTGCTAGACCCACCAACAATAGAGAGCCACTCTGCACAATGAATTGTAGCCTCAATATCCTGTAAAAGGAATCACATGTCGCCAAAAAACATAAATAAAACATAATTGAGCTTGTAAGAAAAAGGGTGAAAATGAATTGACAACTGAAACAAACAAATTTACCTTCCAGCCATCTTTCTGGCGCATGGAATGTTCCAACATAATGATCAAAAAGTTATGAATCATATCTTCAACTTCAGCAGAACCTGGTGATGCAGACTGTTTCCCTGCATCTCTCTGTGTGTACGCACAATAGTCAGCATATTTAGAGAGCTTGGTGGTACATGCTTCAATAAGAGAGCTCATAGAGGAAAACTTAAGTGCATACCTCGTAGTTCGAGATCAAAATCTCCAAGATCCACTCTGGCCACTCTTCCATTTTTGTCATACTGCTCCTATTTTCCTTATGGCTACAAGCCAAAAACAGAAGATCCTGACGTAGAAAAAGTGAATTCAGAAACACTAGTGCAAGACTTTACTTGGCTTTCACCATAGATATATAGAGAAATAAATTTCTCATAACCTTAAACAAGAAAAATAAAGAGAGCATCTATACCTGAAGTGCTCGATTTTGTAGAGCATTGGATGCAAATGGCAGAGAACGCAGGAGGATTAACAAAAGTTGAGGGTGTTCAAAGCGATGACCTGAATCATAAAAGTTCAGGCCATCTTCTGTTGATGAAGCATTAATCTGCAAGAAAGAGCTCAGTCTATGCAATAAAATTTTAACCTCATATAATATCTCAAAATAGTATATATGACATGTCATACCGAGGCACCAAGCAAAGTTGTGTAGACATTTTCAGTCATCAGTCTGTTTGGAGCTGCTTGAAATGCTTTCAACAGAGCAAATAGTAACAATGCCACTTTATCGTCAAACATTGTTCCACCATTATCATTAATCCCACTACCCATCAGGTTACTCATAACATCAGATTCGGCAACAATGGAAAATTTCAAGTGCCCTTTTGAGATCAATGCACCGATCAGTCTGACGATTCCCACCACAACGCGATCTTTATCGTCAACATTGTTTCTTCTGTCATTTCTTGCGTTGTTACTTAATGGGGTTTCAGAAACAGAGGACACTGATTTCTTCAAAATTACTACTACATTATCATCATCATCACCATGAGAATCACCCTCATCATCTTGTGGTACTAAATCCAACAAACCAGGCTTATTGTGCGGACTCTGTTGATCACTATGACAAGTCGTCACGCTTGTCTCACACTTAGCTACAGATTCTGCAACGTTGTCGTCACCAGTTTTAGCTTCTCTCTGGAGCAGAACAAGAAGTGTTTCTATCCCACCAGATGTGATAAATGACTCTGCAAATGTCTGTGCCTTTGCAGCATTTGGTTGTACAACCAGCCTAAACATCAGATGCAACACCCTTGCAACCTAAAAGAGAGGTATGTCAGAGCAAAAATATTAAAAGATCTGAGAAATGATAAATGTTTGAGAAACATGTTACCTGATTTGGCTGTGGACTGTCAATGATGAAGCCAAGTAATCGACGAACATCAGCAGCAGAGAACGAAGAAGATGCAGCTCCCATTAGAAGTTCAATAATCACCAAAAGCTCATCAACCAAAGCATTAACTTCCCCCATTTGACGTGCACCACCATCTTGAGAGAAAGTGTTGACAGAGTCTTTCTCTTGAATCGTCCAGTAACATCTCCGACATCCATCAAGAAGTATCTGAACAGCATCAGCGTTCCTCATAGCCTCCGCTTCGGTGAAAACCAAATCTTGCAGGGACGATAACAGCTTCTTTTGAAGCCTGTGGTTGCACACGCTCCATATCTTGAGATCCAGTAACAGCGTACGGAAGAGCTGCACTTTAAGAGCATGGTTGATCTTTTGATATTGACAAACCGAAACAACGGCAGCAACTAGCTCCTCATCTTCTTCTACTCTATCATTCTTGGATGCAAGTGAGTGAAGAATATAACCAAGAATTGTGGCAAGAATCTCAGGCCCTCTAGTACGAGACAGCTCTTCATTGTTCCCAGGATGTTGAATAGCAACTGAGATGATTCTAAATATAGGTGGAGCGATAGAATGTGTTCTCAAAGACAATGGAAGATCTCTACAAGACGGTTCCAAGCTATCTTTATCCACATTGGTTACGGTTAGAGGAAGCAGAGACATGGGTCCTCCATAAGCTAAGGCCCAAAAGGACTCCACTGACTTCACTCTCGTTGCAACATGGACTTGTCCTATTACCTCAGCTGGTCTTCTTACTGCACCTGCTGCTCCAGAGAAAGAAGCATCTGGACAAAACCGTCCATTTAGTAAACTTGGGTGGTAAAGCAAGTGAATGTATGATCCAAGATCAGCATCCAAAAGACTACTTTCCTCTGCTTGATCACGGACATGGTCATTAGTAGCTAGCCATGGAAGACCAGCTCCATGGCCGAAACAAGGCAAAACATCACCACCTCTTGACGCCAATCTTGTCATTCTTTCAGGACCAATCGGTTCTTTAAATATATAAACAGGTCCCATCTCAGCAAACAAAGCACACTGACGACGACGACGCTGTGAACCACCACCAGCTGTTGTAGGAGGAGGAGGAGGAGGATTTGAGCCAATGCAACAGCAAGAAAGCGGTTTGGATATACGAGGAAACTCAAACGGACGACTTTCATACAAAGATCCATCGATATACAGACGCAACTCACTTTCTGAGTTCCCTAAAAGTCCCTGATTGGTGGTATGCTCAAGTCCAATAAAGTACCAACACTGTGGCTTAAACGCATGAGTGAAATGAAACGAAGCTTTACTTCCTCTCCCACTTCCACCGCTCTCAACCACAAGAAACTGTGCAAAGAAGTACGCTTCAATCCCTTGGTTATCACCGGTCAAGAAGCTGAACAGACGCGGCATGTGAGCAGTGCCTTCACCGGCGTACACATTCGCAGATGTTTTCCCTGACTTAGCCGCTGAAGCAGCTGCAATCGCAGCAGCCGCGGTCGAAGCGTTCATTGTGTCAGCAAACGATTCAATGTAAATCCAAGTCGCAAACGCATAGCCGTTAGTGAAAGGCCAACGAGTCTCTCCAGGACCAAGCAGCCCTGAGCTTTCACTGACGAACTCGAAACTACACGAAGGTCCCCTTGATTCTTTACCACTCATTGCCTTCTCTAAAGCATCCATCAAAGGACTTGACCAAACTGTTGTAAGAGATTTCTTGATGATATGAAGCCATCGATCCAAATCTTCCACACTAAGAGAGTGTCCGGCTAAATGCTGTATACAGTGAAACAAAACCGATGCGTTCCATTCCATTTTCACGTCTTTGGAGAGAATCTCATCGACTGAGCGCAAGAGAACACTTAACAGTCCCGCCATGGAACACATAGCTCTGTTTCTCGTGCAAGAACGTAAGATCGCAAGCAATCCTCGCACCATGCGTGTCCTTGGGGACATGAAACTAACACCGTCGTCGCCGGAACAAGGAAGGCTAGGGATGAGCTCGCCGGAAACAATGGCGGCACGAGAGTTAAGCATCACGCTAGGAGGGTTGCTGTCTTCGTCCTCTTCAAAGCTCTCGACTCCACCCATGGTGGCCAGAAGCGAATCGATGACGAGGAACGCAATCGTCTCCGAGTCTTCTCCAGAAGAGCTGAAGCTCTCGGAGCCGTTAACAATGTTCTTGAGTTTCTCTAAGCTTTCGGGCTTTCCCATGATGGCGGAATCAACTAGATGCAGTAACTCTGGAGAAACGTTTGCCATTTTAGCCTTTGGTTTAGGTCTCCGAGGGGATTGAAGCGGAGGGTATGATCCAGATTCTGTACGTTGGAGAGAGTCTAGACTTGTTGATGAGTCTTTTAGAGAAACCTGCTCGAAATTGTCGTCCTTGAGGACTGCGTCTACGGAGCTAATCGCTTGTAAATCTGCGTCGTCCATTGGTAACGGAGCATGTTCATCAGCAAGAAAAGTAGGACTCGCTAGATCAAATGAATCTACTCTGCTCTCTACGACATCGAGGTGTCCATCAGACTTCTTTTCTTCGCCTTCTTCCATTTTTTTAAGGACTTATTATGAAACAGTCTCTAATTCACGCCGTTTCCTCTTCCACCACCTGTTTAGCATCCATGAACGAATCACATATTTTAGCTCCTTAAGACCAAAAGATTACAAAGTAATGGGAAATGAGCACGAACGTTAGATGATTTCGCGTCAGACCACAAGAAAGCTACAGACAGAATTTAAACACGAGATCTGGCCCAGGCATGAAGATCTTAGGGAGAATATAATCGATTTATGACTCGTTCCCGCGAACATGCACGGAAATGTTCGGGAATGGTTAAAAAGACAAACTTTTTCAAGTAACTGGTCGGAGAAAATGTCAGAAAAAAAAAAAAGCGAATGGGAAGCAACTGAGAGATTATCCGGCTTACCTATGTATACGGTATTCACTTTCTTCAATTCTTCCGGCTTCCGCCTTGTGTAATCGGAGAAAGAAACGGATCTGATCGGAGAAATGCGAGCTCAGGGCGCGCGAGAAAGATGGACTGATATTTGATTTAGCAATTTCGCACCCATAAATCAAACGAAATTGTAAAAATCTATTCAGAAAATTACGATGGTAAATTTTCTTCTTTCTCCTGCCTCTGCTCTTGACCAGTCAATTGAATCAGCTTTCTGTGTGATTGAAACTCACAACGACATCGTTTTTGAAACATCCACATAGAAATAGAGCTTCACGCGCTGGATGGCGCGTTCACACACGGGTTCCTTCCTAGTGGCCCCCACAGTTGAAATCACAAAATTACATGAGTAATTTATTGTTTGGTGGTACGAAACAAAAATTTATTCATTTATATCACAGATTATTCGCAAGCTATCCAAAGATATTCGTTAATTGTATGATTGTATCCGTAAAGGTATTTAAAAAAAAAACATAATAAATACCAAAATAAACTTAGTTCTCATACAACCGGAACATATATATTACTATAAAAATGAAAAAGAAATTACGAAAGACTAAAGAAAATAACGGTAAGTTTTCTTAACGAAGTCAGAATAAAGTGGCTTGGTCTTGTGCAAGGTAAGTCCGAAAGTCTCGTCCATGTCCAAATCCGCAGGAAGGCCATAGTGTTTTTCATCTTCAAGAGTCCATTCAAACGAATAAATAAGTGAAGCAAGCATGTGAGGCACAATCCTCAACGCCAATGATATTCCAGGGCACATCCTTCGTCCACCTCCAAACGGTATCATTTCAAAATCCTTCCCTATCAACCCAATGTCACGTCCCAAGAATCTCTCTGGCTCGAACCGTTCCGCGTTTTCCCAAACGCTCGGGTCTCGTCCTATAGCCCAAGCGTTAACCAGAATCTGAGCATTTTCAGGAACGAGGAACCCTAAAACCTCTGTGTCACACTCAGCTTTGCGTGGGATCAGAAATGGGCTCGGTGGGTGCAAACGGAGAGTCTCTGTTACAACAGCTTGTAGATAGGGAAACTCTAAGAGATCCGAGTCACGAACGTAACGGTTTGGGCCAACAATAAAGTTGATCTCGACTTTGGCGTTAGCCATAGCTTCTGGGTTACGTAATAGCTCAACCATTGCCCATTCCACTGTGGTTGAGTTCGTTTCCGTCCCCGCAACAAACAAGTCCTTCAAATTAACAAAAATTCATTATTACGTTTATAAATAATTTGAACAGTAATCACGTAAAAGCAAATGCAAACACAAAAACTAAAAAATATCACTTACGTATAGAAAGTGTTTGATATCGTTCATGTAGACTTCTGATCCATCTTCTTGAATAAGATCGATAAGTGAATCCAACAAATCGCTGCTACAAGCATCTCTAGGTCCAGTCCTCGACGATCTTTCCGCGATCCGATCATCGATAAGCCCTTGAAAAGCCCTAAACAACCTCTCCGAACATACCTTCATATCTTTCCTGATACCTTGTAGATCAAGAAAGCCGAGAGACGGAAAATAGTTTGCGAGATTCGGTTTCCCCATGATTTCCATTATACTATACAACGAGTCCCGGAGCTCCAGGGAGGCTCTCGGGTCGTAACTACCTAAGTCGGTCGAAAACACAACGTTTGAGATAACATTAAGTGATGTAACGAAGCAAGCACGAGCAATCCCCACGGCTTCTCCTCTGTCGCTGCTTTCGATGATGAATGTTAGAAGTTCTTTCACTTTCTTAGACCGTACTGTCTTTGTGGCTTTGATACAATTCCTTGAGAACATCTGAGTCTCCAATATCTTCCTCCATATTCTAGGTTGAACACAATCCATTTATTAAATTTAAAACAAAACAAACCCATAGTTTAATACTATAAATTTAATCAGTCCGAACCATATAAACAAAAATTCGTCAGTAAATATATATTGTTTATAATTTACCTCCAATGAGACGACGTGGAAGGTAGCCATGGGATGGAGACATCATGGTGACCGATGGTCCGAACCGTCTCGCTGAAGGTTCGTGCAGAGAAGACATGGTCAAGCGTTTGTAGAACCTCTCTTGCTGCCTCTGGTGAAGAAATGACCACTGTGGTTAAACTTCCAAGTCGAAGACTCATGACTGGTCCGTAAATTCTCGAGAGGTTAGCAAGTGAACGGTGAGGAGCTTTTCCGATGATATGGAGAAATCCGATGATGGGCCATCCCAGAGGTCCCGGCGGTCCTGGCGGTCGCGGAGGTTCCGGAGGCAATGGGTTCGATGATCTCCGTCGTGATTTGACGGCGGCAACGAGAAGATATGTTAAAAGGAAGCTAAGTATCAAGAGCAGAGCTGGAGCTGTAGCGTTTTTCATAGTCAGTTCGTGGCGTTTTCTTCTAACCACAATCTGTTACTTATTTGTAGACATTTTCTTTAGTATTAAATTTATCATCGTTATGGGCTTAGAACGAGCAGCAAATTCGGTATAATTAAATGCATTTGTTGACAAGAAGAAAGAAACCATTCATGCTTAGGACTCAAAAGTCAAGTATACAATTTGTCCATCACTTTCAAAGCTACAGAGACAATTTGTGATATGTTGACAAACAACAATACGTGGTTTGTTTAGTTGTGGATGATAAATGAAAAATCTAATAGATAGATTTTCAATTTAACCGGTTAACTTGAGAAATACACAGACGAAGATAAAGTCAAATGTTAAACACGTTTCTTGATAGGTACGGCATATAGTGGTTCGGCTCTGTGCAAGGTAACACCAAAGGCCTCGTTCATATCTAGATTTCCGGGAACGACGCCGTTTTGAAACTTCCAGTCAAAGCCATAGAGAAGAGAAGCAAGAACAAGATGCACTACTCTAAACGCGAGTGGCATTCCTGGGCAGATCCTTCGTCCCGCTCCGAACGGGATTAGCTCAAAATCATTGCCTTTCACATCGATTTCTCTTCCTAAGAACCTCTCTGGCTCAAACTTCGTTGGATTCTCCCACGCGCTCGGATCTCGTCCTATCGCCCATATGTTCACAAGAACCTTGTTTCATAACCAAAAAAGGGGTATAATTACAAAACACAAAACCTGTATGCATTGAAAACTTAGCATGTAACGAGGACATACCTGAGCATTCTTGGGAATGAGGAACTCGAAGATTCGGACATGATCAGACTCGGATTTTCGAGGGATGAGAAAAGGGACAGGCGGGTGCAAACGAAGAGTCTCTTTCACTACTGCTTGTAAATAAGGTAGTTTGAAGATATCCGATTCTTGAACGGTGTCGTTTCTTCGTATCACTTGTCTTATCTCTTCTCTAGCTTTCACCATCATCTTAGGGTTTCGAAGTAACTCAGCCATAGCCCATTCCACTGCACTCGAACTCGTATCTGTTCCCGCCAGAAACAAGTCCTATCACACACATTATGTGAATTTAAATAACAGCATACATAGAACCCTATTTGCTCTGTCTTTGTTTAAATATATAATTTGGAAATTAAGACTTACGAGAAGGAAATGTTTGATACCATTATCATCGAGTTCCGACTCCTCTTCTTGAGCAATGTTCAAAAGAGAATCTAGAATATCATTGTTATTTTTTGTCGATTCATTTGATGATCGCTTTGTGTCGATGAATCTTTGGAAAACACTAAACAATTTGTTCATCCATAGACTCGCTTCTTTCCTAGTTCCTTGCAGATCAAGAAACCCAAGAAACGGGAAGAAATCAGCTATCTTGGGTTTTCCGGCGATCTCCATCATCCGAAGCACCACATTTTGAAAATCGTGAGCTGTCTCGGAGCCATCAAGGTTTGCGAGGTTTGTTGAAAACAGAGCGTTCGAGATTATATTGAGTGATGTGATGAACGATGCACGAGTGATGTTCATTTCTTCACTTCTCTCGCTGCATTTGTTAACGAAGCAAATAAGTTCTTGCACCTTTCTCATCCTTAAGTCCTTGGTTGCTTCTAAACGCCCCATTGAGAACAATTGGTTTGTCGTGATCTTTCTTAGAAACCTGACAACACACCGAAAATGAATCTTTCTTGTCCAAGTCGAAACAAAAAGAAAAAAACTAAGTTTTACCTCCAACGAGCAAACGGAGGTAGCCAGACAAAGGAACGCTCGTGGTGACCAGCGGCTCGAACCGGGTCAGTGGAGATCCGATGACACAAGACATGGTCATGTGTTTCAGCACTTGTTTTGCTGCTTCCGCTGATGATATGACCACTGTGGTCAAACAACCAAGCTTAAGACTCACTACGCTTCCGTAAGTCCTCGAGAGATCCATTAGTGAGCGATGTGGCTTTCCACCGATCTGAAGGATGTTCCCAAGTAGAGGTAGCCTTAGAGGACCCGGCGGGATTTTGGCTCCTTCATCGCCGGAACAGAATCTTCGGGCGGTGAAAAAGACGAGAGAGAGTAAAAGCAGAGACAAGGCTATTGCTAACATGTCCATCTGACGTAGGAAAATTATCAACGTTTCGTTAAACCACATTTTAAATGATTGGAGAAACTTCAAGAAAAAAATATTATGCATGCGATGCATAAGGACTTTTGTTCGGACAATCTTTGTTCAGAAAACAATTTGAGATGAAGATGAAACAACGTTGGAAGAGGTGGGTGGGAGATATGACATGCGTCATTGTCCATTCAGGCATTCACCGATTCCCTTAATTTCTCATCTAGTTGATAACTTGATATGGTTATGTTACGCGTGGAAGTCGAGCAACATGCAAGAGATTCTTTAAGGAGTCTTGGTTTGATTTTATCAGACAAAGTATTATAATAATGTTTTTTATATGATTTATTTTGGATTAGTTAACATTTTGGAAATTTTGTGCTAAATGTCTTTTAAATTTGAAAAAAGTATTTTGGTTACATAACTGTAACAATTAGTATGTGAAACGTAAATCATTAATCAGCATTAAATTAGAATTCAAGCTCAGTAAATTTTAAACAGCTTCTTTTTAACCACACAACTTGGCGCGTAATTTTACTTCGTAGCCACTTTGTCGATGGTCAACGGTCAACGTCGCCTGAGTAGGAGATGTAATTTTGTGGTAAAGCACGTCTTTAACTCTGTGAGATTAGTATTTTTTTTTACCAAGTCACGTGGATCATCGAATCATCAAAACGTTCGTTGCCTCGTAATCGAGGCAGAATCTTTATTTAGCTTAAACTGGCCCATGTACTTATGCTCACGTTTCAATTTCGACCACATATTCTTGTGATCTTCTTTCTAATCAATACCTTATCAAGGATTTCAGAAAATGGAACAGCCTCTTGAATTTATTCGATGCAAGTGAATACAGGTGAGAAAATTACAGGATAAAAAAAGATATCATTTGAACATGTAAAATTTATCTTGATGCTAGATTCGTGTACGAAAATTTAAGGGGCGAATTTGAGAAAATACTAAAATATGAGGGACTAATAGTGAGATGTTCGGAAAATGAATTAAATTCAACTTGGATTCGAAAACAACCGTTTCTCTCGCCTCGCATCGCATCCTCTTCCCATTATCTCACTCTCTCTCTCTCTCTCTCTGGCCTACCAAAAATACTTGAATGCGCTCTTAATTTGTTCTGATTCGCCACTTGACCAATCCCGTGAAGATAAACTGCTTGCCGACGCTTCTCGCCGATAACTCAAACCTTCGATCTTCGTCTGGCGGTGAGGGTATTTCGTTTTTTTTCTTCTCGTTTTCCGGCCCCATTTCTAGGGTTTGTTCGAGTTCCTGATCGCTCTTCTGAGTTTATCCGGGTTTGATTTCTGTATTTGTTGCAGGAAAATGGGTTTGATTTCTGGAATTCTGTTCGGGATTATCTTCGGCGTAGCTCTAATGGCTGGCTGGAGTCGTATGATGACGCACCGCTCGTCCAAGCGAGTCGCCAAGGTTCGATTCAATTTGTTTCATTCGTTTGACTACTTGGGTGTCTGATTATCAATTTGCTTTTCCTCAATTCGATTGAAATCCATGATTTGGTTTCCAAAAATTGATTTCAGATTTCAAATCTGGGATTTGAAAAATCCTTCGTGGTTGTGCTAGATAGAAGATAGGTTGTTTCGGTCATGGGAATTAGCTGAAACGCGTAATTATCGGTGTCTGATTTTGTTGTCCCAAATAATACGGTCTAGTAAAATCTCTTCTGCTACTTAGTCGTTGACATTAATGTGAATCTGTTGATTCTACTTAGCGAGAGCTGGTGGCTTTCACTAGCCACCACTCTGTTCAACCTTGCGTCTCTGTGCAATGATAGTCCCTCTTCTTCTTCGCTTCTTCTGTTTGATCCTTCATACGTGTGTCCAATACTGTATAATTAACTAGCTATATTCTTTTCTTCTCACAGGCAGTCGATATGAAACTTCTAGGCTCCCTCAGCAGAGAAGATTTGAAGAAAATTTGTGGTGATAACTTTCCACAGTGGATATCATTTCCAGCTTTTGAACAGGTATTTTTCATCTTTTTGCTTGATTAACTTTTTTAAGTTTGCATACTTGGTTGTTCAACATGATTTATGTAAGTTGTTGAGTTTTAACTTTGGAATTATTTGCCTTAATACTCCCTTTGGAGAAATCTAGTTCTGACTTCTTTTCCATGAATTCAACAATGCTTGGTTTTGCAGCAAATTGACCAAAAATTTCATCTGCAAACTTACTTTTTCAGGTCAAATGGATGAATAAACTACTGAGCAAGATGTGGCCATTTATTGCAGAGGTCAGATTCTTTGATACCTTATTAAGTGCATTCTTTCCCGTGTAGATGGTTGGAAGTTCCCTATGAAGAAGAATCTGTTGAGATTTAGTTTTAGTTTATCCTGAATGTAGTCGTAGACAGCTAATTTTCTGGCTGGTATACATTTCTAGTGTTACCAACGATAGGTCCAATTTGTAAAAATGCAAGAAAACACTGGCCATCAAAGAGTCTTAAGTTTCTGTGATTCTGTTGGCTAATTTCCAGGCAGCAACTATGGTAATAAGAGATTCTGTTGAACCTCTACTCGAAGATTACAGACCACCAGGAATTACTTCCCTGAAGTTCAGCAAATTGACGCTGGGTAACGTAGCACCAAAGATTGAAGGTATATGGTGGACAACATCATCTTTCCACTTTGTTCAACCTTGCTTTATCTATCCTACTTCTGTTTTGGATGAGTTGCCTGCCAAATACTAATGGCTCCTTTTAGTTTAGTTTTGCTGAAGCCTTAAGCACATGCGTAATTAATCATTGCTGCAGGTATTCGTGTTCAAAGTTTCAAGGAAGGTCAAATTACTATGGATGTTGATCTTCGATGGGGTGGTGATCCAAATATCGTTTTAGGTGTTACAGCTCTTGTTGCTTCCATACCCATTCAGGTTATTAGAGATACATTTTAGCACTTCTTGTTTGGGTTATCTAAAATATAAGATTGATATATCGGATGGTACTTTGAGTATTGCTTCCCAATATATATTGATTATCTCTGGAACACTTGTCTCTGGCTGAAACAGTTGAAGGATCTTCAAGTTTTCACAGTTGCACGTGTTATCTTTCAACTTGCGGATGAGATTCCTTGCATATCTGCTGTTGTTGTTGCTCTACTTGCTGAGGTACATTTTTTACCTTTAAAATCCAGAATCAGATGCATTTTTCTTTATCTGCTCCCTATCTGACAGTAACCAACTTCTTAAATGGTCTAAACCAGCCAAAACCGAGAATTGATTACACTCTGAAGGCTGTTGGTGGAAGCTTGACGGCAATTCCTGGGCTATCTGATATGATTGATGTAAGTTCTTCGCTTACCAGGTCAACCAGTTTCCAGATGTTTTATATATGTTCTCATTCTCTCTTATGCACAGCTTTATGCTTTTCTTTCTGTTAGGACACCGTTGATACTATTGTCAAAGACATGCTTCAGTGGCCTCATAGAATAGTTGTTCCCATTGGTGGTATTCCTGTCGATCTCAGGTACTTTCCTGTGTTCTGCTTGTGTTCATTTTGCATTTTTCATATTCTGCTTGGAACTGCCAATCTGTTGTCATGATACGTATTGAGAAAGCATTTTTTCTCTATCTTATCTCTTTCACAGTGATTTAGAGCTTAAGCCACAGGGAAAGGTTATAGTAACAGTAATGAAAGCAACAAACTTGAAGAATAAGGAGTTGATTGGAAAATCCGACCCTTACGCCACGATCCAAATCCGTCCTGTATTCAAGTATAAAACAAAGACAATCGAGAACAACCTGAATCCTGTCTGGGACCAAACATTCGAATTGATTGCAGAGGACAAAGAAACTCAGTCACTCACTATAGAGGTTTGCAATCTCAAAACATTTCTGCTTCACACTTACTTTTTCATGGCCCATGGCAACCATTAACTATTGTCTTTTCGTTTTATAAAAACTTTTGTTAGGTATTTGATAAAGACGTAGGCCAAGACGAGCGTCTAGGACTTGTGAAACTCCCTTTAAGCAGTTTGGAAATTGGAGTTACAAAGGAAATGGAGCTAAATCTGTTGTCTTCACTAGATACTTTGAAAGTAAAAGACAAGAAAGACAGAGGAAGTATAACCCTCAAGGTAGATCTTCCCTTCCCTTTGTATCAACCGCAAGCTTTTCCTTTTTCACCGTAAAATGACTTTTTGTTGTTGTTAAATTGTGAAAGGTACATTATCATGAGTTCAACAAAGAGGAGCAAATGGCTGCATTAGAAGATGAGAAGAAAATCTTGGAAGAAAGGAAGAGGCTGAAGGAAGCAGGTGTGATTGGTAGTACAATGGATGCAGTCGGGGCGGTTGGGAGTGGGCTCGGTGCTGGTGTAGGAATGGTTGGGACCGGGATCGGTGCAGGAGTTGGGTTGGTCGGGACGGGAGTGACCTCGGGTGTTGGGATGGTTGGTAGTGGTTTTGGAGCTGTGGGTAGTGGATTGAGCAAAGCAGGGAGATTCATGGGTAGAACAATTACAGGCCAGTCCAGTAAACGTAGTGGCTCCTCCACACCTGTGAATAGCGAGAACGATGGTCCGAAACAACAGTAAGTAAAAACTTTGGGTATAAGCACAGATTTGTGATCATAACATCGTTGTACTTTGTCGTCATGCGATGCGACTTCTTTCTTACGATTTCGTTATCTAATTTTTTTACTTGTTACGAAATTTCAAATATTTGTTTCTGGATTCACTGAAGTTGTTTGTTTTCCTTGTGAGCTTAAATTTTAAACCTTTGTACAAATTTCAATTTGTTTAATCGTCCAAACCTTTGTAGAACTTTGGTTTCAGAATTCTCTCACTCACGGCGACGTCCTCCTAAATATTTAAAGACGTGTGAACATCAGTCGCTAAGTTATATAGTTTACAAAGCTGATTGATTGGAATTTGGAAGTAAATTTCTCAGTTAAGAATACAAATAAACTATTAGATAAGTGTCTTTCACTATAAGACTTTCAGATGTAACGTCGTTCTCGTATCTCTTTTTCTATTTTCTTGGTTTTAATCTCGTAGTCTTTGTCATATATATATATAAATGCCAATGCCATAAATCGACGAACAAAATATATTTCGTATCTTTTATGGACCAGTTTTCAAAGTACTATTATTGATTAATAGATTATTTAAAGACGTGATTTCCTATCTATTAGTGTTCAACTCTGAGTATGAGACTGGTTTTTATCCAAAAAAAACAATATGAGATTGGGACGACGTGTTAACACGAGCCTGTGACTTGGATCCACGTAAACCTGAATTGTGGGAAGTTCTAAATTGTGTATTGATTATTGTGTATTGATTGGTTGATACGTAAGCCAAGTGGATAAAGTGTCCCGACCACAAGTCCGACATGGTTAAGAAGGTGACAACATTATTATAATGAGAAAAATTATCAATATGCAAAGGTTTGCTCAGAATTTGCTCTGTTTTGTTTTATAAAGTAGGCAATTTGCTTTGTTGATGAGCGACTTAGGTCAAAATAAACACACATCGTACGTTTGGAAAAATATGAAAGTGACCAATTATCTGTCTACTCCTTGTTTCACCTCTTCAAATCTCTGCCAAGTGGATATGACGATTCTGATTCTGATTCACCACTCTCGGAGAAGGACATAGACTTGTTCAACTAATTCAGATTCTTCATGTTATGAGAAGAACTAGAAGACTTTATCTGATTTTTTTTTTTTTTTTTTTCTGTAACATAGATTTTTTTAGAGATTGAGAGATACTTGTTCTGAATATTTTTGTTTCTGGTATAGATGGTTCGGAGATTGAGCATAGTATGTAGTTTGTTTTCCTTATTTTTCTTTTTATTCTAAAATAGTATTTGAATGTTTGGATATTTTCTAGTTTCTAAATGAATGTGAAATCGTTGGATAGACAATCTGGTTCAAATTTATGTTGCGTTATCAAAATAAATCTCATTCTGAAATACATTTTGGAAATCGAAATTTATTTTCTGCTGACAACATTTTTAGTCCATTATAAATCCTATCTTTGTAAATCCGAAACCTTTCGTGTTATTTTATTTTTGCTCGATTATCGCTGCCAAACGCACCACATCCATAACAACTTCTTTTTTGTAGGAAATGGATAAAGTGGGCTCGACAATGCATAAATAAGATTCACCAAAATTAAATTGAAACAGGTAATAACCATTTTCAAAAGGGAACAAAACAAAAAAAATCCACGTCCACCCTGGGCCAGGTGTTTTGGCGTAATGCACTTTTAACACCAACGATTAGGCCAAGTGGCCGACTTATAACCCGACCCGAGCCGACCCAACCCGACATATACATCTGCAGATGTAAAAGATACGTATAGTACACTGTAGTGGATTTATATAATTGTTAGGCTCAGGAGAATTGACCTTCGAATTATTTCCAGAAACCATACGGTTAAAATAAAACCTTCTATATAAAGTTGATTGCTTAGCGTATTTGTATTTTCTGTATCTTCTTAACCGTAGAGGAAGATAGTAATAACAGTATTAACAATAATTCCGATAAACAAAAAAAAAACCTTCCTTTTTGTTTCTTTGAGTTTCTATCGATCGATTGGTTGGTTTTTAAATTTTGTCATATCAGTTTTTATTTTCTCCCGATTCTCCGCGGCCATGCAATCGAAATTCGAATTTTAAGATTAGCTCTATCCATTTAAATGGGCGCGAATATCTCAGGTGGTTTGCCGGAGTTTGACCGGAACGGCGAAGAAGGTTACTCGAGGAAACCCAGATTGGTCGATTTGCCGGAGAACTGTGTTGCGTTGATTATGATGCGGCTTGATCCACCGGAGATTTGCCTTCTTGCTTGTCTCAGCAGCGTCTTCCGTCGCGCGTCGTCAGCTGATTTCATATGGGAATCGAAGTTGCCTTCGAATTATCGGATCATTGCACGGAAAGTGTTTGATGAAATTACTCTGAAGAAATTGACTAAGAAAGATCTTTACGCAAAGCTTAGCCTTCCCAATCTCTTCGACGGTGGCACAAAGGTTTGTAGACTCTGTTCCCGCTTCATCTCTCTCTCTCTCAAAATCTCAAAAGTTTCTTATTTTGTTCAAACTCTGTATTCTTGAGCAGGAATTGTGGATAGATAAGAACACTGGTCGTCTCTGTTTATCATTTTCTTCAAAGGCACTAAGGATTACTAGAATTGACGATCGGAGATACTGGAGTCGAATCCCAACCGATGAATCCAGGTAAAAATCGCAACTTTAACCATCAAACGAAAAAAAGTTTTGTTTTTTGGTGATGAAATTTCTTAAGTAAATCTAAATCTCTTGCAATGTGCAGGTTCCAGTCAGTAGCATATGTGCAACAGGTATGGTGGTTTGAAGTAGGAGGAGAGTTTAAGATCCAGTTTCCATGTGGAACATACAGTCTCTTCTTCCGTATCCAGCTTGGTAAAACATCCAAGAGACTTGGCCGGAGGAGAATCTGCAACTCTGAGCACATTCACGGATGGGACATCAAGCCTGTGAGGTTCCAGCTCGCGACTTCAGACAACCAACGAGCTGTTTCGCTCTGTTATCTGGACAACAACCCCGGGAACTGGAGTCATTACCATGTTGGGGATTTCAAAGTGGAAAATCCAGATATAGAAACAGGAATCAAATTCTCCATGACTCAAATCGATTGCACTCACACTAAAGGTGGGCTGTGCGTAGACTCTGTTTTTATATTACCTAAAGAAAGTGCAGAAGAAGTCATTCGATCAAAATAGTTTTTGTAGATACAGTAGAGTGAGAGATTGTTGTAAATGGTGAGAGAATCTTTTTTTCTGTGAATCATTCACTATACTTGTACACATGGCCGCTCAAAACATGAATTTTTAACATAAAAATGCTTCCTTTTGTACTGTGAGTCTGTGAAGAAACAGAGTATTGTTTCAAATGAGAAACTAACAGAAATTTTCTAATCAAGAATATGAGGTAGTATCACAGAGAATCTCATCATAAGAGTTCTTATTATTCCTGCATAAAAGCATAAATAAAAGCAGCAAATTTCATTCGAAGGAGCAAAACATAGACTCCTGAGACCACCTGAACACAAGCAGGTTTACTAATGAATATGAAACAAATTATTCTGAAGGCATAGAGAACAAAAGCTTCTTCAAGGTGTCTTCAACTTGGGGCGAGACGGAAGCAACTGCGTATTTACAGAAAGATAAACGGATTGTTATTCTAAGAATCTGATGTGAGCTTGGAAACGGGTTTTGTGGAAAGGAAGAGAGAGTTAGTTTACCTGATAACAAGAGATAAGCGAGGTGGTAAACCCGAGAGCTCCAGTGACGCGAGGAGTAACAGTCTTTGGAGCTAGCTGAAGAAGACCAATGGCTACAAGAATGTCCATGCTTGATTTAACCAAAGCTAGAGTTCTGTCGTTTGATTTCTGAAGCTTAGCACGATACAGCTCATCATCATCTTTGTGTTCCTTTTCCATCTTCTTCATAGATGAAGAGAGCCTTCCAAGCTCACCAATCTGATACACATTGAGAAGATCAAGACCGGTATGTATGTTTTACACACAAGCAAATCAAAACGTCAAGAATTAGGAGAAGAGTAGATAGAAACCTCGACTGCTGATGTACAAACAGATGATCCAAGCCAGCAGAAAAGTGATATACGTCCAATCAATTCAGTTCGTTCTTTGTTCTGCCATGCGATCAGAACAAAGCAAGAATCTTTCAGTCACTTAGCAGAGAAAATGAAACATCAAAACTTGATTAGACCGATTTTGTCTCACCTTGTATATGCCGGATCTACCAAGCCAGACGATTTGATCAAGAAACAAGAAGGTAGACAAGAGAGCATTCTTCGACTGAAACGGATCAAACCAAACAACACAAGAACAAAAGTTAAGAGATTGAATCAAAAACAAGATATGATGTTGTAAGAACTAAACATCTCTTTTGGCACCTTTCCGAGCAAGACAAGAGGAAGCGGAGTTCCTTTAGGCACAGGGCTGATAAGACCGTGAAGATCATTGACAAACTGCAACACATTTGAAAAGCCATTTTATCTACTCAGAAAATCAAAACAGTGAAGCCAATTCCAAATCCAAACAGATTAAAGATAGAGAGATTTGTTGACCTTGAAAAGACGGAAGACTTTTCTGGCCAAGCTGGTGTTTTTGTCGACGGTTTGAGCAGTACCAGGTTGTCCACCGCTCACGAATTTGGAACCGTACTGAATAGCTCTGCAAATCTTGTCTCTAGCCTCTGCTCTGTTCAAGTAGAGCACTACCAGAGCTAGCTCCGCTCTCGTCAAATCTAATGTAGTCATGTTGTTTCCTCTGCCAACAAAACAGAAACTAACTACGATTCAACAAAGATTACATAAGTTCAGAGAAGGGCCTGTCTCTAATTCCATTTTTGTCTTGTAAATATGAACCCAAGAAACATTAGAGAGCTATAGCAAACATTCAACCTTTAAATTCTCGCAAGCAAAAAAACTTTCAGGGCAACATTTGATTCATAACTCATAAGAAACCTAGAAAAGTGTTAGATTTATGCCGGAAAATTAACTTCATCAGCAACGAGAAAGACTAAGCACAACAATGCGATTAGCAAGGTAAGAAGGTAAAATCTAAGGCACCTTTAAGCTGAAAACGTTCGGATATTGAGAAAATCAAAGAAATTGGGATTTTGTTTACCTCAGATAAGATGATCTCTCTCTATTGTTGCGACGACTCTCGGGAAATCAATTCAGGCTTAAAAAGATGCAAAAGCCCAGAAATATTAGAAATTAGAAGAAAATATCGAAACTTTAAGGGAAAGGGATCTGAAATTCAGTTGGAGACACTGTATGCTGTTCTGTTCTTACTTATAATGTCATTTAATTTGGATTTGGAGATAAAAGGCGTGTTGGCTCATCTTTCTATCTTTTTCCTTCTTTGTAATTAAACCAAACGCACCGTTTTCAATCAGCGATCTTAATCTCACGATTGCTTCACTTCTAACCGTCGATTCTGTCTGAAATTAAAATATTGTGGAAACCCATTTCGTGTTAAAAACGTTCCATGTCCATATATGCACTTTGATCCCTATCCCCCCACCCACATCATCTCTGGCACACCTATCGAGTAAGGAGCTAAAACTTGAAAATCAGTTAAAACGCCGCGTTCTGTTAAGTTAATGAGTTGTGTAAGTTTTGGGGAATGTTAACGGGCCTTTAAAAAGCCCATACTTATAATTAAAGATAGCCTTGTGAATAACGGCCACATGAAGTGAAGAAAACCAGAGCCGGAGAAGAAAATGGCGGTAGCTTCTCTTGGTATTTGCTTCTCTGCTCGGCCAAATCTTCTTCTTCGCAGTTTATCTCGACCCACACACTCTGCTAGTAAGTTCTTCTTTACCATATGCTGCGTACCAAATTACGAAATTGTGAATTTTGGATTGCGTACCAAATTCAGTTACTGTTTTGAAGACTCTCCAATCAAGTCAAAACTCGCTCTAGTTACTTGATAATCAGTCAATAGAGTGTTTTTGCTATTTGAGTTTCACTTCACTGATGAGATTTCACCTGTTTCTTCATTGGTAGTGGCTGCAATGAGTGAGGATCCAATTCGGGAATGGATTCTTACAGAAGGGAAAGCGACTCAAATCACAAAGATTACTTCTGTTGGCGGTGGATGCATCAGTCTCGCAACTCATTATCAGACTGATGCTGCTTCTTTCTTCGTTAAAACCAACAGGTCAAAAGAAACTGAAGTGTCACTACTTTTCTTCTGAGATTTATATACCAATCAGACTTTTAATTTGTGTTTTATGTAACACTGGTTTAGGAGTATTGGACCTGAGATGTTTGAAGGAGAAGCTCTTGGTCTTGAAGCTATGTATCAAACCAGAACAATCCGTGTCCCCAAGCCACACAAAGCAAGTCATGAAACTACTGTTCTTTAATTTGCTATTGGTTTCCTGAAGTCTGAATATAGATTCTTGCTTGAAAATGTTAATAGGTTGGGGCATTGCCAACTGGAGGATCTTTTATCATAATGGAATTTGTAAAGTTTGGGTCATCAAGAGGCAACCAGGTGATTGATTGATTAATGATTGAATCTAACTTTTGAGCTAAATGTTAATAAACTTTTAGTTTCCATTGGTTCATGATTCTTTTTTAGTCATCAGGCTGAATTAGGAAGGAAGCTAGCTGAGATGCATAAAGCTGGAAAATCTTCAAAAGGCTTTGGCTTTGAGGTTGACAACACTATTGGCAGGTTTTGAATGAAATTTTCAATTCTTTTTCCCTTTTTGAGTGAGTTTTTTTTCTGCCCTCTCACGACGCAATGTGCCTGTTTTAGTACCCCACAGGTCAACACTTGGTCATCGGATTGGATCGAGTTCTATGGTGAGAAGAGATTAGGTTACCAGCTTAAGCTAGCTAAGGATCGTTATGGTGACTCTGCAATCTACCAGAAAGGTTTTTTCTTTCTCTCTTCTTCTCTGTCGTTATTGAGAAGAGACTTGTTTGGTAACATTTGACGGAAGTTTTGAACAGGTTGTACACTGATACAGAACATGGCGTCTCTCTTTGAGGATGTTGTTATAGAACCTTGCTTGTTACATGGAGATTTATGGAGTGGGAATATCGCATACGACAAGAACAGCGAACCTGTCATTCTTGATCCTGCCTGTTACTGTATAAGCTTTTTCATTTATAAGTTTTCTTGATATATAATTTACCATTTTGCAAGCATGTTTTGATCTCATTCCTCCATAGATGGTCATAACGAGGCGGATTTTGGAATGTCGTGGTGCGCTGGATTTGGAGAATCTTTCTACAATGCCTATTTCAAGGTTGCAACACAGAGAGACACACATTCTTCATTTTCTCTCAGTTTCTGTATCAATATTTGTTGTTGTTTCTTTGACTTCGTCAAGGTAATGCCAAAACAACCGGGATTTGAGAGGAGGAGGGATCTGTATTTGCTGTATCACTACTTGAATCATTACAACCTCTTTGGCTCGGGATATCGATCCTCTGCAATGTCGATCGTTGATGATTATTTACGGATGCTCAAAGCTTGAAATGGACAAGCTGATGAAGGAAGCTGCCTCTGGGGATCTCTTGTGTGTTGCCTATATATGTACAAGCTAGAGATAGTATTAGTACATATAGCTGAAGGGTTTAATAGTCATTAGTGTTTCCCTAATCTCTTGTGTGTATCACTATATATATTGTACATCATTGTGTTAATAAACGCAACCCATTGACAATCCATACAAGCTTGATATTGTAAAGGGAAGGCTTACTAAGTTTATAAACAAAGTTGAGAAGTTTGGTTCTTCTCACAAGCGACGTGGGACAATGTAAAATTGGAAGCATGTTCGACTTGAAACGGTGATTTTTCCTACAGGTTTGGGTTAGTAGAGACTGAGTAATGAGATGTGATTGTTAAGAACGTAGTCATTTACCATTGTACAACAAAGTTGATATGGCCGAGTTGGTCTAAGGCGCCAGATTAAGGTTCTGGTCCGAAAGGGCGTGGGTTCAAATCCCACTGTCAACAATAGTTTTATGTTTTTTTTCTAGATTTACATCGTTTAATAAATTTCTCCAATCTAAGGTTGAAAGTGATAATTGTAATAGTAATCACATACACTTATACCCTGATCCACTCTCATCTCGCCGAAACCTTGGCAAAAGAAAGGCTTTTTATATTTTCTAAATGAAACCAGAGTCTGATTACAATGGATGTATCAGTCTACAGTTTCTGTGTTTTATATTTCTGAGATTTTCGTTATCGTGAATTATAAGGTGTAACGGGTTTTTTCCTGGGGTGAGAAGGAAATCTAATGTAACATTTCAAGGCTTAGTGAGCATAACCAAATCAAAGGAACCAAACTTTTGGATAAAGAACTTGCAAACGCAAACTATTTTTAAAAACCAGAGATCAACATAGTAACACCATAATATCCAAACAACGACAAAGGTTTCTACTAAGCACCAACGAGTTGCTTTTAAAACAGATTACCAAAAAGTCATAATAGCAAAAAAGAAACAAGACTTGATTTTTGATTCCATGATTGCTTCAAAATCAATCTCCCTTTCTCCTGAAAGAGCATCCTTCGGTGAGCCTCGCCTTTCCTCCTGTAGGCTGGCAGAGAACCGTCTGGCAGTTTCCGCACACAACAACGGTCTGCGAGTGACTGAACACAGTCGTGCTGCAATACCAAAACACAGACCCCCATAAGATTATGTTGTTGTTATTACATCTATGTAATATGTTGAAAGAAAAATGTTTTGAAAGTGCTTACATGTTGAAGCATCCTTGGCATTTCACATCCTACAATATAATAAGAGACAACAAAGAGTAAATGAGATAGTCAGATTCAAAGTTGTAATTAAACATTTCTCAGAGCTCTAAACCACATCATCGATAGCTCAACAACAAAAACAAAAACCAAGCAGAAGATGAAACACAGAGGTTCATGGGATAATCAATTTAGGTTAGCAGACATTTACAACTCAGGACAGATGGGAAATGGAGTCGAATTCCTTACCACATTGCAAATGGTTAAACATCAAAATCAATAACCAGACACTAAATGGTGGTAATTAGATACTCAAAACTTTAAGCAATTGGTTCATGAGAAAATCGAATGACATTTCACAATTCTAGGCATAGTGTTTATTCGAAATGGTTTGAAATGAGTACCATGAAGAAGGAGTTTGGGGATTGAACAAGACGCTTGAGCTTGTGCTTGGTCTTCTCAAGCGCTGCTGGTGGGTTAAGCAGATCGATATCATTCTGAAGAACCTGTTCTCCACATCAAGCAAAATAAGATTCCACAAATCAGCTTTCATTGGACAAACGATATCACCAAACCAAATAACCTAATCAGCTGATTCAAGTTTTGTAATAGGATTTCGCATGATGAGATCAAACAAGAACTAACACAGAGAGAGAAACATAATCTACCTTGTAACCCCAAAATTCACTAACGGATTCATATTTCTATAGATAAATCAAATCAGGATGAAGAGTGGAGAGATCTAGACGAGAATGAAGAGCGAGAACTAACCATCTTCGCAAGAATCTGAAGAGACGGCTAAGCAAGCAGCAACGGCAGACGATAGGCGAGAGAGAGCTTATTAGGGTTTCTACACGATGCTCTTATATATTAACACCACAATCTAACCTTGCTAACTTTCCGGACCCTCTACACGAATTAGAGGGTTACATTCTCTTTTATTTAATTTTATATTTATTTACCACAAAAAATAGCCATCAATTTTTTTTTTATTTTATAAAGTACAATAGTACATTGTCAAAATATTTCGCCAACATAAATTTTTAGTTAGTCCAACAGAATATCTCAATATTAAAAATTGAACTCGCAAATCTGTATAGTTTGCCTCTCCAAACAATTTGTTTTTTTCGTATGATACATAACACATCCAAAAGGCACAATGCGTTTCAATCAACCATGTGGGTACAAACTTCTGTGTTTGCAAAAGTGACTCAAAAGTAACAATGAGCCAAAAGAAGGGTAAAGATAATGGAAGCTTTGTGGAATGTTGATTAGAAGTTGCAATGAAAAAGGCACAATCCATGGCTCTACTATTCAGTATTCATTCATCCACCGTGCAATGTCGAAATGAAGACTACAACATCTTTCTCTTCTAACGTTGTCTCGAGCTGGCCACTAAGCTCCCAATCACAGTCGTTAACCAGCACGAGAACTCCAGGTCTACTGCATATATATGGATCCCCAAACACCATTTGTTAGTTAATCAAACTCACAAAAACTCAGCGATTTAAAGAAAAGAAAGAAGGTTTACACAGTATCTCCTTTGATGAACATTTCAGGCCTTTCTTTGATCAAATTGGTACGAACCCATTTAAGCAAATCCTTCATCGTCAACTACAATGTCCAAAACAGGTCAAAAAAGAGGGATGAGAAAACACCACTGAGATCTTTTCATTTCATGATTACAAACTCAATTGCTATGAAAGATCATCAATGGAGATCAAGCTTACGATATGTGACTCATCGGGGAGATCGACGTTAACTTTATGAATCTTTACGGAGTCACAGAGCAACTCTAGACCTCCACTGCATTATATTAAAGAAGAACAGATTAGTATGAATCTCATTCACCACCGTCCAATCAATGTTAAGTAGAAATTCATCATATTCTTCTAATGATTCAAGAGCTGGCCGGAATGTAAAAAGACAAAAAGCCCTCTGGTTTCCAAGATCATGTAATTAAAAAGCTATACTAGAATCAGAACAAACTCTAAGAGAACATAGCAACGGTAATCGAAAGCACACTGAAATTAACAACCAATCAAACAGGGGATGAAATTGAAATATTGAGCAAATGAGAGCAAGGGCAAGTGAGACAAGCTAGTACCCGAACTCAAGAGTTAATTGCATCTTCGATGACGTTTTGCAGGAATCGATAACGAAACCCTCCGCTTATACTTTTTCGATTCTTCTCCGATATCTCCGCTTCGTCTTCACGCAATAAACGCGACGGACGTCGACTCCGTTCCTCTTCGCAAACGGCGTCGTTTCTCAGGTTGTTTTATTTTGGGCTCAGGGCCCATTTCAGTAAAATAGCCCGATCTGTCATATGACTCGTGTCATTTAGGTTAGCCAAATACACAAAAGAACCAACCCCTTAATAATAATCATCGGTGTGAAGCTGTGATTCTGAAATCTCAACTGTGAAGTGTGATATTCCTTTCCATCATTATTACATTTTTTGTTTGTTTTACAATCAGTTATTTTCCAAGGTTGAAAAAAAAGTTGTAAAGTACAGACTTGTGGACTACAGTTCGTTTCGTGTGGCACTTGCTTTAAGATATTTTCATTACAGTCCCATATGACTTTAAGTAGTAAGTAGTGGGACACATGCACACTATACAAACAAATGTGGTATTTTTTTCTGTCATTATCATTGGTTCTTCTTCTCATGAATATAATAGTTTCCAATGTTTGAAAAGCTGTACTTTTTTCTTGATGAGAAAGAAACTGAAGCTGTATGGCATTAAAGCGTGGTTTCGTGTGGCATTTGCTTAGAGATTTCGCAGTCCCATGATTTTAACTTCTAGTATCAGGGCGCAGAGCCGAAATACTCTGTTTCAGATTCTTATTATCACAATGGAAATGCAACCACGCATGAGAAAGTTTCGCATTACTTTCTGATAGAGAAAGTACTAAAGTACTCTGAAAATAAATTATGTTCTACATGTCCAAGATGTTAAGCCAATATAACAATAGGTAGCATACTATGTTTTAATTCATTTCACCTCAAAATATAAGACATATTCAAGTTAAGAAAAAAAAGAAAACAACTAAAGTATCCCAAAAATAAATACCACTAACTGCGTGAAGCATGAGATGTAGCCTTATCGCATAGTTTAGATTATGTATCGTACCTCCGAACAACAACTAATTCTTCGGGGGAAAAAAGGAGAGTATGAGCTTATAATATTTTGTCTGACCAATGTGCCGTGACTAAATTAGTCAATACCAAGTTGAAGAACTCCTCCTTCGACAAAGTTGGTTTCACTGTCACATCCCACATTGCTCTTTAATACCGAAGATCCGTCTCCTTGTTCATATTGCTGTTGCAACCTATATATATATATATTTCCAGAACCAATCTGGTTATAAACCCACACATAGTTCATATCTTATCGTTAGACAAACAAAATAGAGAAAATATTTGATTACCCGATCTGTAAGAAATGTCCAACGTCGCAATCCATAGAATTATGGTGAGAGGACTGCAAGGCAAAATCAGTAAGACCAGCCGGAGCAGACGAACTTAGCAGCAGATGTTGAAAGCCTTTGAAACCATGATCTTCTTTCGTCTCAAGCTGATCATGAAAAGTAATCATTTTGATAAGATTCATTGGAGACTCCAACAGTGGACAAAACTTTAAATAACACGAAATAAATTAAGAGAGAATGCAACTTTAACCTTTAGCTTCTTGTTTATATCTCCAAGGTGTCTCTCCTGCAATTCCAAAGAAAACGATATAGTATTAAGTATTAACGCATATGTAGTTCATATAACAGTATACATATTACTAAAGGGTTACAGTTAGATATTTTGATGTAACTTGCCTTTCTCCGAAGCTCTTCCATTTGTTCCGTAAAAACATGCATCTGCATACACATACGTGCATTTAGAAAAGTTTCCATTTGATATATCTAAATGATTTGGAGATCGGTCGATGTATATAAATGCCATACCTTGCGTTGTCGGGTCGCGGAAAGAGCTCCCTCAAGCTGTCTCTCGAGCGATTGTAATTCCTTTACACTCATTTCTCCAAGATCCTCCCCAATTAAATTCCTTCATATTCAACGATAGTTCTAAAATATTCATAGTTCAATGAAATTATGATTCAAGAGGACTAAGATTAATATATCAAACCTGTGAGTGCGAAGAAGAGATTCATATTTGGATGTAAGCTTTGACAGCTCTTGACACCAGCTCTGCACCCAAAATTAAAGGACCAATTCAAATTATTTGAGCTCCTTGAATGCTTTGTTACTTATGTATATTTTATATAACATATAACTTTGAGATAATAATTTGACATGAATGGACTTAGATAGAGAAAATTTGACCTGTGTAGACCCTTCAGTAATGTTTTTACAGCGGTAGTACCTTTCCATGGTTCTCTCAATTCTACAGATGGTAAAAAAAGAGATTATGACTTGGTTAATTAATAATCTATATATATACATGCATTTAATAAGCTTAATTTGCTTAGAATTAAAACAGAAGGAATAAACCTCAAATCTCTTATCCATGTCTAAAGGAAACCCTAATTACACAAAACTTAGTGGATCTCTCATTTCTTAGGCAAACAATCGGTTGAAACCAGATGTAGTGTTTGTACATATACTCAACATAGAGTTTCTTATAAATTTAACGGATCGGAAAGATTTTTAAAAACTCATATAAAGCTGACCCATGCGTTTAGTGGATCTGAGAGGTGGATCACTGATGAACCTTATGTAGTCAGAATTAAAAAAGAAAGACACAACTCAACTGAAAACAGACAATCTTAACCATTAATTTTTGTAAAATCGAAACCTTTTTTATTCTTCAAAAAAACCTAAGAATTATCTTTTACTAAATGGGTATATATATACGTACCCGACATTGCTGAATTCGTAGAGCCTGTCACTGCTGGAGAAGATGATAAGAGAAACCTCTACATCACATAGAACAGAGAGTTCGTAGGCTTTCTTGAGCAAACCACTTTTTCTTTTGGAGAAGGTTACTTGTCTACTGATCTTGTTCTCTATTCTCTTCACTTCCACTCTCCCTCTTCCCATTTCTTCTTCTTCTTCTTCTTTCTCTCTCGTCTTTCTACCTTTTTGTTGATTTTTAACCCCTCTCAAGATTTGGAAATTTACATGTATAAACTGAAAAGGGCTTTGAATAAGTTCTAGTGTAGAGAGAAGTTATACCGTACGTATAGGTAGCTTAATTATTTGTTTACCATTTGATTTCTGTTTTTGTTTCTAACTATCTAAACCGCATATATACATAGCGACATAGCGTGACAATTTGTTTATGAATTCTATTTTTTTATTTCAGCATAAGTGTTTTTCAAAGAGTTACAAATTTTATTTTATTACCATGCTTGATGGTAAGGATCACATGATAACATTTTGAAGTTTCAATTTTCAAGGAAAAAAAACATTGGATGTTTCAAATGGTTATAGTTTATCCAAATAAATCATTTGTTTATTTTATTAAATGAAAATTTAAAATCAATATGAACAAAAAGATAACTTGCTATTTATAGACATGGTTAAAAATACCTGGGAATGGAAATATGCAGGTAACAGTAGGACCACTGGAAAAAATCATCATTGTTCCCTTCTTTTAATATTAACCTTAGTTGGTTATTAATGCAGACCAACAATTTTCAAAGTTTGAGTTGAATTTCCCGTTTAGTGGCTATGATTTCGTCAATGTTTTCATCTTTGATGAACCAGTGTAGAACGAGAATTATAACATGTAAAAAATCAACACTAGTGATAACGTGTCTAATTTAAATATCCCGATTTTTTTTTCTTGGGATTAGTTCACACACAAATTTGAATGTATAACTAGTTGTTTTGTGTGTGAAGTGTGAAGTAACTGTGATGAAAACTGAATCCCAACAATTTCGATTATGTACTTTTGGGTTCGGCCATAAAATATGTTCAAAGCCCACCTCGCTAATATTAAGCTCAAAATCAAAAACAAAAACTTGAAATTTGTTTTCCGTACGGTATGATTTCGGTTTAACTTTTTAATCGATGAAACCGGTAGGAGATTCCAAAATCCGAAATTGATAAAGAGATCTGTGAACCTCGAGTACGCGTGAGGTTCTCTGCGAAAAAGGCCACAAATCCTGGCGTTGATAGCGATTGGTTAATTGTCGGTGAATCAACGTTTTCTGTTAGATATAGCAATCATCATCTTCTTCATACTCTCTTCTTCTTCTTCGCTTTCAATTCTGAGTTTTCTCTTCCTCGTCGCGACTTGTGCTCGAGTTGTCAGATCTCGCCATTGATTTGTTAATCGGCAATGGCGTTTTAGTACACCTACTAATTTACCTGTGAGGCCTTGGTGAACGCTGGATTCTTCTCTAATCTCACCTCATCTCTGATAGATTCCGAGTATGATTTTGATTGCATATCTCCTTCATTATTCGGTTGCTTCCACGGTTCGTTGCTTGATTTAGGGGTTTTTTGAAAATTTCGACAGGGATGGCGCTGAAGCGAGGGCTATCGGGAGTTCAGCGGATTAGAGGAGGTGGTGGTGGATCGCGATCCGTCCTCGTGCTTCTCGTCTTTTTCTGTGTTTTCGCACCTCTGGTCTTCTTTGTTGGTCGAGGAGTATACATTGATTCTTCAAAAGGTATGATTATTGCTTATCTAATTAAACTTATTTGGATTCATGTAGAGATTCTCAAATGCTATAATTTTTTTGAGAAAATTGAACAATTTAACACTATTTTGTTCAGCCTTCATTATCTGCATTCGAGTTACATTGCCGTTAAATTGTTCGCTTGGATTGACACTGATGATCTTCGGACTATATATAATTAGGGGAATTTTTAGTATCTATAGTAGATTGTTGAGCTTTCTCTCAACTATTAGTGTTAAGATATGGCTTCCGTGATGTCTTGTGATTTTCGAATTTGTGATTTTTATCAATTTGTCTCTCTGACGAACTTACTTTCATTTCTGCAGATTATTCAAATGCTTCTGTGAAGCAGGTGGGCTACTCTATTAAATGTTCTGCTTTTATGTTTTCAACAGAAGTAAGGATGTTGTTTAATTGGATTGGTTGTTGCAGAATCTTGACTGGAGAGAACGTTTAGCAATGCAATCTGTGAGATCTCTTTTCTCTAAAGAGGCAAGTCTAAAATCAGTGAAAACTTAGCTTTGTTTATTACTTCTTTCTTCTTAGATTGGCTAGTTTCTTACTATGTTTGTTCTTCTTCTCTCAGGTACTAGATGTTATCACCACTAGCACAGCTGATTTGGGTCCTTTTAGCCTCGATTCTTTCAAGAAAAACAACTTGTCAGCATCATGGCGGGGAGACTCTGAGGTGGGGTTTAGTTTGTAACCTGATTCGCTTGTTACGTTTTATTTTCCAAGTTACTAGTTTAGCTCATAGGTTTCATCTTTTGTTCTACTTGAAGCAGGATCAAACAACTCTAGATGTCAAATCTAATATCACGAATGCAAAACGTGATAGTACTTCAGAAGGTAGTGTCTACTATTTTTAAGTTGCATTCTAATATATATCGACGTTTTCAATCTCTGATTCTTGTATATGTCTCCAATGCAGATGATAGCCATCAGAAAGTTGAGACACCTGCAAAGTTTTACAGAAGGGTAATTTACTATTTTTATTTTACTTCAGTTACAAAATCTAGATGCATCATATGCTTTTTGGAGAATTCTCGTGCCTGAGTGTTTCGTTACCAAATTTTTCTATATCCAATTTGGAATTTTCAGCAACTAAGAGAGAAAAGGCGTGAGATGCGAGCAACCGAGTTGGTCCAACACAATGATGACACGATTTTGAAACTCGAGAATGCGGCCATCGAACGGTCCAAGTCTGTTGATTCTGCGGTCCTTGGAAAATACAGTATTTGGAGAAGAGAAAATGAGAACGACAACTCCGATTCAAATGTACGCTTGATGCGGGATCAAGTAATCATGGCTAGAGTCTATAGTGGTATTGCTAAACTGAAAAACAAGAATGACTTGTTGCAAGAACTCCAGGCCCGAATAAAGGACAGCCAACGTGTTTTGGGTGAATCAACATCTGATTCAGATCTTCCTCGGAGGTAAGAGCTCTTTTTCGTTTCTGTTATTCTCCCAGTGAAGTCTTCTACTACTAATTTGTGTACTTCATAGAGTTAACAATCTTTGTTAATGTCTTTTCATCTAGTGCACATGATAAACTCAGAGCCATGGGTCAAGTCTTGGGTAAAGCTAAGACTGAGTTATACGACTGCAAGTTGGTTACCGGAAAGCTGAGAGCAATGCTTCAAACCGCTGACGAACAAGTCAGGAGCTTAAAGAAGCAGAGTACTTTTCTGGCTCAGCTAGCAGCAAAAACAATTCCAAATGCTATCCATTGCCTATCGATGCGCTTGACCATCGACTACTATCTTCTATCTCCGGAGAAAAGAAAGTTCCCTCGCAGTGAAAACCTAGAAAACCCAAATCTTTATCATTATGCCCTCTTCTCTGACAATGTATTAGCTGCATCAGTGGTTGTTAACTCAACCATCATGAATGCCAAGGTAATAAACCGATAAGCTCTTATCACTTGTGAATCTTGCTCAGATCTGTTTGTTTGCAGAGTCGAAATTGAAAAGCTGAAACTTGCTTTTTTCTCAGGATCCTTCGAAGCATGTTTTTCACCTTGTGACGGATAAACTCAATTTCGGAGCAATGAACATGTGGTTCCTCCTAAACCCACCTGGAAAGGCAACCATACATGTGGAAAACGTGGATGAGTTCAAGTGGCTCAATTCATCTTACTGCCCTGTTCTTCGCCAGCTCGAATCTGCAACGATGAGAGAGTACTATTTCAAAGCAGATCATCCAACTTCAGGCTCCTCGAATCTCAAATACAGAAACCCGAAGTATCTCTCCATGTTGAACCACTTGAGATTTTACCTCCCTGACCTTTATCCCAAGCTGAACAAAATTCTGTTCTTGGACGACGACATCATTGTTCAGAAAGACATGACTCCACTCTGGGAAGTCAACCTGAACGGCAAAGTCAACGGCGCAGTCGAAACCTGTGGGGCGAGTTTCCACAGATTCGACAAGTATCTCAACTTCTCGAATCCTCACATCGCCAGGAACTTCAATCCAAACGCTTGTGGATGGGCTTATGGGATGAACATGTTCGACTTAAAGGAATGGAAGAAGAGAGACATCACTGGTATCTACCACAAGTGGCAAAACATGGTAAATAATCAACTCTTTTTAACTTTTACCTCTTTGCATCAATAGTCTCATGATGTTTATTTATGGTTTGCTTATTGATGGTGTAGAACGAGAACAGAACGCTATGGAAGCTAGGGACGCTACCACCAGGACTGATAACATTTTACGGACTAACACACCCTTTGAACAAGGCGTGGCACGTGCTGGGACTCGGTTATAACCCGAGTGTTGATAAGAAAGACATTGAGAATGCAGCGGTTGTTCACTATAATGGGAACATGAAACCATGGTTGGAGCTAGCTATGTCCAAGTATCGACCGTATTGGACCAAGTACATCAAGTTTGATCACCCTTATCTTCGTCGATGCAACCTTCATGAATAAAAGAATCGAATCTTTTGTTAGATGATCTGAGAGGTCATTATACTCCTAATGTTCTGCTGTTCCGATCTCATTCCACTTTATTTCATCAACAATCTTGGTAATTGTTTATTCATATCTTTGTTTAGTCATTCTTTTCTTCTTTTTTTTGGTCGGTTTTAAAAACACTTGTTATTTCTGAGCTCTTTTTCGATAATATGTTAATGGAGAGGTTCTGTTTAAACATCTGTGGAAAATCTTGGATTTGCTATTTAAACTATACTGTCTGTACTAGGTGATATTGAAATTATTTTATGACAGTAGTGGAAACAAATTGGACAGTATTAGTTACATAAATACAAATCTATGATATGGGAAAATAATCAAAGACCCAATCCAGTGTAAAAAAGAAAGATATTTATAACCCACCAATGATATTGAGATGGGCTTAAATTGGACCGACTCTTTTTTCTACTAATACGAAAATTACAAATCGCCCCTCCTCCATAAGAGCAAAGAGAACTCAAAGAAAGATCAGAATTACTTTTGAGCAGAGAGAACAAAAAAATCCGGAAGTTAAAAACCCTAACCCCTTCCCAGGCGAATCGATGGAGCGAGACGAAGAAGCGAGTGGACCGATGATGGAGATGTGCACTAACGGCGGCGAAGAGACGTCTAATCGGAGACCTATTATAAGTGGCGAGCCGCTCGACATCGAGGCTTACGCGGCGCTGTACAAAGGTCGCACGAAGATCATGCGCCTTCTCTTCATCGCTAACCATTGCGGTGGAAACCAAGCGATTCAGCTGGATGCGTTGAGGATGGCTTACGATGAGATCAAGAAGGGAGAGAATACGCAGCTGTTCAGAGAAGTGGTCAATAGGATTAACGGGAAGCTTGGGGATAAGTACGGGATGGATTCGGCCTGGTGTGAAGCTGTCGATCGTCGCGCTGAACAGAAGAAAGGAAAGCTCGAGAATGAGCTCAGCTCGTATCGGGTAAATTGGGTTTCTCTTTTCCCAAACCTAATTTTCTTAAATTCGTTCATGTTTATCTGATATCTCTTGCTCATTGCGTGTATACTGGTGAATCTCTACTGCTGATTTCGAGGACTACGTTTCTCAGTTAGTTTCTTAGGGAATGAATGAGTGTGGCTTAGTGTGTTTGTAGCTCTCTTGTGGTCACTCCCTTGCTTGAATCTGTGATTGAATGAGTGTTGATTTAACTTCTACATGATTATACAGAAAAATATTGTGAAGGATATCATCAGCATTGATTCATGGCTATCTGTATAATGATATCTCTCTACTACTGTCTTTCAATTGCTTTGAGAATGAAGTCCGTAGGTTTGTTTATGGGTGTTCTTAGTGTATGAATAGCCCTTCTCCAGTAATTCGCTTGCTTGTATAACTATGACTCTGTACTGCTGATTTCGGTGATGCTGTTTCTCAGTTAGTTGCTTAGAGGATGAAGTATGTGTGTGTGTTTTAAGTGTGTGCGTAGCTCTTTCGTGGTTATTCCCTTGCGTGATTCTGTAATTGGATGAATGCTGATTCATCTTCTGTATGATTTTTTACAGACAAATCTGATCAAGGAAAGCATTAGAATGGGTTACAATGACTTTGGGGACTTCTACTATGCGTGTGGTTTGCTCGCAGATGCTTTCAAGAATTATATTCGAACACGAGACTACTGCACCACGGGAAAGCACATCAATCACATGTGCATGAATGCGATTCTTGTCAGCATCGAGATGGGTCAGTTTACTCATGTTACAAGCTACGTGAACAAGGCAGAGCAGAATACAGAGACCCTTGAACCTATTGTGGTTGCAAAACTTCGATGTGCTTCTGGATTGGCTCATTTGGAGCTGAAGAAGTATAAGCTGGCTGCTCGCAAGGTTCGTATTGTCGTATTCTAGTGCTCAAGTGTTTATCGATCCTCATATCCTATTTGGTATTTGTACCTGAATGAGAAATCTTATCGTTGAACTTTAATATTCCTTTGTGCAGTTTTTGGATGTTAATCCAGAACTTGGAAATTCCTACAATGAGGTCATTGCTCCTCAAGATGTTGCCACCTATGGAGGACTCTGTGCACTTGCTACCTTTGATCGATCAGAACTAAAGGCATTTATCCTCTCTTATCTTTTGCCTGTCTTTGCCACTATTTTTGTTTTGTTCCCTTGATCTATAACTCAGTATTCTAATGTGACAGCAAAAAGTCATCGACAATATCAACTTCCGGAATTTCTTGGAGCTAGTACCTGATGTCAGGGAACTTATCAACGATTTCTATTCAAGGTAACATGTTTCTTACAATACTCTCGTCTACAGTCCATGAACCAGGGATTGTTATAGAAAATACTCTGTAAAACCACATATACCTAACCAAGTCCTCGATGATCAGCAAGTCTGTCGAAACCACTCTTTATTCTAGTCGTTGGCTTTAACCAACTTATCTATATTAACAATGCATAGGACAACCAAAATCAACCTTTTTTACTGTATTCTCTTAAAATAATCTCTAATGTTTTAACTTTGCTTGTTGCAGCCGCTATGCTTCCTGTCTGGCATACCTAGAAAGTCTCAAAGGGAATTTGATGCTGGACATCCATCTTCATGACCACGTCGACACACTGTATGATCAGATAAGGAAGAAGGCACTGATCCAGTACACACTCCCCTTTGTGTCTGTTGACTTGAGCAGGATGGCAGATGCGTTCAAGACCAGCGTCTCTGGTCTAGAGAAAGAACTTGAAGCCTTGATCACCGACAACCAGATACAGGTCCGTTCTGTTTCCTGAATCAACTTTGTTTTATTACTGTCGTTTCAAAACCTTTAAACCCTTTTTTTCCTCCATCCCGGACAGGCACGAATCGATTCACACAACAAAATTCTCTACGCGAGGCACGCTGATCAGAGGAATGCAACATTCCAGAAGGTACTTCAGATGGGAAACGAATTCGATAGAGATGTCAGGGCAATGATGTTGAGAGCCAACCTTCTGAAACACGAGTACCATGCCAAAGCTAACAGAAAACTTTAGAGTCGGTGGCTGTAATCTGTGAGGTACTACTGGGCCTGTTCCAAGATCATGAGATGTTTATGAAAATATTGATTCGGTCTAGTTATTGGTTAGATTTGTGTTCGAAGCCTCTCTTTTCTCGTGTTGGTACTTTGTTTTCTTGACTTTTGAGTTTTTAAGGTTCTTTGAAGAAGTATCATATTTGGACTTTTGAATCCAATCAATCATAGGTGTGAACCTAAATATGCATGAATCTTCTTACATTGAAAGTGAAATTGTCAAAATGTAGACACTTAACTACTTAAGTACACACTTGGTTTCATCGGCCGGTATGAATTATGAGAGGTTGTGAATCTTTGTAGGCATGTGGGGCCTCTAATCTTATCTCCCAACTATTACCTGTTTCAATTTGTCAACTAAACCGTGTATTTTATATGATAGTTTGTTCCCAGATGTCGCTCTATAAGGCTGTTCTAGGTTACAAAATATAACCCCTAATCGGCTAATCGAAACGTTTAGGTCTTTTTTTATAAGTACAATCTCGAAAATTGCAAAACGAAGTTTTGATGTCGGCAAAATTCAACATGTGGACTAGGTGTGAACTTTTGATTTTCTGATGTCAAAGACCTTTTGATAATTAAACTCGATAGTTACGTTTCATTATTAGTAGTTGATTCTAACAGAATTTATCATTGAATGAGATAACTCATATTAATAATCTGGACATGGCTTGGGGGTACCAGAGCATAATCTTCTTGTCCAATTCCCTTCTTATGTATTATCATTATCACTGTCACAAGCAGAGTTCTTCTCTATGTACATTAATTCTTTTTAGTTGTTCTCTTTGTATTTATTTAATTTTTGTCTGTGGCAGAATAAACAAGGTTATTTTTCAAGATTTGAACAAAACGAGAAATTGGGCAGATTACTTTATGTCAGAACCTGTATTGTGTTTCTATGAGTCGATGACATTTTGAGTAAGTAAAGGTATTATTCAAAGTTGAGACAGTCCACTACTAATCAACTATTAAATGATTTTGCCTTTTTTAATGGGTCTTAGGTACAATCGCAATAACTATACATACATTTTACTCAAAACTAACAAACCATGGAGTTATGATTCCGCCAAATTTGGAAGATGTGCCATTGAATTAAATTTACTCACTCCAGTACTCTATCAAGAACATGCGTCTTCTTTTCATGTTAATTATGGAATAAGAACTTAACTAATCTTTCATGTGGCTCTAGACCATATATAAGATTACATCGTCTATGCACTCTCATAGTTGATAATTTCTCTTATAGCTTATCTGATCTTAAGTAGTTAACAAACCCGAGATGAAAATATTTCTGTCCGACCATGTTTGCTCTAATATTTGTTTGGGGTTATTCGCCTAAAGTTAACAAAATTTGCGGACTATTTGAAGAAATGGTATATGATACATTTGCGAGTCTGATGAGTGTAGTAAAAAATGTAATTCACAAACAATACAGTTGTATACATTGACGTTACAACTTCTTGTTTGATACTCTTTAGTACTACGAGTTACGATGCAATAGTATCCATCGTGACAAAACATGTTGGAATGCATGAATTAACAAATAAGTAACGCTCAACAAACGAAGAATCTAGATAAAATTTTCAAGTAGGCAAGATAAAGGGGCAAAACAGTAGTTTTAACACATTGAGGCTGGAAACACCACTTTGAAGTGGACTTTTATAGCAAATAGCAAAAGGTTTTAATGTCAAAGAGTCAAACCCAACTTTTCAAAGCTTGTGAGGCTTTCCATGACTCCACATCTCTTCTTTTCCCTTTTTATCCTTTTCTCTTTCTGTTTTCTTTAAATAATTGTTTTTCAAAAATCAATAAACCTTTATCTATCTTCCTTTTTCGTCGCTTCTGTCGTCTTTTTCCCTTTTCATTAATTGTTTCCTCTCTCCTTTCATGGACATGCACCGAAGCGACAAACCTTTCTAGTAACTGTTTAGGGCTCCTCCTTCACTTCCTTCACTTCTCCATCCATGGCGGATTTCTTCTAGAGTTCAAAAAATTTCCGTCTTTTTCATTTCTCGCAATTAAAATCTCATGAATTTCAACGGTTTCCTCGACGACGGCTCCTCCGGAGCAGACGGAGATAGAGCCGCCAAGCTTCTCTCCGACGTTCCGTACAGTAACCACTTCCCTTTCTCCTCCGCTTCAACCATGCTCGGAGCCGCCATTGCTCCTCCTCAACATAGCCCCTTCCCCTCTCACGGTCTCTCCCTCGGACTCGTAAGCCTCTCAATCTCTCCTTTATTGTATAATCACTCTTCTTAGCTCACTGATAACCTCTGGGTTTGGTTTGCAGCAAACAAACGGAGAGAACAACGGAGAAATCTGTAGAAATGGAGAGATTTTCGAGACGAATGTAAGTCGCAAGAGTAGAGGAGAAGACGCAGAGAGCAGATCTGAGAGCGACAACGCAGAAGCAGTCTCCGGCGACGATTTAGAAACCGCCGATAAACCTCCGAGGAAGAAGAAACGTTACCATCGCCACACTCCTAAACAAATCCAAGACCTTGAATCGTAAACAACTCTTTTCTTATCCACACAACAACAACAACAACAACAACAAAAAATCCCCAAATTTTCTCTAATCGATTTTTTCAATCTCCGATTTTTTATTTGCAGGCTCTTCAAAGAGTGTGCACATCCCGACGAGAAGCAGCGTCTCGATCTCAGCCGCCGGCTTAACTTAGATCCCCGTCAAGTCAAATTCTGGTTCCAGAATCGCCGTACTCAGATGAAGGTATCGTCGTCGTCGTCTTCGTTTTATGGATTTATTTTTATTTTTTTGGTTTTTTAATTTTTTTTTTTTTTTATAATGTGCAGACGCAAATCGAACGGCATGAGAATGCTTTGCTTAGACAAGAGAACGATAGGCTTAGAGCGGAGAACATGTCAGTACGAGAAGCCATGAGAAACCCTATGTGCGGCAACTGCGGCGGACCAGCCGTCATCGGCGAGATCTCCATGGAAGAGCAACACCTCAGAATCGAAAACTCACGCCTCAAAGACGAATTAGACCGAGTCTGCGCCTTAACCGGTAAATTCCTTGGCCGGTCTATTCCTTCACAACCCGGTTCACTTCATATACCTGATTCAGCCCTCGCCCTCGGCGTTGGCGTCGGCTCCGGTGGATGTAATGTTGGAGGTTTCTCTCTCTCCTCTCCGACGCTGCCTCATACGTCTCCCAGATTCGAGATTTCCAATGGTACCGGTTCTAGCGTACCACCGGTTAGCGTGAGTGATTTTGACCAGAGATCGAGGTGTCTGGATTTAGCTCTTGCGGCGATGGAGGAGCTGGTGAAAATGGCTCAGACGCGCGAGCCGCTCTGGGTTCGAAACCCGGAGACTGGGTTTGAAATGCTGAACAAGGAAGAGTACGATGCAAGTTTCAGTCGGTGTGTTGGACCGAAACAAGATGGGTTTGTGTCGGAAGCTTCTAAAGATTCTGGAACTGTTATCATCAATAGCTTAGCACTCGTTGAAACTCTGATGGACTCGGTTAGTAAACTAAACACTTAATCCAGGCAAAATCAGATCTTTTGATACAATTAAATTAATGATTGTTAATATTGATAGGAACGTTGGGCGGAAATGTTTCCGTGTATGATCTCAAGAACTTCAACTACTGAAGTCATCTCTAGTGGCATGGGAGGGACACGAAATGGTGCACTTCACTTGGTATGTACCAGTTACATGCACAAGCATCTTAATTGGATCAAATGGGTCTTTTACTCTTTTTGTTTTCTGTTTTTGGGGTTAATTAGATGCACGCAGAGCTTCAATTGTTGTCTCCACTGGTGCCTGTTAGACAAGTGTCGTTCTTGAGGTTCTGTAAGCAGCACGCAGAAGGTGTTTGGGCGGTCGTGGACGTTTCAATTGATTCCATCAGAGAAGGGTCTTCTTCCAGCTGCAGAAGGTTGCCGTCCGGTTGCCTCGTTCAAGACATGGCCAATGGCTACTCTAAGGTAAATACAACTAAAAAATTTACTCTACTGGCTGAATCATTTAGCTGTAAGATGGTTAAGTTTTCTTTCACCTTTCGGTGAGTTTATTAGCTTCTGATTTACCATAATCTAGTGTTGTGTACTAGACTACTACTAGTATTGGTTTCACACTTACCTATATGTGCCACAGGCAAGTCTACTTTGGTTTAGTCCGAGAGATTACACTAAATATAATAAAGGTTTCTTATGCATTGGGTTTATAACATTATATTTAACGAATATAATATGCAGGTTAAAAAACTCATTAGTTTATTGATCAGAAGCATCTAAATATCTCCGAGTAGTGTGCCCTTGGATCGTGCAGCGAGCCCAACGCTTATAATATTGAGTCAATTTTTAGCATTTACACATCACACGATCATCAAGTTTCTAATCATTATTTTACTTAGTTTTGCTAACACTCGCATTAAACGCAAAATAAAGATTGCGATAAGTACTGACACAACATGGTGTAATCAAATTGTAGGTAACGTGGATCGAGCACACAGAGTACGACGAGAACCGCATCCACCGCTTATACCGACCGTTACTCAGCTGTGGCCTAGCGTTTGGAGCACAGCGATGGATGGCTGCGTTACAACGTCAATGCGAATGTCTCACCATTCTCATGTCCTCCACTGTTCAACCTTCACGTAGCCCAACGCGTAAGCTCTCCCCAAAACGTTTCGTTTTGTTAACATTTTCTTGTTGAAAATTGTTTTAATCGTATAATGAGGCACACACACACACACAGAAATTAGCTGCAATGGGAGGAAGAGCATGCTGAAGCTAGCCAAGAGGATGACTGATAACTTCTGCGGCGGCGTTTGTGCATCGACGTTACAGAAATGGAGCAAGCTTAACGTTGGTAACGTCGACGAGGACGTTAGGATCATGACGAGGAAAATCGTAAACGTTCCAGGCGAACCACCAGGGATCATTCTAAACGCTGCGACTTCCGTTTGGTTCCCGGTCTCTCCACGGCGGTTGTTTGATTTCCTTGGGAATGAACGGCTGAGATCAGAATGGGACATCTTATCAAACGGTGGGCCCATGCAAGAGATGGCCCAAATCGCTAAAGGCCCTGACCGTTCCAACTCCGTCTCCCTCCTCCGTGCCACCGTAAGCTTTTCTCTTCTCTACACTTTTAAATTCGGTTTAGCACATAGTTACAGGATTTTTGGTTGGATTAGAAATGAATTAAACCGGAATGTGTGGACATTAAATATTTTGAGCTATATATAGTTGTGTGTGAAAGGAAGTTGGTATTGCGTGACCCAAGGATGATGTGGTCATATGAATCTTGTCGAGTGTGATTGGAAAGTGCCAAATCTGAAATTTGGAAGTATGGGGTAGACGAAAGTCAAAATTAATAAGACAGTTTTGACCTTTTTTCTTACCTTTTTGGCTTCTGACGTTTTTTGCATTATTGTTCTCTTTTACCCTTTTTACCCTTGAGCTTCTGGCTTTGTCACTGACGGTGACACTATCGAAACGACACATTAGTCACATCACTTTTATTTATTGTTTTTCCTTCTCTTTGCTTATAATTTAATTTAATATTATTTTTTTGTTGGCAGGCCATAAATGCAAATCAGAGCAGTATGCTGATACTGCAGGAAACAAGCATAGACGCTACGGGAGCGGTTGTGGTGTACGCGCCAGTTGATATCCCAGCGATGCAAGCTGTGATGAACGGTGGAGAGTCAGCCTACGTGGCACTGCTTCCCTCAGGGTTCGCGATTCTCCCCAACGGGAAAGGTAACGGTAACGGTGGCTGCATGGAGGAAGGAGGGTCGTTACTAACGGTGGCGTTTCAGATACTGGTGAATAGTTTGCCTACAGCTAAGCTGACGGTGGAGTCTGTTGAGACTGTGAATAATCTGATATCGTGCACCGTACAGAAGATTAAAGCGGCTCTCAGGTGTGATAGCACCTGAATTGAGATTGAGATCGGACGGTTGGGATTTGAGTCAAGAACGAACCTCATTTTGTGAGGAATCCGTTTTGTGATGGTTCGGGTATTGACTCGATGGAATTTTATAAAAACTAAACAACAATTAAAACATAGGTTGTGATTTTGGATTGTTTTATTTCGGATGATGTTTGATGAAAATGTAATTTTTTGGTTTGTATCAAACTCGGATCAAATCTGGACAGCATTTAATGAAACACCAAGTTTCTTTCTTAGCAAGTTCCAATTCTTTCTTTTAACTAATTTCCTCAGAGAAAACGATTTTATAAGTCAGCCAGTCAAATGCTCAATGCGTGTTTAGTTATATGTTGAGTCGTTTTTGTATTGTGGAAGGATGGTTGATGTTTGGACCACTTAATGTATAGTACTACTTGTGTTGTCAACAAGATAGAAAAGGAACAAACGAAGAAGGAAACACGTGAGTCAGTTGCACTCATAGTTAATATCCATGCACTGCTCACAAAAAGTCAAACATACAACAACAACCAAAAAACACCAATGACTATCATAAACGATAAAAAAGGCCCAAAGGCCTCAAACATAATAGATGCATTGACATAAATCGGGATTATTTTTATGGGCGTTTTCGTCTCGTAAGGCCATCATCATCAGGACGGCTAAATCATGGGCTTCAACAAATAAGCCTTTTGTGAAATACGTTAGAGAATCTCCTCAGATAATGTATTTTCATCACTTGGACCGCAATTTTTGGAGTTCAAGTGCGTTAATTTCGCAAATTTCGTATAAACAAAACTTGGCATGTGTAGATTTTGATTTCCTTATATAATAAAACTATAGCTGGATAAACATGAGAACTTAATACTATATATATTAAGCAAAATCCAAAAAAACTAATGAAAAGTCCATAATATTTTGGAGTAGCCGTAGAAGAATGTCATAATGGTTTCCGGCTAAATAAAATTACAAAACGGCCGAAAGAAAAGGAGGTCAAAGGAACAGCCAAAAGCCCCAATTTTCCGCGCGCGTCAATCCACAAGGCTACATTCGTTATTTGAACAAAAACACATTCGATCGCCACCGTTGGATTTATTTAAAAGAGCTAACATCAAACGGTCGAGATCTTAACACTGATCTCTCTCTGTACAGATTCCTTATTTTGTTTGCATTACAGAAATTAAGGGGGTGAGAATGATTGGCCTTCCATTGATTGACAATGGCGGATCTTAAACGAGAAATGCCACCTGGTTTTTTTCCATTTCTCTAGCTATATCCGCTCCTCCGTAGATATAACTTTCTATATATAATGCTTTCTTATATATATAGTCACAGTGAGGAAGCTAAATTATCCTCTTTTTTTCTTTGTTTTCGTTTTCTTGCAGAAGAGAGAAGAGGGAGAGAGATTTTGGCAATCGTCGTCTCTCTCTCTCTCTTTCTTCCTCTCTTTCTCTTCTCGTGAAAGCTTGAAACCTTCTGTTTTCTCGGGAAGATTCTGCTCTAGAAAAACGTGGGAACGATGAATGTGATGCGTAGATTGACGACTTTGGCTTCTGGACGCAATTTCGTATCTTCTGATAACGTAAGACATTTCCCAACAAAATTCTGTGTTTTTTTTTTTTTATGTTTTGTGGGGATTCGGGTTTGTTTAAAGCTTTTTTTTTGAAACTAACTTTGCGTAGGTAGGAGATTCCGACACGCCAAAATCGAAACCTATTCAGATTCTGGAAGAAACCGAATCCACGGAAACGACGACGTACGAGAAAGACTCTGTTTTAGAAGAGAATACACGTGAATCTGACTCCACTACAGAGAATTCTGAAATCCGCGAGATGGGAAACGGAGATGACAAGGTTTTTACATTTTTTTGGAAATTTTTGATTGGTTGTTGTTTCTTTGATCTTGGAGCTAACGATGATCAATGTTTTCTGTTCAAATTTTATGGGATTTTATTAGGATACGGAATGTGGGATTATCAAGGGAAATGGAACAGAATCTGGCAGGATTATTACAACCAAAAAGAAGGGTTTGAATGATCAAAGAGAAAAGGTTATTCCCAAACTCTGCTTAAATTATTTGGAACATTTCTAAAATTGTTCATGAAATCTGATTTTATCTATTTTATTCAGACAATCTCGTACAGAGCCGAACATGTAGTTGGCACTGGCTCATTCGGTGTTGTCTTTCAGGTAAAAACAAATTCTCAAGAGATTGTTTTTATATTTATTTTGAAAATGTGATTGTTGTTCATTGCTTGTTTATGATATTATAGGCAAAGTGCATAGAGACGGAAGAAAAAGTAGCAATCAAGAAAGTGTTGCAAGACAAGAGATACAAAAACAGAGAGCTTCAGATAATGAGAATGCTTGATCATCGCAATGTCGTTGAGCTCAAGCATTCTTTCTTCTCCACGACTGAGAAAGACGAGCTTTATCTTAACCTTGTTCTCGAGTATGTACCCGAGACTATTTACCGCGCTTCGAGATCTTACACCAAGATGAATCAGCACATGCCCTTGATTTACATTCAGCTCTATACCTACCAGGTAAATAAAAACTTGGGATAAAGACTCTTAATTCTCACTTTTTTGTGGTACTGAGAAACGTTTGTTGAATCCAGATTTGCCGTGCAATGAATTATCTTCATCGAGCTGTTGGAGTTTGTCACCGTGACATTAAACCTCAGAATCTATTGGTAAAGACATTCTTTAAGTAAGTTCTTGTGAGGGTAATAGTAGTAATTTACTGACTAATTTGCATTTCTCAGGTCAATAATGTTACGCATGAGGTTAAAGTATGTGATTTTGGGAGCGCCAAAATGCTGGTAGGTTTCTGGTTTTTTACAGGTCTAAATTTGGGTTTCACTGTCCTGTTTTTAAGGGAAAGCTGAGTGGTGATGTGTTCTTGGTTACAGATTCCAGGAGAACCAAACATATCTTACATATGCTCAAGGTATTACAGAGCTCCAGAGCTTATATTTGGAGCAACCGAGTACACAAATGCGATCGATATGTGGTCTGTTGGTTGTGTCATGGCTGAGCTTTTCCTTGGACATGTAAGAAACATCTTCTCCTCTGAGTTTTGAATTTTGGGTATGAGACATGTTCTTTGAACCTCTCTCTCTCTTGCTTTTAATGTCTACAGCCTCTATTCCCTGGAGAGACTAGTGTTGATCAACTTGTGGAGATCATTAAGGTAAACACTAAACAAGAGATTGGTTCTTCTCTTTAATCTGTTTTTTTGGTTTGGTCTCATATTCTAAGGAGTTGTGTTGTGAAATTTTGTGTTTGTAAACAGATTTTGGGGACACCAGCAAAAGAAGAGATAAAGAACATGAATCCTCGTTACAATGATTTTAAGTTCCCTCAGATCAAAGCTCAGCCTTGGCACAAGGTTAGATTATATAAACACTTAAGAAAATTTAGACAATGACAATGTTTTGCTTATAAGTGAACTCTGCTACTTTCCTCTTTCTTTCTTCAGATTTTCCGGAGACAGGTCTCTCCAGAAGCGATGGATCTTGCCTCTAGACTCCTCCAGTATTCACCAAACCTGAGAATCACAGCGGTAAGAGACAACAGCCTCAGTTGATTTTTTGACTGATGCTGGAACATGACATCATTAAAATGGCTGCTTGACCTCTTTTAACTCTGGTTTCAGCTTGAAGCATGTGCACACCCTTTCTTCGATGATCTAAGAGACCCGAGCGCATCCTTGCCTAATGGAAGAGCACTTCCTCCATTGTTTGATTTCACAGCTCAAGGTTTTGACAACAACAACACTCTGCTTTCTTTTATGCTTATCTTTTGCATCTTGAACTTTCCTCTGAAAAATGCAATCACTTACTTGCAGAATTGGCTGGTGCATCTGTTGAATTGCGTCACCGCTTAATCCCTGAGCATGCAAGGAAATGAGCTTCTCTACAAAGATGCTGTTGACACAGATAAATCTTTTTTGGATGTCGAAGGATTTCTTGTTCGCACGTATAGCTTTGTTCTGGTTATGAAACCCTCACTGTCCTCTGCAACCACAGTGGACTAGCAGTTTTAAAGTGTATAATCGTAAGTTTGTAACTTTGTAGCTTCCATTGTTGCAGACAGAAATGCAGATTTTTCCGATCTTCTCTTCTTACTTTCAAAATATTACCAATAGTCTCCGCAAGAACACTTTCCATCTCTAAAATGATGAAAGCAGTTAGAGTCTCTTAAGATGATATGCCGCAGATATACTCTCGATATGTACTTCATTGCATTGTGGCAATCCCCACAAACCCGCAGGTTCTTGATGATCCGGATCGGAGCTCCAGATGGTACAGCAAGAAGACCAAACGCAACAGCTAGTTTCTCACTATGGTAAGCCAAACCAAGCTCTTTGCCTTCCTTATCCAAATCATGGAGAGCGAAACTCATATCCGGTGAGTAACCAGCTTCTTTAATCAAAAGCATCATTTCATCAACCTTTGAATATATCTCACCCATTCTCGGATGCCTTCTATCTTCTGACATAAAGCTATCAACTTTACCTTTCCCTTCAACCCAACTGCAACCTGGCTCTTTGCTTATATTACGAGATTTCATCAGTCTACGAACATTTGCAGCTTCCTCTTGTCTTCCCGCTGCAGAATACATGTTTGATAACAGAACATAAGGAACAGCATTGTTCGGTTCCAGTTCCATGAGATTCTTCGCTGCTCTTTCTCCGTTTTCTATATTCCCATGTTTCCTACTTGCAGCCAGAATCGCTTTCCATACAGTTGCATCTGGCTCAACCTCCATCTGATTCAGCAACTCCTCTGCTTTGTCGAAATCACCTGATCTACCAAAGAGATCAATCATACAAGCATAGTGTTCAGCTCCTGGTGTGATTCCATAAACTGTTCTCATCGCATCAAAGTATCGTTCAGCTTCTTCTATGAGACCGGCATGGCTGCAAGCAAATAGCAACCCAATAAAGGTTATATAATCCGGTCTTATGCCACTAGCTACCATCAGACTGTATGACTGTAGAGATTCCTTAGCTTTGCCGTTTTTCGCATAACCAACAATAAGAGCAGTCCATGTTATCAAATCCCTGATTTCCATAGAGTTGAATATCACATCTGCATCTTCTAAGCTTCCACACTTTGTGTACATTGTCACAAGAGAGTTATCCACTGACAAAGATGGCGGGAAGCCAGACTTAATGTGGTTCCCGTGTACCTGTTTCCCAAACTCCAGAAGAGTTAACTCCGCCGAGGCGCTTAATACGCTCGCTGTAACAAACTGATCAGGAGAAACGCCTCCAGCTCTCATGTCACAGAAGAGCTTCAACGCTTCTTCATAACATCCGTTATGTGTGTTTCCAGTGACAAGAGCCGTCCAAGAGATCACATCTTTCTCAACCATCCCTTCAAACACTTTCAACGCCGAGTCCATGACTCCTCTTTTAGCATACATATCCACAAGAGCGTTGTTCACAGGCTTGTAAGCTCCATATCCAGTCTTCACAATCAGACAATGCACAGAAGAAGCTACCTCAATCCCTATCCTAGACGAAGAAGCGAAACAGTTTAAAGCAGAAGGGATTGTGAACTCATCTATCTCCATATCTCGCTCATGCATTTTCCCGAACAAAGACAGAGCTTCTTCTTCAAGACCTTCTCTAACACACTCAACAATCATCGAGTTCCACGAAACCACATCATCAACATCCATACCTTCTAACAAACCTCTTGCAGTCACCAAGTCTCTGCATTTAGCGTACATAGCAAGCAACGCGCTCTGAACAAAGATATTACTCTTGAAACCACTCTTAACTATGCAGCCATGAACCTGAGCTCCAACCCTGCGAGCAAGAACCGAAGCACAAGCAGTCAAAACGCTAGGAAACGTAAACTGATTCGAATTGTTTCCTTGTCTCGTCATATCCCTAAAACACTCAATCGCCTTGTAAGGAAAACCGTTCTTAGAGTAGCCAGTGAGCATCGAAGTCCAAGTAACGTTGTTTCTTTGACCTAACGGCGTTGTCACAAAGAGATATTCAGCTTCGGAGATGCGTTTGCATTGTGCATACATAGCGAGAAGGCCATTAACCACACCAACATCCAAATCAAAACCGGTTTTCACTGTACACCCATGAATCTGTTCACCTCTCAGAAGTAAACCAAGGGAAGCACACATCCTAATGAGACTACCGAAACTGTACTCGTTAGGGCTTCTTCTTCCGTCAAACTGCATTTCCCAAAACAAACCGAAAGCTTCATCTTCACTTCCATGCTTGCAATAACCAGAGATTAGAGCGTTCCAGGAGATTGTGTTCTTCACTGGGTTTCTACGGAAAAGCTTTTCCGCATCAGCGAGTCTCCCCGAGACGGAGTAAGCAACGATCATAGTGTTCCAGGTAAACTCGTCCTTCTCAGGCATTTTGTCGAACAATTGGCGGGCTTCCTCGACCCGACCGAATTTAGACAAATCTCCCAAAAGCAGATTCGAGTGAAGCTTCGTTCGACCACCATTGTAGCTCTGATTGTGAATGTAATTGCCAAAAGGTGTCAAATGAAGACGGCACTTTCTGAAATCCAGTCTGTGCATCACTAAGGAGACGACTTTCAAGTTACACTCACTTGACAACAAAAAAAACAGAGCTTTAATAATTTAAAAGAAACAAAAAAAATCGAATCCAAAGATTCAGATTAACGGTTGAGATTGAAAGTAAAACAAAGTGTGATTAATAGCTGGTAATAATGTAAATTTCTGACCTTTTTTCTTCGCCTAATATGTGGACACTATATAATTTATACTGAACACATTTACACAATTACATGTGGATTTTAGTTTTGATTTGTTTGTTGACCATAAATAAAGTTTTTATTTTGTTTAAACTTTTAACACGTACACTATATAGTTTTGGATCTTAAGTTTTAAACCAGTTGGTAATTTTGAAAAACAACAAACGCAACATAAAATATGAACCATATCAAATAGTAGTCAAAAGGAAACAATGTCGATTGTCTATCTAGCGATTTCGTAAAAATTATAAAAGATCGCATATGGACACTATATTATTTATAGTGAACACATTTTACACAATTACATGTGGATTTTAGTTTTGATTTGTTTGTTGACCAAATAAAAAAGTTTTGATTTGTTTAAACTTTTAACACTTACATTAGAGAGTTTTGGATCTTGAAAGCTGCCATTTGAGACATAAGAAAGAAAAATGGTAAAAATAATAATCAGAAAACCATTAATTCTTGAGTCGTATTCTTAAATTAATCAATTCATCGATCTTGTTTTGCATTAAACAGTTCATGTCGACGTTTTCATAGCCAAAATTATCGTCATCAAAGAGAGCATCCACTTGCAAGAATTACTAAATTAGCGAGGAAAACCCTAAACAATAAATCAGATTAACTGTAATTATTCAAGACAAACCAAAAATACAAAAGCTTCGATTTTCAAGTTACACTCACTTGACAAAAAAAACGAGATTTAATAATGTAAAAGAAAAATAAATCGAATCAATAAACGGTTGTGATTGAAAGTAAAACAAAGTGTGATTAATAGCTGGTAATAATGTAAATTTCTGACCTTTTTTTGGTAATTGGAAGGAGACAAAATGTCCCCTTCATTTTATTAAAAAAAAGACTCAATCAATATGGACAGTATATTATTTATAGTGAACATATTTACACAATTACACGTGGATTTTAGTTTTGATTTGTTTGTTGACCAAATAAAAAAGTTTTGATTTGTTTAAATTTTTAACACGTACACTGTATAGTTTTGGATCTTAAGTCTTAAAGCAGTTGGTAATTTTGAAAAACAACAAAAGCAACATAAATTATGAACCATATCAAATAGTCAGAAGGAAACAATGTTGATTGTCGTCTATCCAGCGATTTTACATTCATGCAAAAACTATAAAAGATCGCATAAAAATTAAAAGATTGTTGTTAATATTGATGATAGTTTATAGATTTATACGAGAACAAAAGAGAGAGACCAAATAAAAGAAAAAAACATCAAGTTCAACAAATAAAATTGCAGGTACAGATAAATCGTTTATCATATGTTTTGATACATTGGCCAGTTCCCTTCCAGATCTTGTCACACAGTTTTGTGCACGTTGGTCCATCGCAATTGTCTTTTGTTAGAGTCTGTTTACATATATGTTGTCCTTGTGTCTCTTGCGCCAACATCCCTATCAAAAAGATAATTTTAAGAATTTGAGATTGTCAATATGTGACTATAATATAAAAGGCTAAAGATAAAAACAACGTGAGAATGATTTGATTAGTTTATTAGAGAGAATAATTATTGGGATAACAATTTTATGATACACTTCGAGAATGATAAATGTAGAACAAACCTAAGATTAAGACAATGAAGATGGCAGAAACAGCGAGTTTATTCATTTTATGATGATACAATTGGATCTGAAATTCTTTGACGTTTATAAAACAATGAGTGTACATGTAAAAACCATCTCTAGTTATATATGATTATATGGAACTTTTTATGAAGATATTTAATTTTGAATCAATACTATTAGATACATGGCATCAAAATATAAGATTTGATTAGACTGGACCAGCTGATGTGGAAAGAATTGGTGTTAATTAGGAGGAAAATATTAAAAAGTCAAAGAACAGTAAATATTTCATCATATCTTACAAAAAACATTATTTCCATAAGATCAAAAACTGGAAACAATTCAAGTTGGAAGTAAATTTTGTGTTATTCAATTAGAATACAACCATGTATTAAGAATTTAGATTTTTAGATTTTTGTTATATACAATCTACAGATAAAAAATACCAGTATTCAATTTAGATCATCAAAATGCTCAATGTATACAAAAAACAAATATAGTTATTATATATTGTGTTCATATTTATTTCCAGTTCTAATGGATTTTGTGCATACTCTTCCAGTTCCTAGCATATGTTTAACTATTAGTTGATATTCTACTTCATGTATCACATAACATTAAATTATATATGTATACATCATATATATATATATATGTATGTGTGTGTGCATACCATTACACTCATTGCATTTTATTTCGAAGTTTTCATTCAGATTTTACATCAAAGATGACTAGAGCCACTATCTTTACTATCTTTGTGATCGTCCTCATTCTAGGTTTGCTTTACAATTACTAGTTCTCAATAGATATTACAAAACTGTTATTATAAAATATGAATTAATATTTGTATTCCTCCATGTTTTTACCTTTGTATCATAGTTTTTCTTATCACCATATATTTATAACTGAAAAATTGAGATTAACGTTCTTGGTATTTTTACTAGGAATGGTAACGAAAGAGACAGAAGGACAACAAATGTGCCATGATCTTGTAATGAAGACAAACTGTGACCCTGCTACGTGTACCAAACTGTGTCGCTCGAAATGGAATGGAAACGGCTCGTGCTTCCAGAACCAACAAGTGTACAGCTGCATGTGTACTTTTCCTTGCAAGACCTTGACTTGATATTGGTCTGTTTGTTATCTATAAACTATAATAAGTACTAAATAAATCGATAACGAGTTAAAATAAAATGATGTTGCAATCGTTTCCAACTTTTTATATAAATCTGATTTCGTTCTATTAGCTACAAACTCTATCTGAGCACGAAACTAGTCTTGAATCTTGATCCCATTTTGGTGCACTACCGAAAGTCAAATTCACAAGAAACCCAAAACCAAACAATCTAAAAGTACCATATGGAGTAAAACATAGGCCCAGCCCAAAATCGAAATCAAGTCAAAGAGATTATTATTGGCAATACCGCAATATTCATCATTTCATCTTCAATCTTCTTTTAACCAACAACTTTATGTCTTTAATTTTTATAATTAATCTGTAATTTATGTACTACTAAAAAAAAGGAATATTCATCTGATCGAACGTCAACAGAGACATTCTCTTGTCGTTTTCAATTCTCATCAGCTTTCTCAGAAACTGATCCTCAAAACCTAGTCGGCAGATTTCCAGAGATTTAAAGCTCGACCCATCGAGACCATTCCGGATCAACCCGATTACCCAAGATCCAACTCTTCTTCTCTCCATCTCTCCGAAATTGAAATTTTGGTAGCTTCCGAGATCAGATTCTGAGATTTTCTGTTTGTTTTGATGAATCCACCGATTCCCATCCCAGCCTCTTCTTCTCCGGCGATGGACGCTTCTCCGCTTCTAAACCGGAACAGGCGTACCAGCCCGCGCTCCTCTCAGCCGCTTCGAGGAGCAGCGTCGAGGCTTCTCCGCCGCGCTAGCAACCGCCGGATGATGCTCCGGGAGCCCTCAGTTCGAGTCCGTGAGGTGGCGGCTGAGCAGCTCGAGGAGCGGCAGAGTGAATGGGCTTACTCGAAGCCGATTATAGCCCTCGACATTCTCTGGAATTTCGTCTTTGTGATTGTGTCAATCGTGATTCTATGGACTAGCTCTGAAGAAAAACCGGATGTTCCTCTGAGGCTGTGGATAATTGGGTACAATTTGCAGTGCTTGTTCCACGTCGGATGTGTAATCGCCGAGTATAGACGACGCCGGGAAGTTAATTCTCCGAGTGGAGAAGATTCGTCGAATCACCACGGATCTCTCAGCGGAAGCGAAGACGAATCTGATGGTTATGGCACAGACGACGCTGATGATGACCATCGAGCTAGGTCAAATTCCCCTTTCCTTCTTTGTTCTATGAAACTTCAATTTCTCGGAATTGTGTTGCTCGTTTTCGTATTGGCACAAGAATTTCAATTTCTTTGATGCTTCAGAGTTTTGGTGATAGACTCAATACTCACTTAGGTTGAAGGAATCTTTAGGATTGTAGACAAATGTTTTCCATTGATTTGACATTTGAGCTCTCAAAGATCCTCATGTTGTTGTTCGCTATTCCAGTTTCGCCAAGCACCTTGAGTCTGCGAATACGATGTTCTCTTTCGTGTGGTGGATCATGGGGTTTTACTGGGTCACCGGTGATACGGAGGCACTCTCTCAGTCTTCGCCTCAACTCTACTGGTTTGTAGTCGGAGAATTACACTTCTTGATTGTTCTTCCACTTGTGCTTTTATCTTTTGTTTCTTTGATACATATATTTGTTTCTTATATTATTCTTGCAGGCTCTGTGTTGCATTCCTTGCCTTTGATGTTATCTTCGTTGTCATCTGCGTTGTGGTTGCTAGTCTAATCGGTATCGCTGTCTGCTGCTGTTTACCTTGCATCATCGCCATCTTGTACGCATTAGCTGATCAGGTAAAGAAAGAAACACTGGAGAATGAAGACAACATTACTCTTTCATTGTAGTTTAAAATGTCTTTATCATTACTATTTCAGGAAGGTGCGCCAGATGAGGAGATAGATAGGCTGTCAAAATTCAAGTTTCACACAGTACTGAATACGGAGAAAGTGGATGGAGAAGTCAAGGAAACTCAGGGAGGGATAATGACTGAGTTAGGTGCTGGTTCTCAAAACAAACGAGTGATAGATAGTGATGATGCAGTAAGTAAAACCAAAAACCAAAAACCCAAATCCAGTTTTTGTTTTTTCCACCGAGTTTTGGATGTTAAAGATACTGAGAATGATGATAAAACCTGTTGCAGGAATGTAGCATTTGTCTGTGTGGTTATGAAGATGGAGTAGAGTTAAGGGAACTTCCGTGTAGACACCATTTCCACAGTTTATGTGTAGACAAATGGCTAAGGATCAACGCAACTTGCCCTCTCTGCAAGTTCAATATTCTCAAAAACGGTGAGCATAGTGGCAGTGAACAAGTGTGAGGAGAGGAAGAAATTTCGTTCAGAGGTCGTTGCTCTCTGAGTTGATGTATGTGAATGTGATGACCTCATCGCCGTTTATTCTTTGACCACGACAGAGGAAAGAACAAGAGAAGACCTTAGCATTTGTTTTGAAAACAAAGCTGGACTTCTTGGTTTTGTTTCTTTATATTATTGTAAATGCAACAAGTAAATAGATTTGAAAAAGAACCATTTGGTTTATAAATCAACGGATTAGATAAGTCCTTATTTGTTTAATTTATCGACCAATCAAATCATATTGACGACTGTGTGAGGTCATTGTTGTGAGGTGGTTAAGAGGACGAGATCATTATGATTACGTTCTTGATAAATTTAATTCGTTTATAATGTGACGAGCAGTGGTGTGATTAACGAGAGAGAAGCGTGTTTAATTGGTTAAGGCTTTTAAACTAAAAGCTGCGGCCGAAATTGTAGAAAGTGGACCAAAAACAAAAACAAGGCCCAGCGGCGCCCACAAACTTTTACCAAAATGGTTGAAAAAATAAGAATGAACGCTCAGATGCGCACCACATCATCTGTAAGAACAGACGGTCGTGATGAAACCATTCATCACTGGTGCTTTTATCCTCACAGCGTCTCCACGAGAAGAGAATCGAACTCGACAACCTTTTGATCAAAGGAAGTCTTATCTCTTATCTAACCACCGTGGACAAGTCATTGTTGTTGTCTACACCAACATTTTGTTATTTATAACCTTTATATTTTATAGTTTTTTTGGTTGTCATTTGTAAAACTATAAAATTTATAAGAAATGTGGATAAATATCATAAACTATGCACAGCACTGACAAACACATTCTCAAGTGCTTAAAAAATTATAACCATCTTTTTAAAAATGTCACTAGTCTTTGTATTATTATTCAGTTTTAAAATTATATCTGGCACGATTCACCGCGCAATCATGTAACGTATTGCAAGAGTTTTCACATTTTTTTTCTAACAACGCACAACGAAGAACAAGTTCTTAAATATCATCGAAAATCTTGACTTTATTATCAATTTTGTTTCCAAACAATCAAATCAGTTTCTGAGTATAAAAGATCTTTTGTTCCTCAATTCCGAATTGGGAAAATCCTTAGAACAGACGAAGAATAATCTCTGCACTGCAGCCAAACACCAATTTATGTTGGCCGTTGAATCACACACCAAATCGGAACTCCGGTTACAATCCGGCCACCATATTCATCAATCGACGGCGGCTCCGATCTCGGTCTCCGCAAACCAGTCTCTGAATACGCGCCGTAATCCTTAGAATCGTGCACTGCAGCCAAACACCAATCTACGTTGGCCGTTGAATCACACACCAAATCGGAACTCCAGTAACAATCCGACCTCCGTATCCGTCAATCGACGGCGTCTCCGATCTGGGTCTCCACAAACCAGTCTCAGTAGCTTGCGAAGAACACCCGCCGTAATCCCTCATCGCCGTCGTCGTCGTTTCCGTGGGATCGGGTTTAACGACGATCGAAACATTGACGATTCCACACTTATCCCCAAACCCATCTCTTAATCTATAGCTCAAGAAATTCAAATGACCTTCAGGCGAATACCTCCCCATGAAATCCGTCGCCGGGATTTTAGCTTCTCCGATTTGCTTATCGCGCCCAGAACCTGTTCGATAAAATACCTCAATGGAGAGAAACTGTGCATTCCCATCCATTGGCAACTCCGTCTTACAGTTCCACGTTGGATCGCTTCCTCCCGATTCGTGGATATTAGACTGTCGACGTTTCTCGCCGATCCTTGCGACGGCGAAAGTCTTGCCCTTTACGAGTCTCCGGTTTACCTTGAGCCCCTCTGCAGATCTTATGTCAATCTCTAGTGTTTTCGTCATCGATGTAAAAAAATGATGATGATGATGATCAACTACTCTACCTAAATATATCATTTGGGTTATGATTTGTGTTGTTAGTATGTTGAAGTATTGGTCTAATCATTAATCGGAATGAAGAATGAGTTGTATATATAGGGAGAGAGAGAACATCTCGTCTGATGTATTAAAAACGAAGCTGATGAGGAAGTTTGGGAAGAAGACGCGGGGATGATTCATCGCTTTTTCCCGCCAGCGCATTATCGGGAATTAAAAGCACGTCGACAAGAAAAACAAACAAAAAAATTGACAAAAGAAAGGAGTAGACTTTAAAATTTAGATCTGTTTCATTTTTTTTTTCTTTCCAAGTAAGTAAATCAAATTAATTTAATATTATATTTTGTTTTTAGCTTAGTTTTGAATTCGATTGTACATAAATATCGGTTTCTAATACATATTTAAAAGATAAAAGTATTTACTGACATATAAGAATTTATTGCTTTTTGTCTCTGTTGTAGTAGTAAGTCAAGTCGTTTTTTTTTAGAAAAGGGTTTGCTATTAAGTCAAGTTGTTGTTTGTGTTCGTTCAATTTCAAATTTATATTTAGTTTAAAGAAAATAACATTATGTTAATGAGTTTATATTTGCTTTGTTTTATCATTTATGGATTTTCGCCATAATTTCTGGTTGTTTTAATTGGACACCACTAACTACAAATTTAAAATGACGACAAAATGGTAAAGAATAAGGTAACTTAACATTTCGAGTAGTAGTTAGAATTGTTCAACAATAAATAAAACGAAATCAAATAAAAGTTGTACAAAATAAACGATAGAAATTTGTAGTGAAGGAATATATCCTCTAACGGTAAAACGTTTTCAGTCATGTATATTGATTTTTAAAAACAATATAATCTACAAATATTAATTTACTTTTGTGATTGTGACTTTTATAATCTCGTGATAACTTTACTATTAGAATTAAACATCAAATCTCACGATAACTTATAATATAGAAGAAAGATCGAACAATGTTTTCTTAAAGAGTATAACAACGACGTGAAATAACTAGGCCAAAATTGCAACAGCGTGAAAAACGTAGCGAGCTCGTTTGCTGTCATATTAACGCGCGTTCAAACAACTGTGAAACACGGGTTAACAAAGAAGCAAATACTCGTTTATCTTATTGTCAAGAGAGTGTTAATACATATTTCGATATTAACTATAGTTTACATAATGAAGATAATTAGCATCAATATACTTTTCTTGATGTTGAAACAAACAACGTAACTTGTAAGAAATATCTGCCGGAATTAACCGGAATGCCCTTTGAACGGAAACTATACTGAGCTTTTCACAAGTTTGATCAAGAATCATTCAACTCATTTGAATATTTTTCCTGACTTTGAGTAAATGTAAACTAACTTTTGAAAGATAGAATTTACTTAGAAATTTAAATACGTATGGGTTAGTTTCGTTTTCTTTTCTTACTTCACGAGTGGGACGAAAATCTCATGGAAAAAATCGTATTGTGAGAGTCGTTTGACTCGGCGCGTGACGTATACTATACGCTTATGCTCTGCTTGTACGGCTGTACACTTGTACCATTCCCTAATTCTTGGACTTTTGCAGCTGCTGACATGATAATTTTAAATTTTAATTTCCATTAAGAGTGAAAAGAGGAAAAACAAAAGATAGATAGTGTAGAAACTTCAGATTGATTATGTGATCATGTTTGCACTTAAGGTGGTGCCACTTAAACGTCTCACGGCGATATATACGTCTTCGACGCATTGTATTGTACATATAGTCATATACCCTTTAGGACAACGCTTGGAGTTAATAGTTTTTTTTTTTTTTTTTTTTTAAGCTGGTTTCAATAGTTCTCAGTATAGTTCTGAAATGTAATTTTGTTCTTCATTCTTCATTAAATATTTGTTTAAAAAATAATTGGGATGATAGATATATCATATAGTATGATTTATTTTCTAAAAAAAATATATGTATGCACTATATGAGAGTATCATTTACGACCACACTCAAGTATTTGAAAATTTACCTTTCCCTTTGGTTAAGTCTTGCAAATTTCACTTGAGCGTATCAGCATTTATAATTTATACCTAATTTCCATTGAACTTGTTTGTCTTTGTTGCTTTTCTAGTCACAAATATTGTTTATCCTTTTCAAATATAACTATTGATGGTGTGGAAAGAAAAACATTAAAGTGAATTTCCAATTTCTGCGTCAAGAATACAGATAGTCTTCTCATAGCATGAAAAGCTACACTTTTATGGCCATTCGATTCGGAGGAAGAACAAGTTAACGTCCCACAACACTCGAGAGCCACATACTTATCATGATCATATCATGTACCCTATATTTTATAGTGTTGTATGTAAAATTCATAAATAGATAACCATAAACTAGTTTGTATCATATCTAGATAAATTTGCCATGGTATTTTAGAACCTGTTTTTCTTGTTATTTTCTGTAGTTGGTGGATGATCATATTGTCAATATATATCAGAGTAGTTGTTTTTGCCTAAGTCTTGTATTGCTTCTGTTGGATGCATCATGCATGCATGCCTCACAATGTGCGACGTCATTAAATGACGTCAACATACAACAAATTTGTGGAAAAAAACATCATGATAAGTTTAATTATTTATCATAGTGCGATCTATCAACTTTAATACTTGCGTGTAAAACATTTTGGCACTGAAAAAATGTACAACTTTTTTTTTCTAAATATCTCCATGGCAAAACTATGATGTCTAATAACTATAATCGCAGTGAAGTTTATATATAGTTTCGCAACGTACTTGCTATAACGTTTACTAAGCCTGCAGCTACTTGAAATGAGATCATTAAATTAACGTATTTTTACTTGTCTAGTGTGCGGAGTCCGTTGACTCCATGTATAACTAAGTCACCCGATCGAAGCCACTTTCAAGTGTATCTGACAATGCTTATAATACTGTTTTTACATATACGACATATGGAAACTATAAGATATGGTCTGTATGGATTCGAAATCGAAATCTTATAAAAAAAGTGATAAAAACAGAAAAAGCAGTGGTTGGAACCTCAATGATTCGATAAAGACAGTGAATTCCAGACAAAGTCTGCCGGGTTTATGTTAAAATATCCACATCAAAAAGTAAGATGATTTAACATATTGGTGCATAAATGATATATGTACGCATTTCTATATATTCTTAACTGGTTAATTATAAACTCGCAGGGTATCAGATATCAATAAACATAAGTCCATAATATAATTGAATGTCATTATATTATACTAGTACTTATATATCATCCATTTGCCATATTTTTTCCACCCAAAAGAATGGTATCTGTGTGTAACATCTGCTTCATCAAGAGGATCTTGAATCTTAAGTTACAAAAGGTTTTGAATCTAACAAGTTAACATATTACTCCTACGGTAAAGTTGCCAACACATTTAGTTTTCTTTTAAACAACTTTCCTACGGTAAAGTTGCCAACACATTTTCCCATATAATCCTCCAAATGATTTTCACCGGTTAGAGCCTAAAAATGTGTACAACTGTCTTTTGTTGCCTAGTCACTTCATGATCATATCAAATTCTGGAAATAATAAAGTTAGGTGAATGAATTTATTAGTACTTGTGGGAAGAAACTTGTGACTGACGTCGCATATATATCCGAAATGCTATCTTTCTCTTTAATGTGCAACAACAGTCCAAAATGCTATCATTAAAAGAAGTTGACCTATAAGTTACCAAATGGGAAGTCTTTTGTATTACTTAAATTTCCATGAACTTCCCACATCTATATTCTATGACTATCTTGTATTCTTTTGCTTCCCTTTACTGCAGAGTGATGAGCCCCAAAGACGTAACTCTATGACGTCATACATTTTACCTCTGACATCGATCGCTTTAGTTTATTATTCCGATATTAGCTATTTAGCTCTCCTGGTGAAGAAGAAGAGATGGAAGTTTTCAGTAATATGTGAGAATCGGTAAGAGTTTTATAGACTGTTTATAAAGAATTTGTTTTTTTTCTGTAACGGCTCAATTTTTGTAATTTTACCGTTGTAATATTTTTTACAAGAGCGTTGGACAACAATTTTACAAATAGTGAAAGATTATTGGATCATTGGGTCTTTAATAGGCTTAGTCGACTGTGCTAAAGGCTCAAATAATATGGCTGTCAAGATTTTTACTGGGGCTATGCTGAGTGTATGATAATGCTCGATGATCATTAATTCATTTTCTTTATGCGATTCACAGACTCACAGGTTCTTGGATTGTTCAGCAAACAGAGCTGTGTAGTAGTAACAGTTGTGGCAGAGCACTGATCTAATGCTCTCAAGTCATCTGTGCTATTAGGGAAACATGAACCTGAGCTTACATGTCAACACTGAACCATTTTAGAGTTGAATAAACTTATTGAAGACATAGAAAAGTAGTACTTATTATATATCTCGAGAGTTGCGAGACTAATCTGTCTGTTTACAGAATCTTGTTTTTATCGAATGGAATTCAAAAAGAATCAACAAAAGATTAGATCTTTTGAGAGTCAAAAAGCTTTAAAGCTTGGAGACGATTGTATGGTAAAAAGTAGCACGAGCAAAGTAAGTGACTTTCATGGTGTCTTTCATCTTGAACTCAACATTCACCACCGTCAGATTTCTCCCACTCCTCACCACTGTTCCTTCCACCAACAATTCACTCTGCAAATCTCACACAATCATTAGCTTCCTCTATAACTTGAAAGAGAAGATCGAAAGAGTACTGTATGTAGCGGCTTGCTTACCGAAACAGGAGCAGCAGAGAGATAAGACATACTCAATTCCCCGAGGAACAGCTGTTTGTCTTCAGACACGACTGTCCTAGCACAAGCCGTCGTTAATCTCTCTGCAATTGACGCCACTGCTCCTCCATGTAACCCATTAAAGAAATTCTATCCACACACACAGCAAAATCATAAAGATCGAAACTTTACGAAACCCATTTGATTCGAATGGAAGCAGGATGGGAGAAGGAGAATTTACGGCGATGGGTGGCGTGACGATGACGGAGCAGGAGATGCGGCCGCGTGCGACGGAGAGAGCTCTGGTGTTGCTTTGAAATAAGACGGAGAAAGAGTCGAAAGAGAGGAATTCGTCGCTCGATGGGTCTGAGTCTGGGTAAGCGATGCCTTTGAAGAAATCTGCGACCTGCAATACGCTGTTTGGATCGATTTCTTTCGATGCCGTCGTTGTCTTTGACAACACCGGAGAAGGAGCCGCCGCTGTCTCGGACGAAAGCGGAGGAGAAGACATTGTTGATTTGTTGGTTTCTGTGGCTCTACTCCAAGTTTCTCGGAAATTTTTCCCCAATTCGAATTTAACCTAATCTGATTTCACTCACACAGACACTAATCACATCGATTGTTATCAAATGTTGACCTTTTCAATTCTTCTATTTTTAGAAAGGAGAAATGAACCAATTAGAGTACTTCTTAATAATTCTTCGTAAGCCCCTTATGTTTTCGAAAACACCAAAGTTATACCCAAAACTATTTTAACTGCGCATAGTGGCCCAAGGAGAAGCTCGTTTTTCTCCGGCGATCGTTAACACTTAACACCGACGGATGATTCCGTGAACGTGTATTGATCATCTCAAGGGTTACGTATATTGTTGGGTTTCGTTTTGGGCCACTCATTTGATATCTTCCTTCTAGAATAGGGAAGAAGATCAATTTATGAGCTACGTGGCCCTTCACTGGCTCCCACACTTCGTTATGAAATATGAATTCCAAAATGTTCAATTATTATTTTTGTTTTGTCTGAAACTCAGAGAAAATAAGTTCGGAAATGGCAGAGGAAACACCAAGGTATGTCTTAATCTTCACTTAGTTCTTTGATCTAAGTGATTTTCCGGTTCTAATGTTTTCTCAGATTTTGTAGATATGCTGTTGTTACTGGAGCAAACAGAGGAATTGGGTTAGAGATCTGCAGGCAATTAGTGAGCAAAGGGGTTAAGGTTGTTTTGACTTCTAGAGATGAGAAAAGAGGACTTGAAGCCGTTGAGACACTGAAGAAAGAGATTGGAGTTTCTGACCAAAGCCTTGTCTTTCATCAGCTTGATGTCTCTGATCCTACTAGCATCACATCTCTTGCTGAGTTTGTGAAAACCCAATTCGGGAAACTAGATATCTTGGTATGATTAGATTAGTAACTCTCTTTGATCAGTTTACTCTTAAAACATGTCTTAGCTTCTGTGAAGAAAGCTAGTGCCTTTAGTGGCTGATTTAGAGTGATTTAGAGTGGAAGATTTCAAGTTTGATGAAATCATTACGGAGACTTATGAGTTGGCTGAAGAATGCTTCAAGATCAATTACTATGGACCAAAGAGGATGTGTGAAGCGTTTATTCCCCTTTTGCAGCTATCTGATTCTCCAAGAATCGTCAATGTATCGTCCTCCATGGGTAAACTTAAGGTATGAATAAAAATAGATTATCAAGAAAGGTTGAGAGATGTTTGCAGAGAAACTCTGTGTTGAAAATTTGAATGTTCAACAGAATGTGCTAAACGACTGGGCAAAGGGAATCCTGAGCGACGCAGAGAAGCTCACGGAGGAGAGAATCGACGAAGTGATCAACCAACTTCTCAACGATTTCAAAGACGGTACAGTTAAGACTAAAAACTGGGCTAAATTTATGTCGGCGTACGTGGTGTCGAAGGCAGCGTTGAACGGTTACACTAGGATCATAGCGAAGAAACATCCTTGGTTTCTGGTAAACTCGGTTTGTCCTGGATTTGTGAAGACGGATATGAATCACAAGACTGGAGTCTTGTCTGTGGAAGAAGGAGCATCAAGTCCTGTGAGGTTGGCTTTGCTTCCACCTCAAGAAATCCCTTCTGGTTGTTTCTTTGATCGCAAGCAACTCTCAGAGTTCTAATGTAATGTGAATTATCGTTTGAAAATGCTGAAAAGAAACTCCTAAATAAACAAAAACTTCGTTAATGAATATATATATAGAGACATAGAGTGAGGTTGCTTATTTTCCTTTAAAATACTTGAAAGCACATAAAAAAATGTTCTGCAAATAATAGAGTCAACAACGATCGCATAAGGAAACGACACTCACTCAGTGATGAAACAAAGAAAAAATTCCACGATGAAACAAACAAACCCTCAACGATGAAATGAAAATAGCATTACAAATTTACAACGAAGTGAAACGGCGTCAGATTATCCAAATGAAGCCCACTTAAAGGCAAAGCCCAAAAAGCTATTTTCTTAATAATTCTGATTAAGCCCTTATGTTTTCCAAAACACCAAAGTTATACCCAAAACTGTTTTAACCGCACATAGTGGCCCAAGGAGATGCTCGTCTTTCACCGGCGATCGTTAACACCGGTGAAAGGGTTACGAATATTCAGCAACTATGTTCTGCAAATCTCCGTGGCCCAAGGAGATTTGAATATTCCGCGAACGTGTTTACGAATACTGTTGGTTTTTTTTTTGGCCATTCATTTGACAGCTTTCCTTCTAGAAGATCTATTTCAAAGCTACGTGGCCTTCACTGGGTCCCACACGTCGGTATGACTTATGATTCATATGAATTCCAAATGTTCATTTTTTTTTTTTTTATGTTTGGTCTGAAACACAGAGAAAAGAGTTTCAAAAATGGCAGAGGAAACACCAAGGTATGTCTCTGTCATCTCATTCACATGTAACCTTATAGATTTTTGGGATCTGTTTTAAGAGATTCTTTTGTTTCTTGGGTTTTGTAGATATGCTGTAGTAACTGGAGCAAACAGAGGAATTGGGTTAGAGATCTGCAGACAATTAGCGAGCAAAGGGATTAAGGTTGTTTTGACTTCTAGAGATGAGAAAAAGGGAATCGAAGCCGCTGAGACACTGAAGAAAGAGACTGGAGTTTCTGATCAAAGCCTTGTCTTTCATCAGCTTGATGTCTCTGATCTTGCTAGTATCACATCTCTTGCTGAGTTTGTGAAAACCCAATTCGGGAAACTCGATATCTTGGTATGCATGATTAGTACAGTAACTCTCTTTGATTTTACAATTTCAAATCTGGTTTGAGAAGAAATGATCCTTATTGTCCACGTCTGACTAGAAAGCTCGTGCCTTTAGTGATTAATCTGTTCTTATTAAAACGAGTTTAATCCATTAGTTCTGAAAAAGAAATAAACAAGGGACATGATGGAGCTGGTTTGGTTTGTCTCTCAATTATACATTTTTGTGTAATGTTTGAGTGATCTTTTACAGGTGAATAATGCAGGTGTTAATGGTATAATCGTCACTGACGTTGATGCTCTAAAAGCTGGGGTAGGCAAAGTAAGAATATTTGTGCTTAGTTTGTAATTAAACTTCATGAGATACATTAATATCTGTAGATCTTTGTCAAGTCTAATGCTTTCTTCTTGCTATTTCCGACGTGGCAGGAAGATTTCAAGATGGATGAACTCATGACGGAGACATATGAGTTAGCTGAAGAATGCATCAATATTAATTACTATGGAGTCAAGAGTATGTGTGAAGCGTTTATTCCCCTTTTGCAGCTATCTGATTCTCCAAGAATCGTCAATGTATCGTCCTCCATGGGTCAACTAGAGGTATGAACAAAATTGATATCAAGAAAGCTTGAGAAACTCTGTTTTTGACGTTGGATTAATGTTCAACAGAATTTACTAAACGAATGGGCAAAAGGAATCTTGAGCGACGCAGAGAAGCTCACGGAGGAAAGAATCGACCAAGTGATCAACCAACTTCTCAATGATTTCAAAGAGGGTACGGTTAAGACAAAGAAGTGGGCTAAATTCATGTCGGCGTACCATGTCTCGAAGGCTGCGTTGAATGGTTACACGAGGATCATAGCGAAGGAACATCCAGGGTTTCTGGTAAACTCGGTTTGTCCTGGATTTGTGAAGACGGATGTCAATTTCAATACTGGAAGATTGTCTGTAGAAGAAGGAGCATCAAGTATTGTGAGGTTGGCTTTGCTTCCACATCACGAAATCCCTTCTGGTTGTTTCTTTTTCCGCAAGCAACTCTCAGAGTTCTGAAATCTCTGTGTGGGAATAGTATAGTATTATGCCAAAATGTTACTCATGTAATGAGAATTATCGTCTGAAAATGCTGAGATTCTGAAAAGAAACTCCTAAATAAACAAAAACTTCATACCTTACTGAATAATTGAATATAGATAGAGTGAGGTTGCTTATTTTCGTTTAGCTAATTATTTGAAAGTTGGAAGTTGATAACACATAGAAAATGAAGTTTTTCTGATTTTCTGAATTCCTTGTTAATATTTTGAAACTAAAAAAGTAAAATTACACGTCAACACGCAGTGGAACGGCGTCGGATTAGAGGTCTTTCGGAGACGGCCACTCACTTTGTTTCTTTTTTTTGACTTTTTGGACAGAGCCACTCATTCTTATGTCTTATCTAAGAACATCAATTTCTGAGCTACGTCGTGGCTTCATTGGATTCCACATTTTGTTGTTTGATAGTGATCGCTGTGAGCTTCTTGTATGCCAAGACGAAAGAGGTATACAAAACAAATATAGGTTCGAAAATGACAGAGGAAACACCAAGGTATGTCTCAATCAATCATCCCTTAACTCTTCACTAGTAATCTTAGTGACTTTTGGGATCTGATTCAACAGATTTTGTAGATATGCCGTAGTTACTGGAGCAAACAGAGGAATTGGATTGGAGATCTGCAGACAATTGGCGAGCAAAGGGATTAGGGTTGTTTTGACATCTAGAGATGAGAACAGAGGATTTGAAGCTGTTGAGACACTGAAGAAAGAGATTGGAGTTTCTGATCAAAGCCTTGTCTTTCATCAGCTCGTGTCTGTGATCCTACTAGTATCACATCTCTTGCCGAGTTTGTGAAAACCCAATTTGGGAAACTCGATATCTTGGTATGATTAGTATAGTAGCTCTCTTTGATCAAGCTAGTTTGCTCTGAAACATGACTTGGATTTCACAATTTCAAATCTTGTTTGAGAAGAAATGCTCCTTATTGTCATTTTCCAACATCTGACTTTGTGATTAGAAAAAATGAAATATCCAAGAGGTAATGTAGCCGGTTAGGTTTGCAGATCAATAATGCAGGTGTTAGTGGTGTAATAACTGATGTTGATGCTTTAAGAGCAGGAACAGAAAAAGTGAGTGTCTTTGTGTTTAGTCTGGAATTAACCTCATGGTTAATCTTTTTGTAAAGTCTAGTGCTTTCTTGTTATTTCCAACGTGGCAGGTAGGTTTCAATTGGGAGGAAACTATCACAGAGAATTATGAGCTAGCTGAAGAATGCATCAAGATTAATTATTACGGACCAAAGAGAATGTGTGAGGCGTTTATTCCCCTTTTGCAGTTATCTGATTCTCCAAGAATCATCAATGTATCATCCTACATGGGTCAACTTAAGGTATGAAAAAATCAATATCAAGAAAGCTTGAAAGATATTTTGCTGAGAAACTCTATATACATTAATGTTCAACAGAATTTGCTAAACGAATGGGCAAAAGGAATTCTGAGCGACGCAGAGAATCTCACTGAGGAGAGAATCGACCAAGTGATCAACCAACTTCTCAACGAATTCAAAAAATGGTGAGTTTAAGACAATAAACTGGGCCAAAGTCATGTCTGCATACGTGGTTTCGAAGGCCGCGTTGAACGGTTACACGAGGATCCTAGCGAAGGAACATCCAGGGTTCCTCGTAAACTCGGTTTGTCCTGGATTTGTGAAGACGGATATGAATTTCAAGACTGGAGTGTTGTCTGTGGAAGAAGGAGCATCAAGTCCTGTTAGGTTGGCTTTGCTTCCACATCAAGAAATCCCTTGTGGGTGTTTCTTTGATCGCAAGCAACTCTCAGAGTTCTGAAAGCGTCGTGTGAGAGTAGTATATTATGCCAAAACGTTACTTATGTAACTGAGAATTATCGTTTGCATGCTGAACAAAAGCTCCTAAATAAATAAAACTTTATTTCTTGTAATTTAGAGAGAGAGAAAAGAAACCACATACATATGTGGAACACCACGATTAGAGAAAGAATCAAAGCAATATCGAAGAAAAATGTTTAACAGATTGCTAACTAGTCACTGTCCGTATTTCCCTTTAATTTATTTCTAAGTCATTGTATTCATCAGAAACCAATATATTAATCTTAAGAGATGATGATGTTCAAGGTAATTATGCCACGTAAAGCTTCACGTGGCTTCACATGGCTTCATTGGATTCCACAAATTGTTGTTTAGTAGTGACTGATTGCTGTCCTTTTATTATGTATACACAGAGGAAGAAAAAACAAAAATAGGTTCGAAAATGACAGAGAAAGCACCAAGGTATGTCTCAATCATCATCCCTCAACTCTTTGATTTCACACTTGTAATCCTATTGATTTTTGGTTTATGATCTATCAGATTTTGTTTCTTGGGTTTTGTAGATATGCTGTAGTAACTGGAGCAAACAGAGGAATTGGGTTAGAGATCTGCAGACAATTAGCGAGCAAAGGGATTAAGGTTGTTTTGACTTCTAGAGATGAGAAAAGAGGACTTGAAGCTGTTGAGACACTGAAGAAAGAGATTGGAGTTTCTGATCAAAGCCTTGTCTTTCATCAGCTTGATGTATCTGATCTTGCTAGCATCACATCTCTTGCTGAGTTTGTGAAAACCAAATTTGGGAAACTCGATATCTTGGTATGCATGATTACTGATTAGTTAGTAACTCTCTTTCATCAGTCTACTCTTAAACATGTCTTAGATAAGATTCTTTAGTTTCAGATCTTTTGATTGGTTTTACAGGTCAATAATGCAGGTGTTAATGGTATAATCATCACTGATGTTGATGCTCTAAGATCTGGGATAGGCAAAGTACGAATCTTTTTGCTTAGTTTGTAATTAAACCTCATGAGATACATTAATATGTGTAGATCTTTGTCAAGTCTAATGCTTTCTTCTTGCTATTTTTCGACGTGGCAGGAAGATTTCAAGTTGGATGAAATCGTCACGGAGACTTATGAGATAGCTGAAGAATGCATCAAGATCAATTACTATGGAGCAAAGAGGATGTGTGAAGCGTTTATTCCCCTTTTGCAGCTATCTGATTCTCCAAGAATCATCAATTTATCATCTCACATGGGTCAACTTAAGGTAAGAAACCAAAATCGATATCAAGAATGCTGGAGAGATGCATGCAGAGAAACTCTGTTTTTACGTTCCAAAACTGATTTATGTTTCAACAGAATTTACTAAACGAATGGGCAAAAGGAATCTTGAGCGACGCAGAGAATCTCACAGAGGAAAGAATAGACCAAGTGATCAACCAATTTCTCAATGATTTCAAGGAAGGTACGGTTAAGACAAAGAACTGGGCAACAGATATGTCCGCGTACGTGGTGTCCAAGGCCGCTTTGAACGGCTACACGAGGATCATAGCGAAGAAACATCCAGGGTTTCTCATAAACTCGGTTTGTCCTGGTTCTGTGAATACGGATATGAATTTCAATATTGGAGTTTTGTCTGTGGAAGAAGGAGCATCAAGCCCTGTGAGGTTGGCTTTGCTTCCACACCAAGAAATCCCTTCTGGTTGTTTCTTTGATCGCAAGCAACTCTCCGAGTTCTGAATTTTCAGTGTGTGAAGCCAAAAATATTACTTATGTGTAATGAGAGAATTATCGTTTGGATCACATTACATAATGCTGAACAAAAACTCTTTTTTAAATGTTAACAAACTTCTTCATAAGTTGCATCTAAACATTAACACAAACTTGAATAAAATACTTAACAAATATCGAATAACATGCAGTTCTATAAACCGGAGTATTAAAACAAAATTTGGGTCTAATTCATTGCTTTTTAATTATAAAACGTCTTAAAAAAGGTAAATGTTTTTGTGTTTGTTTACCAACTTGTTATTATATATTTCACGAAGAAAGTATAGGGGATCTTGATTATCTTTAGGACTCAGGTTCTTCAGCAGCTTCAGGGACTGCATCAGAAGCTTCTTCCTCTGTAGGGTTTGCCTCATCTTCGTCGGGTTTGGTTTTGTCTTCCTCAGCTGTGCGTTTAGCAGCGGCTTGGAGGACATGGTTGTAATTACCTTTCTCGAGGAAAAGCTGATTGAAATGGACCTTACAGTAAAGGATGCCATTGAGAGCAGCGTACGAAGAGTGTGTCAATGGACAACCACCGTGAGCACATCTAAAGCAAGTCTTGTGGTAAGACTCACCTTCCATTGTCATCTTCTCTAGAGGATAAACAGTTTTCTTGCAAGTTGCACATTTGTCTTGTGTTCCGCTGAAGAAGGAAGATAACTTGCTTGGAGTCCTCGTCTAGATTCACACAGAAAAAACAGATTATAAATGATGATGATGATGAACAACAAAAACAGAGGAATGTTTTGATAGGTTATGTTACCATTTCATTAGATTTCTCGGTCTTTCCTGCCTGGAAATTCTTGCTGAAATTTCCAGATTCTTTGAAGAGCTGTTCAAAATGGGTCCTGCAGTACAAAACTCCATCCATGGATGAGTAGTTGCTAATCTGCAAAACAGGAGAAGAAGGATTCTCTTTTGTTTTTCCACAGAAACAGAGGAACAATGGTGGAAGAAGAAAGATAGATACCACGAGAGTGCCATTGCAATGGCTGCACCTGAAGCATGACTTGTGATAAGGCATGCCTTCCAATGTCATCAAGTCCATAACGTATACCGTCTTGTCACACGCCTTGCATTTGTCTGTTGTCCCTGTAAACGACATTGTTATCTCTTCTTCTTCTTCTTCTTCCTTTCCCTATCAGATCACAAAGTTTGTGTTTTTTTTTCATCTATGAGAGGTCTCTACCTTTATTATATCAAAATCTATAATTGAGATTTTGTGGTTTCTTTGTTCTGATGGTTGAGATTCGAATGAGGAGAACCTTTAAAATGTTTTGTTATCACCAATTTCTTATATTCTAATTGTGTGGTAATTCATTTTATTTCTAACCCTGGAAAAAAGGTAAATAATAGACAGAATAGGGGTATTATTTTACATTATCGAGAAAATACTCCGATTTATAAGAAATTGAAAATATAGGGGTAATATATGTAAATACTCGATAAAAGAGTGCATGCCTGTGAATAATAGAAAGCTAAGGGGTCCTTTTTGTAAATAAGGGATAAAAGAGTGAGAGTCTGAGAGAAGAGGAAAATCCATTGACGCCCTAACAAAGACGCCGGAGAGCGTATTCGTCACTTTTGTATTATTTCCTCTTAACCAATCCAAAAGATTTTCCCGATTAAAATTTCTGTTACTCTCTCTCTCTCTCACTTTCTCCGTTCTCGCTCTCTCTTCTTCTTCGGGTTGTGTGAATAAACAAATCGGAAACTCTCTCTCGATTCGCTTTCTTCTCCGTTCTTCGGCGGACCGGTTTGTGGTTTATTTAAACATTCCGATCTTGCCCAGAGTTTCCACGATCTTAAAACCCTAGGTTCTCAACGAGCATTACTTCTCTCTTTAACTACGGATTACTGAATACTCTTCGTTTCTTAGGTTATCTAGATTACAGCGGTTTTCTTTTCTCTTCGTAGTGGTTGGAGAGTTTTGTAAAAGGTAGATTTAGGGTTGTTCGTCTCTAGTTTCCGAGATCGAGAAGAGAGATTCGCGATGAATAATAACAACAGAGGAAGATATCCACCGGGGATCGGAACGGGACGTGGAGCGCCGCCGAATCCCGATTATCAGTCGTACCGGCAGCAACCTCAAAATCAGCAGCAGCAGCGCGGTCAACCGCAGAACCCTCAGCAGTTTCAGCCGCAGCAACAACAGCAACAGCAGCAGTGGTCAAGACGCCCTCAGCTTCCCGGAAACGCCAATGAGGTCCAGAAGAGCTCTCAGCCCGAAGCTAGCAACCATCCTAAGTAAGTTCTCGTTTCTTCTCCCTGTGTGCTGTGTATACGTTCTTGGAAACAACTCTTTTAGTGCTCATGGATTTGTGTTCTTCGTTAATCTCAGTGGCCAGGATTGGAAGGCAACGTTAAGGCTGCCACCTCCTGATGCTCGATTTCAAACTGCGGTATGTCTTCTTTCTATAGGAGTTTTCATCATGTAACAATGGCTTGATAGATTGAGGATCTCCTTACGTGTATGTTAGCCTTGTTGCGAGAAGATGAGCAATTCCTTATCCTGTTGAATATTGTCTTCATTACTGTGTGCAGGATGTGACAGCTACGAAAGGGAATGAGTTCGAAGACTATTTTCTGAAAAGAGATCTGCTAAAGGGAATATATGAGAAAGGTTTTGAGAAGCCATCTCCAATTCAGGAAGAGAGCATTCCAATTGCTTTAACCGGTAGTGATATTCTTGCTAGAGCCAAAAACGGCACAGGAAAGACTGGAGCCTTCTGCATTCCAGTCCTCGAGAAAATTGACCCAAACAACAATGTGATTCAAGGTTTGTTGCTTTCTTCTTTTGGAAATCTTCTCTGTTTGAGTTATTATCTGCCTTTGCAACTCCCATCAGAGTGAAGCCAATGACTGTGAAAATCAGAAAATGTAGCTATTGACTGACTGTGTTTATCTTTGCACCACTGTTTCTATCTTCTTATGTAGGTATGATTCTGGTTCCAACACGAGAGCTGGCCCTTCAGACATCGCAGGTTTGCAAGGAGCTTTCGAAATACTTGAATATCCAAGTGATGGTCACCACTGGCGGTACCAGTCTGAGAGATGATATCATGCGACTACATCAACCTGTGCATCTGCTGGTTGGAACTCCTGGAAGAATATTGGATCTTACGAAAAAGGGAGTTTGTGTTTTGAAAGACTGTTCGATGCTTGTTATGGATGAGGTAAAGCTCCTGATAGATGGCTCCTATATTATATATCTACCACATGTTGTTCTGACTCCTTTCAAACTATTTTACCAGGCCGACAAGCTTCTATCTGCGGAATTCCAACCTTCTCTAGAGGAATTGATTCAGTTTCTGCCACAGAATCGTCAGTTTTTGATGTTTTCCGCTACATTTCCTGTCACTGTGAAGGCGTTTAAGGATCGACATCTCCGGAAGCCGTACGTTATCAACCTCATGGATCAACTCACGCTTGTGGGTGTCACGCAATACTATGCTTTTGTTGAAGAGAGACAGAAGGTTCACTGTCTCAACACACTTTTCTCTAAGGTCAGATATCTAAAAGGATCCCTGTAACTATATGATTCTCATCTGCTACTCGATTTGGATTATCCTAACTAGTTTATGTTTTTTAATCTCAGCTGCAAATAAACCAGTCGATAATCTTTTGCAACTCTGTCAATCGCGTGGAATTGTTGGCTAAGAAAATTACAGAACTTGGTTATTCATGCTTCTACATTCACGCAAAGATGGTGCAAGACCATAGGAACAGAGTCTTCCATGAGTTCCGCAATGGTGCCTGCAGGAATCTCGTTTGCACCGGTACGTTTTGTGTTGTTTGAGCATGTACTTTGAACAATTGACTTGAGTGTAGATGGTGATTTCACCTACTGATACATGACTGGTGCAGATCTCTTTACTCGCGGAATTGACATCCAAGCTGTGAATGTAGTGATTAACTTTGATTTCCCTAGGACTTCTGAGTCGTATCTACACAGGGTAAGTCGAAACAAAAGAGCTTTTTTGATCATCTCATCTAGCTTCTCTAGTAGCATCCTCATTTTTCTTAATTCATGTTGTGAAATGGTTCAGGTGGGTCGATCAGGACGGTTTGGACACCTTGGTTTGGCTGTGAATTTGGTAACATACGAGGACCGTTTCAAAATGTAAGTCGTTACTTCTTTCCACTGTTGTTACTGGGTTTTGGTTTTGTTGTGTAGTCTCTTCTGAGTCATTTATCATGTTTTGGAAACAGGTATCAGACTGAGCAAGAACTTGGCACTGAAATCAAACCGATTCCTTCTCTTATCGACCGAGCAATCTACTGTTCGTAAACTTGTTACCGCTCAAGAAACGTTTCCACCCGACGAGATACGATGTTTGTGAAAATGGTGAGACAAATCTTTCTCTTAGCTTTGTCAAAACAACATTTAAATCAAAAGCTTCATTGCATCTTTAGACTAATGTGCTCCAATTTTGATTTCAGGAGGAGTCGAGGCAATTGATACTTGGCGGTTCATGTAAAGACTCCTTACAGAGACGAACCTTGAGTGGTTTGGTTCGGTTCGGTTACTAATCTCTCTTTCAGCTTTTATTTCGTGTTCTATGATGAAACCTTTTTCCCTTGCACTTTTATGACTCTCTTGACTTGGTAGTCAGTAATAAAAAGATGGAACATACAGTATGTCTCTTTTATCGTGTTGGGCTTTTATTTAAATGACTATGGGCTTTGGCTCGTTTAGGATCTCCGTATTATGAAAGTTGCACACTTCTTGATTTCTGGTTTCACAAAGATTTTTTAAAATAATTTCATCTCCCAAAAGTTCTTCAAGACCAATAATTGGTAATTCATGTCGAATATAAGAAAGCAATTTTTTATCATCCACTATGAATTCAGACTTTTTTTTTACTTGGTTCTCATGGATTCAGATTACTGTGGAGATCTCTCGTTGTTTGATGAATAGATTTGCGCATTTATTCTTTCGTGAAAGTAAACATATGTATGAAAACAATAATCATAAAATGAAATTGACATGAACAACTACGGCTTTGACTTGTAGCTGACCACATTTATTATGATACATTAAATGGACCCTACCTTTTGTCTGCAAGGTCATGACCAAACAGGCAAACAGTATCTTCTCTTTCTTTGACTCTTTGTGATCCCTAAGCCTCCACGTATTACGTGTCGACTATTTATTGGCGCATTCCATGACTCTGTAAGTCTTTTTCTGAGAAAACCAGTAAATTTGAGTAAAAAAGCTCAGCACAGAAAACTTCGACAAAAATAACTCACAGAATAGAAAAGAAAATGTATGTATAAATGGTCATTGTTATCATGACTAAATTTCAATTTTAGTTTATAATTTAATTAAAACGTGTTTGTCGCATCAAACTTCTTTTCCTTTGGAAGTCACTGTCGTCTCCATTACTTCCACTTCTGCTCCTTTATTTATTAACTTCTTCAATATTTTTTCTAAGATATATAACAATAAATGCTTCTCTCTGTTTTTTATTTCCCGGCTAAAGAAGGATGTCACGTATTATCCGCCATTAATGCTCTTTTCTTTCCTCTTTCTTGCAATTTCAAAACCTGAGAACCCTAGCCCACTTATTTACTTGGCCTTAGCTGTTTTCGACAACCAAAATTAGGGTAATATCAAAACGACTTCACAACTTCAAAATTAAAAAGAACACCCATTTCACAAATGTTGCCATTTGCTATGAGTAAAAAATCTCAACGCTTTTATATTTCAGTAAATAGAGTTTGCAAAATACCATAGGAAACCCTTTTTTATTTGCATTTCTCAACGAACGGAAAAAAACGAAATAATACTCTTTATATTTGCAATCATGATTTTATTTTGTTTTTGAAGGACCTGTTGTTGCTGTCACAAACATTAAATTCAATATCATTAATGTTGTACGATTTTTGCGTGTAATAAATGGCCAGGGCCGGCTCGAAGCTCGCTGATCGTCCTTTTTAGCTTCTCTATTCCACACACAATCGTATTTATTTCAGTTTTTCTTGTTCCTCTTTATTTTATTTTTATTTTTATGTATCCTATATATATAAAGAATCATACTCCATAATTCATTGTTTCCTTGCTTTGGCTTTTTATTTCATCTTGACGACATTAAAACCAGACCAGACCAAAGCCATTAATAATTTTACCCTTTTTTCGAAAATTCTCTCCTTGATCCTATCTCCTCCTTTTCTTTCACTTTGGGGTTTGTCTGTCTCTTCAATGATGATGACTCTAAAAGTCTTACTTGCTGTTCAATAGTTTTTACTCTCTCTGTTTCCTTTTCTCTTCTCCTTTAACCAAAATAGTGCTTTCATTTTCGTTAGTGAGGTGAGGAAAAATGGGAAGAACGCCTTGCTGTGACAAGAAAGGTTTGAAGAAAGGTCCATGGACACCTGAAGAAGATGAGATTCTCGTTGATTACATCAAGAAGAACAGCCATGGAAGCTGGAGAACACTTCCTAAGCAAGCTGGTAAAAACTCAAATTCCTTCATTTTCGACGTTCTTTGATTCTTGAGAGAGATTCTGGAGTAAAGTTTCCATCTTTACCACAAACTAGGCTTATTGAGAGTTTTTATGGAGAAAAAGTTTTCATTTTTACAAGTTTCTCTTTCGCTTTGTGGAAAAAAGGTTTACTTCGTTGTGGAAAGAGTTGTAGACTGAGATGGACAAACTACTTAAGACCAGACATAAAGCGAGGTCCTTTCACTCCTGAGGAAGAGAAACTTGTTATCCAGCTTCACGCCATTCTCGGCAACAGGTCTCTTTCACTTGCTTCTCCATACTCTTCTTCTCCTTCTCTCTAGATTCTACATTGTCCAAATTTCTGTTTTTTGTTCTTGTTTTGAATGCTCTGTTTTTTGTTGTCAGGTGGGCTGCAATAGCAGCACAGCTTCCAGGAAGAACAGACAACGAGATCAAGAACCTATGGAACACTCACTTGAAGAAGCGTCTTCTAAGCATGGGTCTTGATCCCAAAACCCATGAGCCATTACCTTCATATGGGTTTGCAAAACAAGCTCCAGCTTCACCAACAACTCGCCACATGGCTCAATGGGAAAGCGCAAGGCTTGAAGCTGAGGCAAGGCTTTCTAGAGAGTCGATGCTCTTCACTTCATCTGGTGGAGTGAAGTCTGATTGTGATCACTTCTTACGCATTTGGAACTCTGAGATTGGTGATTCTTTCAGAAATCTCGCTCCTTTTGATGAATCAACTACAGCTACAAGTCAAAGCCCTTGCTCTAGGACGACAACAACATCTTCCTCGTCTGCTGCATTTCCAAAGAACTCAAAATCTTCTCAAGGGATCATGGCGTTTCATGGCTCTGATTATTACTCTCCTTGCTCGAACAATGTTGAAGATGATTCATCAGACTCTGCACTACAACTTCTGCTTGATTTCCCAATAAGTGATGATGATATGAGCTTCTTGGAAGAGAACATTGGCAGCTACTCAGAGTCTCCTGTTGGTGTTGTCTCCATGGTTTCTAAATTCTAAATCCTATGAAAATCTTTATTCACTTTGGAGTTTTAATTTTGGTCTCTTCTGGTTATTAGTGATCAGAAGTAGAGATATTATAATATCTAATATGTAAATCAGCATTTAGTTAGTTTATGAACTTTAAAAAATCCTATTTATGATTTCCTGCAGCTTCAGATTATGACAGAAGAAAAACAACTCCACACTCATGTTTTAACACACAAAAAGAATTTACAAACAAGATTACACAAGACATTGAAGAGAGAAAAGAATTAAAAGAGAGATTGTATAAACTTTACACAGTTGAAAACGAAAACACAATGAAAATGATGTTCACATTGACATTAAAAGGATTTTAAAAACAACCACAAGTAGCCTTTGGGACAAGTCCAGTGGCTCTGTATTTAGCAGCGGTTTCTTCTGCCTTAAGAATGTCTTCTCCACGCTTAGCTTCAATCAATGCTCTCTTCTCTTCTGCTTCCTTGTGGATCGCTGCAACTTTGTTCTTCATCCTCTCTGCATACTCTGCTTTCTTATTCTCTAGTTGCTCCTGCATGCCAAACAATTTTTACAAATTATTTTCACTTTCTCAATCAATCACATTCAAACAGTTTCATCTGTCTCTAATGACTACAAGTTACCTCCATTTTCTTGAGCTGGGCTTCGACAGCTGCTTTCTTGGTGTTTTCCCAAGAAAGAACATCAGAGATCTTCTTCTCAGCTCTGTTCCATATCAATCGTTTAGCAAACCAGACAAAGAACCTAAAAAACTCAAACCAGTTAATAATTTGTAAACAAGTCGCTTACTTGTTCTCTGCTTTGCTCTTTTCGCTATCTTCCCATGCTCTGACAAAAGACAATCTCTTCTCTTTCGACAAATCCGCTAGCTTCACATCTATAACCCCCAAACAAATTGACCTCAGTGACTAACTTCCATAACCATTCGTTACAAACAGAAAGTAGTCGCATTGTTTTGTTTTAAGCTTACCTCTGTCGAAAGAAGCAGAAGGTTTGTTCGCCGCAGGCTCTACAGGTTCTGTAGGAATTAAGAAACTCACTCTATTAGAGAATAACAACAACATAAACAACTAAATTTCCACCAATTATGCCAAAGTATTACAGAATTGTGCTAACTTTGGTTTTTTTTGTCAACAGAATTATGCTATCTTCAATAATTTCACCCTATCAATGACAAAATCTCATCTTATAATATACTTATGCTTAATCGTTTCCAAGAAACGATTTAATCTCTGATGAAAACCCAATTCAAATAACCTAATTCTCTGGAGAAAGCTCTTAAACCAATGAAATCTAATTAAAAAACAGAGAACGCAATCCTTAGTTATGCGTAAACACAGAGAGAGCGAGAGAATTTACTCTCGACGATGGCAAGGGCTTTGGAGTCATCAGAAATATTCTCCGGAGGTGGGTTTTGGATTTTCTCCTCTGTAAGGTCTTTTGCGGCCTCGGCCGGCACAACGTCTTTTGAGACCTCCTCTGAAACCGGAGCTGGAGCCGGAATCGGGGCTGGTGCTGGAGCTTCCGGAACCTCAGCAGGAGCTGGAGTCACCGGAGATTCTTTCTCTAACGCTATCTTCTGTTCCTCCGCCATTATCTCTCAGCCGAAGAAACAGCTAATGAGAACAGAGGAACAAAAAAAAAGAAAGTAAACGAAAACGAAAAAAATTGATTAAAATTTGGAGATATTTGCAAGCAAACAGAAAGAGATTTATACTTTACTATTTCCTGATTTTGTGGAGCGTATTAACCGCGTATTTCCGTTGAAATTCTCTTATTTTCCTATCCGTTGATCTTTAAAGTCATCAAATCGTAAGGCTGTAAATCCGCTCATCCGTTGTTGATCACGTGAACTGCGATACAGGGAATCTCAATTTTGCCGACAGACGGGTAATACGGTTAAACAATGCCACGTAAAAAATACAGACTGTTTTGTAAATAATTCTATTTCGGACAAAAGCGTGACGTGGAGGAAAAAGACACGCTGGAGACAGATAATACAAAGAGGATGTCTTTCTGAGTTGTTATGGACCCCATGCAATCTCTTGGCGCGTGGAGGTTATCCTTTTCTTGTTGCCCGGTTCAAGTAACGCGTGCATGGGACGTGCCAAATATGATGGGCCTTATCTATTGGGCCTATTTTCACAATGTTTGTAAATTATCGTTGTAGAATAAGATCAAAGAGCTATCTGACAAGGTTAGTTGGCCAAATACCAAACTAACCTAGAGATTTGTTGACCAAACTAATTTTGATTCTCTCAAACTAATACATTTATTTGTTTCTGAAAATTTGTATGAGAAAGCTTCTTGTAGACAGAGGCTTTCTGATTTATAAAATTATTGGGCCCGTATTTTCTTATAATGCATTAGAGTTCTAGCAGAAAATCTATCGCATAGCTGTAATTTGACTTGAAGGATTCACCTAAACATTCAAGTTATCTATAAGGAACTAGATAAGTAAAGAAAAATAACTCCTTTGAAGGCCTTAACGGATATAAAAAAATGGAAAGTTGGCACATTTATCCAAAGTTCGTCTTGATTATGCTACTAACATTGCAATAGCCAATAAGAGATCTTCGCTTGGTGTTCACAAATCTATATAATCTAGTAAACTTTTATTTCATAAATAAATGGTGTTCAAACAAATCAATTATATTTGCTCTGTTCCGGATTCTGTTCTTAGATACAGATTGTATTTGACCAAAGCCCATAAAGGACCCACCAATAGAACACTCGAATCGATTCTATTGTTATAAAGCCCATTAAGGATCCAATTATACAATAATCTCGCGCACGTAACCGAATTTTGAACCTTGGCACAACGGTAACACAAATCAAGCCGTTAAGAACAATTAAGCCCCTTTAAATATTCTCTAAACCCTACCGATCCTCACACGATTTTGAATTTTTTCCCTCATATCTCAGATCTCTTTTTCTCCATCACGATCGTCATGATCCTCCGTTTTCACGAATTGTAAGCAAATAGGCGGCAATTCACGAATCACAGAGGACAGCGGTTACCATCGCCGGCGGCGTCAATCTTCCGTGATCGGACCCGGTTTCGTCGCGCGTGGTAATAAGACTTCGCCGGAAAACTTCAAAATGAGATTCACGGCAAGTTGAGTTGTGGGAGGACCAATATTATCAAGATTTGGCCCAAAACCCTTGATGTACTATTAGCAACTTTTATTTTCTTGCAATTCTCAGATAGCATGTTATCGGATTTGATTCCGGATATGACATGACAATAGTCACAATAATACTTTTATAGACTAAAAGTTTTGATTCGCAATCATCTTACCTGTAGTGTTAGTAGTTATCGTATAGTCTCTATTAAGTAATTAGGACTCATAATAACATGTTCGGTGAAGTTCCGAAATCATTTTGAAAGTGTATTTTTTTGTTCCTTTTCAAATCTGACAAAGAAATGAATAGAGGAAATAAAATTAATCAGTTCACGAAAGTATATTAGAATTTGTCAAAGTTAAAAGTTGTATTAGTATATCACAAAAAAAGAAAAATTCTACCAAGCGTAAGAAATGTTTATCAGACCTTGTCTTTCAAATTATTTAATTAACCGGGTTAAAGTGGAATTCTTTCAAAACAATACAAATACTATGATTACGAATTACTTGTGATGTTACTGGTCGTTTCTTTGAGTTTTTTTCTTTTCTTATAAAAATCTCCTTGAATTTTCTGCGTTATTAATGTAACTAGTTGCATTAAGGACTCTAACTAACAATATGGGACAAGACTAACATCGCTAGTCTGAGGCTCTGAGCTTGGCCTATCCTGCCAAACAACACTTTCTTACGAGGTTAAGATTTTAAGACAAGGTGAAAGTAGTGTCGAGCGTGGCCCTATCCTGCCAAACAGCTTTTATTTTTTCCAACATCCAGCCAAATTTTCTTGACCATTTGAGTTTTCTTTTTCTTAATTTCTTTAGAGTTTTTTTTCCCCATATTGACCGCAGAAATTAAGTAGTTTTTTTTTTTTTTTTTTTTTTTTTGGTAACAAAATCAAACATTTAAATACCTCAAACTTAAAATTATATAATTCATATGTTTCCATCTACATCAAATTTCATTATTCATGGACTTCAATTATAGAAATAAATATCATTATAATTGATATTAAGTTAAGGTTAATAGAATAATATCAATTAGTATAGTCTTAGTTGATATAATTTATGGTAAAAAATATAGGGAAAATTATACTCTAGACTTGTGGATTTTAAATTTCAACATAAATCTGCGAAAGTATTCTAAAATAGTATTATTATATTGGTGAGATATTCTTATAAGTTTTTTTCACGAACGAAAATACAGTTCGACATTTCACATCTCTTTATAAATGTTATTCAATAATTCAAAGATAATTAAATTTTAGTCATGATCCTATAAAAACACAGGCTAAAACCTTTTTCTTTTTGTGTATCAAACTTAGATTTCTACTATAGACCTCTTAGAACCCTTAAATTGACTACTTCATTCAGATGAACACTTAGATTCATGACCAGTGAGCTCCGCTCGAAAAGTCTCTATTAATTTTTCTCTCTTGATCTCGTGTTCTTGTTGCGTTTTGTTCGATGAGAGAAAACACACACGCGGCTGAAATCACAGAAGATCATCATCATCATCATCAGATACAACATAACCTTATAACGAGTTTAAGCTCTAAACTCGCAAAGACATGGATCACCACCAAAATCTACGTCTTCGTCCTCTTCATCTTCCTCCTTAGTGCTTCTCTCTCTTGGATGTTTACGGTATGTTTTCTCTCTTTCTCATGAAGATCTACTGCCAATTATATATAAGTTTCGTTTTTAATGGAAAAAATCATACATATTAGTATGTCATGCGACACGTTAAGGAGAATGATTGAAAGTAGGTTGTCGAGTGATTAAAGGAAGATTATACCGTTAAACAATCTAGCGAGAAGAAACTAATATATTCCTAATTTCGTTTTTTTTTAAATCTGTTGCTTCTAGCCTTACTGTATATAAAAATCTTTGAACTTGTTAAATAATATAACTCTTGGTGGTAAACCTGTAAACTTTATTACCGCAGTAGGATCTTCATTTTTATTATTTGGTGTTATTCATAGTTTGGGTTAGGTGATAATAGATTCCAAGTAACATCAATATTCACAAGAAACAATAACAAAACTACTGCCACAACAACAACAACAACAACTACTCCAAATATCCCCAAGATCCCATTAAACTGCACATTACTCAACAATACAACCACACAAACATGTCCTTCAAATTATCCGACCAAGTTCAAACCAGCAATTTCTTCCTCGGAGACATGTCCCGACTACTTCAGATGGATCAACCGAGACTTAAAGATATGGCAAAAGACAGGGATCACAAGAGAAACACTAGAGAAAGCAAGACCAAATGCTCATTTCAGGCTTGTAATCAAATCAGGGAGATTATACGTCCATCAATACGATAAAGCATTTCAGACAAGGGATGTGTTCACAATTTGGGGAATACTTCAGCTTCTAAGAATGTATCCTGGTCAAATCCCTGATCTTGAGCTTCTCTTCCAATGCCACGATAGACCCGCCATTTGGAAAAGAGACTTTAATATAAAGGAAAAGGACAAGTGGCCTCCTGCGCCGTTGTTTCATTACTGTGGCCACCGTGATGCTTACGACATCGTTTTCCCTGATTGGAGCTTCTGGGGTTGGTATGACTATTCATCAAGATTGTTTTTTTTAATAGTTGACTATTCATCACGATTGAAAATATCTAAAGTTTATAAGTCAATGACGTAGATACGTTACCAATAAACCATATTGACTGATTTTTGTTTGTGTAGGCCAGAGCTTAATATAAAGGAGTGGAATAAGTTATCGGTGGCACTAAAAGAAGGGAACAAAAGAGTGAAATGGGAAGATAGAGTTCCTTACGCTTATTGGAAAGGAAACCCTCATGTTCATGTTATAAGAGAAGATCTTATGAAATGTAACTTCTCCGACAAGTATGATCCCATGGTTCGTCTCTATGCCCAGGTATGTATATGTGTCCTCAACATCTCCCACATATATAAGTTTGAATGTCAAAATAATGCATGAGTTTTAGTAATCATTATATTGTAAATAATTTTGTTTCACACATTGTGTCAGGATTGGATAAGAGAGGTCAACGAGGGGTTTAAAGGATCAAACCTAGAAGATCAATGCACTCATAGGTACGTATATATACAAATTACATCAATAAATCACGTATACTATCTCTTGTTTTAGTTTTCATTGATAAACGCTTTTGCATCTGAAATTTTGGCATGAAGATATAAGATCTACATAGAAGGGATTGCGTGGTCAGTGAGCGAAAAGTATATACTTTCGTGTGATAGTATGACTCTGTTGGTTAAACCAGAGTACTACGATTTTTTCATTAGAAGTATGGTCCCTATGAAGCATTATTGGCCTATTAGACCAAACAACAAATGCCGTGACCTCAAATACGCAGTCGAATGGGGTAATAACAACACCGGAAAGGTAAAAAAATTGATATATTCACAATCTAAATGAAAATTCATTCCAAATCTAGTAAATTTTTGCAGTTTTATGTCGACGGATGATCACATTGTGATGATCTTAATATCTTTTTATAGGCACAAGTCATAGGGAGACAAGGAAGTGAGTACATGATGAAGAATCTAGAGATGAAGTACGTGTATGACTACATGTTGTATGTGTTGCAAGGCTATGGCAAGCTGATGAAGTTGGATGTGACTGTGCCTGAAAATGCTACCGAAGTGTGTTCAGAGACGATGGCTTGTCCGATCACTGATGGTGGACTGATCAGGCAGTGCATGGACGACTCGTTGGTTATGTCTCCGAGTGCCAAGGTGGCTTGTGATTTGCCAAGGTTTTATGGAGATGATGAGCTCAAGAGGTTACTTAAGAAACAAGAAAGTGCAGAGAGAAAGGTTGAGAAGTGGACCGATGAGTATTGGAACTTGAGAGGTCCAAAATAAGTTTAATTTTGTCTAGCTCCGCAACTGACCGCGAGTCTCTGGTTTACTTTGTATGAAATTAAATATATATAAACCAATTTGGCCAGTTTGGTTTACTTTTGAATCTTATATATAATTAGGGAGTTGCTCTCTCCATATAGAGTGTCCACATCAGCACAAAAATTCATTAAATTGTTTTTAAGATATTTAATACATGACTTTTCATATTTCTTTGCATATATTTATATTTTAAATATAAATAAAACTAAGAAAAATACACAACTAAATTACTTAATTAATATAAAATATGTGATAACTTGATGTTAAAATTTATCAAAAAGTTTGAATATAAGTAAAAATATATGTAACTTGAAATGGTATATATTTACCTTTTTATTAAAAGAATTTATCCTATTTCAAAATGTTATAATGTGTTTACAAGTTAAAAAGTTGAATATAAATTAATTAAGATAATAAAAAGCCAATGAGAAATTAGAGTTAGAGTTTATTTAAAAAAAATAGAAGTCGAGTTTTTATATGTAAATTTAATTGCAGTGAAAAACATGAAAATTTTAAGGATTGTGATATGTTTGTCTCAAAATATAATTAATATTTACAAAACTAACATAATAGAAAATAATCAATGGTTATGAGGCTCATATGCTACCACAACAAAGTAGATATGTAAAAAAGTATATATATTATTTTTTTCATCTTATTTCGGGTCCAAATGCTATTTTACATTATGCTTACAAATTTTAACGTTGAGTCCAATGCATATGCATGTTTATAGTCTAACAGAAGTAAACAAACATAATATTTATAACATGCTAAAATTTTAGAAATAGAAAACTCGAGATAAAGTGGGAGTGTTAACATCCTAATAAAATAAAATAAAAGACAAATTGTTCATATTTTTAATGTTAGTGATTGGGTTAACTCAAAACATAAACAAAAAACATGAAAGTTAATACAAAACCATCATAATTCAAATCAACAAGTATAGATAAAACTAAACAGAAAACTATCGCAAACAACCCCGCGCTTGCGCGGGGCTTCAAACCTAGTTGCTAAAATTATGCACACACAGACACAGTATACATGTACTGTAAATATCTGTGGTAAATAATTGTAAGTAAATTGAAACTGATATACAAAAATGGAAACTAAGTTATTTGGTCAACAAATCATATTTAATGTTATGTATTATCGAACTTTTGCTGTTAATGTTCTTTTTTTGGTCAAAGCTGTTAATGTTCATTATATCAAATCGAATAAATAAAATCTTCTTTAACTTGGATTTTTTTCCATGAAAATCGAGACCTGTAACTATGAAGATGAACAACAAAGGTTTTCATCAGAAGCTACATGGAATATATCATCAAATTCTGAGTTTTGCCACCACTATCTTCATCATCATCTTCATCCTCATCCTCTTTGCTTGGATTGATATGGTACTACATCTCTTATCTCATCATCTAATCATGTTAATCATGATATAAATATGTTCAGATATTATTAAATCTTAGAGTGTTCAAATAGTTTGTAATAGGTAAGAGTAGAATCCAGATGATGGCGACAACATTCTTGACAACTACAAACACAATCAACAAAATCCCATTAAACTGCAACGACAACACAACACAAACATGTCCTTTAAACTATCCAACCAAGTTCGAACCAGAGATCTATTCCCCGGAGACATGTCCTGACTATTTCAGATGGATCCAACAAGACCTAAAGGTATGGCAAGAGACAGGGATCACAAGGGAAACACTCGAGAGAGCAAAACCTAACGCTCATTTCAGGCTGGTGATCAAATCAGGGAGATTGTATGTTGATCAATACGAGAAAGCATTTCAGACAAGAGATGTGTTCACAATTTGGGGAATACTTCAGCTTCTAAGGATGTATCCTGGTCAAATCCCTGATCTTGAGCTCCTCTTCCTCTGCCATGATCCACCTGCTATTTGGAAAAGAGACTTTAAGCAAGATGGACCAAACGCCACGTGGCCTCCTCCGCCTCTGTTTCACTATTGTGGTCACCGTGATGCCTACGACATCGTTTTCCCTGATTGGAGCTTCTGGGGTTGGTACGTAGTAAAATGATTTTCTTTTAAACAAAAAAATCTTAACAAAAATGGACATAAAGGGGAATAGTTTTGAAATCACTCAGTCAGTTTCATTTGAATTATTGTCATGTAGGCCGGAGGTGAATATAAAGGAGTGGACAAAGTTGTCTGTGGCGATTAGAGAAGCCAACGAAAGGTTTAAATGGAAAGATAGACTTCCATACGCTCACTGGAAAGGGAACTCCTACGTTTCTCTTGAAAGAAGAAACCTTATGAAATGTAACTTCTCCGACAAGTATGATCCCATGGTTCGTCTCTATGACCAGGTATAGTAACTGATAGCAATACAAACGTAGCAGTAACTCACGTAAGATCTTAGTAAAAAGAAAATTGATAGTAATACTAAAAACATTTCAGAATTGGGACAAGGAGAGTGTGATAGGGTTCAAAAGTTCAAATCTAGAAGACCAATGCACCCATAGGTATATCTAAATATTTTTCATGTTTAATTTTTTGGATTTGTTAAAGGAATTAACGTTTTGGGGTTTGGAATTGGACACTTAGGTACAAGATTTACATAGAGGGTCGTGCATGGTCGGTGAGCAAAAAATACATATTAGCGCGTGACAGTATGACTCTACTAATCAAACCAGAGTACTACGACTTCTTCGCAAGAAGTATGGTTCCACTTGAACATTACTGGCCTATTAAATCTACCGAGAATTGTGGTGACCTCAAATTCGCAGTCGAATGGGGTAACAACAACACTGAGAAGGTAATTAGCAATAATTAATCCACCATCTGGTTAATTAATCTTGTAATTTCCAGTATTGACTCATCAAGATGATAATGTAGGCGCAAGCTATAGGGAGACAAGGAAGTGAGTACATGATGAAGAGCCTAGAGATGAAGTATGTGTATGATTACATGTTTTATGTCTTGCAAGGCTATGGGAAACTGATGAAGTTGGATGTGACTGTGCCTGAAAATGCGACCGAAGTGTGTTCGGAGACGATGGCTTGTCCGATCACTGATGGTGGACTGATCAGGCAGTGCATGGACGACTCTTTAGTTATGTCTCCGAGTGTCAAGGCAGCTTGTGACTTGCCACTTCCTTACGAAGATGATGAGCTCAAAAAGTTTCTTGAAAAACAAGAAAGTGCGGAGAGAGAGGTTGTGAAGTGGGCCAATGAGTATTGGAAGGCCCAAGAATAGTTTATTCAACAACAGAAGTTAGTATAAACCTCAATTAACATGTTTTGATCTCTAATTCAAAAGAATCATAGACAACAGAACTACATGATTACAAATAGTCATTTGCTTAATTGTATAAGTTAGCCGTATAGCCAACTAACTATTTCAGAAAATGAAAATGGTATGATATTAATTGGTTAGACATTCCATTTATATATAAATTTAAACAATGAAGGTGAGTTGATCCAATAAAAAAAACAATGGAAGGAAAATAGTCGGAAGCTTCTTTTGTTGTTGCTAATTTGATTACAATGAACAAAATAATATATGCAGTACATGACCGTATGTTGGTCGTTTAATGTAGATTACAATATTGTCATTTCATTCCCCAATCTCAAATTCTCAATCTGACTTGTTGGCAACTAATGTTTAGTTTAATATCAAAATCAAAAGATGTTGCATAATGATTAGCGGCACGATTAACGAACAGATAAGCGCGTTGCGTAACCATAATTAATCACGGTCAACGTTAAAAACAATTTTCCCCGAAAAAACATTCCCCTAGTTGTCTTGTGAGACAAGTCTCCACGATTCTGACTAAGCGTAGAAGAAACTTTCAAAACCTCTACTCTGTTTTTTTCCTCAGAAATACCAATCGCTTTCTCTGTGTAAGAAAGTCAAATGAGTAATAATCTGAAACTTGGCGTTGAAGTCATAAGCGCGAGGCTCAACCCCAAAGAAGAGATTTCTTACGGTGATGGCTACGGTGGTGTTAACGCCTTCGTCGAGCTACGATTCGACGATCAAAAAGTCAAAACCTCGACTAAACACGACGATTCGAGTCCGGTTTGGAACGAGAAGTTCTTCTTCAACATCTCTGAATCAGAGGATCTGTCGAATCTTGTTCTTGAGGCTTACGTTTACACTAAAACCAGCAACATCACAAAATCGTGTCTCGGCAAGATCCGAATCTTCGGAACTGCGTTTGTGCCCTACTCAGAAGCTGTCGGATTAAATTACCCTCTTGAGAAAGACAAATGGAGCGTCTTCTCCTCCTCAGCCGCCATTAGACGTGAGCTCGCTCTCAAAGTGTTTGTAACTGATAACCCCTCTCTCAAGGCACATAATCCAACGCATACAAAGAAGATTACTTCTAACACAAGGCACCGATTCCACAACATCCCCTCAACGGAGAAGAGTAAACCTAGCCAACGAAAACATCAGCAATCGCCTCAACCGCAACCGCCTCAATCGCTGCCACTTCAAACGCAACTGCCTCAACGACCACCGGTTATGGAAGCTTCTCGACATCAAGCCGTGAGGTTTGCATCACCGATACCTACAGCAATGGGATTGAATCCGAATCCACCGGATTATTCAATCAAAGAAACGAATCCGATTCTCGGAGGAGGCAAACGAGGAAGAACCACCACAGGTCATGATCTCGTGGAGCCAATGGAATTCCTCTTTGTCAAAATCGTGAAAGCTCGGAATCTTCCAACAATGGACCCAACCGGAAGCCTAGATCCGTATATCGAAGTCAAACTCGGAAACTTCACGGCGAAAACCAAACATTTCGAGAAGAATCAAAATCCGATTTGGAACGACGTCTTCGCTTTCTCCAAATCCGATCAACAATCAAACTTTCTCGATGTCGTCGTCATGGACAAAGACGTGATCAAAGACGATTTCGTCGGCTCGATCCGGTTCGATCTCAATGAGATACCGACACGTGTTGCACCGGACAGTCCTTTAGCTCCGGAATGGCACAGAGTCAACGCCGAGAAAGGAGGCGAGATTATGCTGGCGGTTTGGTTCGGTACGCAAGCCGACGAAGCGTTCTCAGACGCAACGTACTCAGACGCTCTAAACGCCGTTAACAAATCGAGCGTGCGTTCTAAAGTCTACCATTCTCCAAGGCTGTGGTACCTTCGCGTTAACGTCATCGAGGCACAAGACTTGGTTGTTGTACCAGACCGGACTCGGTTTCCAAATCCATTTGTAACGATCAAATTAAGTAACCAAATGGTTCGAACCAAACCGAGTCAATCGGTTAACCCGAGATGGAACGAAGAGTTTACGCTTGTAGCGGCCGAACCGTTTGAAGATCTGGTTATCTCGATCGAAGACCGGGTCGCGGTTAACAGAGAGGAAACGATCGGAACGGTTAAGATACCGATCGACTCAATCGATAGACGGGTCGATGATAACCGGACAGTACCCAACCGTTGGTTTAGTCTTGCGTTAGATAACCAGAGGAGAGTCAGATTCGCGACGACGAAGCTTCTCCTGAACGTTTGCTTAGAAGGAGGCTATCACGTTCTCGACGAATCTACTTACTACAGCAGCGATTTCAGACCGTCGATGAAAGAGCTCTGGAATCGTCAGCTGCAGCCGTCGATTGGTGTTCTCGAATTAGGGGTTTTAGGAGTGGAAGGTTTGATGAATCAGAGCCAAGACGGGAAGAAAGAGACGGTTGATGCTTACTGCGTGGCTAAGTATGGAACCAAATGGGTCAGGACCCGAACCGTTACAAACAATTTAAACCCGCGGTTTAATGAGCAGTACACGTGGGAGGTTTACGAGCCAGCGACTGTGATCACAATCGGCGTTTTCGATAACGATCAGATCAATGGTAACGGCAGCAACAGAGACGGGAAGATTGGGAAAGTCAGAGTGAGAATCTCGACGCTGGAATCAGGAAGAATCTACACGAATTCGTATCCGCTTCTTGTGCTTGGACCGTCCGGTTTAAAGAAAATGGGGGAGTTGCATTTGGCGATCCGGTTTACTTGCACGTCAATGTTTCAGATGCTGGTTCAGTACTTTAAACCGCTTCTTCCCAAAATGCACTACGCGAGACCGTTGAAAGTCGTGCAGCAGGAGATTCTCCGGCAGCACGCGGTTAACCTGGTGGCGGCTCGGTTGAGCAGAGCAGAGCCGCCGCTGAGGAAGGAAGTAATTGAGTACATTTCGGATTCGAATTCGCATTTCTGGAGCATGAGGAAAAGCAGAGCGAATCTATTCAGATTAAGATCGGTTTTCTCCGGTTTACTCGGTACGGGGGAATGGTTTCAAGATATCTGCAGGTGGAAGAAACCGGTAGCGTCTACAGCGGTTCATGTGCTCTACTTCGCGTTTGTGTGTATGCCGGAGATGATTCTTCCGATGACGTCTCTCTGCTTGTTCATGGTCGGTGTATGGAACTACAGACTGCGACCGAGACAACCTCCGCACATGGACACAAGACTCTCATTTGCAGACAATATTCATCCTGAAGAGCTAAACGAAGAGTTCGACACGTTTCCATTTTCTTCACAAGACATGGGGATGGTGAAAATGCGGTACGAGCGGTTGAGGAGTATCGCGAGCAGAGCTCAAACGGTTGTGGGAGATATAGCTGGTCAGGGAGAGAGGGTTATGGCTCTGTTAAGCTGGAGAGATCCAAGAGCGACTTCGATTTTCATGGTGTTGTGTCTGTTTTCATCTGTTGTTTTGTATGTTGTGCCGTTTAAGGTCTTTGTTCTTCTCGCTGGATTATACATCATGAGACATCCGAGGTTCCGGCGAAAGACACCTCCTGGTCTTGTTAACTTCTTCAAGCGACTTCCTGCAAGAACAGATTGTATGTTGTAGAATGCATAAAAACATATATGAAACAAATTTTGCAAAGAAACCAAATTCCATTTAATCGAAAGATCAAAGATTCTGAAAATCACTACTAGTCTTTATCTTTCCTAAAGATTACAAAAAGACTTTTCTCAGATGAGGTTAGGTTAAGTCTTTTGTTTCTTCTTCTTCTTCTTCTTCTCCTAGATTCAATGATTTATATACACATGAATCATCCGCGCATAAGATCAATGTCCATATGAGCATGATGCATGTCCATTGATCTTGAACCGGATGACCAAATGCCTACGGGAGCCTGAACAAGGTTCTGACTTTGCTGCTGAGTCTGAACAGGAGGAGATGCTGCTGCTGTGTTGTTGTCGTTGTTGTCTAAAGCATCAGTGTCTTGGACATCTTCAGAAGCATCTTCTGGTTTCTTAGCCTTCGCTTTAGGAATCGCCCAAATGAAGCTCCCAACGATAACCTTTTAAGGAGACAAACACACAAGTTTTAGAAAATGATGATCTGAAGAAATGGAATTTTGACAAGAAGAGCTCTCACCTGAACAGGGCTTGCAGCTATGAGAGGACCTCCAATTCCACCACCAATGACACGACCATCAGGACTAGCTAGTGAGACTGATAGATTCCCAGTGCGGTTAGGGTAGTCATTGTCACTTGTGTTGAGATAAGAAGTTGAGAGAGATATCAGCTCGAAACGACCCTATAAATAGTTTGCCAACATGAGTATTAACTGTTTATTGTCTTCTAAAGGTTACAATTAACTGTGAGAGAGAAAAAATGGAATTGAACCTCGTATGTGATCGTTCCATGGGAGGGTGATGGATGAAGAAGAGTTGCAGTAGACACTGCACCACTAGCGGACAAGACACAAATCGCTCTTGGACCTTGCTGCGAGAAAGATATCACCTTTGATGCGATGTCCTGAAAACAGAACACAAGAGCCTTTAAAAAAACAGATTTTGATCATCACGTAAGGAGGAGAGACTTGAGCGTAAGACATACTTCACCAACGGACACTACGATTACGTGCGGCGTGAAGCTCATTCCCGACGATGAAGGCATCAATTCACCTTACCAAAAACAAATTAAGACAGGTTTTTCAGACAAAAACCAAAGCTTTTTGTAATGAGACAAAATCACAATTTCAGGACAGAAATTTAGTAAACATAATAGTTTAAATCTAAGAAAGGGCCACTGGAATAAAAGATTTTTATATTGAATTCTAAATTTGACACTTAGAGATTAAAATAAGAGCCAATAACAGCTGGAGTTTCACTTCCCACCAATTTCAAAACCATTGTCTTCATAAACTATATATATGTAACCTAATTAAGCTCATAAACTACTTTTTCACCATTTTCAGAGCATTTCATGAACAATGTCAACAAGAGCAAGAGGAAGAGAGAGAAAGGAGGGTTTTTAGTGTTTACCAACGGAAGCAAGACGTTGCTTCTTGCCGGAGCCAGGAGGTCTTCCGCGGCCACGTTTGTTGGAGTTCGGGGAAACGGTGGAGACTGAAGGAGACAATGCCAAGGAAACAGAGCCATCTTGTCCGTATTTTCGAGGCCGTCCTCTCTTCCGCTTCACAGAGGCCTCACCAGACGGAGGAGGAGCATTCGCAGCTGAAGAATCAGCCGGAGAAGACTCAACGGGTAAAGGAGGAGGCACGAATCCGGCGGAGCCGCCGCCACCTCCAGGGTTTGAGTTCTGGTTTAGGTTTGGGTTTGGGTTAGAGCCGAAAGGAGAGTTGGGATTGGAGAAATGGTGAAACCCTTGTGATCCGTGAAACCCTGGAGGAGGAGGAGGTGGAGGACCCGAACCGGGTATTCCTCGTTGGATGTAGTAAGAACCCGACCCGGATAGCGCCATTGCTTCTCTTCGATCCATAGCTTCTGACTTCACACTTAGTTTAGTTTTCAGTGAAAAGAAAGATGCGAATTCGCTGGGGGACCCTAAAAGGTTCCAACTTTGAGGCTAATTGGGTACTAAAAGGGGAAGTGAGAAATCTGATTTTTCTTTCTTCTTAAGAGAGGATAAGTGGATAAGAACAAAAACAGAATCGATAAGACTTTAAAAGATATAAACTTGGAGAGTAAGGTAACATGCAACCGAAAATTCCTAAAAAAACTTATCAAAAACACAAACTTTCCTTTCAATTCATTTCCTTATGTAGCTTAAGAGAATTTAGATCCAGAAAAAGAATTGTTTTCTTCTCTCTTTCATACTCTCAACAGAAACAAGAAATGAGATGTGAAGCTTTCTCCTCCATCAACAATGGTGAAGAAGAAAAGGTTTTTATTTATTTTTTCTCTCTCTCTCTCTCTCTCTCTCTCTCTCTCTCTCTGTTTCTTGTGTTCTTTGAATGTAATGTTGCTTTTTTGCTTTTACTGGGTGACAGAGGGAAACAGAAAAAAACAAAAAACTATCAATCAGATTCCTTCCCCTAAGCATTTACTGTGGATAATATGACAATGGGATGAATGATATTTCAAATTCGAAATTAAAATTGATGTCTGACTTTGACTGTAAGGAGCACTCTCTCCCCTCTCTCTAATAGACTTCTTTTCTAGCATCTAGCAACTTATAGGTGTGTCATGTGTGTGTGGTCTTAGGCGCGTGTATCAGACGAGATACTGAGAGTGAGAGAGTGGACCTCACGCGTAATGAAATGGAGAGTGAGGAAAGTGATGTGATCTAGTCAAGACTTGTTCCTCTCTGGCTTCCACTTCATAGCTTATTCATGATGATGACTAAAACCTGGCAAAAGCTTTTTCAATTTATCAAACTCCTTTTTCCCTCAAAGATTAGATTCGAACTATATTGTTTACCATAAATACTCGAGACTGTAACTATACATACATTCATTAGCAGAAATATATGAAGCTGTCTTCATGTGAATAGAATAGGGACAAGAATTATAATTATTTAATCCACAATAGGGACAAGAACTATAATGAACTAAAACCGTTTGATAAATTTGGACACAAGAATCTCAACTTTTAGCCACTTCATGGAAGATAGGTTCATCAACCTAATTTCCAATTAAGATGAACATTTACTGTTGGGAAATTATGGGTTCGAGTGTGAAGCTTAAATAACTCGTGTTGCTTCTTTGTCTTTGCCAAATTGTTTTTCTTTCTCTGTCAAAACCTGCTCAGGCCCATTGTTATTTGTTAACAACCCGAGGCCCAATACTTTTGACAAACGGCGTCGTTTCAGTGAACAATCCTAGAACAACCGTTTCAACGACCTTTCCTATCACTTGTTCACCTCTCTGATTCTTCTTCTGCATCATCTTCGTCTCTACCAAACCCAAACCCAAACCCTAAACCCCTAATTTTCCCGCCAATGTATCAGTCCATAAACCTATCAGTTTCTTCTAATTTCACTCACCGATCACTCTCCGAATCACGATTCCCTATATTCTCCACCGGATTCCGCAAATCCGTCCACCTCAAGCCTCCTCGCGTCTCATCCGGCCCAGAATCCGGCGAATCAGCTCCGAAATCCTTGACCGATAAGCTTATATTGTTCCTGAGAGTCGTGCCGGACTGGGCGGACGAGATCAAGGAGCGTGGGATGCAGCAGAAACGGACTCTCTACACCCACGAGAAATGGGTCGAACACAGGAGCTCTCTCCGCCATGTCCGCCACTTGGTCTCGAGCTTTTCTTCTCGCGTCATACTCTCTCTGATTCCCCCTGTTTTCTTCTTCACATCCGTCGCGGTCGTAATCGCCAGCTACAATTCCGCCGTGGCTCTGGACTGGCTTCCCGGTATCTTCCCGATTCTCCGATCCTCCTCGCTTCCGTATCAGCTCACAGCTCCTGCTCTAGCTCTTCTTCTGGTGTTTCGCACGGAGGCTTCGTATTCTAGGTACGAGGAAGGAAGGAAAGCCTGGGTTGCGATCATTTCTGGAACGGATGATTTAGCGAGGCAGGTGATTTGCTCCGTTGATAGCTCAGGTGACGATTTGATCATCAAGGATTTGCTTCTTCGCTACATTGCAGCTTTCCCTGTGGCGCTTAAGGTAATCGATTGTGTGTCTTTGTTTACACAAAATCGGTTTGTGGATTGTGATTGATTGAATTTTTGTTCTTTTCTCAATTGCAGTGCCATGTGATTTATGGTTCTGATGTCGCAAGAGATCTCCGGAATTTGATAGAAGCAGATGACTTATCTTTGATTCTTCAAGCAAAGCACCGTCCTCGATGTGTAATCGAGTTCATTTCTCAGAGCCTTCAGCTGCTGAAGATAGACGATACTAAGAGAGATTTGTTGGTAGCTTTCACGAATCCTTGAACAAGAATTACTTTATAGCTATGAGACTATTGAAACGGTCTCATCCATTGGCTTACATATTTGATTGTTTCATTTGCGTCGCTGCAGGAATCAAAGATGCTACATTTACATGAAGGCATTGGAGTGTGTGAACAGTTGATGGGCATTCCGATTCCTCTCTCTTACACACGCTTAACCTCGAGGTTTTTAGTCTTTTGGCATCTAACTCTCCCGATCATTCTCTGGGATGAATGCCATTGGATTGTTGTTCCTGCTACTTTCATTAGTGCCGCGTCACTATTCTGCATTGAAGAAGTACATTTTCCTCCTCCTATTTGTTTTTCTAATCTCATTTAGCTTAAATACCTAACCAAGAAACACTTCCTTTTTTTGGGGTTGAAACTATGCAGGTGGGTGTTCTTATAGAAGAGCCATTTCCTATGTTAGCCTTAGACGAGCTATGCGATCTCGTGCATAGTAACATCCAAGAAGCTGTTAAATCAGAGAAAGTCATACGTGACCGCATCATTGCAAAGATAAAGGTCCATGAATTCAAACACTCATCAAATGGACGACATAGTTCTTGATTTCTAGTACACTCTGATGCGTTTTGTCTTCCTTGAGAGAGGGGTTTGGAATTGGAACATGTGATGGCTTTAGGTTAGCTTTGATATATATATACGTGTTGTATAGAAACACCTTATACTAGTTGATAGTGGAACTTTTACTTTGAACGTTTCTATATCTTCCTCTTGTATATGTTTATGCTGTATATATGCAGATTCAACCTTTACATAAGTCATAGTTTTGCATCTACAGATCACGAGTGACATGAATAATACAATAATAGTAGGAGAGAAACAAAATTACAGGGGTTTATGTAACAACAAAAGAATAACTGGGAATTTCTGTAATGAATGAAAAAATCGAACAACAATAATATCTCTAATTTCGAATATTAGCCAGGTGTGTGTTATTAAGTTCACTGAAGAAAATGGTAAAGTTGGAAACTAACAACTCAGATTTACAAAGATCAGAAGAAGGAAGATGCATCTAGAGGATGAACGAGATACGTCAGCACTAGCGCAACCACCATTAGCAAATACGCAATCCCTTGATCGATTGATGTTCCTGTTAATCAAAAAAACACACAGAAATTCAGGTTTCAGTTTTCTCAAAATTCGAAACTAATTGAGTATGATCTAGGATTCATGAGGCGGAATTGATCGATTCTGAAGGCAATGTGAACAAAAAATTGAGGAGATCGTGTTTGTGAGAAATGGAATTCGAGATATTCCGAGGAATCTAGAGCAATTATACATTCAGATCTGGAGAGAGAAGAGAGAATGTGATCGGAAAACTAACCGTCGCTTGTGGGAGAAGGAGCAGGAGCTAGCGATTGAGCGCCGGCGAAAGGAGCGACGACGGCGAAAACGAAAGCGAACAAGGCGACAACGGCAACGGAATTACTGGACGCCATTTCTGGTTTTCTGTACGATATTTTCCGGCGAGAATAGAAAGGAAATTACGAGAGAGAGAGACGAAGGTGAATGAATCTGTGCGTGAAGAATCTCCGGCGAGAGAGAGAGAGAGACGACAATTGAGACAGAGGCAAGACAAATGGCTAACGCGTTTATATAAGACAGAGCTACTTGACGGTTACCTGCTGTAGCCGGTAATCACTCTTTTGCTGAGCCATTAACTTAAGAACACGTGTCTTTTTTCTTTACTGATTTTTCTTTCTTGACTATTCCTCATGGTTTCTTTTGATTTTTGTCCGTCAATATTGGAATTGGAATTTTTTAGTGGAACGCGTTGAGTATGTCCAGAATCCAGATGTCATATTTTCACAATAGAGAGCTGGATTTCACTTGAGTGAAAATTTGTGTAACGGCTAGTACGTGTTGTTGATTCACCGTGTTACTAGGTGTAATCCAGATTTTGATATTTGCCAAAATAAGAAAGATCAGCAATTGGTTCAATCATTATCGGAACAAGTTTTTGAATTATTTTTTGCAGTTAGAACAAAACAAAAAATATGACATTTCAATTAGGCATTAGCCTATGTCTCACGTAATGATCTTGCAATTGTGAATATCGTGTCAGTTGGTCAATGTTGATTAGTTTCAACAACGACGTCGTACTAGCAGCCAAAAGAGAGTTGACTAACACCTTTCAACAATCAAGTTCTCTCACAAACACGTACAGTTTATGAATTTTTGCTTTTTTAGGATTTCTGAGACTACTGACCATAGATACTAGATAGCATCACACATACGCAAATCCTTGGGAAATGTATGATCTTGTTACGAAGTCCTGCAAATCAAATATTCGTTTTTTTTCACCTATGGATAAGGACTTACATTGATAGAATTCATCAAAGAAACAATTTGCAAAATCGATCGCCCATGAAAACAAGAGTTCAACAACATAAATCTTAAGCTCAAAACAACCATGGTCCATGGCTCACAAACGTATGAACCACATATGAAAAAAATAAAGACTTTACTAGAAAAGTAATAAAGAAAGAGTAAATCCAATAAGATAGCTAGTGAGAAAAAGAACTGCCTCATGCATGATCTAAACTCTTGACAAAAGTGTTACATCTTCTACATGGTCTAGAAAAGTGTAAGCTTTACAAGATTTATAAGCTTCCATTCCTCGGACTTCAACTCTTTTGAGAGTGTTCCTCTCAGGATTGTAGTAGATAAGGTAGAAAGAGTCGGATATAGTGTTTGGCGACAAGACAATTTCACCTGTACTAGTCGTTCCAACAAAACACAACCTGGTCTTTTCAAATATACTCTTCCTATGAAGAGGAAAAACATAGATATGTCTCGACCACTCATGTTTCTCGGCGTCTTCTAGAACCCATAGTTGAATACCGTTGTACCCTTCGTTGTTATTACCAATGTTGGGCTGGAGCTTGGCTAATTTACCCTTGTAGTTTACCAGAGTTGATTCAAGCTTTTCTCCCACGTTTACGTTCATACCTTCGTCAGCTTTCTTGATATAACTAAATTTCTCAGATCTTATATCAAAGCAAGCTATATCGGGATACCCGTCAAACTCGTCATGAAATACGATGGCTACGTAATACAAAACACCATTGATGCATATCCCATCATGTAGATAAAAGCCATTGGTATGCTCCGCAAAATAAGGATAATGTCGCACGTAACATTCAATCATTTTCCATGAATGCTTCTCTTTGGCTTCTTCTAATGTCAGAAGTTGATGCTCTGCAGAATTAGGGAGTCCACCTTCTGATGATAAGGTCATGCACAATACTTTGAATTGTTTGTCGATCGGGTCATACCCAAAACAGCTCATCACTCCCTTCTTCGTTGTTCTCACTTTTGGTAAGGCCAAGGACTCTCCAGTGCTAGGGTTACATATCAACGGCACAGTAACTGTTCCTTCTTTTGAAGTCTGTTGCCTTAAACCACACACCAAGCCACGAACAGGACGACAAACACCCGTGGGACAGTTGATTGGGAAGCTCATATGAACATTGGCGGCTATAGGAGACGGCAGCTTTTGAGGATGAACTTGAGGACGTGGCGATGAGAAGAAGTACGTCTCGCCGTCTTTTAGGCATGTGAACAATAGGTTATTGCGAGACGAAGATATTGCCCTGAACGACTCTTTGAAATCAGGACTGCGGATTGTGGATTCCCATAGCTTCGAAACGCTTCGAAATCTCCCTATAGACTTCACAGGCGATCTCAAGAGAATCTCGATCACGAGATCGAATGGGATCTGTTCGAATACAACGACCGGAAGAGATCGTGCCTTGCGCCGCCTTGTCATTTTTGTGGTGGAGAAGCTTCTCCTAAACCTTCTCCCTTTTCAATTAAAAAAAAAAGAAAAAGTGACCTAAATCGCTTAAAACGTGCCCCTCAAGATTTAGAGGTTTTTCAGAATTTAAGGGTCTATATGTAAAATATTAATAGTACGAGGATCTGAACGCGAAAATAAAATAAAATGTGGCTGCCTATGCAAAATGATGTCGTTGGTGTCTCTGGCCCAAATTGGTTGATCCTTGCAAACAACATATGCTGTTTCTGTTGCTAATGTAAAATCACAATACTGTCATTCTAGTTTATATAACAACAAGACCCAAATCCAAATCTCAAAAGCTTTGGTTCTTGATTGCTCAACGTAGGAGCCAACTCCATTATCTACCAAGTTTGATCGTTTAGGAAATTAGTACACTGGTGAGTATTGTATACAACTCAGCATACTAATCTCTCAATGTGGTTGGTTTGCAAAACAAGAACCGATTACATTTGAAGTTCACCTTCTAAATTAGCAGTGTTAAAGGAGGCGGCAAAAAGCTATTCAGTTTCTGCATCTTCGTCTTCAATTCCTCTAGTTTCTCCAATTCGTCTTTACTTGATAATGAGGTCTCTAACATTCGAAACACTGGTTCGCTCACACACCTTCCTCTCTCCACCGTCTGCATCGAGCACTCAAATGCATCATCACCTCTTCTCCGAGCACACAATGCAGTAGTAAGGAGATCCAATGCGTGGCCATGAGGGCAATACCCTTTCTCAATCATATACCTCCACAGGTCAAGTCCCAAATTCGCTTCACCGTTGTGACAGAAGAGCTTCATCAGCATCACAACCGTTGGTGTTTTCGGAACCAGAGATCTCTCCTTCATTTTCCGATAAAGCTCACACACACCTTCGAATCCAAACTCTTTTGATTTCATCATTCCGATGAACATGGAGTGGAAAGTTACACTGTCCGGCTCGATTCCTCCCTCTTCCATCTCCTTCATCACCTCGATTGCGCCACTCACATCTCCGCATTTCATTAGACCACTCATCAAAGCGTTATAAGCTCCACAATCAGGTTTCAACCCTCTCTCGGGAATTTCGTCGAACAGTTGGCGTGCTTTGATCTTGTTCCGAGCTACACCAGCGCCATGGATCAGTGTTGTGAGTATCTGTAACGTGGCTTCGAGTTTCCGTCGATCCATTTCTTCAAACAGCCTCAGGGCTTCCCCAAAGTTCCGTTTTTTGCAGAACCCATCGATTCTGATTCCGAAAGTGACGGAATTGGGTTCGAATCCTCGTTTCACCATTTCATGGTAGAAGAGCTCTGTAGCGGTGATATCACCAGCTTCCTTAAACCCTAGAAGCAGAATGTTCATCGTCTTCACGTCTGGGTTAAACCTGAAATGCAATTTCTCGAAAATCGATCTCGCCTCCTTCATCTCTCGCTCTGTGCAGAATGCTCGGAGAAGAATGTTGAACTCATCGACGCCGAATTTCTTCCTGAATATCTTCTTCTCCATCCTCGCGAAAGCTTCTAGAGTCTCTTCGTAGGAACCGAATTTAGCGATTTTGCAGAGAAGGATGCTCATTGACTTGACGGTCAACAGATTAGGGTAATCATTTCGCATTTCCGCCATTAAAGCCCAGGCTTGATCGAAGTACCGCATCCGTGCTAGAATGTGAAGTGTTTTCTCGAAGGAATCGGATGTGGGAGAGGATTTGGGGGTTTTAAGTGAATACTTGAAGAACTCGAGAGCTTTGAGACCATTGGAATGAGCAGCGAAGAGACGACCGAGAACCTCCGATACGAAGTCCGGCGACAGAGAGGATAAAGGGATGTGCTTGGCGAAAATGGGCTGAATCGGATGATTGGGAAAGGGATGATCATTGATGATCCTGGTGACACGCTCGATCTCTGTTCTGTTTCTCGATATAGAAGATGATGATAACGCCGGAGCAAGAAGACGATACGAATCGCCGGCGGTTTTCTTAAGCATTTTTCTCAACCAGAAAATGAAAGATTCAGACCGACTGAAATCGCTAGTACAAGTATAATTTGTGTAAACCATTTGAACCGAACCAAAATCATATAAAATAAAGACTGATCCGAAATTCGGTTTGTTCTGGTTATCAGTCTTGTTATAATTAATTAGGTTTCGCGCGACGGCTCGGAATATCCATAATCGATTAATCGGCGACTCACGAGCTTTTTCGTCGGTGAGGAAATTTCTTTGACGGAGGCTCAAGTGAACGGGTAATTTATTTTTATTTCTCAGCATGTCTTTTAATCCGTACGAAGACCTGTGAGCTTTTTGGTTCGTGTATGGTTTTACTCTCGGTTCTGTAGCTAGAGCTCAATCAATTAGGATATGCACGGAAGGTGTTTGACGATTTGCCTGTGAGAGTAGCAATTCCTTCTGTGATGAAACTTTGTCACATAGTTTGTTTGGGAAAATCTGAAGTAGAAAAATCTTCCCTTGTCACTAGGAAGAAGAAAGTTTTGTCTTTGAAATTTCTGAAAAAAAAAGTAGAAATTGTTGCATACTACTAGTTATTTGACCAATGTTACTAAGATTTAACAAGAGCTTAATGTAAGAATATCACTTCTGGGACTTCAGGAAGTTGCAATAAGTACAATGGCAACGGAAACGGCAAAGAAGAAGGGAACTCCACAGATTCTTAAAACAGATACGGCACAAAAACTTGTAAGATTTTCCTCTTTGGATTGGAGCTAAAATTTGCATTTGAATTAGTGTTCTTCAAGTTCCTTACTTGCATTGATATCTTTCGGATTCATCTCACCGCTTTGTGTTTGCTCGTTATTCAGGCTGAGAAGTGGGTTGCTAGTATGACGAGGTCTACGGAGAAGGATCCTGTTGAGGCTGAACAAGAAGCTCGGCCACACAGGTGAAGGAATATTTTAATTTTACTTGTTAATTTGGATTTCATTTGAGAATATAGAGCTGAATACAAGTATCATCATTTAAACCCCATGCCATAGGCTTGGACTTGGTGCTAAAGTGTCAAAGGAAATGAAGCGTAAACCCTCAGACGACCCTATTGATCAAAAGCTACAAGCCAAGTTTGATGCAGGAAGAAGAAAACATGCGAGATTAGTAGCAGATGCCGCTGGTTCTAGTAAGAACGCCGGTGATGATGACAGTGAGGAGGAGGATGAATCAGAGAGCAAGAGCAAAGCATTCGGCAAGAAGAAGGAAAACACAAGTACGCCTCGTTAGTATTTCGTCATCTAATATAGCTAAAATCATGGTCTTGTATTTGTTTTAATTGTGGACAAAGAGCTAAAACCGTATAATTTTAGTTTGTATTGGAACATGATGATTGGAAAAAAAAAAGCTTTGTGTTATCACCACCACTCTAGTTCATACTCATACAAAACTCTCTTGGCTGAGTAAACTACAGAAGCCACTGGAAAGCAAAAACAGAGTATTGCACGTGAAAGTGAAAGAAACAAATAAGTCTTTGTTTGATGTTAAAAAAAAAAAGCTGTGGTTGTGCCACTGCACAAGAAGGTCAACTAGAGAGCATTGACAGTGGCAGTGGCAGTGAAACTGTACAGAGGATAGACAAAAGGTTAACATAAAGAGTCTCTCATCACAGGTTGTTGATGTTCCGGTCGTCCTGCATTGTCTCTGCAGCTTCTGATGATCTCTTCTAATAAATCATCAAGGATCATTTCACTTGCACCGGAACCAATGCACCCGATATCAAACCGGAGATCCATCCAGCTTCCGGTTCTGGCCATGTCTTTTCTCACAATCTGATCTAAAGTGTGAGGAGAAGGCAAAGGTAGAAGATGCCAGTAAACACCTTCTTGTGCCACTTTAGCTGCGATTTCCATGTCTGAGATTAGATGGAGCTCAGGTTTCACGAACGAAATCCAAGGCCCTGGATTCAATTCGTTCCGGCAAAAGTCCATAAGAACTTCATTGATACAGTCGTAGAGGAGATTCTTGTCGTCGCAGAGCTGTGTAGCACAGAAAACTATGTCGTCGTCTGTTAGTTCTGGCTCAAGAAGCTCTTCAGAGTAAAAGGGTCTCGTCAAAAGCTCGTCCCAGCTTAAACCTGAGGATTTCACTAGGGCTTCAATGTATGCAAGTGTTGATTCCTTGTCGTCTTCCATACTTGTTTTGAGATTGTTGGCTTTGTCTGGCTTTGGAGAATCAGCTTCGTCGAATCTTATACAGAGTGGTTGTATCCGCATTTCACCTGAAATGTGAATCAATAAACAGTAAGAAACCTCTCAACCCTCAGCTGATTTTGAAAATTCCTTATTCAATGCATACATACCTGAATTGAATCTCGTGCTTGTTGTTGGGCTACTGTCATCATCTGTAAATAGAGGCTCAAGCACAGACACTGGACTTAACTCTCCATGCACGTCAGTGGAAGTTTCTTGGCATTCAGTCAGCTTTACTGAAGAACTCGGTGGAGATTCTGGAGGAGAAGACGGTGATGAATGCGCTTGGTATGGCATTTCCTGTAACAAGATAAACCATGAAATATGAAACCTCATTCAAGAAAACACAGAATGTATTCACTTATATTATACACAAAAGCTGTCTAACCTCATTCAATGATTGCTTTTCCTCGTCTTCTTCATGAAATTGAAGCACATCTTCATCAACATATTCGGATAATGGATCTATCTCAGTCTTCGTCTCTGCCACGTCCATATTCTCTATTTCCTTCTCACAGCCTGAAAGCATTTTGTTAGAACAATGGAAATGCTATTGAACATTAGAAGAAACAGATTAAAAGAGAAGAAATCACCTTCAGGAACAGAGATATCAATGGTAAACAATGTGTCTTCATGTTTATCAGAATCTTCTTCATCGGTGAGATCATTTGGACCTGAACTGCATTGCGGAATCTTTGGTTCCTCAGTTGTTTGGCTTAAAGGGCTAATATGGCCAACCAAATCATGCGCAGGGATGAGTCTAGGACTATCTGTTGGTGAAGAGAACTCAGGGAGAGAGAGAATCCTCCCAAGGATTCTTGGTACTTCTTTGTCTGGCAAACTCACATCTATATCTCCATTTGCAAGCATCTCAGACAAGTGTCTCTTGGCTGCAATATACAAGCCGGACATAATCTTCTCTGAGTCTTCGCTTGTCTGGTCGGTAGTATCAGCTTTATCAGCATTACATGACAGTGGTGGCTCTTCTTCATCGGAAAGCTTCTTACTCTGAATCTCTTCTTGCAAACAACAGTTTTGGCTCTTATCACATGACTTCTTTCCAACAGCAGCTTGTAGTCTTCTTTTGATCAAACCGATGAGAAACCGAGAGAATGTTCTACTACCGTTTTTGGACTTGTTGCAAGGTCCAGATGAAGAAGAATCAACATCCAAACTAGGTTTCAAAACCACAATCGTTTTCCCTCTCCTCTCTTGTGATGATCTCCATTTCTTGCTGAAGAATTTACTTTTCTTGTGCGATACTACCACTGCCTCTTGTTTCAAGACTACTTCAGGCTTTTCTTCTTCTTGTTGTTCTTCTACTCTCTTAGAATCTCCCACCATGCTTTGAGCATCTTCATGTGAAATCTTCTTGAGGAATGATTCTTCTCTAGAATCCAAAACATGAAACGCCTCCAACAAGTCCTTGCATGTTTGGATCTCTCCTTCTTTCTGAGCTATCAACCGCTTTATTATCTCTCTGAATCTTTCTTCAGATTCATCAACTGAATTCTTACAAACCTCTGTCTCTACTACATGTTCATCGATATCCTCATCAATGAGCTTCTCTTGAGAGCTCTCACAAAAACAGTTCAGCTGCTTCTTGTCATTATAATTACCTGCGTAATTAATTAGTAAAACAGAAAATGAGTAAGAAGAATTTTTTAAGAGACGTTTTTTAATGAAATTACAAGAACCTGAAAATCTTCTGCTTCCACGTTTGAAATCCATCAAGAGACGCTTATGGTTAGATCCAAAGATGCTGATGAACACCCACATACATCCTATTTGATTTATTCCTTCTCTTCTCCGACAATTCTTCTCCATTTTAATTCACACTTAAATAGAAACTGGTAGTAAAGAAACTGTTGATACAAGCAAAGAATAAAATCATGTCTGAAAGCAAATTTTTTAACTTTATATTGGATCAATCATGGAGTGATCTGTTAAAACTCTGTTTTCATGATTTTTGCATCAGTCACACAAATGCATTGTGATTATTACTGTTTTGAGTGGTCTTTTAGAAAAATTTGATACCTTTCCTTTGGAAGTAAGTGATCTTTTTAATAAATAAAAAAATAAAGCACAAAGCTTATACCTTTTTGAGAATCCGATCCGATACGTGCAAGAAACGGGAAAAAATCGATAATGCAGGTCAGCTGGAAGATTGTGAAGAATCCACTATAGAACTCTCTTTTTAGCTGTTTTCCACAGAAAAGGAAGCTCTTAACGAATTTTCCCCGGAATATCTTCGCTGAAACTGCGGCTTTTTTAGGGAATTTAACGAAGTAACGAAAGCTCGAAACACGAGGGGAGATGTTTCTCAATTTAGCAGAAGAAGACCCAGCTTTCTCTCACCAGAAAATGGAACCACTGAGTACAAGATTACAAAAGAAAACAAAAACAAAAAAGGAAAAAACATGGTTATTAAATTTTTATAAAATGAAGAATTAGGCATAAAGTTACACGAGTTGAATAAATAAATTACTAGAAATAAGACAAAAACTAGATTATAAGAAAAGGGTTATAATTTGGGTCATTATCAAGTACCTCTTTCATTATTTACAACTACACGTATTGTCTTTGTTCATCAATTCAAGATGCAGCAGCCATTGGAAATATCACCAATAACTGTGTATTTGGTATATATATATACATACACTGAAACATCAACATCATTGTATGTATATATACTAGTGCCTTCACGAGACTGTAATGAATGAGTATTTATATACGTACATAAATATATAAGAGGAAAGAGATGGTTTGGTAAAGCTGAAGCAGGTAGGTGGTGATGGTCCTCTAGAAGGAGTCGTCATAACCAAGTACCGTACAGAACGAATGTGTCGGGAGGGGTATAATGGTACTTCCCTTCGTGACGGAAATTGCAAAGTCAAAATTGTTATTTGTTTATGTACAAAAAATAGGCGAAAGAGATACTGAAATTACATGAGGAAAAAGTCAAAAGTGACATGCAGTCTCATTCCACTATGTATGAACACATACTATGGTTTACCAATATGAAATTGATTAGGCTGAAGTTGATAGTTTAATGGCTAATTCTCCTATGTCACCAAACCTAGTTTCTGCAGATTTTAATAGGAGAACAAATGAACAATATTATGGTTTATGAATCGCTAGACCTTTGAGCGTGATTATAAAAAAAAAATGAAACTGTTTTCCAAAACAATAAAGAAATAGAGAAAATATTAAAAATGGGAATTAGGTATCTGAAAAGGACAAGTTTATATATAAACAACAAATTATATACTCCATCTTGTTATAGAATGCGACAAAATAGGAATGCGAATAATTAAGCGCCTGTTACGATGTTACCGTTGTTAACCATCCATGACCATAAGACGATAGCTCTGTTTGACTAATGGTGTTTACGTTTGTGACAAAAGTTCATTCAGATAACTAAGTGATTACATCCTAGAGTTGTTACATATATAAACCTTGTTGATTGAATTTCAGCTACTGTTTAAAAGAAAGCTTTCAAATTAAAATAAAATTTCCTATCCATAACCATAACACTTGTATATCATATGCTTCGAACGTTTTTCTTTACTGCCACGAGGTTTGCCTACTCCCTATTTCTCTATAATAGAATGATAAGAAATTAAGATTGGACTAAGAAAAACAATTAGATATCACTTATTCACTTGCCAAACTTTATTTATGATATGACTTTGGCATGTACTATAAGTCTATAATGAGCAGAATATATGCAATATACAACGATGTTCATATTTGTTTATACCACTAGTTACCTACTCATTTAATTTAATTTTTTATATCTTTATTTAAATGTGTGCAAATATATGTATATAGTTTTATTTCGTACGTACACACTAGTAGTTATGATGTCCACTTAATTATGTAATCTTGTAATGCAATAATCATCCCGTCAACACGAATGATATACTCTTATATAATTTCTAATCAACTGAAATTAATGTATGCCGACAATTTCATACACGAAACACACACACTCCGAAACTTTTAAAATATCATGAACATGTATATTTTTGAAATCGAGATTTGAAGGTTTATTTGTATTAACCAAAAGGATTTAACGATAGAATGTGCGTTGCGAACCGCGAAAACGATGAGTTTAGTCTTTACATCTGCATCCAACATATTAGCAAACAAAGTTGTGGAAATGATTATTACCAATCATTATATGTCATAGGATTCCCCAAACTCAATACCTTTTAAGTCTGTCTTTCTTGCACAACTTTTAAATGTGTGTTAAAGTTGCATTACAACGATATGTTAAAGAACAAAAAAGACTTTAATAGTTATGTTAGCAAGATTATAAGTGCATGTTTACTTTTTTATATAATCTAGCTTTATAGCACAACGTTTTAAGCCTTACGTAACTATTTTTTCTGTCATTACCTAACATAACTATTAATAAAAGAAAAAAGCATGAGAATTAAAATTCCATTATATTTTGACTAAACTTTCGGTAAATAAGCCCTTATATATGCAATGATTCAACCAACTTGGTCGGGTAAAATTCCGATTTTTTTTTTTTTTTTAAGCGTGAATATTAGTTTGTTGAAACTAAAACATCACTAGTGGACGGTTTCATATCATTAACACTAATCAATTGCAGATTATATAAGTTGTGTATTTTGTAATGTTTATTCGGTCTACGAAAATTGTCTGTTTGCGAAGAAAACACACCAATAAACTAACGCCATCTCGTTACATATTGGATAATGTAATTGAAATAGGCACTTAACAACTAACTCACGCGGTCACGCCAAATTGTATATAGATTAAGAAATCGTATATTATTTCAATACTGTCCACTGTTGTACATAACAAGCTTAAAAGACTAGAGAAAAATCTGTAAACTGATTGAGTTAGGTTCGTGCGATGTATATCTCTTACTAAAACAGGTATAAAGTACACATTAGATGGCGATTGCGTTGTATATTATATTCAGTATGTGCCACAAAACATTATTAGTAGCATGATTAAAAAAAAAGATCAGATCGACTAATAGCCAATAAACAGTTTTCCAAAAAAATTGTCGGCAAACCATTCTTTATGTAAGACTTCAGGAGGTTTCAATCCAAAGTTCCAAGTTACAACATAATTATGAGAACCACATAATCCAAATATGATTAAGAATTTATGATATTAAACTCATAAAAAGACAAAAAACAAAAAAACAAAAAAAAAATTGTATTGGACGCAGACCCTCATCATAGTCCTACCAACTAGGCAACTATGATCCAAATGTATATGTTTTCAATCTTTTAACTCTAACCTAAAACCTATTTATTGGGTAACAAGAAAAAGAAGAAGAAGTCTGTTTATGTCTATAATGTCTAGGACACCATTTTACATTTTTTTTTTTGCTTAGCACGAAATTATTACGCTTGCATATAAGAACTTTATTTTTTTTTTTTAAACGGAGAAGGCCAAAAAGTTGTTTACGAAAGTTTTAGAGACAAATTGTAGGTACATAAAAGATTTGTCACTAGTTTTTACTATACTTCAAAGTTCAAACAAAATGTTGGAAAATCATCATTCATTAAGATACTTCAGTTAGAATAAAGTAATGGGCTAATAGCCTATCACACAAGGCCCGTATACTATTATGGGCTAGTAACAAAGAAGTAAATACATGGCCCATTGATCCCATCTCATCCTAAAGAGTTTTAAAATCACAAAGTTAAGAGACCGAAATAAAAAACCTCAAAAGGTTAAGGGACTAAAATAAAAATACGAAAACCTAACCTTTGAGATATTCTTAAAGCTAGTCCACGTGATCCACACGTCTTCGTTCAAACTTCCAATAATTGTAAGCCCTTTCTGTCAAATCCTCCATTATAGTGTACTAACCCCACTCTCTGTTATAAGCAAGTGAGTGGGGCTTTGAGGTATGCATCGATCATTGAAGAACACATAAACAAAAAACAAAGAAGAAGCAATGGAGTCATCAGCCACCATTGCAACCGATCGTTCTACTCAACTAAATGCTTTCGAGGAATCCATGACCGGCGTGAAAGGCCTTGTTGATTCCGGAGTCACAGAGTTTCCGGCTATCTTCCGTGCGCCTCCTGCTGTTTTAACAAGCCTTAAACCACAGCCAGCTTCGCATCTCGCGATCCCGACCATCGATCTGAAAGGAGGAGTGAACTACAAGAACCAAAACTCGGACACGCGGCGAAGCGTGGTGGAGAAGATAGGGGACGCGGCGGAGAAATGGGGTTTCTTCCAGGTGGTGAATCACGGGATCCCGCTGAACATGGTGGAGAAGATGAGAGAAGGGATTCGCAGGTTCCACGAGCAGGACGCAGAGACGAAGAAACGGTTATACACTCGTGACCACACTAAGAAATGGGTTTACTACAGCAACATCGATCTCTACACAGCTCGGGCCGCGAGTTGGAGAGATACATTCTCTTGCTATATGGCCCCTGATCCTCCCACTCTCGAGGACTTGCCAGCGGTTTGTGGGTACGTAAGGTTTCCACAAATTAGTATTATGATGATTAGTTTGGGATGCAAGTTACCTAATACAATTTTTAGTTATAACCTAATCCATAATTTAGAAGAAGAAAAAAACTAGTTTGATTATTAATTAAAACACACTTAAATTTGAATAAAGAAAGTGTATTTGATGTGACAGGGAGATAATGCTGGAGTACAAAAACGAAATAATGAAGTTAGGTGGACTGCTGTTTGAGCTTCTATCAGAGGCTCTTGGGTTGAAACCTAACCACCTCGATGACATGGGCTGCACCAAGTCTCTTGTCATGTTCGGACAGTATTACCCACCTTGCCCTCAGCCCGACCTTACTCTAGGGTTAAGCAAGCACACCGATTTCTCCTTTCTAACAATTCTTCTTCAAGGCAACTTCCCAGGGCTTCAAGTTCTCCATGACCACTACTGGGTCGATGTTCCTCCCGCCCCTGAGGCTTTTGTCGTTAACATCGGAGATCTTCTCCAGGTCAAAGAACCAACATCCAAGATAATATACGGATCATTAGTCCACTCACTACCAATTGATTTTAATTTATATTAAGAAAAAGATGGAAATGTGACTTGTTATATGCTCTTTGATTGTGAAGCTTATAAGCAATGACAGGTTCATAAGCGTGGAGCACAGAGTAACAGCGAATGGAGCGGCTGAGCCGAGGATTTCAGTGCCGTGTTTCTTCAGCAGTGTCATGAAGGAGAATCCTCGAGTGTATGGACCCATCAAAGAGATTCTGTCTGAACAAAACCCTCCCAAGTATAGGGAGGCTTCCCTCAACGAGTTCTCAAAGATATACGGGGCTAAGGAACTCAATACATCCATCTTACAACATTTCAAGATCTGAGACATCCATCTTAGAAAATCTCTCTTTATTAATTAATAACGTGTCTCTGCATTGCTCCATTTCAACATTTGAGACATTTACCAAGGAAAATGTCTCTGTAATAATAATTTGTGTATTTGCATTGGTTCATGTCAAGATTTGCGACATTTACCAAAGAAAATGTCTTTCAGTTTTTTTGTAATAATAGTATGTTTAAACTTTTTCTCTTGATCCGAACGTAATATACAAGTATTGAATGTGTGTATGTACTGCTGCATGTAGTGCATCTATACAATATACTCATTAAAATATTTTTCCACTGTTCAACAATTCATACATGTGACATATATTGTTCCACCATAAATTAATTAAATTAAACTACATTTTCTCTGCTAACACAGTTGACAGTCTACATTTTCACAATAATCCTGCATACATTACTCCATTATTCTGTAATATCATTGTTTATTTTTGTAAATAATCATTCATTCCTCTGACGATTGACTAATTGAATACTTTGAAAAAGGTTGCATATGGCGGAATTGTTTCTTAATCTGTTTATAATTGTTTAGTATAATCGACATTGATTACCTCCTTAAGTTTGATAAGGTCGTTGACACGCAAAGGGCATAATGTATATACAAATTCCAGATCGAATATTCGCAAGAACAGAGTAACATCAGAAAGGGGATGACACATGCCTCCATCGGATCTTTTCTTTCTTGATTCCAAATATTTTACATTTGTGAAGAAGACAAACCAAAACAAAACAGAAAAACAAAGCTCCTTGTCTGAAAACGAACCAGCCATTCTTAAGATTTCCGGACAATTTCCCCCCGAGAAAGTATGGAGTTTGAGGGAGCGCGAAAGAACAACATGGAGGAGGAAGAAGAAGAAACAGTAATGGATGAGAGAATCTACGTTGCACTAGGGAGAGAAACAGCGAAGAACAAGTCAAATCTCACCTGGGTCATAGATAACTCTCCAGGGAACAAGATCTGTATCGTTCTTGTTCATCGTCCTGCTCAAATGATTCCTGTCTGTAAGTTTATGCTATCATTCCCATATCGAGATCTTTTGAATGGCTTTATATTCAATGAATGTGTGTGACACGAAACAGAGCTTAGAAAGATTTTTGACTTAAAATACTTCCACAGTAGGTACAAAATTCGATGCAGCAACGGTAGATGAAGAATTAGTGAGAGCATACAGAGGCAAACAAAAGGCCAAAACAGAGAAGATTCTTGATGACTACCTTCGTATTTGCCTTCACAAAGGGGTAAAAATTATATACATATACATATGCGGTGTGTTGAAGTTTCCTCCATATCTAAGGGGGTTGGTTTTGCAGGTCCAGGCAGAGAAGCTGTGTGTTGAGATGGACTCGATCGAGAAGGGAATTGTGCAGATGATTTCTGAGAACAAAGTCAGGAAGTTCATAATGGGAGCAGCTGAAGACAAACACTATTCAACGTATTGTGTCCTAAGCTTCACGCTTGTGTTTCTTTTCACCGGTCTTGAATCTGACATTGGTGGTGATTCAATTTGCAGGAACATGGAGGATTTGAGATCAAAGAAAGCTATCTTCGTCTGCCAACACGCGTCTGCTACTTGTCATATACGGTTTATCTGCAAAGGACATCACATCCATACAAGGTTTCAATCCAGAGTCATATTTTCCTGAAGTGTATAGAAACAGGAGATGAAGCATTGTTACCGATATCTCACTGTGTGAAAACAATGCAGGGAAGGTAGAATGGATGAAGTCAGAGCTCTCTCATCTCTACTCTCTGACTTTCAGCGGCTTGTACTATCCTCACAATGCAGCAAAAACTCAGACATGCATAGTGGAAGTTCAAAAGGGAAAGGCGAGTGCGAGGAAGAAGAGGAGGAGAGAGCATCAAGAACCAGCTCTTGTCGGTCTGCTGGTACATTGTCATACTTTGGAGGATCTGAGGCTTCATCAAGTTTGACGGAAGACAAATCAAACCACTCATCTCCTCCCTCTTTACCGGTAATCTAAGAGAGAGAGCCCTCTTTTTCTTGTTGGTTTCTTGTCTTTTGCATTTTCACATGGCTCATGAGTTTGCCTTGCGGTGCTGATTCAACAGTGCACTGGGATGGGACTGGGGATGATAAACTTCCTGATCAACTCCACAAAACTCTGGCAAAGACTTGCCATCCAAAACCATAAGCATTGTGAGTGACCTCCACCATAAACCTGAAAAGCTACAGAGAGAAAGAAGAGCACAAAGCTGCAAGGTCATGATCACATCTGTAAATACCATGCATGTAATATTTGTAACACTTTGAGGTCTTTTCTCTCCTTGTCATCTTGTGAGGCTTGTGATGCTTAAAGACAATGGAATCATCTTCTTCATATTTCTCTTGAGTTTAAAGAAAGTTACAGAACAATACTTCACAGGAATAATCCATAACTTAGAAGGTGTCGTGAGCTTTTGCTTTGTGTAAACTGAACCATTTTACTATTTGCACTCATGATTTTCTCATGTTTCTTTCAATATTATTCCAAGTGTTTGAGAAAATACAGAAAATTAACCAACAAATGAGCCCATCAACTAACTGATTTTAGATTTCACCAGTTCTGGATTAAAAAGGCGGTATACAAAAGGGTTGATGCTAAAAAAGAGTAAGAAACCAAAACTGCATCCTAACTCTCAGATTAACGAAGAAGAGAGGAAGAAAGCAGACTGTAAAGAAAAAAACAAAGCAAAATATTACAAGAGGGCACATATCAAACGCCGGTGACTGGAGCACCACTCTCTCTCACTCTCTTTCTCTCCCTAATAGCTTACAATCTAAGTGTGGGGATCTCACCAAAACTGTTCCAGCTCTTAGGCTAGCGTTTTTCAGCCTCATTTGTGTCCTGCAGCTGGACCTTCAAATTTCAAAACGGAGGCAAACCAAACCATCTCTCATCAACACTCAATATGGCGTATGTTTAGGTCTAAAACCGGTATTGCTTTAATTCAATTCACATCAGCTTGTTATTCAATGCAGAGGTTATTGTGTACCTGTCAATCGCCTTGTAGTCACATTGCTGTTTATGGAGAAGTGCACAGGCTGTCTTTCTTGTCCTAACGATAGAACCCAACTAGAGTTTAATCGCCGAGCAAACTCCTCTACTTCTCTGCAATTACATGAGGTTCACCATTTTACTATCTATGACTAGAAGCTGAGGTTTGGACAATGTATACTTAGAGGAGAAAGTAGGACTAAGAAGTGATACTTACCTATCAAGCATTTCCTTCAAAGCGGGATCGATTTCATCATCTAGATAACCATCGTCAAACTCTGTCTTTAGTGTAAATATGTCATCTTCCATACCAAGTACGTTAGATACCTCTCCCAAGCTGGACGCGGTTTCATCAACAATTTCAGCACTTCGTTGTTTCGAATGAAGATTATGTGAATCCTAAGCACAACAAACACACCTTAGTAACTTAACTATAGCCAACCATGAGAAATTAGAGAGAAACTAGTTTATACCTCCTTGGAAGCTTTACATATTCCATTTGATGTACCATTCTTATGCTCCTTCCTTTTCTTGTTCTTCTTTTTGCTCTTGGAAGTCTTTACCACCTTGTGATCTGCAAAACGTCATTTTCTACCTCCAATGAGAGCTTCAAAAGGAAGGAAGTAGAATAGAGAAAATACTATGAACTCAATGAAAAGTACCTCTGCCATTAATAAATGATAAAAGGTCATCCACAGAACGCTCGTCAACACGTTCTTCAACCTCTATACTCTGGGACATGGAAATGGCCATAAAATTTAAAACTAGTGCAAAAGTTTTCATAACTTAAACTTCAGTAAAATACTAAACAGACCTTAAGTTTCTCCCTTTCTTTCAATTCCTTTCTTTTCTTTGCATACAATCTATTCAACAGTCGTATACGTGGATCATCCATTGTGTTCTTGAGAGGCTCTAATTTCTCTTCCTGATAAATCGTAACAAGGAGCTAAAATTTAGAAGCAGATGAGGATGACACATCCTTAAAAGAGATGATATCGCGAACTACATACCTCAGTTAGGTCATCAGGCAAATGAAATATTTCACGTATCTCCTCAGGGGATTTCCCCTCAATAATCCGTGCAAGAGCACGACTAGTCAGATCAACTAAAGGCTTTAACTGCAAACTGTCAGCGGCTGAGGTCAACTCACAGAGCCTCTTTGTGTCCATCCGGATGAATTTTTCATCATATATTTTACGTTCCTAACAAGGTAAAGGAAGAGCAGTGTGAATAAAAATGGTCTACTGTTGTCAACATGTGACCATTTGTTTCCAATTTAAAGACCTCTAGAAAACCTTATTTGAGCGTCCCGGTACTTGATGAAATCTGCAGTAATCAAAAATCAAGCTTAACATGGCTGGATTGACTCGCTGTGGAAGAGCTATTGCGTAGTTCTTAGAAGATCCAGCACCCTTGCCTAGAACTTCTCGACATATCATGGGACAGAACATTGCAACCTCTTGTTCCACTTGTTGGATTGAGCCATCAGTAGTTTCAAGCCATATATATGATTTCATCATCTGTGTTGACGCCACAAACGTAATTTAGCCCAAGATAAAGCAAAACTCAATTCAATAAAGATAAGCCAGCAAAGTCCAATGTAGTTTCAAAGTAATCAAGCTTTACCTCTGGTTTAATGATCCCCATTTCACCTTCTGACATTGATTTGAAGATCAAGTCTTCGGGTATTTAAGCTCCAGAAAGTAGGACAGTCCCCACTATACAAAGTAAATTATGATTATAGACTCTTGAAGCTTCTCAGTACTTCAACTGGCAATCCAAAAAAAGCACACCAAGTAGGAAAATTTCCAGGTCTATGAGGATTGAGCTCAGACGGCAATTTCAGGAAACTTCACACCAAACTGGTAGAGAGAAGAAAAGCTTATAAGATCACTCATCATAAATAGAAATCCTAATCTCGTTACAAGGTTTATATACTAATCACTCAGGAAACCTTACTTTGAATCTGGCTCGTAATCAACACTAGTCTAAATTAGCATATTTCAATTCAGAGAATCGGAATCGATTCAACTGTAGCTACTTTTCTGCAAAATACTTTATCCTTGAATGTAAAAAGGCAACTTTCGCCAGCAACTATTCACAAGTAAGAACTCAATAATTCGTAAAACCCTAAGCCCCAATAACAAACAGAACTCGGAATCGAATACCAGAAAAAATGAAACTATACAGAGGCGCGATGAGCTCGAATTGATGCAATGGAGAGTGATATAAGAGAAGGAATAAGAACAGATAGAGAGGAGCTTCAAAATACCAAATGATGTAATCGAGCAAAGCAGACGCGTAGAGATACAAACAAGGGACAATCAACGAGGAAAAAGCAATAGATACACGATTTAACAAAGCGTGTGGTACCTCACAATCGAAGGAGGCAATGAATGTCGACGGCGGAGGAAAAAAATGAATCTGGCGGAGGAGAGAACGGCGACGGCGGCGGCAGAACAGACTAAGAGAGAGGAGCGGATAAGAGAGAGAAAGAAGGGCTAAACTTTTGGGATTTTTTTTTTAAGAATTAAGCTCTCGCGCAAAAAAAAAATAGAGAGAGAATGAGTGATTATAGCCACGTGTACGAGCCGTGATGGCTCATAGGCTCGAGAGATGGTTAACACGGAAATAGAAACTTAGGTTAGTTGGTTGTTGTTGAAGTCGGTGAGGCCCTAGAAGGCTAATACTGTGGAATTGTGGTGGCTCAATCGCTGTCTTGACTTTTTGCGTCGTTTCAAATTTTATGTATTTAATTTAGGATATTTTAACAGATACAGAGAACGAGCCAGGCCCGCCATCAAAAGAAGAGGCTCCTATGTGGCCCGTATGTAATGTAATGTAAGTCTGGCCCATTCCTTGGCCCAAACAAGAACGATGTGAAAACAAAACAATGTAGTTGCTTGAGCTTCACTAAATAAACTGAATAAATATCACTTAACTCCTCTGTTTTAAATTAGTTTAAGCAATTACATGTCATAACTCACAAGAGTTTCATGTTATAAAAATCATGTTTTTTAATTTGTACTACATGATTCGGTATTGTTCTCTATTCCCTCGTTTATGTTTTATGGACAATGAGAATTTTTTCACTTTGCTGTAAGAAATATACGGGAGATTATCAATAATTTGTAATTAGCATTTGCGGTGGGGCTGTGACGCAACAAGAATACTGGGGTGGCTAAAAGGTGAGCAATCATGAACATCAAATAATAAACATTCAAAAAAGTATTGACTGATGAAAGGGACAAATGTCACTAGATGAATGGTCGGTTTTGGATATGTAAGGCGCCGGCATATGTAAATGCTACGTGTCCTATCGTGAATGGATTGGACGGCCTATGAATAACGAATTTTATACTCCAGCAAATTTCACACATTCTTTCTTCTCTCTCTGTCACATGGTGATGGGTCGGCATTTTTTAGTGGTCAGAGTTTTAGTGATGGTTCACCATTTTTGTTTTTTTTACTATGCCGTTTGAATTTAAAACGAAAACAAAATTAGTAAGGTTTTAAAACCGTGTGAATGTGGTGGATTCCTATTTTGAGAAACTACGGTATAACTTTACAAGTAGTCCGTGTCAAGAGAAAACATCACAATTTGGAAATTTTTGGTATGGTTTAAAGCCTTTTTAGCTGTCCTACTTTTTCTAATAACAGTGCAAAAAATTGTAATTGGGAGTTAGGAAGGAAAAAATTGGTAATTAAGATGGTACAAGAACATATGTCCTAATGGCATTACATAACCAACCACTGAGGTTATTTCTTTTGTTTTCTTCGACTTTGTCTTTCCTTTTTGGCAAATAGTACGCTACCCACTCTATATTTCTAATATAAAAAAAAAAAATCAGCATATTCAGAATGATAGGATTAGAGTATTAAACTCTAGGATTATGTTTTGTTATTTGTAGCATAATAAAATGAAATTGTAGTATTTGCAGTAATCAATACATTCACATTGTGATACTAACATTCATCAGACGATCATGAAGATAATAACACACATAATATTTTTTCCAACGCATGTGCATGATGGTTAGGCCATATACAGATGTTCTATAATCCTAGCAAGCGCCAGATCATTTAAACTGGACAATCTTTATTTTTTCCAATCCTCGTAGCAGTTAGTAACCCCAAGCAATTATTCAGTGACAATCATGAGGAAATTTTAAAACATTATCATTCAACATTGATCTATTTTAAATTTTATATATACATGTTCTTAACACATCTATTTTAGCTCAAAGCACTTAATAAACTACAAAATACTAGCTGGAATGGAGCATTCGAAACTCTGTCCATACACTTAAATTAATTATCACAGACCAACTTTTTATTATAAGCATGATGATTACTACATGAAGATAACATAAAAAAATTTCAATGTTACTGTCAGTTTTGTCATCGTCCTTATTTTATTTCTCCATTTTCTTTGCATTATCTTCCAACTATATAAAGTTACCACTCTGCTTCTCAATTCCACCATCCACCACATTCCGAGAAGAAAAAAAAAACAAAACCAAAAACCAAGATGGAAGGCAAAGAAGAAGACGTTAGAGTTGGAGCTAACAAGTTCCCGGAGAGGCAACCGATCGGAACATCGGCTCAGAGCGACAAAGACTACAAGGAGCCACCACCGGCGCCGCTTTTCGAGCCTGGTGAGCTTTCTTCATGGTCCTTCTGGAGAGCCGGAATCGCTGAGTTTATCGCTACTTTCCTCTTCCTATACATCACCGTCTTGACCGTCATGGGAGTTAAAAGGTCACCGAACATGTGTGCTTCCGTCGGAATCCAAGGAATCGCTTGGGCTTTCGGTGGTATGATCTTTGCTCTTGTCTACTGTACCGCTGGTATCTCCGGTAAGCTCCTCCACTTCTCTTCTACTTCTCTTCTCTTCTACTTCTCTTCTCTTCTCTTTCTCTTCTCTTCTTATGATCTCTGAATATTCTTTTGCTCATGTGACTCTCTCAGGTGGACACATCAACCCGGCGGTGACTTTCGGTCTGTTCTTGGCCAGGAAGCTGTCACTCACAAGAGCTGTGTACTACATAGTGATGCAGTGCTTGGGAGCCATCTGTGGTGCCGGTGTGGTCAAAGGGTTCCAACCAAAGCAATACCAGGCTCTAGGAGGAGGAGCCAACACCGTGGCTCCTGGCTACACCAAAGGAAGTGGTCTTGGAGCTGAGATCATCGGCACATTCGTCCTCGTTTACACGGTTTTCTCAGCGACTGACGCCAAGAGAAACGCCCGTGACTCTCATGTCCCCGTGAGTAAACCAGTCTATAGCCTCTAAGCCATAAAACGTAGCTGCTAAATGTGTTTGTTGCTTATCTTCTTGTATTTTTGTGACGATTATGCAGATTCTTGCACCGTTGCCAATCGGGTTTGCGGTTTTCTTGGTTCACTTAGCGACCATCCCAATCACTGGCACAGGGATTAACCCAGCTAGAAGTCTTGGAGCTGCAATCATCTACAACAAAGACCACTCCTGGGACGACCACGTTAGTTTCTTCTACAAACTATATAGTAAGACTCGGTTTCTATCATTTTTCTCTAACAATTACGTTTTTTTTGTTGTTGGCAATTTCAGTGGGTGTTTTGGGTTGGGCCATTCATTGGAGCTGCACTTGCTGCTCTGTACCATGTGATTGTCATCAGAGCCATACCATTCAAGTCCAGAAGCTAAGTTATAAAACAAAGACATCAAGTCCTCTGCTTTCTGGTCTCTTGTCCTTAGTTGCCTTCTACTATTGTAAATCCACATGTGTAAAATGTGTGTTTGTATTAATAACTAATGTATGTGCTCTCTTCTTTGCTTAATGCAATCGTTGTAATCAAGAAAGAATTTCCCAAAAGTTCAACGCATAACTATTTCGTGTTTATATAACCCCCAAACAGGGTTTTAAGTTTTAATGCTCTGAATAATGTTTTATTTAATAAAGTCAAAGCTGGTCAAATCTGGAAACTGGTACAGAGTACTACTATTGAACCAAGGAGATTGCTTGAAACGATAACTAATTTAACTGAAAAGGAAAATAAGTTGAAATTTGCAAGAAACAGATAGAAGGAAGGAAATAAGGAAATTGACTGTGAATTTTCCACTCAGTGAAAGATGACAAGTTTGAGTAGAACTCTGAAATTTCCCTTCAGTTACAATATAATTTTCTTGCAACTTGTCCACAAAAGGAAGATGATACAAACAATGTATCTGTGTCGTTTTCTCAAAGCAATTTATAGTATATGATTAGTTTGCTAGTCCCTTTTTTCTTCTCCACCCACCATCCACTCTTCTTCTCCTACTCTGCTCTCTCTCTCCTGACTTCGTTTCATTTGCTCTGTTTGGTCACCAATGGCTACTGTTTTGACGAGGTTGCTGAAGAGAGAGACCATCACCGGCATCAGCCACACCTCCAGGAAGCTCTTCTCCACAATTGAAGCTCCATCTTTCGCTGAGAGGCTAAGAAACCTCCCCAAAGATTTCCCCGCCACTAACGCCAAACGCGATGCCTCTCTGGTAAAAATCCGATCTGGGTTTTACTCAATTTCTCGCCTTTTTTTCTTCTTTCTCTCTTCTTCCATTGTCGTCAGTTGATCAGATTCTTTCTGTGTTGTGTAGCTCATCGGACGAACTCCGCTCGTCTTCCTCAACAGAGTAACCGAAGGCTGCGAAGCTTATATCGCTGCTAAGCAAGAGCATTTCCAACCAACCTGTAGCGTCAAAGACAGGTTTTTCTTCTAAAAAACTTAATCTTCAAATCAAAGAACACAGCTTTAAGCTAGTTGAGATCGATACTAATCCTAGGAAATCAAAAGTGTTGACTTTTTGTTTGAAATTGTTGTCTACAGACCTGCTTTAGCCATGGTTGCAGATGCTGAGAAGAGAAAACTCATCACCCCTGGAAAAGTATTCACCTTTTTTAATCTCTCAGATTAACTGTGAATTAGAGTGTTTTATTTTGGTGCTTGTTTTTTTTTCAGACTGTGTTGATAGAGCCAACTTCAGGAAACATGGGAATAAGTTTGGCTTTCATGGCGGCTATGAAAGGGTACAGAATCATAATGACAATGCCTTCTTACACCAGCTTGGAGAGGAGAGTGACGATGAGATCCTTTGGAGCAGAACTTGTGTTGACTGATCCGGCTAAAGGAATGGGTGGAACAGTTAAGAAAGCTTATGAGCTTCTTGAGAACACTCCTGATGCTCATATGTTGCAGCAGTTTGCTAATCCAGCAAACACTCAGGTACTTTAGAGTTGGAACTTAGATTGTCCCTTTTTATGCATTTTATCTAGAGAGATGATGGTTGGAATATTGGTGCATGCAGATTCATTTTGATACGACTGGTCCTGAGATTTGGGAAGATACGCTTGGGAATGTTGATATCTTTGTGATGGGGATTGGCAGTGGAGGCACTGTCTCTGGTGTTGGCCAATACCTTAAGTCTAAAAACCCCAATGTCAAGGTGATTTGATTTAGTTAGGTTCCTGTGAATATTGACAAAAGAGATTGTTTTTGATCGTTGATGACTTGCAAATGGTAGATATATGGAGTTGAGCCTGCTGAAAGCAACATACTCAACGGTGGCAAACCAGGTGAAAATTTTGAAGCTTTTAACACTTTGGATGTTTAAATCAACGGAAGATCATAGTTTTTTTTGCGGTTTGCTGATGTTAGAGTTTTTGAACTTTGAGGTTAGGTCCACACGCTATCACAGGCAATGGGGTTGGGTTTAAGCCAGATATATTGGATATGGATGTTATGGAGAGCGTTCTTGAGGTAATTAATGTGGTATAAGACTTAAAGCTTCCACCTTTATGATATTTCTGTCAACTTTTGAAGAGCTTGTGATTTGAGAGGACCAGGTTAGTAGTGAGGATGCTATAAAGATGGCTAGGGAATTGGCATTGAAAGAAGGTCTCATGGTGAGTGTTTTAGTGATTTACAGAGAAAACCGGATTTTTGTTTGTTTATCTGATTCTAACAATGGATGCCTAACTTGTAGGTTGGGATATCGTCTGGGGCTAACACTGTGGCAGCACTTAGACTTGGCAAAATGCCGGAGAACAAAGGCAAACTCATTGTGGTAAGTGAAGGAGAACAAAAAAAACTGTTCTTGTGTTTTGTTTTGATCTTGTATGTGTTATGGTTTGATATGATTATTTTTGTTAACAGACGATTCATGCAAGCTTTGGAGAGAGATATCTCTCGTCTGTTCTGTTTGATGAGCTGAGGAAAGAAGCAGAAGAGATGAAGCCAGTTTCAGTGGACTGATTTGGTTTTGCTCTCTTTATTACTAAAATATCTCATCTTACAGCAAAATAACTAAAAAAAGTGGCATTAGTAAGATGTTTGTGTTTACATTTGATGTTGAGTATTGGAAGAATAAGTATGTTAATGTTTGATATCCGAAAATAAAGTTTCATCATTTTCTCGTTGACAAAAGAAACAAGAACAGCATTTTCCGGTTCATACTAGTTGTTCAAGATTATATATTTTCTGCTGCTAAAGTAATTTTGGGAGAAAATGAGTGTGTTCTTCAATCTGCATAAACAAACCAAACGGAAATTAGAAGCAAAACCAAATTATAAATTTTAAAACGAAAAGCCAGTTTCATTAGATTGATTGATTAGTTACTAAAAAAGCTCTCCTTGGGAGCAAAAAGATGTTTGTTTTTATATTTTGATGTTGGAAATTGGAAGAATAAGTTTATGGAAATTGACTAGAATATAAGCATTGACCAGGAGGTCTACAGAATCACACATTTATATAAGCATTGACTATCAAATAAGATTCCATAAGTACAACAAACGACCAATAGCAGCTCTCTCTACAGAATCACATTTTGACTTGATAAAGAAAACAATCCTAGTCTTATAAAAGCGAATCATAGTATGCCATCGTGGCAACAGATCCAACGGCCAGAAAACGATCTCTCTTTTGCTTCTGATACGTAGAAGCCACCTGTCCATTCTGTAACTGCTCTGATCAGTCATACATATTTCAACAGAAGAATTTTCAGAACGAAACCTTAGAAATTTCTCCGGCGAAAACTAAATCCTTAAACGTCGAGCGAAGAAGATGGGAGTGATTGATTTGATCAATAGGGTTGATTCCATCTGTAAGAAGTACGAGAAGTATGATATCGATAAACAGAGAGAAGCAAATGTCTCCGGCGACGATGCTTTCTCTCGCCTCTACTCCGCCGTCGAATCTGCGCTCGAGACTGTTCTCCAGGTTCGAATTGATTCAACTGATTTCATTCCGTTTTTTTTTTCTCCGTAACCGTAATAATCTGAGGAACGTTATGATTAGGAAACGGCGGATTTGTCGTCTGAGACGAATAGAGCGAAATCTGTGGCTATGAATGCTGAGATTCGGAGAACGAAAGCTCGTTTGCTCGAAGGGATTCCGAAACTTCAAAGGCTTGCTCTCAAAAAGGTCCTTCTTCGATCTCTTTTGCTCACTGACTCTAGTGTTGATGAGTTTTTGGAATTTCTCTTTAATGCATACTAATTTCAGGTCAAAGGGGTTTCAGAGGAAGAGGTTGAAGCTAGAAATGATTTGGTTTTGGCACTGAGAGATAGGATTGAGGCCATACCTGAAGGATCTGCTCCTGTAAGTAGTGGTTGGGCAGCTTCAACATCAGATTCGATACTAATCTCTCAGGTAATATATATTGTTTTTATGTATAGTTTTTGCCTCTCATCAGTGACTATGGATTGATTAGTGACGACTTTGCTCAATTGTATCAGGTCACAGAATTGAGAGTGAATATTTCAAGCCAACGGAAGAGTCTGATCAGTTTAAACAAGAATATGAGATGAGAAGGATAAAACAGGCAAGTTTGTGTGTGTGTGTGTGTGTGATGATCCGATATATGAAGAGAAGTGTGTAACTAGTGATGTGGAATTAGCAGGATAAAGGATTGGATTTCATAGCTGAAGGGTTGGATACACTCAAGAATATGGTTCAAGACATCAATGAGGAACTGGATAGGCAAGAACCACTCATGGATGAAATAGATACAAAGGTTTAGTGTTAAAACTTGTACTTGATCGAGTTTTTTCTTTAGCGAGCTCATGTTTACCTTTTATTGACTTGTAACATATCTGAAATTCAGATTGATAAGGCAGCTACTGACTTGAAAAGCACCAATGTGAGGCTCAAGGATACTGTAACAAAGGTGATGATTATACACACATTTCTCTGAGATCGAGACCAAAACGATTCTCGTTCGATATAATGAAGTTCATTGTTTTGTATTTTTGATTTCAGCTGAGATCAAGCCGAAACTTCTGCATAGACATCATCCTCTTATGCATTGTCCTGGGAATCGCTGCCTTCATTTACAAGTAACCTCCTTTTTTGCTCGCTTTTGGTACTATAGACTTCGAGATGTTGGTAAAATATTTGCTTCATCTTGTTTTTCGTTATTTATGTGGATTTTGCAGCTCGGTGAAGTGAAACAGGGTGATGTTATATGGATGATACACACAGAGTCAAAAGACGGAAGTTTCAGTTTACTTCCGAGTATCTGACCATTATAGGCAACCATGTATTTTGACGTCTACTAATCGGAAAGAAAAACAGTAAACTCATTTTTTTTTTATTTTTTTTTTTATTCAGTTTGATTCAAGTACTAGAGATTTTGCATTTTCAGCTAAATAGAGGAGTGTACTATTGAACATCAAAATTTGGCAGACCATCTAAACTAACTCACATTGTATCGTTGTTACTCATTGGTAGATAGATAGATAGTCTATTTGAAAAGTAGATTCTCTAGTACATGAAATCTAGGGAAGAGATGATGTAGCCTATAGGTTGATCGTGTTTTGAAATAGTCATCCTTTCAATCATTACCCAAATAGTAAATGACTAAATGCCACTTGCCCCATTTTTAACCTACCCACCTCAATTATTTTTATACACATTGAAAGCGTCTCTCTCAACTAGGTTTAGATACAGTGCGAATCGGCTAACCACACATACCTTAACTAGAATCATCATACATTAATTAATAAATCGGAAATGGTCGCATTCCGAGATTTTTTCGGATTTCTGCTGTATTTTTTCTTAAATAAAACATGTTTAATTAACTATTACGTTTGAAATTGACTGATCGGTCTGCAGACCAAGCATGTTACCAGATTCTGCCTTTACGCATTACCACGATCCATTGAATTTAGATCCTTTTTAAATCTTAAGATAAAAGGTGAGACTGAATTGACAAATAAAAAAAGAGGTGAGACTGAATTTTAAAAGAAAATTTACAGATGTGGTCACAGGTCACGCTGGTCAGAGACAAGTACTGACAAGATCTTAACTACTCCCGGTTAAAAATATGCTAATGTATTCATAACTCTCAGCATTCACTTAAACAGCATAAGTTGCTATAAATAGAAATTTAAGGTCATAAATACTAACCTGCAAATGAGTCACTTAAATGTATCAAAAACAAATTAGACAGGAAAAAATGGTTAGAAATCTGGAGTTCAAGATCGGGTTTATCAGATATTTTCTTTCTTTTAGAGAAACAGTAACTACTTCTAAACCAGAATTTACTTTTCAGTTTAATAGGGATAATGAATTTATTCGGATTGCTTAATCTAATTGGATAACTCAACCTAAATTTAGTATTTATCAATGTAAAAATAAGTTGTTTTGGTAATGTTTTGTTTATTGCTCATCCCATTTCATATATACACACATAAAAGCGAGGCAAATCTACTGTTAGCATAGGTGAAAAAAGCAAGATTAAAAAGTACAGGGGTGAAAAGTCAAAAACAAAAGAAACAAGAAGCGTTTCTCTATAATTCCGCGACGGGACTGTAGTCACTGTGAAAATCATGAACACCAGAAGCAGCCCATAGCCGTTGATTAAACTCTTCCTGCATCTCATCCGGAACGAACGGTGTTCTACAAAGAGGACACGTCTTCTGATCGTGATCCATCCAACGGTCGACACAGCTCCGGTGGAATATATGTTTGCAATTTCTCAGCCACCGGATCTCTTGCTCTCCTTCGAACTCGTAGAGACAGACGGCGCAGCTCTCCGGAAGATCTTCGCCGGAGTTCGTCAGCTCTTCGAATTTGATGACCGGTAAGATCTCGCGGATTAAGAGGGCGGAGAAGGGAGAGCGGATTTCGGGTATTCGGGTCGGGTAAGATGTGTAGTCGGGCCAGTTTTGATCCATTTCGAGGAAGTCGGAGAGGCCTAAGAAGCGGAAGAGAGAGAAGACGATGGTTCTGATGAAATTGAGGATCGTTAGCGTTTGTACGAAGAGCTTCGGGAGAAACACCTCTGTATAACCTACGGGAAAGCCCATTGGAGCTATGGTTTTTTTAGAGAGAGAGAGAAAGAAGAGAGAGAGTGAGTGAGCTCTGATTTTTCCTTTTTTGTGATATATAAAAAGTTGATTTTTTTAATATTCAGAGAGTTTCATTTATAGAGCAGATGAGGAGGAAAGGAAGAAGAAGAAGGTACAAGATAAACGGCGTCGTGTCAATTTCGATTAAGTTAACTGACTGTGACGTTTATTACGTGAACCTCCCAAAGAGGAAAAGTAAGAAACGGAACAAAGATTGGTCTGTGAGATGTAATTCTGTCACCAACATTGATTGTTTTTCTTAATTCGCTGCGTGCGTCTCTACTGTATTACCTTGTTTTGGAATATAAAAAAAAACATCTGCAAGTTGCACGACGATCGGCACACGTGGTACGTGCGGTTGATAAGAGATGTTGATGTGGATGGGGAATTTAATTTCATCAATCAAAGGATTTCATTTTTTTTATAGTATACTTTTTTCGGGATTCGTTCTGTTTTACTATTTAACACGTGAAATTTGCACTAGGCAGTAAAAAATCGGCTACGCTCTTGAATTCTTGATATTTGGACAATTTTTTAATAACCTATAAGATAATTTGAACAAGATCGTTGACGAATCTAGTAAAGAAATCGAAGGGCTAGGCTTATTACGTGAATGTGAAACACACGTCAAGAGAGGTCTCACGTCAAGAGAGGTCTCATGCGTAGTCTCTATTACTCCCTTTGTCCCATATTATAAGTTGTTTTGAAAAAAAAATTTTATCTCAAATTATAAGCTATTTTGCACTTTTTACTTTATTGGATGTTGTGTGTCCAATTATATTTTGTAATTTTTCTTCATGATTGGTTGAGTTATATATTAAGTAATACTTTACTTTTAAAAACTAATTTTCTTGGTTTTTATATTTTACCTTAAAGAGCTTATATAGTGGGACAGAGAGAGTAGCACTGAATTTTTCTCTTTTCCTTTTATTTCATTTTACTTAATAACAAAGGATGGAATATTTTAACTAAAACAAAGGATTATTTAATACCTTTTTTATAATAGGGATAATACATGTTTTTGTATAGTTGTTTTGAGTACATAACTTGCAGAATCAATCAAAAACGTGTTTGATATATACTTTTTAATTGGTAAATATATTTTACTACACACACAACGGTTTGGATTAGTATCTTATATCGACAACAATAGATTTTAGATTACTTGTGATTTTGAAACATTATGATAATATGCTTTGAGATCGGTCTACAAGTTAGTTGAAAAGAAAAAGGCATTAGGTCAAGTAAAACATGACAAAAGCAAAAGTTAAAAAATGAAGAAAGCAAAGAGAAACGAGAGAAGTGTGTGTGTGGGTCATGGTGGCTTTAAAGAGCGGGAATAGAGATGATTAGTAAAGAAGACTCAATCTTATCTATACCCCTCAATTTCGAAAATGGTGTACATGATTATATAAATAGATAATTATATAAAAAAAACCAAGAAAAGTCCATTGTTTAATTGAGTGGCGGGGCCGGAGAGATATAGGAGACAAGTCGTCGGTGGCAATGATCCTTCCACCAACCGGCAATGGTTCATGGCTCAACTATGATCGGAGAAATGTCGTTTTTGCGGGAAATTATATGCAACTTTAGTTAACTTTCTTAGAAAACAAAGCTATAGTTTAACTTTATGATATTTTAGAAATCAAGTGAATTGTACAGTCTAATAAAGTATGGCCAAAATTTTAAACTTGTATTACTACTATTTAACAGATTAATTTGTCATAACTTCTATTTAAATCTGATGTTTTTGTTATATTTGATTGAGCTCATTGTTGTTTTCATAAACAAAACTATTTAGTCATTTTCACTAGCCGACATATGGTACTATACTACTATACTACCACATGATAATGTATATCCAGTACGTTCAAAACTATTTTTGTTAGTTTACATGAGAAATAAAGAGAGATAACACAAATATCATTTTGACACAATGTCAATAAATTCTAACCATTTCTTTGATAAAATTCATGACGCTCAACAAGCACCGAACATACATGTTTGAATGTGCATTATACGACAAAAAAAGACATGCAATATGGTCAATAACAAATCGGTTCAAACAAAAGAGAAACGATAAGGGAGACGAAAGAGGTATGGAGAATGGAGTGTTGATTTGGAAGTGTTATAATGAGGCCGAGACAGTCACATGGCCCCTATTGCTTCTATGCCTTTCATCTTCTCCCTCACTTCTCTTTGTCATGTCATTGTTTTAATTTTGGTTACTCGCACCATCTCTTTCTCTGGTCCCATCATGCATGATACGAATATACTTGATTGACTCTTTCTTGGTTTTTTCTTAGCTAGTTTATACGATAATCCCAATTTGATCCCAATATTGATATCTTAGATTTTAAATGATGTTTTGGTGGAGTCTGCGGTTCAATCATTACGTTTTTTTTGTAACAGAAAAATATATGATGAAAGTGTCACGCCGATATACTTTTTAAAAAATTTACATTTTAGTCTTTTTTTTTTTAAGTACGATAAAATGAAAAATCTTGATTGTTGGAGTTCATGTATTTTGGTAGCAACTTTTTATTTTGTATATACTTGAAGGGAAAGATACCAGATAACATGATTTCAAATGGTTTGGAAAGTAAAATTAGGGTAATTAGTGTTTGCTCATACGTAAAACAAGTGTTTTTGTTAAGTGATTCACAGTTGTGTTTCCTATGGAGTAGGGGTGGTTTGGAAAAGAAATGTATGATTTTTTTCATAAAGAAGAAATGTATGATTCAGTGTATCAGTACTATAATAAGAATTCATCGATTGAATTACCCATTAAACTACGATGTTCATTTTTTTTTTTGTTGGTTTGTTTGTAATTTTGCTAGTGAGCAAAGTCTTACATGTCATCTTGTCTTTCTCGTAAACCTCACATGGTACCACATCATGTATTTTTGTCCTTGGCACCACAGTACCACTCCATGTTCTTATTTTCAAACTGGATTTGAGAAACTGCAGTTAATTCGTAGAAGTACAAATGTCCCGAGTTTGTAAAAACCATATTTCTCTTAACGGCCCATAGCTTATATTCCTTTTCGGCCCAATATCTTGGAATATAAGTTTAATGGTTTATTTTTTTTAAAAACTCTCAGTTAATAGTTTTGCTCAGTCAGATAGAGAAAATCTAAGATATGGTGGGACGAAAGTGCCACGTGTCAATTAGTTGACCAATGGGAAAACTCACTGCGTTATCCATAGAGATAACCAGATAAGCAGAATCTACTTCTGACATCAGAGAGCTTTTAAAGTTTATACACCATCACTCCTTCGTTTCTTCTTCTTCTACCACACTTTTGAGTCTTGAAGATCAATAACATCGAGCATAATGGCTTCTCTTTGCGCTTCTTCTGCCATCGCCGCCATTTCTTCTCCAAGGTTAGCTCATCTTTTTCTCCCTTCCTATCATTTAACATCATTTGCTATATAACTAATTAGTTTAGTTTACAAGGCTAGGATAGTGATCCATTTGCCGATCGAATTATAGTCTAGTAGTTTGTAATTATATCTCTGCTGTGTTGTTACATAACCCGAGTCTTCAATGTGAGTTGTGATGAAAATGAATATTGATCCCTTTAATTAGATTTATAATATGAAATATGTGCAGTTTCTTGGGAGGGAAGAAACTGAGGCTGAAGAAGAAGTTGAGTGTTCCAGCTGTTTCAAGGTCAGATGCGTCGGTGCGCGCCGTCGCAGCAGATCCGGAGAGACCAATCTGGTTCCCCGGAAGCACTCCTCCGGAGTGGCTCGACGGCAGCCTTCCCGGTGACTTCGGATTTGATCCTCTTGGTCTTTGTGAGTTTCTCTTTCTTTCTCTCTTGGTTTTATACTTTTATGTCTTTAACCGATTTTAGACTATTGTCGTTATTTTGCTGACGTAACCGACACGTGGCAGCATCTGACCCGGATAGTCTGAAATGGAACGCGCAAGCAGAGCTGGTCCACTGCCGGTGGGCAATGCTAGGCGCCGCCGGTATATTTATCCCGGAGTTTCTAACGAAGATCGGGATCCTCAACACTCCGTCGTGGTACACGGCCGGAGAGCAAGAGTATTTCACGGACAAGACCACACTCTTCGTCGTGGAGCTCATCTTGATCGGATGGGCCGAAGGACGTAGATGGGCCGACATCATCAAGCCAGGTAGCGTCAACACTGACCCAATCTTCCCGAACAACAAGCTGACGGGGACAGACGTGGGATACCCGGGAGGGTTATGGTTCGACCCGTTGGGTTGGGGATCGGGTAGCCCGGCAAAGATCAAGGAGTTGAGAACCAAAGAGATCAAGAACGGAAGGTTGGCTATGTTGGCAGTGATGGGTGCTTGGTTCCAACACATCTACACTGGCACTGGTCCTATTGATAACCTTTTTGCACATCTTGCTGATCCTGGTCACGCCACTATCTTCGCTGTAAGTGTGATACTAATCAGTTTTGTTTTTTCTTGTGTTCTAAATTATGAGTCATTAGTTTTTGACTAGCTTTTGTGTTTTTGTGGGTTTTACAGGCTTTCACACCCAAGTGAGAACATGAAAAGGGAGGATTTGGGATGAAGAATCCGTTTGTGTGATCATGTTTGTACAAATATCGGTTTTTGAACTTAAAAGTACTATGTATTTACATAAATTGTGGTCGAATGCAAATTAGGGTTCGCCGTGACACGCTCTTTTCCTAACTCAGTGCTCATAGTTTGTTTTTGCATTGCCATTTGTGTCTCCTCATATATTTGTTGGTTTATTTTTGTTCATGAGAACGAAACACATCCCTAACCATTGCCTGTTACAAAAAGAGCTATACAGTAATTAGTATATTCAAAACACTTAAACCAAAACCAAAAAGAGATTCTCAAGAATGTGTAAAAGTCTTTGATAAAAAAAAGGTGTAAAAGTTTAGTCTAGATTAAACAACAGAAGATGAAAAACATCGCAAGTCTTAAAGGGAAACATAAATGAACATAGTCACCACTAATGTCTCGTATATTGGTGAGTGGTGACTATGTTTATGTGTAATATAAATTATCACATCAAAATATCTTAAATGTAAACCAATATATGATGAATGGATAGATTCAGATATGATCACAATATGTATTGTAGTGATTTATACAACTGCTGTTTTATGGTTTTAGACTTCTAGTTTTGACTTTTGAGGTTGTAATGCTGTTTGGTGAAACCGTACATGTGTGATTAAGAAAAGAGAAATGGTGGAATTGTGAAATGGTGATGATATTGGTCTGGTTTGCATGGGCAGGACTTAAAATTAAAATCCGATCAAAATAAACCGGCCGGTCAACTTTATTTAATTTTGTTTGTTTGTCAGCACTTCAATTGTTATGCTATGGATCTGTTCATCTTCTTCCTCGCGTCGTGCGGTTCTCCTTTTCCAGCAAATGTTTCTATGATCTCTTTATATGAACAGAATCTCTAGCTTCCACTCCTCTGAATCGGATCCATCGTAGAGTGTGATAGAGAGAGATACAGCCAAGGATTGGAGTTTCATTTTCAGGAGAAGCGTCAAGATGTATATGGCTTACGGATGGCCACAGGTGATCCGCTAGAGGCGGGATCGTATCCGTATTCGCAGCGAGTCGTGTACCTTAATCTCGCCGGGCGGCTTTGCTGGTTGTTTCTCCGTATCACTTGGAGCTTTGGGGTTCTTCTCAGGTTGCTTAAATCGTCTCTGCATTTCGTCACTGTGATTCGTAATTGGGGTCTAGTGTCCGTTAACTAATCAATTTTGTTTGAATTTTATGGAATAGCAACGAGTGAGGTTGGGGAAAGTATATGAGAGATGAGAAGTCGGTGCGAGAAGAAGGAGAGAATTTGCAAGCTGTGTGGAGTCCAGACTCTAAATTAATCGCTGTTCTTGTAAGTTCTTACTCGATTAGTTTCATCAATCCTTCTCCAGCTCACAGATGGCTCTGAGGAAAAAACCCAGTTTTCCAATTTTGAAAAAGCTTGATGATTTCAGAGATTCTGAAGTTTCTCTCAATTTTAGTAGTTTCTTGTTTGAATCGTTTGATATAGAGGCGTGAAAGCTTGGCACTTACCTGTTTTGTTATCACATTTTTGTCATTTCATTTCGTTTCTTGTGTGTTTATATTCGTACGTCTTTTCACTTTGTTCTGGTTTATCGATTTTGATTTGCAGACAGCATGATTCTTCCTTCATATATATAAAATAAAGTTTATGGATAAACAAATAAAGACTGGAGAGAAACAGCCCTCGGAGCTGTGTTTTGCGACGGCAGCTAGATTTTGAACCGTATCTCTTTTGCTAAGTGAGCAGGTCCCTTTTGCTGGGAAGGACTTCTCTGTGTAAGTGCTTTTTCTCTACGTGTCTCTGCCGAGCCCACTGTTGACCATATGATTCTACAGTAACGTTTTCTGGGATTAAATATGTAAGGCGAATTCTTTCACTCTGTGCAGGAGTAATATTGTGCGGGACAGCAAAACTATGCTTTTGGGACTCTCTGATGGATGTTTATATAGTATTTCCTGGAAAGGAGAGGTAATACGGATCTTCCTCGTCTTGCATCTTTGTGTACATTTTGATTGTCTACATATGCAGCACTCCAAATTTCTAAATCTTTGTTATTTTTATCTAGTTTGGTGGAGCTTTCAGCATTGGTTCCCAAGGCTCTGATAGCAACAGCGATAGCCTCTTGTCTTACAGTGTGGGGAATGGGCTAGTTTCTGGAGTAGCTTCAGCAACACTTGCATCCGATGATAAATTCTCAACAAAAGCGGCAATTATTCAGTTGGAACTCTGCACTCTCTCGAAGTTGTTGTTTGTGTTGAATTCTGATGGGCAGCTACTGGTATGCTCTGTGAATAAGAAAGGTTTAAAGTACACTGAGAGCATTAAAGCTGAGCAGAAGTTGGATGGTGATGCTGTTTGTGCATCAGTGGCTTCAGAGCAACAGATTCTTGCTGTGGGTACAAGAAAAGGGACGGTTGATTTGTATGATGTTTCACAATCGATCTCTCTCCTACGTACAGTATCTTTGCATGACTGGGGGTAAGTAACTTGTTACTATGAACTGCTTTTATATCCAAGATATCACAGGCTTTTTAGGTACATGGTCGATAACACTATTTTGAAACTTGCAGTTATTCAGCGGATTACACTGGGCCTGTCAGTAACATTGCATGGACGCCTGATAATTCTGCTTTTGCTGTTGGGTGGAAGTCGAGAGGACTTGCAGTTTGGTCTGTTTCTGGATGTAGATTGATGTCAACTGTCCGCCAAATTGGACTGAGTTCTACTTCTTCTCCTAAAATTAACCCAAACCAAGACTGTAAATACGAACCGCTGATGAGTGGTACTTCAGCCATCCAGTGGGATGAATATGGATACAGATTATTCGCTACGGAGGAGGCATCTTGTGATAGAGTTCTTGCATTTTCTTTTGGGAGATGTTGCTTAAACAGAGGAGTTTCAGGAAAAACTTATGTTCGTCAGGTAATGTATGGTGAAGATAGACTACTCATGGTTCAGGCGGAGGACACTGATGACCTCAAGCTTTTACATCTAAAACTTCCAGTTGAGTCTCTACATATCCGTTATATCCTTATGCTCCTTCGCCATTTCACTTCTTTAAATAAATTTGTATATGTTATTTTCTTGGTCCAGGTTTCTTATATTACTCAAAATTGGCCTGTTCAACACGTGGCAGCTAGCGAAGACGGGCAATACTTGGCGGCTGCTGGTTTACATGGTTTGATTTTGTATGACGTCAGATTTAAGAAATGGAGAGTATTTGGAGATGTCAGTCAAGAACAACAGATCCATTGCAAGGGTTTGTTATGGCTGGGGAAGATTGTCGTAATCTGTAACTATATTGAAACTTCTGACACGTAAGGCCCAATCTATATTATTAGTTTACAGAATATGGTTCAGTAGCTAGATTTATTGTCTTTGTGACTCTTCCAGAGGTTGTTACATAGCATTATTCTGATTAGTATTTCTGGGCATTTTGCCTTTTGAATGTTGTTCCATTTCTCAAGTGTATGTTGTTAATGATTGCAGATACGAACTGCTTTTCTATCCAAGATATCACCTTGATCGGAGCTCTCTACTTTGTCGTAAAGTGCTGCTTGGAAAACCAATGGTGATGGATGTGTACCAGGATTATATACTCGTATCCTACCTTCCATTTATCATCCACGTGTACCATGTGAAGATATATGGTGAATTGACACCATCAAGCAAAGCAGACTTACAGGTAGTTAGTTATTTCGATTCATTTCTTTGATTATTTTCATTTTTAACTTCCAAATGCGAGCGCTTGAGTTGCTTTTCATGCACCTTAAAGTGATAAAATGACAAACAGCTTTCCACAGTAAGAGAATTGTCCATCATGACTGCAAAGAGCCATCCAGCAGCAATGCGATTCGTTCCTGACCAGCACCCGAGAGAACGCGACTTGGATAATGAGAGTGTGTCTTCTGATCTGTCAGACAGGGAACCCTCAAGGTAATAATCAGTAGAGTAGAATATCCATTTCAGCTTGTGCTGTCGTTCTAATTGCCTTTGCGGTCTCCACAGATGTCTTATACTCCGAGGAAATGGGGAGCTTTCACTTCTTGATTTGGTTGATGGACGAGAGAGGGAACTTACGGATTCAGTTGAACTATTTTGGGTGACATGTGGTCAGTCGGAGGAAAAGACAAATCTTGTTGAGGAAGTATCTTGGCTAGATTATGGGCATCGAGGAATGCAGGTAATTCTTCTCATTCATAGCTGCTTTCGATGCCCACTTTACTTCCTTTTTTACCCTTTCTAGGATTGCTCCAGAAGTCTTGACAGTTTTTTGTCCCCTGCTTACCTGAGTTGTTTTACGCTCTCTGTTACAGGTTTGGTATCCTTCTCAAGGGGATGATCCTTTTATGCAAGAGGATTTCTTGCAGGTAACTATAGTCCATTTTTCACAGATAGCAGCTTATCGTTATGTCACCAATAATTGTTTGATGACATATACTTTTCTTACTGGTCTATCAACTCAATGCGTTTTTTTTTATGTTACATGCTTTAGTTGGATCCAGAGTTGGAATTTGATCGCGAGGTGTATCCCCTGGGACTTCTACCAAACGTGGGTGTCGTTGTTGGAGTTTCTCAAAGAATGTCTTTTTCGGCAAGTGCAGAGTTTCCAAGTTTTGAGCCTACACCTCAAGCTCAGACTATACTCCATTGCCTGCTCCGCCACCTCCTTCAGGTATATTTTGGTCTCGTCCTCTTTCTTCTCTAGTAAGAACGGCCTCTTGACTCTGCCACTTTCCGATCTCTTTGCCTTTATCTATTTTCTACTTGTTAATTTTTTTTCTCATTTCTCATACTGAGGACAGAGGGATAAAAATGAAGAGGCGTTACTCTTAGCACAATTATCTGCAGAGAAACCTCACTTCTCCCATTGCCTGGAGTGGCTTCTTTTTACTGTATTTGATGCAGAGATTTCTAGGTATGCAAGGCCTGTCAATCTCTGTTCTTCGTAATTTTTACTCAAACTTCTTGTCGTGCTTCTTAGTTTGATATTCTTTCCAAACATGTGGCATATTTACACATTTCAGGCCAAATGCAATCAGGAAGCAGATTTCAGGACCTGAACATGTTAAAAAGTTATCACTTTTGAGGAATGCTTGTGATTTAATAAAAAATTTCCCGGAGTACTATGATGTAGTGGTGAATGTAGCCAGATAAACCGATGCCCGTCACTGGGCTGATTTATTTTCTGCTGCTGGGATTTCAACAACGTATGTTTCTTTGTCTCTGTATATGGCCTTTGGCTTTCTCTTTTGTTTCTCATAACACTTATATAACTAGGTTGTCTTACTGTGCCAGACACTTGAACAGTTGCTAAGATTGCAATTGATATTGTCTGCAATTTTTATTGGTTAAACTGTATTCTATGATATGAAACTTGATATCTTATTTTGGATTCTAGGTTGTTTGAGGACTGCTTCCAGCGAAGATGGTATCGTACTGCAGCTTGCTATATACTGGTAAGACTAGCAAGTCCTTAACCCTTGAGTATGTTTAATTAAGTAATGGTTTATCCATCATTAGGGCGCATGTAGTAACTATCACAGAACACTGTAGAAATCTGTTAGGCTATGTTTTGAATCGCACACTAAGTATAGAAATGGTGCAGGTGATTGCTAAACTCGAAGGTCCTGCTGTTAGTCAGTACTGCGCACTACGGCTGTTGCAGGTAATTTCAGCTGTCGCCATCGACATGTATATCATTTCACTATGTTCTTGTCAATTTTGTTCCGTGTGTTCTGAATACAAGTACATTTGTACATTTGCAGGCGACACTTGATGAGTCCCTCTATGATCTTGCTGGAGAGCTGGTATGTATTCGATGTTATTAGAGTTTGTTTGACATGGAAAATGTAAAGTGTTAATCCTCAGTAATGATGTTTTATCTCATTTGCCAATTGGAAGGTGAGGTGCTTGCTGAGATCTGGAAGAGAAATTGAGCAAGCGCCAACAGAATCAGATACAGCATCGCCTAAGCTTCTGGGTTTTCTTATTTTCGGTTCCAGCCAAAAGAAGTCATCACTCGATAAAAGGTTTGAAACTACAACTCTGATCCTTGTGTTTGATTTTCTAGAGCGTGATACGATTGCCTTCTGATCAAACTTCATTTGGATAAACGCGTCTCTTAAACAGCACCTCGTTCAAGGAGCAAAGTCCTCATGTTGCTTCTGTGAAGAGCATACTTGAAAGTCATGCCAGTTACTTGATGTCGGGCAAAGAACTTTCAAAACTTGTTGCCTTCGTCAAAGGCACCCAATTTGATATTGTGGTACGTAGCCAATTCATATCTTTTGCTTGGACCCAAATAAAGTGTAATATTTATCACTAATTATCCCAAAATATACAGGATTTTCTTCAAAGAGAAAGATACGGTTGTGCTCAGCTGGAGAATTTCGCCGCAGGACTTGAGCTGATTGGGCAAAAGGTTAGAATCAACTCCATTATACTATATTCAAAACTCGTTCTTTACCAAAATGCTTAAGCATTTTCTTCAGTAATTTTGTCTAACCTCGAAGTAATCTCTCAGCTGCAAATGAGTGAGCTTCAGAACCGGTTAGATGCAGAGTTTCTACTGGCTCAGATGTGTTCAGTCAAATTCAAAGAATGGATAGTTGTTCTTGCCACTCTGTTACAACGGTCTGAGGTAAACAACTTTTTCAATTTCCACCATTGTATCAGTGACTTGAAAGCATCATTATTGACATGTAATTTTTTTTTATCTCTGCACGACGCAGGTTCTGTATGATATTTTCCGGTATGACCTACGGTTGTGGAAAGCATATAGCGTGACATTACAGGTAAGACTCCATTGATTCCATAAACAATCAATCCACATTTCGCAACCTGTCACGCTCGTCTCTTAAAACTTGGTTTCATTGTATCAGTCTCACTTGGCTTTTGCTCAGTACCATGACTTACTTGAGGTCTTAGACGAAAAGCTCTCGGCGACCGTACGAGATGAAAAAACCAGAAGTTCCATCTCTTCGTAATTCTTTTTTTTTTTTTTTGGAGGTTTTTCACTTATCATACATTTTCTGCCTCTCTTAAAAAGTTTTTCACGTTCGTGTGTATGTAGATATGAACATGATCCTCAAAAGAAATAAGAATTTCATTTCCACTCATGGAGTTTTTAGCTTTTTTTGGTCAGAAGAGAAGTAAAACTAGAAAAGTAGAAATCATGTAACAACCATGTTTGAGTTAATAATTTCATTGTAACACCCTCGAAATCGGAGATACAAAATTCTGCGTTTTGTGAAAGGAGCGTGTAAAATTACTGGGCCGTGATAGAAGAGGCCCTTTTCGTTTATTGGGCCATCCTTCTGGTCAGGTCTAACATATTCTTTTAATTGTTAATTCAATAGGAAGGACCGAAGGAGACGATTTGACAATGGTGCCGTGGAGGAGAGAGCGTATGTTTCTGCATAGGAACCAAGTGAGAAGATCTATAACGATATGTAATGCTCCTCCATACTCTGCTTGTTCTGTCTTAGTCCGCCTTTATGCAGCCATGGGCCTTCACAGTTACAATTTGCTCCATGGGGAAAACTTGGAGTTGAGTCGTGTGCTTAGGTACAGCAAAACCGCGGGTCCTCCTGCAGCTTCAAGTTACTGCATAACTTTGGATGTCATGGAGCCATCTCTCGGTTTGGTTCGAACTTTTGAGACTAGTGTTTCTGAACAGTCTTATGGCGAATTGTCTTTGAGGTACAATTTTGCTAGACCTCATGGTAAGTTTTAATATTAGGGCAAGATCTTAATTAATGAATTATAGAGACATAAAAGTAATTAAGTCTGTCATAACTTGCGAGCTCAATTATATTTGCTGATTTAATAGAATGATTCAGGTGAAACCAAGAAAAGCTACAACGTTGGAGATGAAATCATGAGAAGCAGCGATGCGTCGGATGAATACTTTCGCTTATGTTGCAATTGCATGCCTGAAATGCCACGACTGAATCCTTTCCAAAATAAAAAGAGATTTTACTTGGTAAACTAAGATTAAAGATTATGATTGATTGATTCAGTTTAAAGATAAGATGGGGGTGAGATTAATTATGCGCTTCTTGACTATTTGCTTGCAGCTGAAGAAATCGGAGGTGGAAGAGAATGCGTGGATACGTATGTATCTGGATCTTGCATTTGCCACAACTAATAGGGGGACCAGTAAGGAACCTGATCTCTCCAAGCTGGAGATTGTGGAAGTTGCTGTATCTATAGAAGAATCTAACACTAGCACCAGTGATACTGATGAGGGGCTTGGACTTGGACTTGGATTCTCTCGCGCCACTAATGCAGTTTTCTACATAAGGCACATGGACTGGTGCAAGGCTCGGGTTAAGAAAAACGATGTTGATCGCGTTGCTATCGTCAGAAGAATCTTCATTCACCGAACCGGGTGCTTCAGTCTCGTTGGTAAGATCCACAGCTCACAAACTTTACCAAAACCTAAAAAATGATGAGATCATAATCGATGGTCGACGTTTGGATTGTTAAGTGGATTTGTTTTTGTTTGGCTTTTAAGTGCTTGTTCTTCTGCTTGAATAATTTCACAAAAATTCAATTTGTCATTTTCCATTTACACAAATCAGTAAAGTTTTTGAAACAAAGTTATATGAATGCTGCTGACTTGTTTTGGCTGCTACTACAAATACTTGATTAGAGAGATTAAAAAACATATATGTACGGAGAACAAAAATACAAATTTTGTTATTAAAAACTGAAAAGTAAGATAAGAGCATGAGCACCCGTGACCGAGAGTAAGCATGGAAGCGTGAGAAGTAGTGGGTCGGCAGAAGTGGGATGAGTGGTGTTTGTGAGTGGGACACACCCAACAAAGTTCACGAGAACCTACTTTTGCTAAACAAAAACACAAATTAGGCAATATATTAAGGATAAATTATCATTGTATTTGTAAGCTTATGTACAATACAAATACCGATGGGAAAATGCTCTTGTGTGCCTCAATATTTGCATAATCATGTGGAATAGATTTCACTTGAGAATTGAGATTATATTCTTTCTCTTTTAACTTAAAAATAAATAAAATGATTGCCCTAAATAGTATAACTAGCGAGTAGTATAAGATGGTATGAAGAATTTGGCAGCCACATTGAAAGAGACAAAAAAAGTGATGCATGTACTCTACTCTCGTAAAAGTCACAAGTCACAAGGAGACAATCACCCATTCTTGCGTTGTTTTTATTTGAACCTCAAACATTAAAACCCGTGAGTCTAGAAATAAAGGAATTTGACATTCTCTCCTCATAGTTGAAACAAATTATGATTCTTAGATTAGTTGTACTTGTATGGGAATACATGCAACATAATGATAGAAAAAAATAAATAAAATGATTGCCCTAAATAGTATAACTAGCGAGTAGTATAAGATGGTATGAAGAATTTGGCAGCCACATTGAAAGAGACAAAAAAAGTGATGCATGTACTCTACTCTCGTAAAAGTCACAAGTCACAAGGAGACAATCACCCATTCTTGCGTTGTTTTTATTTGAACCTCAAACATTAAAACCCGTGAGTCTAGAAATAAAGGAATTTGACATTCTCTCCTCATAGTTGAAACAAATTATGATTCTTAGATTAGTTGTACTTGTATGGGAATACATGCAACATAATGATAGAAAAAATATGTTGATTGAGCCCAATGATGGGTTAATGATTTTGTATCTCATGTGTAGCAATGAGCTCAAATACGATTACAGTATTGTACATATAGACGCAAGTTTAGTTTTCCCATATATTACAGAGGGAACAGATATAAGAACCATGGCCCATACTGAGTATATGCCTCTGTTCGTTAGTATTTTGGCCTTTTCTGATTCTGTTACAACGATTTATCCCTTCAAAGTGTTACACCACCAAGTGATATAATCATTTGCTGAGCCTAAAAAAAGATCAGCAAACACTCAGACGATAAGTTTGAATATTTCTTAATTACTCCATTATTTATCCACTTATAAGTACTAATCGACTCCACTTTCATCCCCACAGAACCATTTAGCCTCTCCACATCTACGAAGGCTCAAAAGTCACTAGTAACTCTCTCTCTCTCTCTCCCTCTTTTAAACACACACACATACACATGCAGAATCTTTAACCAAACCCACCATTTTGTTTCAATATCAGTTGTTCATTGTGTTTCACGAACATAAACCTCTTCTCTTTGTCCTTCCTCCAAAAGTTGTTCAACAAAACCCTTTACTTTTAGCACTCTTTCTAAAAAAGAAACCCAAATTTCCAACAACTAGCCTTTCACATGCACCAGTTTTCCAAACTATGAAAGAAGCACAAAATTTTGTATTCTCGTTAAATAACATAAGCAATTGGTGCCTTACAAAAAGTTTTACTATCCTAACTCTCTTTGTTTCTACTTTTCAGAAATACAAATCCATGAAGAACATACTCGATTGCATAGTTACCATCATAACCCTCTCCGTCCTTACAACCAGTGCTCATGGAAGAAGGGTACTACAGTCATTTGACACATTTGAGTACACAGCGATCACTTGCAGATCCCACAGTGCCTCCATAACAGAGTTCGGTGGCGTCGGAGACGGCAAAACACTGAACACAAAGGCGTTCCAGAGCGCCGTCGATCATCTCAGTCAATACTCATCCGACGGCGGATCTCAGCTCTTTGTACCCGCCGGAAAATGGCTAACCGGAAGTTTCAACCTCACAAGCCATTTCACTCTGTTTCTTCACGAAGACGCTACTCTTCTCGCTGCTCAGGATATTAACGAATACCCGGTTCTAAAGGCTTTGCCTTCTTACGGTAGAGGACGTGATGCCGCCGGTGGAAGATTCGCTAGTCTCATCTTCGGAACTAATCTCTCCGACGTAGTTATCACCGGTAAAGTTTTCTTCTTTTCTCAATTGTACATTTGAGAGTTAAAAATAAACCGGAGCCGTTGGATGTAATTTTACAGGGAATAACGGTACGATCGACGGTCAAGGATCGTTTTGGTGGCAGAAATTCCACGGAGGCAAGCTTAAATACACGCGTCCGTACCTGATTGAGTTAATGTTCACCGATATTATTCAGATTTCTAATCTAACGCTTCTTGATTCTCCATCGTGGAACATCCACCCAGTCTACAGTAGGTATGGTTTACACCCTATAACTATCTACTGTTTCAAACTCCATCTAAACACCTGCACCCTCATCATATCCACCGTACGATTTTTATTTATTTAATGAGATTATTAACAAAATTATAATCTAACGCTCCCTAGTTATCCTTCGTATCCACCGTACGATTAAATTTTTATTCAATGAGATTTTTAATAAAGTAATCCTACGTGGCAGCAATATCATCGTGAAAGGAGTGACGATCATCGCGCCGGTGAAATCCCCGAACACCGACGGGATCAACCCAGGTTCGTCGTCGCCAATCCGATTAATTGTTCCCGGCTATGCTCAATCAGAGCTTCCAGTAGTAATTCCCTCTAATCCTTTTGTTGGTTCGATTAATTCAGATTCTTGCACAAACACGAGGATCGAAGATTGTTACATAATCTCCGGTGACGATTGCATCGCCGTGAAAAGCGGATGGGACGAGTACGGAATCGCGTTCGGAATGCCGACGAAGCACCTCGTGATCCGTAGATTGACTTGCATTTCTCCTTACAGCGCCGCAATCGCGCTCGGGAGCGAAATGTCCGGCGGAATCGAAGACGTCAGAGCCGAAGACATCACCGCGTACCAGACGGAATCCGGCGTACGAATCAAAACCGCCGTGGGAAGAGGAGCTTTCGTGAAGGACATATACGTGAAAGGGATGAGTCTCCACACGATGAAATGGGTTTTCTGGATGACCGGAAACTACAAAGCTCACGCCGATAGTCATTACGATCCTCACGCTTTACCGGAGATAACCGGAATCAATTACAGAGATATCGTCGCGGAGAATGTTTCGATGGCTGGGAGGTTAGAAGGAATCTCCGGAGACCCGTTCACTGGGATTTGTATCTCGAATGCGACGATTTCTATGGCGGCTAAGCATAAGAAAGCGATGTGGATGTGTAGCGATGTGGAGGGAGTAACGAGTGGTGTTGATCCTAAGCCGTGCGATTTGCTTGATGGTCAACAGTCGGAGAAGAAGAAGAAGATGATCGACGGTGGATGTGATTTTCCGATTAATGTGCTTGAAATTGATAATGTTGAGCTCAAGAGATGTAGTTACCAAATGAATTAGAGAAAAGTCTGTAACCTTTTTAACCTAAATTTCAGACTTTTTAAGAAATTTCTCTCTCAAGAGATTATCTATGATTTTGGTACTTATGCTATGATGAAATAAATCTACTGTAATCAAACTGATTTTTTGAAGATGAAACAGAGAAGCTGAGACTAGATTTGACTCAATTGGTAACTTGTTCACAAAGAAACAGAATCAGAATGTTGGAGTGCAAGAAAAGAAGACAAAACCATTGGGGCCATTGCCATATATTGCACTTGAGGGTACATGTTCAATTTTAGAAGAATTGGGCCATTGCCAAAGATTGCGTCCAAGATCATTGTTGGGGAAACTTCTCAACTTTTCTTTTCTTCGTTTACTAAAATCGAGTAACCGTAATTTAATTGTATAAAAAGCATTAAACATTTGTAATTAATTGTGAAACTGCATAAACTTCCTCAGCTTAACCAAGTCATCAGAAGTAGAGAGACACTGCATTAAAATCTCAAAAGTGATCTGATTTGGTTCACACGACACTTGGCTCATCTCATCCATCAGTTTCAGCAATGTCTCCTTCTGGCTAGTCTCCTTAAGACACCTAAACAAGGCATTGTACGTCTCAACATTCGGCCTCACCATCTTCTCCTTCATCTCCTCTTTCAGAGACAATGCTTGTTTCAGATTCCCCAGCTTCGAAAACGCGTTTATGAGAATGTTGTAAATCACCGTGTTTGGATTCACATTTGAGGGCAACCCCATGTCTTGGAACAGCTTCAACGCTTCGTTCATATCTCCGGCAGAGCAATAAGCTTCGATTATCACTCCGTACGTCACAACATTCGTATCTAACCCGTCTTCTCTCATCTTCTCCATAATCGTCTTCACACTCTCCAAGTCCTTGAGTTTACCGAAGTACGAAATCAGAGTGTTGTAAGTGATCGAATCCGGTTTAATCTTCGCTTCCTCTATATCGGTTAGCACGCCTTCACTTTCCACCTCCTTAAAGAAACGAACCGCCATGTTCAATTCACTGTGCCTGCACATTCCACCGACCATTGTATTCAGAGTAACCACATTCGGTTTAGTCCCATCCTCCTCCTTCATCCGAGAGACAACTTCTTTAGCCGTCTCAAACTGTCCGGCTCTGCAATACCCATCAATCAAGCAGTTGTAAGTGATCGTATTTGGTGCCAAAGTCTCTTCCTTTCTTTACCAACAGATCCTCTGCTTCTCTCATCCTCCCAACCTTGCAGAGCCCGTCGATGAGTGTGTTGTAATGAATCGAATCAGCTTTAATCACATTCCCACCATCAGTTTTCTTCCCACACAGTTGCCCAAAAACCTTTAGAGCTTCATCGACCTTTTTTAATTTGCACAAACTTTTGATACGAATCCCTAAAGTCACTACATCAGGCTTAATCCCCATCTCATCCATCTTTTCAACTATATCATCCATTCCACGAGTGTCCATCTTTCTTACTAAACATGTCAAAAGCGAATTGAAAGGAGGAGCTTCAAGTGGTGCTCTGTTCTTCATCAGGTCGCTCAGAATCTCCCAAGCTACATTGGTGCGAGAGTTTCTGCAGAGACTAGTGATAAACCGAGTCAACCAAACAGAGTTTGGGGAGACGCCATGAGAGCTGAATCTCAAAACCAACGAAGCAATCTCATCTTCACTGTGACGCCTTCCACTCCAAACCTCATGGAAGACAATATCCGCAGTGATTCTGTTAGGAGGAAAAACAGAGTCTTTCTGAAGCATTTCGTCGAGCACCTTGAAGGCATAATCCACAAGTCGATTTCTTAACAAGACGTCGATCACAACGTTACGAACCTGCGTGTTTTTCGAATTCGAATCGAGGCTTTCGTATACAAGAACCGACTGATCCACCATCCCCATACGCCCAAACCATCTGATGAGAAGCTTAGCGGCGACGAGAGTGAGCGGGATGTTCTTCTCCTTGGCAATCTCGTAGAGATTGAAAAGTTTATCCCTTGAGTCAGGTTCACTACCGGCGAATTCGATTAGCGACTGGAACACCAGGGAGAGATATTCTTCACGGCGATTCAGAGACTGAGACTTCGCATCCACGTACTCGAAGAAGGAGACTGCCAGAGAGTAGGAGCCCAGACGCCGCGTGATTTGAGAGAATGCTAGAGGAGAAACAGAAGAAGATACCATAAGTGAACCTAGCGACTCGCTGGACGCCCAATCATGTTGCGGGATCTTCCGTAGATTCTCCAGAAACTGGGCAACTATCGATTCCTGGCTCTCCGGTTTGTTTTCCGGCGAAAGGTTAACATCAACAGAAAACCGTCGGAGGAATCGGGGATAGTTGAGCAGATTACATGACGTCCGGCGCCGGGAAAGTGATAGCATTACACTCATCTTCTTCAAGGTTTGAATAAGGCGGCCACCGGGAAAAGTGAGACGACGAACTCTGTTCCGTGAATAAGTCATTGCCTATAATGGGCCTTAACGAAGCCTTTTATCATATTTGGCCCAGAGAGCACCTGTGTTATATTACACAATGAGGATGAAAACTTTATTTTTCTCATAAAACTGTACGTGAGATTTATATGACGCTGAACACGCCCAAAAAAGGACTTTTTGATATTACATAACAAGGACAAATCTTTATTCTTTTCATAAATCTATCCCTTACTTTTACTAATAGATGATATTACCTGAAAACTCTGAAATAAACTTTTATCACATAAAAATTTCACCTTGAAAAAAACTTATTGAAGGATATTTACTTCTTCACATCAGAGAGATGACGTTCAATTTGTTTGCCTTGTTAGTTCGTTTTACAAAGTGACGTTAAATTTCACGTCCAAACATTTACGTTGGTTATACTAATGTTAAAGTGGGTTAAAATTTGACGTAAAGACTCTGAGTATGAAGGTTGCTTTCAAAACTGACGTCATATACAAATTTTCTTTTTATTAATAAAATGCAATAAAATTGAAACAGAGATAAGATTCTTAAATAGAAGACCAAATGTGACATGATCAGGTTAACAAAACGACCACAACATGAAAAAAATCGGGTTATGCCTTTCAAGAAAGTGAAAGAAAAAAAATAAGGAAGAATGGTCAAAAGAGATCGGAGACCTCTTTTAGAGCGGCGTCGATCATTTTGTTGGAGGATTCAAGAGCATCGTCGATTCTCCCAGCCTTGAGGTAAGCGTGGAGGATTGGTTTGAAACTGGCCGAAGCGGGACCATGAGCAAGTGAATCAGCAAAAGCAAAGAGAGAGTCAGCTTCGGACAAGAAGCCGTTTTGGAAACAGCTTGTGATAATGTATCCGCCAGTTGAGAATCCGGCCTTGTTGTAGGTCTCGATTGCCTCGCTACACCGACCCATATCAAAACACTCGTTCACCATTATATGAACGGTACCAACTTGCAAGCGTCTGTTACTATCGGTTCCACTTTGATCAAACATTTGATGGTACAATGCCCAAGCATGGTATTTCTTGCCGTACCTGAGCAGGACCTTCAAAAGGGCGTTGCCAGTCTCTGGGCAAACCGGTAACTTGTTTGCTCGTAGAAGAGACTGGTTGTAACACTCCATAGCTTCCACCTCTTTGCCTTGCTTAAACCAGTAGTCCATGAATGTCGCCGTCAGGAATGTGACGCTGTTTTCATATCCGGGATAGTTGTCATTGAAAAACTCATACGTAGACTTGGAACGGGCTATACTAGAAGACAACATGCGTTTGAACTCGTGCAAGACTAGATTCGCCTTGTCTAGATTCCCAAGATCCAAGTACCCGCGAATCAGATTGTTAAAGGCCACGTGGTCGGGGAAGATGAACCTATCGACTGTCGTCCTAGCCTTAAGCAAGGCTTCGGCTTGGTCCAACCGACCCGAGTGGACTAACCCTTTTGTCAACACCCTCAAAGTGTCTTTGCTCGGGTAACCAGAGGCCATACCGGGTGTGATGGATCTGTGGAAGTCGAGAGCTTCTTCGACAAGACCTTGTTGGAAACGAGACTCTATCATGTAGTTGCAGCATTGGCTGTTGGGAGTGAGCTCATGCTGCTTGAAGAAGTAATCGTAGAGATCGTAAGCGTCCTTGTGCCTTTTCTCTTGGAGCATGCTTCCGATGATGTGTTGACATGTTGTCGCTGTGTACTCCGGTTCACTTCTGCTGAAAACAGCCAAACGAGCGTACTTGGCCGCCGTGTTGCCATCCCCAACGCCGCCCAGGTACGAGACTCTCATGCATATATCCTCAGGGCGGCAATCTGGGTTTGCCATTATGTCCTCCGCTCTTCTTGCCACCGCGGTGGAGAAGCGCCGACCAAGTGTCACGCGCCCGATCAGAAACATCATTATTAGATTAGTCCAGCAAAACGGCAGCTAGGTTTTTATGACGGGGTATATATATATATATATATATATATTATTCTCTTCGAAATAATCTTTAGTTGCGTTCTCTCTCGCCTTTAATCTTTAGTTGTTACACGAAAAAGGAAGTCAACTAGGTTTAAAGTAAGTACGAACGTACTCTATTTATGTCAGTCAATCAGAGATAGAACAAAATCTTTGTAAATTCTTTTGTTAAAAAAAAGCCTATGCTTCCTCATGGTCAACAACCATAACGTCTAAGACAATGATGAAATCCAAAGCACCACTACCACTAATTCATGAGGCTCGATGAATAGCAAGCTTTCTTAGAGTTGAAATCTTCATCTTGTCCAACATGTTCATAGCATCGTCGACTCTCCCCACCTTCACATAGCCATTGATCATTGCTCTGAATGTCGACACGTCAGGTCCCGCCGCCATCAGATGTTCGTCTCTCTCAACGTCTGAAAACATGTCAGCAAAGAGCTCCTCTGCCTCGGACACGCGTCCTTGTTCGCAGAGACGCTTGATCATCGTCCCATAACAACCTACACCTAACCACTCGAAGTCGAAGGGGACAATCGTGTCACTGAAACCCTTAAATATTATGTCAACCGTCTCGGAATTACAGATCATCTCCTCAAACAAGTCCAAAGCCACTGTCTTCTTACCGTGCTCCACCAAGACTTGCAAAATCCTATTCCCGACAATGGGATTCACCTGCAACATAGGCTTGTCCAAACCCTTGTAAATCTCCATAGCTTCCTCATCTTTGCCTTGCTTGAGCCAATACCTCATAAACGAAGCACTAAAGACTGCGATTGCCTTGTGGTATTCTCTCCATGGAAGTCTACTGTTGGGTTCTTTCAGGTCCTCAAAGATTTGGCTAGCCTCTACGAATCTCCCAGCATCCAAGAACCCGCGGATGAGAATGTCGTAGACCATGAAACTACGACGTTTCATTGATCTCTCTAAAGCACAAGCTTCGTCGAATCTTTTGGCAGCAACCAAGGCTTCCGTGAGTATCTTGTACGTCTCTATCCCTGGAGACACACGTCCGTCGAGGACCATGTGACGGTAAAGCTCAAGAGCCACGTCGACGCGGCCTTGGTCGCAATGTGCTTTCATGATGAGATTGCAAGAGAGCGTGTTTGGGAGGACCTGAGACTCGTTGAAAAAGTAGTTGAACAGAGAGAGGGCTTCCTCGTACCGTTTGGCCTTGCACATGGCTCCGATTACGGAATTGCAGATGAACACCGTGTCTCTGTCGTTACGGAACCTGTCCACTACGGCGAGGTGCGAGATCGTGGCGGCTTCGTCCAGATTACACATCTCGATCATCGCCGTGACTCTGTAGCGCAGAGATATTGGGCGGCGATCGATGTAGGTCTCGTAGATTGGGAATATTTTTGGGACTGAGGAAGGCTCTCTTCCGAGTGGATAAGGAATGAACGCCTTCGCAGCGTTTGATACTGTCGGACTTTGGACAATGCGGCGGAGGACGGACATTGCCGGCGGAGGAGGTGTTTGGTGTTACTTAGGGCTCAGTTTTCTTATCCAAATCTTTACGTTTAATTAATAATCATAATCGGTGGTCAAAATATACAGTACATATATATAGACCTTTCTTTAAAACCCATTTACAAGTGGCCTAAACGGATTTTCATCATACACTAATTTTTTTTTAAAGTTAATAACATTAGTATCTCAAAATTGTACTATCGATAAATTAATTTACAGAGATGCTTATGTCCTTTTTGGTCCTTATTTCTTTATTGTACCTATTGGTACTTCCATGTTGAACCCTCTCTTATTTGGTTTCCCCGATTATCAATGAAATTCAGTGTTAGAAAAAAAACCTCTTATTATGGATCACATCAAAAAAACTTACTGAAGGATCTTTACTTCTTCTCAAAATGAAGAGCCTGAGAGCAAAGAGAAGTTCCACAGCTTTTGTCACTTAGAAGAAGGTGAATCTGAAGACGCCATCTTTTCAGCTGATGCCGCAGCAGCAGAAGCAGCCTTATCGAGTCCCATTTTCTGTAACTCGCTTAAGAATCCATCAAGGTCGCTGGAGGAGATCTTGTAAGGGCTGTGAGAAGGACCTGGAAACACGTGTTTGGATACTTCTTCCTTATACTCCAAGAGGGCTTTGTTAATCACTTCTCCTACTTGAGCGTACTGCTTGCAAAACTTTGGAGTAACCTGAAAGATGAAAGGGTTTAAGGATTTAATACTCAAGAAAAACAATAAGAAGCAGTGATGATGGTTAATTGGTTCAGAAATTGACCTTAGCATGATGTGGATGCTGCATCATTCCCAGAAGATCATGGTACACTAAAACCTGCATCCACAAGAAAAACATGACACACTTGATCATAATAGTAGATGACTCACTGTTTTTGTGCTGATCTTACTCTCTAAAATCATGCAAAAAGGCCAACATTTGAGAAAAATGGTTAATTAAAACGAACCTGTCCGCTGCAGAAAGGACCAGCTCCAATGCCAATGGTTGGAATATGAAGAGCAGAGGTTGCAGCAGCAGCCACTTGAGGAGGAACACATTCCAACACAATTGAAAAGCATCCAGCTTCTTGTAAAGCCATTGCAGTCTCCACAACCTATTACCACAAAATAAAATCAAACAATCTTCAAAACATGACCTTGTAAAGATTGCTTAGGCTCAATTTGCAGACCTTGACAGCACTAGCTATGTTTCTCCCCTGTGGCCTGAAACCACCAAGAACGCTTATAGCTTGAGGAGTCAACCCAACATGTCCCATAACCGCAATTCCTGCTTCCACAATGGATTTTGCAGCAGTGATTCTCGAAGGTGATCCTCCTTCAAGCTTTATAGCATCCATTCCTCCTTCTTTCAACACCCTCACCGCCGTATCAACCGCCTAACCATCATTTTAACTTTAAAGTCTTAAACTTTATCAACAAAACTGATATTTTGCTCAAACCCAATTTTGGTGATTCCAGAAAATTGGATCATTTGAGTTGTAAATTCAGCCTCCCAATAAGCTTAATTTGAAAACAGAACATGCAAATTTCGAGGGCAAATGACCTGATTAGAGCTGGACTCATAGGTACCAAAAGGCAAATCGCCGACGAGAAGTGGGCGTTTGGCTCCACGAGCGACGGAGCGGCAGTGAACGAGCATCTCCTCTAAGGAGATGGGGAGGGTGGTGTCGTGGCCGTGAACAACCATGGAAGCCGAATCTCCGACGAGACAGACATCGATTCCGGCTGTATCGATGTGAACGGCGGAAGGGTAATCGTAGGCGGTGACGACGGTTATCGGCTCGCCTTTCCGATGTTTCTGTCTCAATTGCGTCAGAGTCACTCTCCCGTTCGGGTTCTGCGGTTTCGGTCCTCCGTAAACCGTATTCTCCGGTACGTTGCTCATAAACCGGACGGAGGCGGTGACGGTGGCTCTCGCGGCACGAGAGCAGCTCCTGACGAGCGAAGAAGCCATTGTTGTTGTTGGAAAATGCGATTTCGGAATTTGAACCGAATCTGAAGATCTAAGTGGTCAACAAGTTATCCAAACAGCAAGAGCTCAACTCATTAATATTTCAGAATCCAGAAATGGTACATTATATTACAGCCGAGAAGAGAAGCTATGTAAAGATTGTTGAAAACAGACTCGTTGTCTAGTAAAAATAGAAATACAGAAAGTTGAAAGTTAGAAGTACAGATAAGAATAAAAAAAGAGACTCAAAGATTATAGATTACCCTTTTCAAGTTTATCTTGCAATTCAATATCCATTAATAATCAATAACAAGGCTCTGAAAAAAAGGAGAAAGAGAAGAAGGCCAATGCAATAAAATTCATGAGGCTCGGTGAATAGCAAGCTTTCTTAGAGTAGAAACCTTCATCTCGTCCAGCATTTGCATAGCATCGTGGACTCTCCCCACCTTCACATAGCCATTGATCATTGCTCTGAATGTGGAAACGTCAGGTCCCGCCGCCATCAGGTGCTCGTCTCTCTCAACGTCCTTAAACACCTTAGCAAAGAGCTTCTCTGCCTCGGACACGCGTCCTTGTTCGCAGAGACGCTTGATCATCGTCCTATACAAACCTACATGTAGCCATAGCGAGTGGAAGTTGAAGGGGATAATCGTGTCACTGAAACCCTTAAATATTATGTCAAGCGTCTCGGAGTTACATTTCATCTTCTCAAACAAGTCCAAAGCCACTGTCTTCTTACCGTGCTCCACCAAGACTTGCAAAACCCTGTTCCCGACAATGGTACCCACACGCTTGCCCAAACCCTTGTAAATCTCCATAGCTTCCTCATCTTTGCCTTGCCTGAACCAATACCTCATAAACGAAGCACTAAAGACTGCGATTGCCTTGTCGTAGTCTCCCCATGGAAGTCTAGTAGTGTTGGGTTCTTTCTGTTCCTCAAAGATTTGGCTAGCCTCTAGGAATCTCCCAGCATCCAAGAACCCGCGGATTAGAATGTCGTAGACCATGAAACTAGGACGTGTCATTGATCTCGCTAAAGCACAAGCTTCGTCGAATCTTTTAGCAACAACCAAGGCTTCCGTGAGTATCTCGTACGTCGCTATCCCTGGAGACACACGTCCGTCGAGGACCATGTGACGGTAGAGCTCAAGAGCCACGTCGACACGGCCTTGGTCGCAATGTGCTTTCATGATGAGATTGCAAGAGAGCGTGTTTGGGAGGATCTGAGACTCGTTGAAGAAGTAATTGAACAGAGAGATGACTTCGCCGTACCGTTTGGCCTCGCACATGGCTCCGATTACGGAATTGCAGATGAACACCGTGTCTCTGTCGTTACGAAACCTGTCCTCTACAGCGAGGTGCGACATCGTGGCGGCTTCGTCCAGATTACACATCTCGATCAGCGCCGTGACTCTGTAGCGCAGAGGTATTGGGCGGCGATCGATTCTATCCATATACATTGGGTTGATAATGATAGGTGGGAGTGAGCAAGGCTCTCTTCCGACTGGATAACGAATGAACGCCTTTGTTACTGTCGGATTTTGGACAATGCGGCGGACGACGGACATGTCGGCGGAGGTGGAGGTTGAGGTGCTTGGTGTTACTACTTGTTACTAGGGCTAGGTTTTCAATCCAAATTGAAATTCTTACTTATTAATTTATTATCAAATATCAAAACCGAATCGACTATTTCTTTTATGATTAAACAATTTCTTTAAATCCTATTTCTCTCTTTTATTTCTGAAGCAAATTCTCAAAAGCAACATATTATACAATATTTTGGTTGGCAGAAATTCCACGGTGTCAAGCTTAAGTACACGCGTCCGTATCTGATCGAGTTAATGTTCTCCGATATTATTCAGATTTCTGATCTGACACTTGTTGATTCTCCACCGTCGAACATCCACCCAGTCTACAGTAGGTATGGTTACACCCTATACCTATCATATTTGTTTGAATAGTAATGAAAGCTACATAAAAAAATTGACTGTATCTTCCAAAATCCACCACTATTGTTGATTTGATAATTTAAACTATTTATCTAATGTTTCTTCTTTTCTCTAGAAAATCCTCTATGATTAAATCAAAGTTTTAAATCTCTATAATTTAATCATTATTTACAAGATTCTAAAATGTAGACTGATATTGTTCTCTTGAAACTTGTTATTTTTCATATGAAAGAAAAAAGTAAATCTACATGAAAATAATTTGGTTTTCAAGAATCTTGAAAATTTAAGCTCAATTCCACTAATTTATCATATTTTGAAAAAATATGTTTGAACAGTAATAAAAGCTACATAAAAAATTGACTGGTATCTTCTTTTTTTTCTTAATTAGTGTTTTTTCGTTTGCTTGTAAAATTATGTATTAAATTGTCAAAGTTTTGTTCAGTTTGGAACAGACCGTAACGGATAATATGTTTAATTGCTTCTAATTTTGTTTCTGAGTGTAGCAAATGTTTTAAGGCAGTTATCACACCAAATGATTTTTTTTTCAGGTATTAACATTTGTCCTCTTGTAATTGCACACGAGTCATTATCATGCTAGATATAATTAGTAGATGTTTAAACTCTTATCTCATATTTTATTTCCTCTTAACCAAAGTTCTTTGCAATGCAGAAAATCAAATTCCTCGGAATATATTAAATGTTCAGAAAATCGAATTGGCACCTCTCTTTTCACAACAACACATCCTTAATTTAAAAAAATTATGCAAGCTAAAAAGATTCAGAGAAAACTATGATTATCTTTCTCCAAGTACATCAAAGAGTTTAACAGATCGGTCTTGCCTTATGCTTGACTTATTATCAGCCTAGTTACGATAGTTGTGGATGTTTAATAATTTCATAAATCCATTAAAATCATTGTATGTAAATCCAACAAAAATAATAATTTATATAGATTATCATTTTTCTCAACTTTCAAAATCAAGCAAATCTATGTAAATTCATCTCCCAATAACCCTTCTTAATGTTATAAAATTTCACACTAACTATGCACAAAATATTAGCATTGACTGTTGGGCCAAAAGATGTGTTTCTGAGATGTTAAAAGTTTTGATTTGTTTCAACGCAATACTCGTGACCAGAGATTTCCACCGTACTTAGAATAAATCTCTAGAGAAAATATTGTTGGTAAATGTGAAACGGTTAAATTCCATCTCATGAATGTAGAATTTTTTTTTGTTCTCATGAATTTAGAGAAAATATTGTTCGTGAATAGTTGATTAAAATACAAGTTTAACAGCTATACTCAAAATAAAAAAGTTAGCTCAATTGGGAAAACCCAAAAGCCGATGAACAAAAGACTAATTGGGAATTATTGAATCAATGCTTAGCTGTTGACTTTTCTCTTTCACAATTGCCGCTGCTTCTAGCTCTTTCGCAATTGCCGCTGCTTTCAGTCTCTTTTTTCTCATCGATAAGATTCTTCAGATCATCTTCTCTTCCTTCTTTCCTCAGCTCTCCTCTCACAAAATCTTGCAATTTCGATCTCTTTTTTTCTCATCCATAATGCTCGTTTCTGTCATGCCTATAATTTCCTCGCCTCATGCCAGAGGAAGGCCGCTGCTCCCTTGGAGAAATCTTCTGCAACAAATTCAACATTGAACATTGGTTTAGAGCAGTGTGACAAATGAGTTTTATACCAAAACATTGAACATAGCAAGCAAATGAAAGACATCATATTATAATTAGTAAAGGAGGAGATAGAAAGAAGAAAATCCAGAAGCATAGCCTGAAACAAGCCTAAATCTCCTAAAAGTAGCAGACATGTGTGCAAGTAGAATAAGCAGGCAGATCATGGGGTCAATGTATTCAAGACCAAAGACCATAAGACTGACAAACATTCTATCAATAATAACATAATGGAATAGCTCCTCTTAGCTCAAGTTTGTGGTCTGGACAGAGATCAACACATCACTAACACCATACTATAAAATGAAAGTTGTAGCTTGATTGATAAAAGCATGCACGCACGCAAGTATAATGGAAGATCAATGTAGGTATTCAGTTCTTACAGGATTTGGAAAGTAGGTCCCAGTCCCACTTCGATATCTGGGAGTTTCATTAGCATAACGAGGGTACATGTTAGGGGGCCTAGGAGAAACAGGTTGTACAGGAGGAGCAACGGGTACAAGACGAGGTCCATAGTTCATGAGCTGATTCATGAGACTGGCGTAAGCAAGAGGTCTTCCAGGACCATCCCATGGTACACGCCCCTGGAGATAAGCAGGTGGCACTACAACCGGAGCAGGATACAACACAGGCGGATGTTGAGAATTCTGGCAAGAGCGGCCATACTGCAAATTCTGCCAATGACTTGTGAAATCACCATTAAGAATATCATTCTTGTGCTCTGTTGCTTCTACAGAAGCTCTGGTGGAGTGTGAAGAAACAACTATCTCAGACTGATCAAACCCCTTGAACGAGTTAAAAGTTTTACAGGGATCATGATTCTCCACTCCTTCATCCACACCGAGATGGCTTGCCAAAAGATCTGATGTCGCATTACCACCGACTTGATAGTTGTACATGGGAAGCATTGCAACTATCGGAACAGGTGGCCCAGTGGGATAAAAAGTATATCCAGAATTATCAACCTCGTTTTGTTGCATGCCATTGCCAAGGATAAATGGAGCAAGGGGCACTGTGGTCTCTGATCCACTTGCCTGAGCTAGTTCATGACCATGTATTTGATGCCTCTGGAGTTGAAATGAAGCAACAGTAGGCCGAGGGCCAAGATCTCTTTCTGTTATTTCCTGGCTTGATACAGGAACCCACTCTCTGTTATCATCTTCAACCTGGATTGAGTGCTCAGGTACAATCTTTCCTTTTCCGTAGAGTGCAGACGCAGCCCCAGTAACTACTTTCCTATTCCGTCTATCCCTACCTGCCTTTGAGCCCCTTGTGGTTGACCCATCCCAAGAGCTTTCAGATGAAGTCCTACTTCTAACGGAACTAGCGCAAGACACAGATCTAGAGCCTGCATTTCTCACCTCACTCTGATTCTGACTGCCTCCTCTGACTGGAGAGTGGGGTTTTTCTATATCAGCTCCCCTTGTTGACCGTATTTTCCGACTTGAGGGTACAAAACTGTGATCTGCAGACGATGACTGATTTTTATCATTCGCATGATGCATGCCATAACTACCAATTTCAAGTCCAAAACTATGAGGACCCCTTTCTTGCTTGTGCCAGAGTTCATGGTCAGACTCGTCAACATTATCTGGAGACCCCATAGCTTCATTACCAGCTTTTCTCAGCTTTTCTAGATTTAGATGGGATCCTAGAATATAAATAATTACACTAGCCCTTATAATAAGTTTTCAACCTTGCAATGTGTAGCAAGAATAATCTGAGGAGATAGTTGAACTAGTTTTATTTGAACACATACCAATGTTAATGAATATATGTGAAGAATTTGGTTGACCAGTCTATACGATGAAACCAAATTTATATATGTAATATTCTTTGACTTTTTCTCTTAATTCATAAGTAGTATTGACAATTTCTAATCTCCTATCCCTTAGTGCCAAACCACATAATGACCTTCTCAAAACAAATCCTTCTCCTTCTCTCCATCTTCTTCTTCTTGCCTCTCCTAAATGCCTCAGACCCAAAACCTTGCTACACCTCTTCATGTGTACACGGAAACTTCGATGGGAAGATCCACGTTCGTTTCCCTTTCTGGCTATTCCCCAAGCAGCCTGAGTCATGTGGCCACACAGGATTCAACCTCCTATGCACCAATCATCACGAGACGACACTAAAGCTTCCCAACTCTGAAACATTCCTCGTCCGAGATATCGACTATCTCCAGCAACGTATACGCCTCAACGACCCCAAGAACTGCTTAGCCAGACGACTTCTCAGCTTTGACGCTTCAGGGTCTCCTTTCTCTCCTCTCCACCTTCTCAACTACGCCTTCTTGACCTGTCCTAAAGAAGACGTCAATTCCTCTCTTTACAAACCCATTCAATGCCTTGGAAATTCCACAACCTCCTTCATCGCCACACGTTTAGACCTCGTGGCTTCGGTGCCACCCTCTTGTAAGATCTTCAAGAAATTACTTCTTCCGGTTTCCGAGCCTATCGCCTACATGGCAGGATTCGCCGGTGACCTCAAGGCTAATTGGAGATGTGGATCTGTCAACAACATTACCCTCCAAGCCCAATGCTTCAGTTCTGTGAACTCCGGCTCAACCGCTTGGTTTTCGGACACGTGTGGTGTGAGTGCTAGTTGCGTGAAAACACGCGACCTAATATCTACCTAGCTCCAATGCTCTGCTACCTTAGGGTTACGATTGTTTCAGGTCACGATTTGATTTCCCACGACGGAAGACGGCCTCCTTCAGCTTTCGTGGAGGTACAAGTAGGTGAACAAAAACTAAAAACCGGGATCTCTACCGGTTCGAACCCGTCGTGGAATCAAGATCTCATCTTCGTCGCATCGGAGCCGTTAGAAGATCTAGCAAGTCACCATCGAAATATGGGACAAGATCGATGATCAACACAACCAATTGATAGGAGTATTAGAGAGAAGACCTTCAAAGATATTACCCATCTTAAACAACCCGGACCCGTACCGCTTCTGCACTGCGACATTAAACTGCCGGATAACCCCCAACCGGCAGGGGATACTAGGCGGTTCGCAAGCAAACTTATAGTGAAGCTAGCTACGGATCAGACCTACCACGTCTTCGACGAATGCAGCCAATACTGCAGCGACTATCGCCCTTTCGCCAAAGGGCTATGGCCTGGCGTGCTGGGCAAGTTAGAGGTCGGGATCTTGGGAGCTACAGGGTTAACCCCGATGAAGAACTCGCAGTTTCAGAGACACGCTTACACTGTAGCCAAGTATGGGAACAAATGGGCAAGGACTCGAACCGTGGTCAACAATGCGTCTCCCAAGTGGAACGAGCAGTGCTCATGGGATATTTACGAGAAGTGCACCGTCTTCACGATTGGCCTCTACGACAACCATCAGTTAGTGGTGAATAGCGGCCTTGATGATGTTCCGATCGGGAAAGTGAGGATTCCGTTGAGTAAGCTGGACTGGAACAAGATCTACACGGGCTCGTTTCCGATCTTGGTGTTGGGGAAAGAAGGGTTGAAGAAAACCGGTGAGATCCAGCTGGCGATCCGATGCGCTATTCCTCCGCCAGCGTGGTTGTTTTTCTCGCCGTCCTACTTTTTGGCTACGTCTCCTTTCCGTTGGATGCTGCCGAAGTCTCATTACAAGGCCCCTTTGGGGCTGCTTCAGTACGAAGACCTGAGGTCGAAAGCCGTTGAGGTGATATGTTTTAACTTGAATAAAACAGTGCCGAAGTTGAGAAACGAGGTGGTCAAGGACATGTTGAAGCCGAGGAGTAAGAGGTTCAGTATGAGAAGAACCATAGCTAATTTCGAGAGGCTGTGTAGATTCTTCATGTGGTTGTATGGCCCGTATGCTTGGCTGGATGCGAATCTGGTCTCCACGACGGATGTTGGTCGGAAAGCGGTTACGTTTGGTGTCTGTTTCCTACTTGTTGTTGGCCATCGCTTTTTTTTGTGGTTGTTGGTGGATTGGTGGTTATATGCGTATATCGGTGGGGTTTATATTCTTTACCGAGTGTACAAGCTCAGGACCGTAGCGTTTAACATGATCATGAATCGGAGCAACCCTGCTACTCCTTTGGTTCTGGTGGATTTGAAGCTGTCGAAGCTGGACTCTCCCAACCTAGACATATTAGACGAGGAGTTTGACTCGATGCCATCGTCGGAGTCTGACGTGTACGTGCTTAGGATGAGGTACGATAGGATGAGGAAGATGGGGGAGAAAATCATGTTGTTAGTGGGAGATTTTGCGTCGCAATGCGAAAGGCTTCAAGCGTCCTGGAGGTTATGTACCGACCATATAGTCGTAGTAATTTGCTTGGTGTTCCTCGGTTACGGAGTTCTTCGGTTACTCCAGTCTGAGACTGAGTATGTGTTTAAGTCTGTCCTTCTCCTCTTTATTTCCTATTGGCTTAAATTCCCGTGGCATCGCTACGGTTTGCCAAGCGCCACCAAGAACTATATCAGAAGATTTTCATCCCACGAAGACCTCATCATCACCTGACTAATTGTCTAGGGTTTTGGTTTCATGTATTTTCTTGTTTCGTGTGCATGTATCGGGGCATTGGTGTTTAATGCCCTCTTATTATTAGCAATTAATAAAGTAAAACTAGTACGATGATTTGTTTTATAACTCAAAGAAGATTGAGTCACTTAGTTTATACGTCAGATTCCACCTATCTCTGTTCTCAGCGTATTTTTATAAAATTTGCTCTTTCAAATTGGGTTTAAGCAAGATATATTGATGGTGCAAAATCATTGCTGATGCTCGTGGTGTTAAGTAACAACAGTTTGTTGTTGTTGTTGTCCTGCTCTACTTAGACCTGAGGAAGAAGAAAGAAACGGAGAAACAAAATGCTCAAGTAAACCATGCCATCAACTGAAAGGAGCTAGAGTCAAAGGGACGATCGCTTTAATGAAGTGGAAGATCGATCGGTTATGCTCTCTCAATTTTTTTTTTTCACATTCAAGTGCTATCACTTATTTTGTCACTCTTTTTCATTGTGTCAACAGCTTCTGGTTAGATTTATGAAGGTTTTAGGCTTTTTATTGAAAGAGATATTGTTAACAGGAAGAGAGATATGCAATCCTGGCAAAGATTGTAGTTTCACAAGCTCATTTAGACATATCAAAATACAAATGTCACATGCCTCCAAACCAATCATAATAGAGAAATCAGCAAAGTCTTTTAGTTACGACATTTTGTACCCAATAGAAGAATAAGATTCCATTTTCAAGCAAGTCCCCCGACTTTGCCAATTTATCAAACTTAAAGAGCAAAGAACAATTATTCACTTTTAAACTTGGACACTACTCGAAGCTAAAAACTTGGAAACTAATCCAATTTTTGTGCTTTTACTAAACTACCACTTCACTCCACTCCACTCCACTCCACTCCAATCCATTATATATAAGCTCCTCATAACAAAAAAAATTAATCTAGAAAAAATAATGGATCAAAATCAAGCAGTTGTAGAGATACCTGTTCTAGAGAGGGAGTTATTTGTGATCCATATTCAAATGTTGTGGGTCTATATGGGTTTGTGTTTTGGGAGTTCGTTTTACACCAACTGGTGGAGACATTAGGGTTTACTGTTGTGTATAAATAAGCTCGTTGCAATTGTAGAAAAAAGTATTCAGCTTTCTCTTCATTTTTTAAAATCTAAAAAAGAAAAATGGATGAAAATCAAGAATGTACATATATTGGTTAGAATCGATTCTGAATGGTGAAGCCCCTTAGTCTAATGGTTGATTTAGGAATTAATGCTTCTACATCATGTGGTCTGGGTTTCAAATAAAAAAAAAAATTGTCTTGTGAAAGTTTTTGACTTTTTGTATAGATTATTCAATCATAAAAAATTGGATTCCGATTAAAATTCATGGGCTTCCAAAGTCAATCTAAAGCCCAATAAACTGAAGCTTCAAAAACAAAATTATGCACCAGCCGGGAATCGAACCCGGGTCTGTACCGTGGCAGGGTACTATTCTACCACTAGACCACTGGTGATTTACGGTTCTACGAGAGCAAGTTAAAGTAAAGATTTTACGATACAAAACAGAGCTTTCTTGTAAGTCTAGATTCAGACCTTGATATTCTTCATCAGATTTGATAGGGAACTAATCGGAAGTCACCGGATTTTTATCTCCCGGAGAGAAATTTACCCAAACAAGTATCACCACAGTTGCATGATTATTGATTAGCAGAGAGTGATTTCTTCAAATTCAATCGAAACCCTAGATTCCGTACGTATTTCTTCGTAAAACCTCCCAAAAATTGGGGAAAGTTGATGAGCGATGATGATGTTTATCATTCGCATGATGCATGCCATAACTACCAATTTCAAGTCCAAAACTATGAGGACCCCTTTCTTGCTTGTGCCAGAGTTCATGGTCAGACTCGTCAACATTATCTGGAGACCCCATAGCTTCATTACCAGCTTTTCTCAGCTTTTCTAGATTTAGATGGGATCCACTGGGAAAATAATGGGTAAATGGTGAAGAAGCAAAGTTTTGCGGAAATTGCATATTAGTACTCCAAAGTGTCTCGGTGAAAGGAGGGTTAGAAGAAACAATACCAGGCACGTTCCTCTGACCATATCCCACTGAAGCTAACATGGAAGGTGTAATTGGAAATGGCAAGTGGCCCGTAGCAAAATTATAAGGAAAAGGGAACTGTCCATTAAAACCTTGCCCAGTAAGAGTTGCCATGGAGTTCACAAGATCTTGCTCTTCCTGTTGCATTCCCTGATCACCAGCGGCAGAGAAGTCTTCATTCACGGAAACTGAACCTAAATCATCATAATAACTGTTCACTGCACTGCTCATGTCAGCAGTGCTATCAGGACTTCGAGGGGATGGAGTATGCCTATTTGATGTTGAGTCAGACACGTGTCTGATATTGCTTGACAAATTTGACTCCAGATTCTTTTTCCTGGTACTATCAGCCCTCACAGAATTAGTTTGGCGTTTTCCAGCTTCCGGGGCTCTGTTACGCCTTTGCTGCGAAAGAGCTTCACCATATGTCTCAGTAAGCTCAGGGCTTGACCGTGTCCTGGCAAAGAGATGCCTTCCGTGAATATTATTCACCATGATTTCTGGCTTAACAGTCTTCTGAAGTTTATCATTTGAAGCATTTTGATTAGAACTGACTTCCTGAGCAGGTTGGTAAGAGTTGCCAACAGTCTTTTGGGTTTGATATGTTGCTCTAGATATAACTTCTGTTCCACAATTATTCTGTTGAGAGGCCATACTCAAAGAGATGCCTTCCGTGAATATTATTCACCATGATTTCTGGCTTAACAGTCTTCTGAAGTTTATCATTTGAAGCATTTTGATTAGAACTGACTTCCTGAGCAGGTTGGTAAGAGTTGCCAACAGTCTTTTGGGTTTGATATGTTGCTCTAGATATAACTTCTGTTCCACAATTATTCTGTTGAGAGGCCATACTGCGAGCTCCTTGAACCCCACCAACAGCGGCGGAGTTATGGTTTCTTTTGCTGCTTGAAGAATCACTAGCATTTTCATCTTGCTGATCAGGCTCAGGATATCCCAGCCTTGATAACCAAAGGTCAATTCCAGGAGCATCAGGACGACAACCACTGCCATGTCTTTCCCATGTATTCATAGAGAATTGGTTAACCTCATGGACCAAATTCTCTCAGAGGCCTGATATAGTAAGCCCTGAAAAACTCTGCGTTTTCTTCTTCCAGTTTCTGCCAAACTGATTTCACAAGAAACAAAAGGGTTTGTCAGAAATGGACTATTCATTCCAAGCTGCTAATGCTATAACTAGTACTAATTCATACTCTCAACAATATTTAGCATGCAATTTGTGTCACACTTCAACATCTCAGTATCCTAAGGAAGTTCTCCAACTCACTCCACTTCAGTGCAAAGAATGAAGTTAGACTAGTCAGAATCTGAAATCTAAGACTGAAAGAAAGGGTATGATGCAAAGAAGCAAAAGGAAGAAAGAGACTTCAAGAAAGTTTAAAAAGCTTACCCAAGGTAGTAAATCCAGGGTCTATCCTTGCTCGAGTCAAGAGGGTCTTCACGACCTCATCTCTGTTCATGTACAACTGAAGACATCTTTCTATCAAATTTTGGACCTACACCAATCATTTCCAAAGTGTATATATATCATCAAATGTTACGAGGGAGCGGACACATGAGACATACAAACACATAAATAGAGACACAGAGAGAGGTAAAGCCTGCATTTTTTTCAGTTAAAAATGACAAAAAAAAAAAAGAGGTCGGAAATGTTCTCTTACAAGTTCAATATCTTGTCTTGAAACTTTCCTACTGTCAGTGCTTGAAGCAGATACAGAAACAGCATCTTGTATAGGAGCTTCTATTGATTGGATATTTTTCTCTTCACCTTGTGACTCATACGAAGCTTGAGTGGAAGATTGTAGTTCCTGTGCGCACTGTAATTAGATGATATTTATTCCAACATATTTCACTTTTCGGTAATCAAACATCCACAAGTACTGAAACAGCTTGAGACCACTAATAGCTTCCTATATGAAAGTATTGATCCAATCCATCAGTCAATTTCTAATATGAATAATAGCTACAAATGAACAGCAACAACTTGATACTTTACAAAAATCAAGGAATTGTAAGAAAATAGCACTAAGCCAATGCAACAAAGATGATAAAAGGTGTAAAAACTTATTACCTGTCCGTTCTTCATTACAACTGAAAGCAAACTGCATGCATCCTCTAATTCAGAACTGTTCTCTTTAGCGGCAGTTTACAACAATGCAATCAATAGAGCTCAGGATCTTGGCGAGTTTGTTTATAATTTACAAACCAAAGATAAACCTGAACAACAAGAAGAAGAAAAAACAAGAATTAGCCAAAAGTGCATAGTTTCTTTACCCACCAGTTTGGATAATAGTAGCCCAACAGTCGGCTAACAGTCAAAGCAATACAATTTAGCATGATAAAGAAAGAAAGAAAAGCATTTTTCCACAGTGATTTGTTTATTACCAACAAGCATGGAAAGTGAGTCCCTCAACATTGTTTCATAGCGTTCCAGATTCCAATCAAGCTCATTTAAATAATAACAATTTCATAAAGTTTACGCAAATCAACCAAAATAGTTCATATATCCCACACTATACACAATGTTTCACATTTTTCAATCTAAAACAAAAGCAAAACTAATAAATTCTCCAACTTGCAAAACCACCATGCCAAATCAGCTCACCAAACAAAGAACAACCTGAAGAGTATATGCGAAATCAAATGAGCTAAATTCCAGAAGCGTTAGCCATTTGTGGAGCTAATTGCTGGGGATTGTGAATAGAACAAATATCAAAATTTTAAAATAGAAGAACACAATTTAAACCCCCACATGAACAGAGACTCGCTATTAAAATATTGTAGAAAATCCAAAAGCGGAAAAGTTTATAGAGACATGGAATAAACAAACACACAAAAAAAAGATCCATCGAATCTCTCACCTCCCCCGCTAACCTGAAGCCTGCAGCGAACCCTAAACTGAGGTTATCTCGACGAATTTACAAAGCAATCAGGGGACGAGTCTCAGCAAGTCATGTAAACGCTGAAATTGCGAAACGAAGATCTGAGCTTAGAGAAGATAGTGTAAAGAAGATTCGACGGAGATAGCGAGAAGAAATTCAGAACGCCATTATCGAGAGACGAAGTTGCAGAGAGGATATTAAACGCCGCAGAGAGATAAGAGTGAAGAGAGAGAGAGAAAACCAATTAGTGGACCGTACCAATAGATTTTCTAGACTATTAACGATAACTATCGATTTAAATAATTTCATTAGTCTACACATATATGATATATCCTTAAGATTAAGAATATAATACTTTGTATCCATCTTCCAAAATCGCCAACAAATTTTGTAACGGGTGTTCTGTACATCTACGTTTTTATTTTGATATTGAAACTATGTGATAAACTGATAATGTTTGGCATATCATTGAATCAACCTTTTTTTTTAACTACGATGAAACTTTTAAATTATAAAGAGATAATCATTGACTCCAACGTATAAAAAAAACATAAGAAATGTAAAAACTAGCAAAAATTATATTTGAAAAACCATATTTTGAGATCTTTTGTTAAAACTAACTTATACTAGGTTGAGACTACTCAGAATAGCTAATACTTTTGCTAGGTATGATAATGGTGTGAATTGTGCGGACAAATTTTTTGTAAGGTAAGCAGTAAATTCAAAATTTTAATATAGAAAGTAATACAAGAAGTTGACTAGCTGAGTGAACCAAACTAGTGGGTCCCACCTCCGCTTTCGGAGTTCGCCGGTTCCACGGCTGTTCCCGCCACTCTTGAGTCCTAATTAAGTAGGTTTGTCTACTGATCAATCCATTTATCTGAAAAACAGATAACTAAAGAAAATCTTCATATATTTAATATCCAAGTCATCATTACGTAACCGATACGACTTTAAACGATAAAAACAAAAAAAAAGTACGTTTTCCAATTATTGACATGTATAATGTAAGCAAGTAACTCACGACCGATGACAAAAAAAAAAGTAGGATCACTCGATATTGCATGTGTCGAATAATTGTGTTCACCTTAGTAATTATTGAATCAATCCCTTATTCCCTGACTAGAAAAAACTCTGACCTATTGATGCTCTTGCGGCGGTGGTCTTCACAAGCTTTTGGAAAAAAGCCATTGTCAACAAATTGATGAGCTTAGCGGAAGAGATGAGGAAGCGGAAGAGAGGAAGAAAGAGAGGATTGAGAAATAAGCTTTTATAAAGGAGACACTGGAAGTAGACAAAACAAAACCCTTGCAAGATAAAGTGAAATTAACTAAGAAGAAAAGTCCATTGGAAGATATATAATCGTTCAGTATTTTTGTTAATGTTGTTTTGTTTTGCAGATATATAACATTTTATTGATTTAAATACCAATATCAAGACAATTTCAAGTATATAATTTTTTTTTTTTTTCTAATTGTGGTAAGGAAAAAGTTGGCTTTATCTATTTTCCTAGTTAAGGTTTGTAGAATGGAAAATGAAAGAAAGAGAGAGAGAGAGAGAGAGAGAGAGAGAGAGAGAGAGAGAGAGAGAGAGAGAGAGAGAGAGAGAGAGAGAGAGAGAGAGAGAGAGAAATAAGGAGGTCAGAACATGGAGATTGGAGAGAGAGAGGAGACAAAGTGTAAGTGTATTGTGATATAAATCTGTCGTTTTTATCCGTACGTACTGTGGCAGGAGGCGCTCTGCATGGTTATCCCCAGCCACTTACAAAAAGGGTCAGTAATATTAAAAAAATAATAATAATAATAATCTATTTTAGTCTAAAGAGTTTGAACTTTGAAAATGGAATAAAACTTTCAAATCAATACAAGTAAAGGTTTATGATTCTTGGAAATCAAATCAATACAAGTAAAGGTTTATGATTGGGTCGCTTCACAAACATCCCTTTAACAAACGAAAAAAGTTCGCTACACAAACATTAATAAGCCTTTGTGTGATATTTTATTCTTGATGCGTGTTGTTCGTGTGTGCAGCTGAGGTCCAAAAAATTAGGGTCAGTATCAATAAAGAAGAAAAAAGTATCATTGGATAACGTTTTGGAAGAAGAGAACTTACAATAATAAAAGATTAAAAGCTTTTGGAAAAACAGTAAAAAAATCAATCCTCAGATTTCTTCAGTTTGCTCAAAAATCAAAAATTAAAACAGTAAAATTTGGCTTTGTAGAAGGGACGAGAGAGAGAGAGAGAGAGAGATAAGGAGCTGTTAGGGTTTGAAGGTGAGAGAGAGAGATAGGAGAGTCAAACCAATTAACGTGCGTGCCAGATTCTTCAGCAAAAAAGGAAAACCACGCGCCAGTTTTTGTGAATAAATAAACTCTGCCGTTTTCCTAATTAAACCATCGATCACCACCGTACGTAGTAGTGTCAGGGGACAATATATATTAATATAAAAAACAACTTTGTCTGACGCGCCACGTTACACTCCTTGCTCTACCTTCTTTTTTTGTCTTTTTTTCTCGCATTTAATGAGAGAGAGAAAAGAGCAAACAATAACAGAACATACATGAGTCTCGAACATACATTTTTTGGTAAAAATGTTAAAGAGTCTCGAACATACATTGTATTTTCGGTACTAGTAGAGCACTATATGTTTGCTTGTGGATTAATATCAAGAAGAAATGTATGCACTCTAAATTTATGGATTAACATAACATAAATGTTTATTTAAACCCAAGCACATCTCGTACACGGTAAATAAATATTTAGGAAACGAATACTATTAATAATAATACTTATAATAATTAATAGCCTCATTTAGCTTATGGATTTATCTATTAGATAGAAGCTGAAGTAGAACATAACGCTCTGCTGTTATAAAACTAAATTATTTCGAATATTCACGTTATAAAGTTCAAGAAACACATCTTCCCTCAACCAATCAAGTGCGTTTTTTCTTTCTTAATAATTTTCTACCCACTCTACTGCTTTTTACCATTTAATTACTCAGTTCCACTCTAGAAATGGTCAAAATTTTGTTTATCTAAAATATTATAATAAATGAACCAACAAATATATGGTATAATTTTTTTGAGTTATCAATTTGTACTCGAATTGGTTAGAACCAAAGGGGGAATTGAACAAACCTATTTTAAATTAAATATCGAATCATATTGAAACTGAAACCATCCATATCTACTCAGCACCATATTATATAGTCCATATATATAAGATAAGCCAATATAAGTATATGCACTTTAGTCGTGTGATAGTGATAAATGCAATACAAGGCGTTGTTATGGCACATTAGAGGCAATGGATCTAATTTTGTATGTACATCCATCGCATCGCGTGAGACAGTTAAACTTGCTTGGAGACCAAGCAGGCTCTACTTTCGGTACAGTAACTAACACGTGTCAGAAATCTAACGTCTCAATCTGAAATGCGGAAAGCCCACGAAACCGCCTTTAACAAAAATCCCATCTAATTTCCGGTTTGCTATAATTTCGGTTCGGTTTATTAGTTTTATTCAAATTTCATCATTCGCTAGAATAATATTTTTTTCAAAAATCAAATGAGTTTTGAACCAATATACGTAGTTCCATGTCAAAAACAACTGAACTGAAATCAGTTTAATTTTCTGGGTACTGTTGAACCGGTTTGAACAAGCTTTAAATGATCTCTACAGTTAAAACAAAAAAGACACGATAATCATTAACCAGTTAATATTTCGAAAAATACGTTAAATAAAAAATGGCCATTCAAAGTAAAAGAAATATGCAAATAACAAATTAGCCATCATGTGACTCATCACTCTCTTCTTTCGTTACTCTTTTGACTCTTCTCTTTCTCTCTCTGCAAACTCAAACGGTGAAAAAACAAAAAATCCTCTCTCCTACAGAGAGCAAGAGATGGAGAGACGAAGGAGACGAGTCAAGTTCACAGAGCATCGTACGGTCACTTCCGTGCCAGCTAAGCCGTCTCAGTCACGGGGAGGAGTTTAGATTCGGCGAAAGCAAATCCTCCTCCGCCGCCGCAGTCAACGCAGCGAGGAGAGCTAGATGTAAGGCGGCGGAGAAAGGCGGAAATGACGACGTGTCAACATCCTCGGTGAATCCTAGGAAGTACAGAGGCGCGAGGCAGAGAAAGTGGGGGAAATTCGCGGCGGAGATTAGGGATCCGGCGAGCCGTACTCGGATTTGGCTGGGGACTTTCGTCGCGGCAGAGGAAGCTGCTATGGTTTACGAATTACCACCGAGCCGCGATCCATCTCAGAGGACATAACGCACAGACGAAGTTTCTAACTCCTCCTCCTTCTCCGGGGAAAACGCCGGTCAACGATCTAGAAACTTCTCCGACCTCTGTTCTTCGATTCAACGCTAACGAGGAAACAGAGTATAAAACAGAGCTGGAGACTGAACCAATCGAGCTATCGCCGGAGAGAAAGTCGTCGTCAACCGGAGAAGAATCGCTTGAGAGTTTGTTGCCGGATTTGTGTCTCGCCGTTAGATTATGTTTATGAAGCATCTTGGCCGTTAGATTAGGTTTATGGTTCCGATCAACTGAAGCGCCAAAAAGTAGCTCTATAAAACTATCTATCTAACAATTAAGAAACAAAATTTTATTTGATAATAACAATATAAATAAAATGTGTTTAACGGTCCTCTTCTATGATGTCTAATATTGATTGTTTTTTTTTTTTTTCTTGAAAGAAAATGTTGATTGTGTTTTGCATACAAGCTAAATTGACTTGCAATATTATGTTTGGAATAAGCCGTAAATTACTCTATTGCGTAATACAACATATATAACAATAAAATCATTATAGTTGAAAATTGTGTTGGTAATTTTATTAACAAGTCTTATAAAATTGTAAAATTGTGTTGGTAATCTTGGCCGTTAGATTATGTTTATGGTTCCGATCAACTGAAGCGCCAGAAAGTAGCTCTATTAATTTATTTGTGTGGGTAACTGGTAACTATTCTAATTTCTAGTTAAGATAAAATGTCAGTGTTTATGAAGGTTAATTATGTCTATATTAATTACATCCTTCAAATTTTCAAAATCACCATAAAAGACAACCAATGTACTTATGCTTTTGTTTCTATTTATCTATTAGTACTATTACATACGATTATCGTAAAGATACATTTGCATTCTATCAAAACTCTGCCGAGGTCTACGTGAAGAATTTGGTATATATCAATTCTGAAGGACATATGTATCCTGTCTTCTAATTAAGTGGATGTTTTCTATTTTGTACTATGGTCCATCCAAGTGGGTGGGACAAAGGTTTATTAACCTAGGTTTTATTGCTATTCTGATCAAATCTTACTTAATTAGCATTTTAAAAAATTTGGTGTAGTTTTTTCTTAAAGAATATTTGAAAAAAAAAAACAAAACTATACTTTATATCATTATATGCTTTGGAGTGGACAGTACTATACTCTATACAGATCCTTGTGACCAATAGCTAACATTTAAACTTTCCGATGGAGCCAAAAGTCCTAATCACCCTTATCTTCTCCGTCACCGTTCTCTTCTTCTCTTTCTCCTCCGCCTCTTCTTCTTCCCAATACCAAACACTCGTTGTCAACACTCTCCCTTCTTCCCCAATCCTCTCATGGCCCGAATCCGAATCCCTATCCAGTGAATCCGAATCCACAACTTCACTCTCTGTTCATTTAGCACACGTCGATGCTATCTCTTCCTCCTCCGACGCATCTCCGGCGGACCTTTTCAACTTACGTCTCCAGAGAGATTCTCTCCGAGCCAAATCCATAATCAGCCTCGCAGCCGTCTCCGCCGGACGGAATGCCACGAAGAAAACTCCACGCTCAGCCGGTGGATTTAGCGGTGCCGTTATCTCCGGTCTCTCGCAAGGAAGCGGAGAGTATTTTATGCGGTTAGGCGTTGGAACTCCGGCGACCAGCGTTTACATGGTGCTCGACACTGGAAGCGACGTCGTTTGGCTCCAATGCTCTCCTTGCAAAGTCTGTTACAACCAGTCCGACCCGATTTTCGACCCGACTAAATCCAAATCTTTCGCCACCGTCCCTTGTGGATCTCGCCTTTGCCGGAGATTAGACTCGTCGGAATGTGTCAGCCGTCGAAGCAAGACTTGCCTTTATCAAGTATCGTACGGTGACGGATCGTTCACCGTCGGAGATTTCTCCACCGAAACGCTGACGTTTCACGGAGCGCGTGTGGATCAAGTTGCGTTAGGATGCGGTCACGATAACGAAGGATTGTTCGTTGGTGCGGCTGGGCTATTGGGCCTGGGCCGTGGAGGATTATCGTTTCCGTCGCAGACGAAAAACCGTTATAACGGAAAATTCTCTTACTGTTTGGTTGACCGGACTTCCTCTGGTTCTGCTTCTAAACCGCCGTCAACTATCGTCTTCGGAAACGACGCCGTTCCGAAAACCGCCGTTTTCACGCCGTTGCTAACGAACCCGAAACTCGACACGTTTTACTACTTGCAGCTTCTTGGAATCAGCGTTGGCGGTTCGCGCCTTCGCGGTGTTTCGGAGTCGCAGTTCAAACTTGACGCTGCCGGAAACGGTGGGGTTATCATCGACTCCGGTACTTCGGTTACTCGGCTGACGCAAACTGCTTACTTGGCTCTAAGAGACGCGTTTCGTTTGGGAGCGAAGACACTGAAACGTGCTCCGTCGTATTCTCTGTTCGACACGTGTTTCGATCTCTCGGGGATGACGACGGTGAAGGTTCCGACAGTGGTGTTTCATTTCGGCGGTGGAGATGTTTCGCTTCCGGCGAGTAATTACTTGATCCCGGTGAACACTGAAGGACGGTTCTGTTTTGCGTTCGCCGGAACAATGGGGAGCTTATCCATAATTGGAAACATACAACAACAGGGTTTCCGGGTCTCTTATGATTTGGGCGGGTCACGGGTCGGGTTTATGTCTCGCGCGTGTTAGATTTTGAGTTTGAGTTGACTAATCTATTCCCAAACTCTTTATGGGAGAAAAAATTTATCAGCATCAATTTCATCATATTACTCAATAGGCAATACTATAGCCAAAGCGTTAATTTTCTAATTTTTTGGTTGGTTTAACCCAAAAAAAAATTGCTTTTGAAAATCGTTAGATAATAAATCTACGACAACTCTCCGTAACATGATGACAATTTGCATCTCCGATTTATTTCTTGTTAGACACCAGAAAAATGACTCGAAGTCCACGAATCTATCATCTTGCACGTGACATATTGGACAAAGGAAGAACATACAGTATGAGTGTGTATGAGTATATATATGAGTATGACTCAATTAGTCAATTATCTCCTCCACTCATTATTTATTTTCTATTTTTTGTATTTATTATTTTGAAAAGTCCAGTGAGTGTGCTAATATAAGATGATGATGAAGCTGAAGATAGAGAAAATGGTGACTCATCTCTATTTTTTGTATTTATTATTTTGTACGTCCTCACGTACATTTTTATGAGAAACAGAAAGATTGGTCCTCGGATACATTTGTAATATAACAAAGGTGTTTTCTGGGCCAGATATATCAAAAGGCGTTGTTAAGGCCCATTAGAGGCGTTGGGTCGTCTAATATCCGGAACGTTATCACTTGTGGTCAAATTACATTAATCTGCAATCATTCATGCATTTACGGACTCAGTTTGTCATTTAAGTATTATATTAACAGCATTAGTTCCATATGAATGAATGAGTGAGTATACGATATATTGAGAAAGAAAGCCAATTCAAAAAAGCAAAAGATGTGAAGCCCCCCTATATTCGTTAAAAAAGGGTAAAGCTTCTCCCTATTTTATCAATCTAACTAGGGGAGATCCGCGCTTCGCGCGGGGACTTATATTGTTATGTTGATTTTATTAATTTTTTCTTAAATTTAAATTAATTCTATGGTTTATTATTCATATTAATGAAATATAATTACTGTTACGTAAAATTTCTGAAAATAAAATATAATTAAGGTTACGCAAAAATTTTGAACCGTCCTTTCTCATTCCACCCATTTTGTTCCTTTTTATCATCCCGTTCTTTCCCGTCTCGTTCATCTCGTCACGTGCAATTCCATCTTATCTCATTCTGTTTCATCCCGTTTTGACTTTTCTTCTTTCCGTTTCTTTCCGTCCCGTCCCTAAATATTATTAGGGATAAGCAAAATTCTCATCTTTTCCCGTCCCATTATGTTCCTTTTCATCCCGTCCTTTCAGTCCTATCTGTCCCGTCTAGTCTCATCCTATCTCATTCTTTTTCTTCCTGTCTCAGTAAATATAATTAGAGTTACATAATATTTCCGAATCGTCTTTTCTCATTTCTCCATTTTGTTCCTTTTTATCATATTTTTTTGTTCCCGACCCGTCCATCAGGTCCGTGCAATCCCATTCTATCTCATTCGGTTCCTTCCCGTTTTGTCCTGTTCCATCATGTTCCTTCCGTTTCTTTCGTCCCGTTTCTAAATATAATTAGGGATAAGCGAAATTCACGTCTTGTCCCGCCTTATTATGTTCCTTTTCATCCCGTCATGTCCGTCTCGTCCAATCTCATCCTATCTCATTCTGTTTCTTCCGTTTCTACCTGTCACGTAACTAAATATAATAAGGTGTCATATAAGATTCTATAATAAATTAAATAAAAATATAAGTATTTCATTTCAAAACATTAATAAATATAAACATGAGAATTTTTTGACAAACCTAATAAAAACAGTGAGAAAATAAATCATTTTTTTTTGCTCAATCCAAATTAATAGCATAAGATTAAAGGCCCATAAAGCCCATCGGATTTTCTTTAAATCTGTTTGCTAAGATGGCGAAAATTTGCCTACGTGGCAGTCTCAGAAGAGACCCCAACTGTACTTTATATATATAGATATAGATTTCCTAAACGCTACCACTTGTGTTCAAATCATGCCATCATTCATCATATTCCCCTAACTAACATCAGCGCATTCATTTTTGTTCAATTAATTATCATTCATTTATATATATGTATATATAAGAATAAGAAGACAGCCAATTAAACTCTAAATTTGGCAAAAGCAAAAAAGAAAAGGTTGGATATATAACTAATTAATTGAAAAAACAAATCAAAAACCTAAAATACCGCTCGAGAAAATGGGGAATTGGACTGTTCAGTTAGATGAAAAGGACAATACAACCCTTTTTTATATATTTACTGAAAACCAAAACCAGCCAAAGAAATCAAGAAGAAGGAAAGTGACCAAACTTATCATATCAATCAATCTCCGACGTCAAAGAAAACCGAAGAAATATTCGAAACAAGTTTTTTTGATGGCGAGTTGACTCGCGTAAAGTCATGGGATGCTGTCAATCGACTTTCTTGAAACCGTCGTCATTGCATGCCAAAAAAACCTCCGACGATCTTGGAAAACGCACTAATCGCCACCGTCATCGTAACCACAACAACAACGAGGGCGGTGGCGGCAGGGGATGGCATTTTTCCAACGTTCCGGACTTCTCCGAGTTCTCCGCAGCGGATCTTCGCGACGCAACCAACAATTTCAGCGTCAATTCCGTCGTTTCGGTTTCTACCGACCAAACACCAAACGTTGTTTACCAAGGTTGTCTTCGAAAGAAAGACAAAAACATCCGTCGAATCGCCGTTAAAAAATTCTCAAAATCAACCTGGCCTGATCCCAAACAATTCGTTGTATGTCTTTCACCAAATTAAATTCCTCTTTTTTTTTTTGTTGAAAATATATAGTTTTATAAATGGTTAAATACTCAAATAGCAAATATTACATTTCAACTGCAGTCAGAAGCTCAAGCTATTGGGAAAATGAGGCACACGAGGCTGGTGAATTTGATAGGTTATTGCTGTGACGGAGACGAAATGTTGCTTGTGTCGGAGTACATGCCCAATGAAACCCTAACCAAACATCTATTTCACTGTATGATCTCCAAAAAAGTGAAAAAACACTTTTCTTCTTCCTTCATTCTTGTTTGCGTGTGTTTGAAGTAATCGAGTTTTTCCCTTTCTTGACAGGGGAGAAACAAACCATGGAGTGGGCTATGCGATTGAGAGTTGCACTTTATGTAGCTGAAGCTTTAGAATATGGCAAACAGAGTGGACATAGCTTGTACCATGATCTCAATGCTTATCGGGTTCTCTTTGATGAGGTAACTCCAATATTAACCATTCATAGATTTATTATATATAAAATTAACGGTTTTTCTCGTGAGAAAGGGCTAAGATTTTTTTTTGTGGCGCAGAATGGGAATCCTCGGCTTTCATGTTTTGAATGGATGAAAGATAGCAAAGATGGCAAAAACTTTAGCACAAACCTCGCTTATACACCGCCTGAATATAATACAACTGGTAACGTTTTGTGACTCTTCTTCCATTACTACTAAACTTCGTAATATGAATTTAGAGCTTCTTTTTTGCACCTTTTTTTGTGTGTGGCAAATGATGTATATATACACTGTAGGTACGTTAATTCCAGAGAGTGTCGTCTTCAGCTTTGGGACGTTTCTTATGGATCTTCTTAGTGGCAAACATGTCCCTCCAAGTCATGTGAGTTGCTCTCTCACAGGTTCATCATCTTTTAAAACCCACCAAATTTTGGTTTGGTTCTTTATTACTTTGTAAAATGACATGTCTCTCTCTCTCTCCCTATTGCTCTTTGTCAGGCGGTTGATACAATTCAAAAACAAAACCTACCTGCCTTGATAGATTCACACCTTGAAGGAAACTATCCAGAGGAAGAAGCAGCATCGGTGTTTGACTTGGCTTCCAAATGCCTCCGCAATAACCCTAAGGACAGGCCTGAGTTTAAAGATATCATCTCAAGTCTTGCTAAACTTCAACACAAACTAGATGCTCCGTCTTACGCTATGCTTGGGATATTGAAACTCGAAAAACTTGAAACGGAACCTTCGAGTTCTGTCATTTACGATGCATGTCACCGCATGGACCTCACAGCTCTTCATCAGATTCTTGAAGCGATGGATTACAAAGACGATGAGGTTACTTGTGAGCTCTCATTCCAACAATGGTCTAACCAGATCAAAGATGCGTGTAACACAAGACAGCAAGGCGATTCAGCTTTTTGTAACAAAGATTTCCAATCTGCTATCGACAAATATACTCAGGCATGGACACAAAACACAAGACAAAACAAAAACATATAGATTATGATTTTGTCCTAATAAATAAAAATGTCGATTTTTCTTGCAGTTCATAGATACAGGGATCATGATCTCTCCGACAGTATATGCAAGAAGAAGCATGTGCCATATGTTGTGCGACCAGCCAGATGAAGCACTCCGAGACGCGATGCAAGCACAGTGTGTCTATCCAGACTGGCCCACTGCGTTTTACCTTCAGGCGGTGGCTCTTGCAAAGCTGAATATGCTCCAAGACTCAGCTAACATGCTCAAAGAAGCTGCTATATTGGAAGACAAGAGGCTCGTAAACTGATCGACCACACGTTGCATTACACTTCAAAAATTCTATTGATTAGATTGGAAAAAACGAACGAAAAGGATAATGTGTATATTGAAGAAATAGATCGGAGATTGAGAGACGTATATGAACACACATGTATACATTAACAGCTTATGAGATTGTATGCATATGCAATGTTGGATTCCAAGGAGAGTTACACAGAGCACGACTTGCTACACTTATCACAAACGCCTTCAGGAACATCGACTTGAGCAGCATCGTCTTGATAAAGACGTCGTTGTTTAATTAAAAAGACTCGAAATTCATCTTTGGGTATAGGCTCTCCATCTCCTTGTACGCTCTTCCAATACCATGCCCCGTTAACAGGTGGAACATTCTGATCTTCTGGTTTAACATCGTCCGGCACTACTACTAAGACATTAAAACTTGCATTGTTCAAACTTCCAAGGAAACTGAAGAATTCGGTCTTCTCCTTGTTTTTTGCAAGGACCATCACGCTTGCCGGGTTGTGACGAGGAGGATAGGGGCTGTTCACCGCCCACAAAGCAATATCCAATAGCATATCGTTCACTCTCCAATATTTATCACCTGAAAATATTGATATATATATATAAGATCAGGGAAATCAATTAAAGTAGACATGTGATCAACGATTAATAACTTAAATCAAGCAACGATTCATCTATAAGATTAGGGTTTTAATCAATCTTACTTCTCTGTACGAATGTGAATCCACCCTTGGCGGTTTCTTCAGCCGAGAGAGGATTCTTCTCTCCATAAACCGTGATCGATATGTCACCAGTATAATCATTTTCCCTAAGAACAGATTCGACAATTTCACGAATCCCGCGACCCTCGGGGACTGGGAAATCATCCACGTCCCAGAACACGCCTATTTTACCAGCTGCCAAAACGGACAAGGCATAAACAGAACAAACAATGATTAGGAGAAAAAAGTTTGATTCGATAGGCTTGTTTTAGCATGACACCTGAAATCTAATACTAAACAATTTCGAGCAAGAAATATAAAGGCACATCTTACCGGAGAAATCTCTATCGAAGGGATTGGAAAAAACTACTCTGGAGAAACCTCCAAGGGACATTGTGAGAATGAACAAAAATTAGGGTTCAGATATATTTGGTCAAAGAGAGGCTAGGTTATAAGGTTTGGCTTTTATAGGAGCGGCTGCCAAATAAACTTCATATTCTTGAAAGACTTAACCGTTGGATCGTATTCATTGATCGTAGATAATTTTATTTGGCACACTTAAACTGCTACTTTGATTCAATCATATGATTTTTGATAAGTTCCTATTTTGTCAACGTTATAGTATCTCCATTGCTCACAATCAGGAAATCTTATTTGGTGCCTAGTGAAAAGTGACATAATTAATATTTTCTCACTACTCGTTTGTATCTAGGAAAAGGTTCGAAGTCGGACCACTCGTTATGAAAATTAATAGTTTATCATAGGAAGAAAAGTGGTCCTGAAACAAAAATATATAACAGAAAATGCTATTCCAAGGAGAGTTACACAGAGCACGCCATGCCATGCCTTATCCGCTTATCGTAACACAACAACCAACGAACGACCTCACCATTCTAGGGTAATATATATGTTTGGTTCGATATTGAATCTTACTGTCAGTTTTGGAAAACCTGTCATTGAAAAATGATAAAGAAAAGACGTTATCATCACGAAGGACCAAGCGAAAAAAAACTGAAAGAGATTGAAGCACAATATTAGTAACCTATAAGCAATCGTGACATTATGAAGCATTTTCTGTCGTTTTTCTAGTTAGGGAATACGGGATTAATTGTTTAAATAATTACTAAGGTGAACAAAAATTATTCGACACATGCAATATCTTGTGAGTGTGATCCTACTAGTTTGGTTCACTCAGCTAGTCAACTTCTTGTATTACTTTCTATATTAAAATTTTGAATTTACTGCTTACCTTACAAAAAATTTGTCCGCACAATTCACACCATTATCATACCTAGCAAAAGTATTAGCTATTCTGAGTAGTCTCAACCTAGTATAAGTTAGTTTTAACAAAAGATCTCAAAATATGGTTTTTCAAATATAATTTTTGCTAGTTTTTACATTTCTTATGTTTTTTTTATACGTTGGAGTCAATGATTATCTCTTTATAATTTAAAAGTTTCATCGTAGTTAAAAAAAAAGGTTGATTCAATGATATGCCAAACATTATCAGTTTATCACATAGTTTCAATATCAAAATAAAAACGTAGATGTACAGAACACCCGTTACAAAATTTGTTGGCGATTTTGGAAGATGGATACAAAGTATTATATTCTTAATCTTAAGGATATATCATATATGTGTAGACTAATGAAATTATTTAAATCGATAGTTATCGTTAATAGTCTAGAAAATCTATTGGTACGGTCCACTAATTGGTTTTCTCTCTCTCTCTTCACTCTTATCTCTCTGCGGCGTTTAATATCCTCTCTGCAACTTCGTCTCTCGATAATGGCGTTCTGAATTTCTTCTCGCTATCTCCGTCGAATCTTCTTTACACTATCTTCTCTAAGCTCAGATCTTCGTTTCGCAATTTCAGCGTTTACATGACTTGCTGAGACTCGTCCCCTGATTGCTTTGTAAATTCGTCGAGATAACCTCAGTTTAGGGTTCGCTGCAGGCTTCAGGTTAGCGGGGGAGGTGAGAGATTCGATGGATCTTTTTTTTGTGTGTTTGTTTATTCCATGTCTCTATAAACTTTTCCGCTTTTGGATTTTCTACAATATTTTAATAGCGAGTCTCTGTTCATGTGGGGGTTTAAATTGTGTTCTTCTATTTTAAAATTTTGATATTTGTTCTATTCACAATCCCCAGCAATTAGCTCCACAAATGGCTAACGCTTCTGGAATTTAGCTCATTTGATTTCGCATATACTCTTCAGGTTGTTCTTTGTTTGGTGAGCTGATTTGGCATGGTGGTTTTGCAAGTTGGAGAATTTATTAGTTTTGCTTTTGTTTTAGATTGAAAAATGTGAAACATTGTGTATAGTGTGGGATATATGAACTATTTTGGTTGATTTGCGTAAACTTTATGAAATTGTTATTATTTAAATGAGCTTGATTGGAATCTGGAACGCTATGAAACAATGTTGAGGGACTCACTTTCCATGCTTGTTGGTAATAAACAAATCACTGTGGAAAAATGCTTTTCTTTCTTTCTTTATCATGCTAAATTGTATTGCTTTGACTGTTAGCCGACTGTTGGGCTACTATTATCCAAACTGGTGGGTAAAGAAACTATGCACTTTTGGCTAATTCTTGTTTTTTCTTCTTCTTGTTGTTCAGGTTTATCTTTGGTTTGTAAATTATAAACAAACTCGCCAAGATCCTGAGCTCTATTGATTGCATTGTTGTAAACTGCCGCTAAAGAGAACAGTTCTGAATTAGAGGATGCATGCAGTTTGCTTTCAGTTGTAATGAAGAACGGACAGGTAATAAGTTTTTACACCTTTTATCATCTTTGTTGCATTGGCTTAGTGCTATTTTCTTACAATTCCTTGATTTTTGTAAAGTATCAAGTTGTTGCTGTTCATTTGTAGCTATTATTCATATTAGAAATTGACTGATGGATTGGATCAATACTTTCATATAGGAAGCTATTAGTGGTCTCAGTAAGCTGTTTCAGTACTTGTGGATGTTTGATTACCGAAAAGTGAAATATGTTGGAATAAATATCATCTAATTACAGTGCGCACAGGAACTACAATCTTCCACTCAAGCTTCGTATGAGTCACAAGGTGAAGAGAAAAATATCCAATCAATAGAAGCTCCTATACAAGATGCTGTTTCTGTATCTGCTTCAAGCACTGACAGTAGGAAAGTTTCAAGACAAGATATTGAACTTGTAAGAGAACATTTCCGACCTCTTTTTTTTTTTTGTCATTTTTAACTGAAAAAAATGCAGGCTTTACCTCTCTCTGTGTCTCTATTTATGTGTTTGTATGTCTCATGTGTCCGCTCCCTCGTAACATTTGATGATATATATACACTTTGGAAATGATTGGTGTAGGTCCAAAATTTGATAGAAAGATGTCTTCAGTTGTACATGAACAGAGATGAGGTCGTGAAGACCCTCTTGACTCGAGCAAGGATAGACCCTGGATTTACTACCTTGGGTAAGCTTTTTAAACTTTCTTGAAGTCTCTTTCTTCCTTTTGCTTCTTTGCATCATACCCTTTCTTTCAGTCTTAGATTTCAGATTCTGACTAGTCTAACTTCATTCTTTGCACTGAAGTGGAGTGAGTTGGAGAACTTCCTTAGGATACTGAGATGTTGAAGTGTGACACAAATTGCATGCTAAATATTGTTGAGAGTATGAATTAGTACTAGTTATAGCATTAGCAGCTTGGAATGAATAGTCCATTTCTGACAAACCCTTTTGTTTCTTGTGAAATCAGTTTGGCAGAAACTGGAAGAAGAAAACGCAGAGTTTTTCAGGGCTTACTATATCAGGCCTCTGAGAGAATTTGGTCCATGAGGTTAACCAATTCTCTATGAATACATGGGAAAGACATGGCAGTGGTTGTCGTCCTGATGCTCCTGGAATTGACCTTTGGTTATCAAGGCTGGGATATCCTGAGCCTGATCAGCAAGATGAAAATGCTAGTGATTCTTCAAGCAGCAAAAGAAACCATAACTCCGCCGCTGTTGGTGGGGTTCAAGGAGCTCGCAGTATGGCCTCTCAACAGAATAATTGTGGAACAGAAGTTATATCTAGAGCAACATATCAAACCCAAAAGACTGTTGGCAACTCTTACCAACCTGCTCAGGAAGTCAGTTCTAATCAAAATGCTTCAAATGATAAACTTCAGAAGACTGTTAAGCCAGAAATCATGGTGAATAATATTCACGGAAGGCATCTCTTTGCCAGGACACGGTCAAGCCCTGAGCTTACTGAGACATATGGTGAAGCTCTTTCGCAGCAAAGGCGTAACAGAGCCCCGGAAGCTGGAAAACGCCAAACTAATTCTGTGAGGGCTGATAGTACCAGGAAAAAGAATCTGGAGTCAAATTTGTCAAGCAATATCAGACACGTGTCTGACTCAACATCAAATAGGCATACTCCATCCCCTCGAAGTCCTGATAGCACTGCTGACATGAGCAGTGCAGTGAACAGTTATTATGATGATTTAGGTTCAGTTTCCGTGAATGAAGACTTCTCTGCCGCTGGTGATCAGGGAATGCAACAGGAAGAGCAAGATCTTGTGAACTCCATGGCAACTCTTACTGGGCAAGGTTTTAATGGACAGTTCCCTTTTCCTTATAATTTTGCTACGGGCCACTTGCCATTTCCAATTACACCTTCCATGTTAGCTTCAGTGGGATATGGTCAGAGGAACGTGCCTGGTATTGTTTCTTCTAACCCTCCTTTCACCGAGACACTTTGGAGTACTAATATGCAATTTCCGCAAAACTTTGCTTCTTCACCATTTACCCATTATTTTCCCAGTGGATCCCATCTAAATCTAGAAAAGCTGAGAAAAGCTGGTAATGAAGCTATGGGGTCTCCAGATAATGTTGACGAGTCTGACCATGAACTCTGGCACAAGCAAGAAAGGGGTCCTCATAGTTTTGGACTTGAAATTGGTAGTTATGGCATGCATCATGCGAATGATAAACATCATCATCGCTCATCAACTTTCCCCAATTTTTGGGAGGTTTTACGAAGAAATACGTACGGAATCTAGGGTTTCGATTGAATTTGAAGAAATCACTCTCTGGTAATCAATAATCATGCAACTGTGTGATACTTGTTTGGGTAAATTTCTCTCCGGGAGATAAAAATCCGGTGACTTCCGATTAATTCCCTATCAAATCTGATGAAGAATAAGAATATCAAGGTCTGAAAATCTAGACTTACAAATGTTTTGTATTAAAATCTTTACTTTAACTTGCTCTCGTGAACCGTAAATCATCAGTGGTCTAGTGGTAGAATAGTACCCTGCCACGGTACAGACCCGCGTTCGATTCCCGGCTGGTGCATAATTTTGTTTTTGAAGCTTCAGTTTATTGGGCTTTAGATAGACTTTGGAAGCCCATGAATTTTAATCGGAATCCAATTTTCTTTTTAACGAATGATTGAATAATTTAATACAAAAGTCAAAAACTGACACAATGACAATTTATTTTTTTACATGATGAGATTTGAAACCCAAACCACTTGGTATAGACACATTAATTCCTTGGAAACTGACTCGGAATGTGGGTTTTAAGTTTGTAATTAACTTTTTGGCTTAGGGGCTTGCACCATTCAGAATTCGATTCTGACCAATATATTTACAATTTCTTGATTTTCGTCCATTTTTTTTCTTTAGATTTTAAAGAAATAAAGAGAAAGCTGAATACTTTTTTCTACAACTACAACGAGCTTATTTATACACAATAGTAAACACTAATGTACGGACTCCCAAAACACAAACCCATAAAGACCCACAACATTTGAATATGGATCACAAATAATTCTCTCTCGAGAACATGTATCTCTACAACTGCTTGATTTTGATCCATTATTATTTTTTGTTACGAGGAGGTAATATAATGGAGTGGAGTGGAGTGGAGTGGAGTGGAGTGCAGTGGTAGTTTAGTAAAAACACACAAAATTGGAGTAGTCTCCAAGTTTATAAAAGTCAATCATTGTTCTTTGCTCCTCTAAGTTTGATAAATTGGCAAAGTCGGGGGACTTGCTTGAAAATGGAATCTTATTCTTCTATTGGGTACAAAATGTCGTAACTAAAAGACTTTGCTGATTTCTCTATTATGATTGGTTTGGAGGCATGTGACATTTGTATTTTGATATGTCTAAATGAGCTTGTGAAACTACAATCTTTGCCAGGATTGCATATCTCTCTTCCTGTTAACAATATCTCTTTCAATAAAAAGCCTAAAACCTTCATAAATCTAATCAGAAGCTGTGGACACAATGAAAAAGGGTGACAAAATAAGTGATAGCACTTGAATGTGAAAAAAAAAAATTGAGAGAGCATAACCGATCGATCTTCCACTTCATTAAAGCGATCGTCCCTTTGACTCTAGCTCCTTTCAGTTGATGGCATGGTTTACTTGAGCATTTTGTTTCTCCGTTTCTTTCTTCTTCCTCAGGTCTAAGTAGAGCAGGACAACAACAACAACAAACTGTTGTTACTTAACACCACGAGCATCAGCAATGATTTTGCACCATCAATATATCTTGCTTAAACCCAATTTGAAAGAGCAAATTTTATAAAAATACGCTGAGAACAGAGATAGGTGGAATCTGACGTATAAACTAAGTGACTCAATCTTCTTTGAGTTATAAAACAAATCACTCGTACTAGTTTGCTTTATTAATTGCTAATAATAAGAGGGCATTAAACACCAATGCCCCGATACATGCACACGAAACAAGAAAATACATGAAACCAAAACCCTAGACAATTAGTCAGGTGATGATGAGGTCTTCGTGGGATGAAAATCTTCTGATATAGTTCTTGGTGGCGCTTGGCAAACCGTAGCGATGCCACGGGAATTTAAGCCAATAGGAAATAAAGAGGAGAAGGACAGACTTAAACACATACTCAGTCTCAGACTGGAGTAACCGAAGAACTCCGTAACCGAGGAACACCAAGCAAATTACTACGACTATATGGTCGGTACATAACCTCCAGGACGCTTGAAGCCTTTCGCATTGCGACGCAAAATCTCCCACTAACAACATGATTTTCTCCCCCATCTTCCTCATCCTATCGTACCTCATCCTAAGCACGTACACGTCAGACTCCGACGATGGCATCGAGTCAAACTCCTCGTCTAATATGTCTAGGTTGGGAGAGTCCAGCTTCGACAGCTTCAAATCCACCAGAACCAAAGGAGTAGCAGGGTTGCTCCGATTCATGATCATGTTAAACGCTACGGTCCTGAGCTTGTACACTCGGTAAAGAATATAAACCCCACCGATATACGCATATAACCACCAATCCACCAACAACCACAAAAAAAAGCGATGGCCAACAACAAGTAGGAAACAGACACCAAACGTAACCGCTTTCCGACCAACATCCGTCGTGGAGACCAGATTCGCATCCAGCCAAGCATACGGGCCATACAACCACATGAAGAATCTACACAGCCTCTCGAAATTAGCTATGGTTCTTCTCATACTGAACCTCTTACTCCTCGGCTTCAACATGTCCTTGACCACCTCGTTTCTCAACTTCGGCACTGTTTTATTCAAGTTAAAACATATCACCTCAACGGCTTTCGACCTCAGGTCTTCGTACTGAAGCAGCCCCAAAGGGGCCTTGTAATGAGACTTCGGCAGCATCCAACGGAAAGGAGACGTAGCCAAAAAGTAGGACGGCGAGAAAAACAACCACGCTGGCGGAGGAATAGCGCATCGGATCGCCAGCTGGATCTCACCGGTTTTCTTCAACCCTTCTTTCCCCAACACCAAGATCGGAAACGAGCCCGTGTAGATCTTGTTCCAGTCCAGCTTACTCAACGGAATCCTCACTTTCCCGATCGGAACATCATCAAGGCCGCTATTCACCACTAACTGATGGTTGTCGTAGAGGCCAATCGTGAAGACGGTGCACTTCTCGTAAATATCCCATGAGCACTGCTCGTTCCACTTGGGAGACGCATTGTTGACCACGGTTCGAGTCCTTGCCCATTTGTTCCCATACTTGGCTACAGTGTAAGCGTGTCTCTGAAACTGCGAGTTCTTCATCGGGGTTAACCCTGTAGCTCCCAAGATCCCGACCTCTAACTTGCCCAGCACGCCAGGCCATAGCCCTTTGGCGAAAGGGCGATAGTCGCTGCAGTATTGGCTGCATTCGTCGAAGACGTGGTAGGTCTGATCCGTAGCTAGCTTCACTATAAGTTTGCTTGCGAACCGCCTAGTATCCCCTGCCGGTTGGGGGTTATCCGGCAGTTTAATGTCGCAGTGCAGAAGCGGTACGGGTCCGGGTTGTTTAAGATGGGTAATATCTTTGAAGTCTTCTCTCTAATACTCCTATCAATTGGTTGTGTTGATCATCGATCTTGTCCCATATTTCGATGGTGACTTTAGATCTTCTAACGGCTCCGATGCGACGAAGATGAGATCTTGATTCCACGACGGGTTCGAACCGGTAGAGATCCCGGTTTTTAGTTTTTGTTCACCTACTTGTACCTCCACGAAAGCTGAAGGAGGCCGTCTTCCGTCGTGGGAAATCAAATCGTGACCTGAAACAATCGTAACCCTAAGGTAGCAGAGCATTGGAGCTAGGTAGATATTAGGTCGCGTGTTTTCACGCAACTAGCACTCACACCACACGTGTCCGAAAACCAAGCGGTTGAGCCGGAGTTCACAGAACTGAAGCATTGGGCTTGGAGGGTAATGTTGTTGACAGATCCACATCTCCAATTAGCCTTGAGGTCACCGGCGAATCCTGCCATGTAGGCGATAGGCTCGGAAACCGGAAGAAGTAATTTCTTGAAGATCTTACAAGAGGGTGGCACCGAAGCCACGAGGTCTAAACGTGTGGCGATGAAGGAGGTTGTGGAATTTCCAAGGCATTGAATGGGTTTGTAAAGAGAGGAATTGACGTCTTCTTTAGGACAGGTCAAGAAGGCGTAGTTGAGAAGGTGGAGAGGAGAGAAAGGAGACCCTGAAGCGTCAAAGCTGAGAAGTCGTCTGGCTAAGCAGTTCTTGGGGTCGTTGAGGCGTATACGTTGCTGGAGATAGTCGATATCTCGGACGAGGAATGTTTCAGAGTTGGGAAGCTTTAGTGTCGTCTCGTGATGATTGGTGCATAGGAGGTTGAATCCTGTGTGGCCACATGACTCAGGCTGCTTGGGGAATAGCCAGAAAGGGAAACGAACGTGGATCTTCCCATCGAAGTTTCCGTGTACACATGAAGAGGTGTAGCAAGGTTTTGGGTCTGAGGCATTTAGGAGAGGCAAGAAGAAGAAGATGGAGAGAAGGAGAAGGATTTGTTTTGAGAAGGTCATTATGTGGTTTGGCACTAAGGGATAGGAGATTAGAAATTGTCAATACTACTTATGAATTAAGAGAAAAAGTCAAAGAATATTACATATATAAATTTGGTTTCATCGTATAGACTGGTCAACCAAATTCTTCACATATATTCATTAACATTGGTATGTGTTCAAATAAAACTAGTTCAACTATCTCCTCAGATTATTCTTGCTACACATTGCAAGGTTGAAAACTTATTATAAGGGCTAGTGTAATTATTTATATTCTAGGATCCCATCTAAATCTAGAAAAGCTGAGAAAAGCTGGTAATGAAGCTATGGGGTCTCCAGATAATGTTGACGAGTCTGACCATGAACTCTGGCACAAGCAAGAAAGGGGTCCTCATAGTTTTGGACTTGAAATTGGTAGTTATGGCATGCATCATGCGAATGATAAAAATCAGTCATCGTCTGCAGATCACAGTTTTGTACCCTCAAGTCGGAAAATACGGTCAACAAGGGGAGCTGATATAGAAAAACCCCACTCTCCAGTCAGAGGAGGCAGTCAGAATCAGAGTGAGGTGAGAAATGCAGGCTCTAGATCTGTGTCTTGCGCTAGTTCCGTTAGAAGTAGGACTTCATCTGAAAGCTCTTGGGATGGGTCAACCACAAGGGGCTCAAAGGCAGGTAGGGATAGACGGAATAGGAAAGTAGTTACTGGGGCTGCGTCTGCACTCTACGGAAAAGGAAAGATTGTACCTGAGCACTCAATCCAGGTTGAAGATGATAACAGAGAGTGGGTTCCTGTATCAAGCCAGGAAATAACAGAAAGAGATCTTGGCCCTCGGCCTACTGTTGCTTCATTTCAACTCCAGAGGCATCAAATACATGGTCATGAACTAGCTCAGGCAAGTGGATCAGAGACCACAGTGCCCCTTGCTCCATTTATCCTTGGCAATGGCATGCAACAAAACGAGGTTGATAATTCTGGATATACTTTTTATCCCACTGGGCCACCTGTTCCGATAGTTGCAATGCTTCCCATGTACAACTATCAAGTCGGTGGTAATGCGACATCAGATCTTTTGGCAAGCCATCTCGGTGTGGATGAAGGAGTGGAGAATCATGATCCCTGTAAAACTTTTAACTCGTTCAAGGGGTTTGATCAGTCTGAGATAGTTGTTTCTTCACACTCCACCAGAGCTTCTGTAGAAGCAACAGAGCACAAGAATGATATTCTTAATGGTGATTTCACAAGTCATTGGCAGAATTTGCAGTATGGCCGCTCTTGCCAGAATTCTCAACATCCGCCTGTGTTGTATCCTGCTCCGGTTGTAGTGCCACCTGCTTATCTCCAGGGGCGTGTACCATGGGATGGTCCTGGAAGACCTCTTGCTTACGCCAGTCTCATGAATCAGCTCATGAACTATGGACCTCGTCTTGTACCCGTTGCTCCTCCTGTACAACCTGTTTCTCCTAGGCCCCCTAACATGTACCCTCGTTATGCTAATGAAACTCCCAGATATCGAAGTGGGACTGGGACCTACTTTCCAAATCCTGTAAGAACTGAATACCTACATTGATCTTCCATTATACTTGCGTGCGTGCATGCTTTTATCAATCAAGCTACAACTTTCATTTTATAGTATGGTGTTAGTGATGTGTTGATCTCTGTCCAGACCACAAACTTGAGCTAAGAGGAGCTATTCCATTATGTTATTATTGATAGAATGTTTGTCAGTCTTATGGTCTTTGGTCTTGAATACATTGACCCCATGATCTGCCTGCTTATTCTACTTGCACACATGTCTGCTACTTTTAGGAGATTTAGGCTTGTTTCAGGCTATGCTTCTGGATTTTCTTCTTTCTATCTCCTCCTTTACTAATTATAATATGATGTCTTTCATTTGCTTGCTATGTTCAATGTTTTGGTATAAAACTCATTTGTCACACTGCTCTAAACCAATGTTCAATGTTGAATTTGTTGCAGAAGATTTCTCCAAGGGAGCAGCGGCCTTCCTCTGGCATGAGGCGAGGAAATTATAGGCATGACAGAAACGAGCATTATGGATGAGAAAAAAAGAGATCGAAATTGCAAGATTTTGTGAGAGGAGAGCTGAGGAAAGAAGGAAGAGAAGATGATCTGAAGAATCTTATCGATGAGAAAAAAGAGACTGAAAGCAGCGGCAATTGCGAAAGAGCTAGAAGCAGCGGCAATTGTGAAAGAGAAAAGTCAACAGCTAAGCATTGATTCAATAATTCCCAATTAGTCTTTTGTTCATCGGCTTTTGGGTTTTCCCAATTGAGCTAACTTTTTTATTTTGAGTATAGCTGTTAAACTTGTATTTTAATCAACTATTCACGAACAATATTTTCTCTAAATTCATGAGAACAAAAAAAAATTCTACATTCATGAGATGGAATTTAACCGTTTCACATTTACCAACAATATTTTCTCTAGAGATTTATTCTAAGTACGGTGGAAATCTCTGGTCACGAGTATTGCGTTGAAACAAATCAAAACTTTTAACATCTCAGAAACACATCTTTTGGCCCAACAGTCAATGCTAATATTTTGTGCATAGTTAGTGTGAAATTTTATAACATTAAGAAGGGTTATTGGGAGATGAATTTACATAGATTTGCTTGATTTTGAAAGTTGAGAAAAATGATAATCTATATAAATTATTATTTTTGTTGGATTTACATACAATGATTTTAATGGATTTATGAAATTATTAAACATCCACAACTATCGTAACTAGGCTGATAATAAGTCAAGCATAAGGCAAGACCGATCTGTTAAACTCTTTGATGTACTTGGAGAAAGATAATCATAGTTTTCTCTGAATCTTTTTAGCTTGCATAATTTTTTTAAATTAAGGATGTGTTGTTGTGAAAAGAGAGGTGCCAATTCGATTTTCTGAACATTTAATATATTCCGAGGAATTTGATTTTCTGCATTGCAAAGAACTTTGGTTAAGAGGAAATAAAATATGAGATAAGAGTTTAAACATCTACTAATTATATCTAGCATGATAATGACTCGTGTGCAATTACAAGAGGACAAATGTTAATACCTGAAAAAAAAATCATTTGGTGTGATAACTGCCTTAAAACATTTGCTACACTCAGAAACAAAATTAGAAGCAATTAAACATATTATCCGTTACGGTCTGTTCCAAACTGAACAAAACTTTGACAATTTAATACATAATTTTACAAGCAAACGAAAAAACACTAATTAAGAAAAAAAAGAAGATACCAGTCAATTTTTTATGTAGCTTTTATTACTGTTCAAACATATTTTTTCAAAATATGATAAATTAGTGGAATTGAGCTTAAATTTTCAAGATTCTTGAAAACCAAATTATTTTCATGTAGATTTACTTTTTTCTTTCATATGAAAAATAACAAGTTTCAAGAGAACAATATCAGTCTACATTTTAGAATCTTGTAAATAATGATTAAATTATAGAGATTTAAAACTTTGATTTAATCATAGAGGATTTTCTAGAGAAAAGAAGAAACATTAGATAAATAGTTTAAATTATCAAATCAACAATAGTGGTGGATTTTGGAAGATACAGTCAATTTTTTTATGTAGCTTTCATTACTATTCAAACAAATATGATAGGTATAGGGTGTAACCATACCTACTGTAGACTGGGTGGATGTTCGACGGTGGAGAATCAACAAGTGTCAGATCAGAAATCTGAATAATATCGGAGAACATTAACTCGATCAGATACGGACGCGTGTACTTAAGCTTGACACCGTGGAATTTCTGCCAACCAAAATATTGTATAATATGTTGCTTTTGAGAATTTGCTTCAGAAATAAAAGAGAGAAATAGGATTTAAAGAAATTGTTTAATCATAAAAGAAATAGTCGATTCGGTTTTGATATTTGATAATAAATTAATAAGTAAGAATTTCAATTTGGATTGAAAACCTAGCCCTAGTAACAAGTAGNACCCCACCGATATACGCATATAACCACCAATCCACCAACAACCACAAAAAAAAGCGATGGCCAACAACAAGTAGGAAACAGACACCAAACGTAACCGCTTTCCGACCAACATCCGTCGTGGAGACCAGATTCGCATCCAGCCAAGCATACGGGCCATACAACCACATGAAGAATCTACACAGCCTCTCGAAATTAGCTATGGTTCTTCTCATACTGAACCTCTTACTCCTCGGCTTCAACATGTCCTTGACCACCTCGTTTCTCAACTTCGGCACTGTTTTATTCAAGTTAAAACATATCACCTCAACGGCTTTCGACCTCAGGTCTTCGTACTGAAGCAGCCCCAAAGGGGCCTTGTAATGAGACTTCGGCAGCATCCAACGGAAAGGAGACGTAGCCAAAAAGTAGGACGGCGAGAAAAACAACCACGCTGGCGGAGGAATAGCGCATCGGATCGCCAGCTGGATCTCACCGGTTTTCTTCAACCCTTCTTTCCCCAACACCAAGATCGGAAACGAGCCCGTGTAGATCTTGTTCCAGTCCAGCTTACTCAACGGAATCCTCACTTTCCCGATCGGAACATCATCAAGGCCGCTATTCACCACTAACTGATGGTTGTCGTAGAGGCCAATCGTGAAGACGGTGCACTTCTCGTAAATATCCCATGAGCACTGCTCGTTCCACTTGGGAGACGCATTGTTGACCACGGTTCGAGTCCTTGCCCATTTGTTCCCATACTTGGCTACAGTGTAAGCGTGTCTCTGAAACTGCGAGTTCTTCATCGGGGTTAACCCTGTAGCTCCCAAGATCCCGACCTCTAACTTGCCCAGCACGCCAGGCCATAGCCCTTTGGCGAAAGGGCGATAGTCGCTGCAGTATTGGCTGCATTCGTCGAAGACGTGGTAGGTCTGATCCGTAGCTAGCTTCACTATAAGTTTGCTTGCGAACCGCCTAGTATCCCCTGCCGGTTGGGGGTTATCCGGCAGTTTAATGTCGCAGTGCAGAAGCGGTACGGGTCCGGGTTGTTTAAGATGGGTAATATCTTTGAAGTCTTCTCTCTAATACTCCTATCAATTGGTTGTGTTGATCATCGATCTTGTCCCATATTTCGATGGTGACCTTTAGATCTTCTAACGGCTCCGATGCGACGAAGATGAGATCTTGATTCCACGACGGGTTCGAACCGGTAGAGATCCCGGTTTTTAGTTTTTGTTCACCTACTTGTACCTCCACGAAAGCTGAAGGAGGCCGTCTTCCGTCGTGGGAAATCAAATCGTGACCTGAAACAATCGTAACCCTAAGGTAGCAGAGCATTGGAGCTAGGTAGATATTAGGTCGCGTGTTTTACGCAACTAGCACTCACACCACACGTGTCCGAAAACCAAGCGGTTGAGCCGGAGTTCACAGAACTGAAGCATTGGGCTTGGAGGGTAATGTTGTTGACAGATCCACATCTCCAATTAGCCTTGAGGTCACCGGCGAATCCTGCCATGTAGGCGATAGGCTCGGAAACCGGAAGAAGTAATTTCTTGAAGATCTTACAAGAGGGTGGCACCGAAGCCACGAGGTCTAAACGTGTGGCGATGAAGGAGGTTGTGGAATTTCCAAGGCATTGAATGGGTTTGTAAAGAGAGGAATTGACGTCTTCTTTAGGACAGGTCAAGAAGGCGTAGTTGAGAAGGTGGAGAGGAGAGAAAGGAGACCCTGAAGCGTCAAAGCTGAGAAGTCGTCTGGCTAAGCAGTTCTTGGGGTCGTTGAGGCGTATACGTTGCTGGAGATAGTCGATATCTCGGACGAGGAATGTTTCAGAGTTGGGAAGCTTTAGTGTCGTCTCGTGATGATTGGTGCATAGGAGGTTGAATCCTGTGTGGCCACATGACTCAGGCTGCTTGGGGAATAGCCAGAAAGGGAAACGAACGTGGATCTTCCCATCGAAGTTTCCGTGTACACATGAAGAGGTGTAGCAAGGTTTTGGGTCTGAGGCATTTAGGAGAGGCAAGAAGAAGAAGATGGAGAGAAGGAGAAGGATTTGTTTTGAGAAGGTCATTATGTGGTTTGGCACTAAGGGATAGGAGATTAGAAATTGTCAATACTACTTATGAATTAAGAGAAAAAGTCAAAGAATATTACATATATAAATTTGGTTTCATCGTATAGACTGGTCAACCAAATTCTTCACATATATTCATTAACATTGGTATGTGTTCAAATAAAACTAGTTCAACTATCTCCTCAGATTATTCTTGCTACACATTGCAAGGTTGAAAACTTATTATAAGGGCTAGTGTAATTATTTATATTCTAGGATCCCATCTAAATCTAGAAAAGCTGAGAAAAGCTGGTAATGAAGCTATGGGGTCTCCAGATAATGTTGACGAGTCTGACCATGAACTCTGGCACAAGCAAGAAAGGGGTCCTCATAGTTTTGGACTTGAAATTGGTAGTTATGGCATGCATCATGCGAATGATAAAAATCAGTCATCGTCTGCAGATCACAGTTTTGTACCCTCAAGTCGGAAAATACGGTCAACAAGGGGAGCTGATATAGAAAAACCCCACTCTCCAGTCAGAGGAGGCAGTCAGAATCAGAGTGAGGTGAGAAATGCAGGCTCTAGATCTGTGTCTTGCGCTAGTTCCGTTAGAAGTAGGACTTCATCTGAAAGCTCTTGGGATGGGTCAACCACAAGGGGCTCAAAGGCAGGTAGGGATAGACGGAATAGGAAAGTAGTTACTGGGGCTGCGTCTGCACTCTACGGAAAAGGAAAGATTGTACCTGAGCACTCAATCCAGGTTGAAGATGATAACAGAGAGTGGGTTCCTGTATCAAGCCAGGAAATAACAGAAAGAGATCTTGGCCCTCGGCCTACTGTTGCTTCATTTCAACTCCAGAGGCATCAAATACATGGTCATGAACTAGCTCAGGCAAGTGGATCAGAGACCACAGTGCCCCTTGCTCCATTTATCCTTGGCAATGGCATGCAACAAAACGAGGTTGATAATTCTGGATATACTTTTTATCCCACTGGGCCACCTGTTCCGATAGTTGCAATGCTTCCCATGTACAACTATCAAGTCGGTGGTAATGCGACATCAGATCTTTTGGCAAGCCATCTCGGTGTGGATGAAGGAGTGGAGAATCATGATCCCTGTAAAACTTTTAACTCGTTCAAGGGGTTTGATCAGTCTGAGATAGTTGTTTCTTCACACTCCACCAGAGCTTCTGTAGAAGCAACAGAGCACAAGAATGATATTCTTAATGGTGATTTCACAAGTCATTGGCAGAATTTGCAGTATGGCCGCTCTTGCCAGAATTCTCAACATCCGCCTGTGTTGTATCCTGCTCCGGTTGTAGTGCCACCTGCTTATCTCCAGGGGCGTGTACCATGGGATGGTCCTGGAAGACCTCTTGCTTACGCCAGTCTCATGAATCAGCTCATGAACTATGGACCTCGTCTTGTACCCGTTGCTCCTCCTGTACAACCTGTTTCTCCTAGGCCCCCTAACATGTACCCTCGTTATGCTAATGAAACTCCCAGATATCGAAGTGGGACTGGGACCTACTTTCCAAATCCTGTAAGAACTGAATACCTACATTGATCTTCCATTATACTTGCGTGCGTGCATGCTTTTATCAATCAAGCTACAACTTTCATTTTATAGTATGGTGTTAGTGATGTGTTGATCTCTGTCCAGACCACAAACTTGAGCTAAGAGGAGCTATTCCATTATGTTATTATTGATAGAATGTTTGTCAGTCTTATGGTCTTTGGTCTTGAATACATTGACCCCATGATCTGCCTGCTTATTCTACTTGCACACATGTCTGCTACTTTTAGGAGATTTAGGCTTGTTTCAGGCTATGCTTCTGGATTTTCTTCTTTCTATCTCCTCCTTTACTAATTATAATATGATGTCTTTCATTTGCTTGCTATGTTCAATGTTTTGGTATAAAACTCATTTGTCACACTGCTCTAAACCAATGTTCAATGTTGAATTTGTTGCAGAAGATTTCTCCAAGGGAGCAGCGGCCTTCCTCTGGCATGAGGCGAGGAAATTATAGGCATGACAGAAACGAGCATTATGGATGAGAAAAAAAGAGATCGAAATTGCAAGATTTTGTGAGAGGAGAGCTGAGGAAAGAAGGAAGAGAAGATGATCTGAAGAATCTTATCGATGAGAAAAAAGAGACTGAAAGCAGCGGCAATTGCGAAAGAGCTAGAAGCAGCGGCAATTGTGAAAGAGAAAAGTCAACAGCTAAGCATTGATTCAATAATTCCCAATTAGTCTTTTGTTCATCGGCTTTTGGGTTTTCCCAATTGAGCTAACTTTTTTATTTTGAGTATAGCTGTTAAACTTGTATTTTAATCAACTATTCACGAACAATATTTTCTCTAAATTCATGAGAACAAAAAAAAATTCTACATTCATGAGATGGAATTTAACCGTTTCACATTTACCAACAATATTTTCTCTAGAGATTTATTCTAAGTACGGTGGAAATCTCTGGTCACGAGTATTGCGTTGAAACAAATCAAAACTTTTAACATCTCAGAAACACATCTTTTGGCCCAACAGTCAATGCTAATATTTTGTGCATAGTTAGTGTGAAATTTTATAACATTAAGAAGGGTTATTGGGAGATGAATTTACATAGATTTGCTTGATTTTGAAAGTTGAGAAAAATGATAATCTATATAAATTATTATTTTTGTTGGATTTACATACAATGATTTTAATGGATTTATGAAATTATTAAACATCCACAACTATCGTAACTAGGCTGATAATAAGTCAAGCATAAGGCAAGACCGATCTGTTAAACTCTTTGATGTACTTGGAGAAAGATAATCATAGTTTTCTCTGAATCTTTTTAGCTTGCATAATTTTTTTAAATTAAGGATGTGTTGTTGTGAAAAGAGAGGTGCCAATTCGATTTTCTGAACATTTAATATATTCCGAGGAATTTGATTTTCTGCATTGCAAAGAACTTTGGTTAAGAGGAAATAAAATATGAGATAAGAGTTTAAACATCTACTAATTATATCTAGCATGATAATGACTCGTGTGCAATTACAAGAGGACAAATGTTAATACCTGAAAAAAAAATCATTTGGTGTGATAACTGCCTTAAAACATTTGCTACACTCAGAAACAAAATTAGAAGCAATTAAACATATTATCCGTTACGGTCTGTTCCAAACTGAACAAAACTTTGACAATTTAATACATAATTTTACAAGCAAACGAAAAAACACTAATTAAGAAAAAAAAGAAGATACCAGTCAATTTTTTATGTAGCTTTTATTACTGTTCAAACATATTTTTTCAAAATATGATAAATTAGTGGAATTGAGCTTAAATTTTCAAGATTCTTGAAAACCAAATTATTTTCATGTAGATTTACTTTTTTCTTTCATATGAAAAATAACAAGTTTCAAGAGAACAATATCAGTCTACATTTTAGAATCTTGTAAATAATGATTAAATTATAGAGATTTAAAACTTTGATTTAATCATAGAGGATTTTCTAGAGAAAAGAAGAAACATTAGATAAATAGTTTAAATTATCAAATCAACAATAGTGGTGGATTTTGGAAGATACAGTCAATTTTTTTATGTAGCTTTCATTACTATTCAAACAAATATGATAGGTATAGGGTGTAACCATACCTACTGTAGACTGGGTGGATGTTCGACGGTGGAGAATCAACAAGTGTCAGATCAGAAATCTGAATAATATCGGAGAACATTAACTCGATCAGATACGGACGCGTGTACTTAAGCTTGACACCGTGGAATTTCTGCCAACCAAAATATTGTATAATATGTTGCTTTTGAGAATTTGCTTCAGAAATAAAAGAGAGAAATAGGATTTAAAGAAATTGTTTAATCATAAAAGAAATAGTCGATTCGGTTTTGATATTTGATAATAAATTAATAAGTAAGAATTTCAATTTGGATTGAAAACCTAGCCCTAGTAACAAGTAGTAACACCAAGCACCTCAACCTCCACCTCCGCCGACATGTCCGTCGTCCGCCGCATTGTCCAAAATCCGACAGTAACAAAGGCGTTCATTCGTTATCCAGTCGGAAGAGAGCCTTGCTCACTCCCACCTATCATTATCAACCCAATGTATATGGATAGAATCGATCGCCGCCCAATACCTCTGCGCTACAGAGTCACGGCGCTGATCGAGATGTGTAATCTGGACGAAGCCGCCACGATGTCGCACCTCGCTGTAGAGGACAGGTTTCGTAACGACAGAGACACGGTGTTCATCTGCAATTCCGTAATCGGAGCCATGTGCGAGGCCAAACGGTACGGCGAAGTCATCTCTCTGTTCAATTACTTCTTCAACGAGTCTCAGATCCTCCCAAACACGCTCTCTTGCAATCTCATCATGAAAGCACATTGCGACCAAGGCCGTGTCGACGTGGCTCTTGAGCTCTACCGTCACATGGTCCTCGACGGACGTGTGTCTCCAGGGATAGCGACGTACGAGATACTCACGGAAGCCTTGGTTGTTGCTAAAAGATTCGACGAAGCTTGTGCTTTAGCGAGATCAATGACACGTCCTAGTTTCATGGTCTACGACATTCTAATCCGCGGGTTCTTGGATGCTGGGAGATTCCTAGAGGCTAGCCAAATCTTTGAGGAACAGAAAGAACCCAACACTACTAGACTTCCATGGGGAGACTACGACAAGGCAATCGCAGTCTTTAGTGCTTCGTTTATGAGGTATTGGTTCAGGCAAGGCAAAGATGAGGAAGCTATGGAGATTTACAAGGGTTTGGGCAAGCGTGTGGGTACCATTGTCGGGAACAGGGTTTTGCAAGTCTTGGTGGAGCACGGTAAGAAGACAGTGGCTTTGGACTTGTTTGAGAAGATGAAATGTAACTCCGAGACGCTTGACATAATATTTAAGGGTTTCAGTGACACGATTATCCCCTTCAACTTCCACTCGCTATGGCTACATGTAGGTTTGTATAGGACGATGATCAAGCGTCTCTGCGAACAAGGACGCGTGTCCGAGGCAGAGAAGCTCT